TCCATGAGGTCTATAAGAACTAGGAGTTCGACTATCCCCTGTAGTTGTTGTAGCCGATCGCTGCTGTAAATCTATCGGTTGTGATGGTGATCCAACACTAATTGATGGAATGCGATGTGATACAAAGGGAGGAGCACTTTGTGACTGCAGTTGATTAGTAGGCGTGATTGGCATGGGGTATTGTCCTTGGTCAAGTCCGGCTGGATGAGGGGGTGCAGAAACCGGACTTCCGTGCAGGGGCAGATAAGAGGGGATTGCTGCATTCTGTTGTGGCTGATAAGCATGATGTGGATACGATATATAGGGGTATTGTGGGTAATGAGTTTGACCCTGATAATGAAGTTGCTGTGATGGTGGTGGTGGTGGATGATGTGGTGGTTGAGCTGTTGGGGGTCCACCTCCTATTAAATGTGGATGATATGGCAAATGACTTTGCGGTTGTGGTATATGAGTCTGCAAAGGAGGGACCAGTTGAAAAAGATGACCATGTGGAGGGGCAGCTTGTGGTGGTGGGGGATGTTGCAATGGAGGGGATCCACTATTAGGGTTGATATTACCATGTTGAGAGAAAGAAGGTAATTGAGATGACACTGGAGGTGGAGGAGGAGGAGGAGGAGGAGGAGGAGGTGGTGGTTGGTATGGCATCGGAGCTGCTGGTGTTGAGTGGGAATGTTGCAATGGGGCTCTTGAGCTATGATTGGGATCAATATATGGAGGTTGAGGAGGTAAAGAAGTTGAATGACCAGGTAACGGCGGACGAGGATTTAGATTATCGTCCTTAATTGTATCTCCAGCACTTTTTTGTCTCTTGTGAATTCCACTTGAAGACCCTTCTACTACCCCACCTGAATTTTGTAATGAATGCCCTTCACCCGGTGCATCAAATGAATCTCGAAGGTTAAGATTACTGGCACTACCATCTTCTCCTTCAATCACAGGCTTATATGTGGAACCACTTAAACCAGTACAGGCATTTGCAGAATTTTGGTGTCTAGTTAAGGCATCTGGCCTGGCAAATCGTCTTGAACATTTGGAACATGCATATGGTTTTTCTCCTGTGTGTAATTTCTCGTGTCTCTTTAAATCATGAATTCTTCTAAATCTTAAATTGCATACTTTGCATATATGCGGCTTTAACGAAGAATGGATCAACTCATGACTGACCATATTATGCTTTCTAGTAAACCCTTGTGAACAAATCTTGCAGAAATATTTTTTAACTAATTTTGGTCTGGATTTGCCTGTTGTTGTAGTAGTAGTAGTAGTAGTAGCAGTTACCAATTGTTGGCTTTGAAGTTGTTCCTGATTTTGCTGGGGTTCGGAGTTTGGTTGCGGGGGATGGTGCTCATCTATAGGTAGTAGCCGTGTTGGTTGAGATGTATGTAGTTGATGCGGTAGTGATGTATGAATCACTGGGTAATTCAGTACAGCTTGTTGTTGTTGTTGTTGTTGTTGTGAATGGTAATGTTGATCAGAAATGGAACCATCAGAAGAAGAATTATTCAATGGTAGATTCCCAGTAGTAGAAGAAGAACTCAATTGATTATCTCGATTTTTCTCTCTATGTTCAAATACTTGACCATTAGTTAACTGTTGAATTGGGGGTAATGTAGGCTTTTTGGCAAAATTCTCGGTAGTTTTATCATGTTTAGGTGGGTTATTGCCCGAATCCATTTCTTATTCAAATAAGAAGATGCAAACCAAGAATAAGTAAACCTGTTGTTTAAACAAAATTGAAAGACCCAATCTTGTAAATTAAGATAAGATAAAAACACAGTGAACTTCTAATAAAATGAATATACTTGTCTATAATTTTGATTATCCCAAAGATCAAACGGTTTCTGTTCACTAGATAATGTATAACTTATTCCTATTATTATTTTTATTATTATTATTCTTCTTCTTCAGTCTATCACTTTTTTTCCAGTATTCGCCCTTCTTGATCTTCCTTTCAACAGAACCAGTTGAAATTAGTAGTAGTTGAACTATTTTGGATGTTATGATTGATATTTGATGTACTTTTCTAGTTTCCCTCAGAAAGGACCTTTACTTCTAATTCCTCGATTTTTTTGTTCCCTGGTTAATTTGTTTTGACTCTCGTTAACCGTGTAATTTTTCTTTTGCTGAGAAAAATTGAATTAGACTGAAAAAGATGACGGAATTAGAACAAATTTAGGTAAATCCGTTTCAAGCGAGATTCTTTGCTTTCCCTTTGTTTATTCAATTGGTTATATGATATAATTGTTTTAAATGAATTGACAATTAATTCCACCAACGTGTATTTTTCTCTTTTACAGTATTTGGAGATGTGTTATGAAAAGCAATGACCCGGAAATTGTAGAACTGATCTTCAATTGAAAAATGTGACTGTTGTAATAAAAAAGAAAATGAAATGAACAAAAAAAAGAAAAGAAAAAGAAAAAAAACAAAGGAAACGAGTTGAAAAACCAAACTAAAAATGAAAATTTCTCTTCTCTCCAAGAAATCTTAATGATAATGGAAAAGTGGAAAAATGGATTTGTGGATTTGTGGAAATATGGATATGTGTAATTTATCAATTTGTGAATTCGTGAACTACTGTTTAGAAGACGCGACCTATGCTAAATTAACAAGACCAAAAAGAAAAATGAACTCGTAGTTGCCTTAGACAAATTAAATGCGAGTATGATGATGTTGTTGTTGGTAATATGTAGTAGTCAAAAGTACTGGGCAAAATATAATCTGTGGAGAAATATTTAGGTGGTTCTGTATATCCTTTTATGGAAATAATGATGTCTATGATTTGTGTATTTTCTTTTGTAGATGAAATCGATGTTCACGTTTCAAAACTAGCACAATTGGGAGGAGAAGTGGTGTTCTGATAAAACTATATTATCATTGACCAATGGAATGCTCGTAATAATAGTCTGTGAGGGGGGATGACGGTTGTAGAAGTTATTACACGGCAGTAATGGTTTTTGTTGTTGTATAGATTGTAATAAGGAAGGTAGATAATTAAAATAATTAATACACCACTAAATCAAAAATCCAAAACAAGAAGAAATAATTAAAGCAAAAAAAAAAAGAAAAAGAAAAAGAAAATTTCACCAAAACCAAAAGAAAAAAATATGAATTGATTGAAAGATATATTTATATATATTTATAAAAAAATTTATTGTATTGTGTTTTTGGTTTGGTTTGGTTTTGTTTGATTTGTTTCAGCTTGTACTTAACCGCCTCCCAAACAAAATAATAATAAGAGTGGATAATCTTTTTCTGTATTTAAAGTTTATACGTTCCCTTTTGGAATTAAAATAAACCTTGAAAAGACCTAATGATTTTTTTTTTGCTTTTTTTTTAGTTTGAGTAGGTTTAGATGAAAATATAATATAGAAGAAAACTTTTTTCACCCATTCGTTTTGTATTGTCTTTTTTCAGGTTATGTGAAATTTTTCACCAAGTTCAAGAAATTTTACATCATGTTTAATGAGTTAATAATATTATCATAACCTTCTTAATTCTCTCTGTCTCTTTCTTTCTCCATCTGTGCGTCTGTGTATTTGTCTCAGTTTTAGCTCACAAACAATACAGGATTACAAAGACTATTTAATTTTGCTTTCCCTTGCTTTACTTTGTTAACTTTGAAATTGTAGAGAAGAATTATAGTAATAACAATAATAAGAATACAATAATGTTTGTTTATTTTTCATTGTTGAGCACAGAATTAAGGTAAAGTAAGAAATCAAAGTATAATTGTTTCAACCTGGCACTAAAATTCTTCCATAATTCCCTTCGCCTCCTCTACCCCCCTAGTTGCCAAACTCACATACACACCACGGGGCAAATTAATTTTTTTTGTGGGCGGTGGTGGTGCTGGTAATAGTGGTGATGCTTGTGGTTGGTAAGAAATCGGAAATGGTTTTGTGTTCAACCCATTTCATGATATCACCACCATAACTAAGTTTTATTGTATTATTTATTATTGATCGGATTTCTTTTGTGTTTGTAGAATCCTAATTATTGACTGAATAGATACACAAAGCAACTTAAGTAAAACAATCCATTATGCTTACTAACTTATGTTGCTTGGGTTAAATTTAATTATTGAGAATAAGGCACGACAGAGAATTGATTGAGATGGATGATTTACAAGAAAACGTAAAAGAAATGATCTTAATATGACATCAGCATCTATACTTGGCTCTTGTTGACTACCTGTAGTTAGTATTGAAAGTACAAATTCTATTAAAATGGGAAATTTATAATAGTAATTTCATATGATAACCGGTATTTGATTGAGTAGGAAAAACTCAACCTATTTCGCTTGCTGTTACTTGTTATAAATATTTTCTATATTCATTTGTCTGATATAATCAATCGATTTGCCTTGGAGGAAGAAAAAAATATCCGTTATTGTTGGTGGGGGATTATTATTTAATCATTTAAAGTAGTAGTCTTTTTATTATTATTATTTCTTATCTTTTTGGTGACCTGTGGGTGATGTAATGTTCTTTCTTTAAAGTTTTCCATATTCGTAAAAGACATTGACAAGTATATCCGATATTTGATAACGACTTCCAAAAACAAGATCTCAATGATGATGTTAAATCTCATTGAATCAATATCGGAATTCGATAAAATCAGAAGTATCCCATTTAATTAGATAGGCATATTATTACCCCACTATACATAATGTATGTTTCGGATTTTTTATTTTTTATTTTTTTTTTTTTTGGTTTTTTTTTTTGTATTTCTTACTTTTTTCCATTTGTTTTGGGTTTTGCTGTTTTACTTTAACAGATTATACATTTGTGGTTATTAATTTCCACGTAACCGTGAATCCCCTTTTATTTACTATATAAATTTTGCCTACTTTTTACTTTATATTTGGTAGCCAGAAAGTGACAAAAGAGAAAGAAAGAAAAAAAAAAGAAATGGAACTACCAATCTCTCAAATGAGTTGTATATACGTTACTCTACAGAATATAATATAGAGTATCAATACTACATAACTGCAGAAAGGAGGTTTTATAAACAAATCGATTCTAGTCCTTCTAATATTAATGTTGCTCGGTTTGTGGTTTAGTACCACTAAGAAAGTTTGTTTGCCATAAATTGTGACTTTATTTAAAGTTACAGCTTCTTTTTTGTTCATTTTAATCCCTAAGTGTGGATTCATGGTTGTTCTATTTAAACAAAGATATTCTTTTAAGTGTGGTGTATGAAAGAGAATTTGATCTATAGAATGATACAAAAAAAGACTAAATCGACAATGATCTGTTTTATTATTATCAAAACTACTCCAGTAAAACTATGAAACTATATTTGAATGTAGATCAACCAAAAACATAAATTGAAAATTGTTCTCCATTTAGATAGCAATTTAAACCCAACATGTTTACTTGCCAAAATGATTTAGGGTTTCTATTGTTTAGTAGAGAGAAATGACTACGGTATAAGCTTTTTAACTTGTTGAAATACAATGGAAGGAATAAACTTTTTCTTTACTTTTTCTTTATGAAAGAACAGCATAAAGTCTAAATTGAACTAATAAAACAAATTAAAGCCTCATTTCTTGTGATTATTTATTTTAGCTGGTTGTACATTGACGGGACTTTGAAAGGGATATTGGAGAAATATAAGAATAATGGTAGTTGAAATGTTACATTATTAATTGTTTCCTTTATTATTATCATTATTAATTATTATTATGGATGGTTCGACTCATTTATGTTAGATTACTTATCAGATGTACTTGATAACCGTTATGTCGTCTGTTTTAAAAAAAAAATTCAGAGGATTGGTAATTCACAATTTCAAAATGGTTGAAATATGGGTTCACGTGATTTTTGGTGATCATTCTATTGAATTGTGATTATTATTAATGTGATTATGATATAGAATAAAAGAAAATCATACATTATCTTGAATATGTGGTATTTTATACATATTCTTGGGATCAATAATTTTCTTTTTTTAGATTTTCAAACATTTCCGGGATGTTTTCTTTATATGATCACTAACCCGATATTAAGCTACTATTGCTATACCCAAAAATAAATGTTTTCTTGAAAATAATAATCTATTCTTGAACCAGCTTAGCTACTGCTACATTCATGTCTACTCATTTAAAAAAGTTTAAGCGTGTCATAATAAATTCTTCTAACCAAACTACAAAAATGAATAAAAAAAAAATAGAGAGAAAATTTTCGTGACTAAAAATCCTAATCCAAGCGATTTCTATCACTGAGAAGATTCTCGCCATGGCTAAGTAACTTTGGTGTATGTGTGGGGGTGGTTAATTAAACATTAATTCGGTATTTAATTGGCCCAATATTTAAGAATTAGTTTCGGTCGGATGTCAATCATCTTTCGTACCATTCCGATACAACTTACAATAATCAATTATTATTATTTATTTGCATAATTTGCGCAATAGCCGTTGAGTAAGTGAATATTTTTTTTTTTGTTACAAATATTTTCAATAATTCCAGAACGAAGTAAGACAATACAATGTGAGACAATATCTCTATGTATTACATTTTATGTGAGTTTTCTTATATGTAGATTATATAATTTGTTTGGTGATTGCTCTTAACCATCCTTTGGTTTTCAATTTTGTTGGGTTTATCCGATGAAAAAAATATCCAAAATCACCATATGTGATCATCCAAACGTTTTGTTGTCTAGTATGAACTTTCACGTGTAATTATTCAACTAATGATTATACCACATGTATACATTTGTAACATGAAATCCAGGTAATTAGATACAATAGCAGCTCTCATTCAAGATTAAACAATTGGTTTTGTATCTAGTCAATAATATTATAACCGTTTTTTATATATTCAAGTGGAAGGAGTAATTTGTAAGAAAATTATCACAGACTAGAGAGTTAACTATGAGTTAATTTTTTTATATATATTTCCATTTAATAACCGAGCTCATATCCCCCACTCCTCCACCTTGAGATTAATTAAAAGTCATTAATTTAAATTCGAAATAATATACACAATTGGAACTGAGAGGGGAAATAATCGTACCATGTTACTCTTTTAAACACACCTACATTCACACTGGTGGAGATCATTTGCATTACTGATTTTGTGCCATCGAACAGTCGACTATCTACATTGACTCTTTTCTTGTTTGGTTAGTGTTGGTAAAAGAGGTGTTCCAGGAAAAAGAGAAAAAGAAATTGCAACATAGTATTTCCAATCCATCAGAATAATACATTGTTTGATTGAGAAAGCATGAGCATCATATTGACTGTTTCCTTACATGTGAACAAATAGCCTTATTATACTCCACTTCTACAATGTTGAACTATAACTTATTAACGGGTTTTACATATACGACATCTAATTCAGTATAAAGGGGTTTCCCTCTATTTCTCTCTTTCTTTTTTTTTTTTTTTTTTAACCGCCCAATATTTCCACACGTAGAAAGGGGAATTTTTTTTTTTTTTCATTTAAAACACTTTTTTTTGTTCCTACTTGTAGTGTCTGGTATTCAAAAAAAAAAAATTCCCAATAAAATAATACTAAAACCGTAGCTTTTTATTTATGTATTATGCATTAAATATCAGAAAGAAGATATGTTTAGCGAAACCTACCTAAATAAAACATAATTTTCAACAAAGAAATAATAATAATAATCTATTATCTCCTACACTAAAATGAAAATTAAAATTGTAAATGACGAGGTTACATATTCTCCTTTGATTTAACAAGTTTTGCGTCCAAAATCAGGGCGTTATGAATTAGAAATTGGCAATGTTTCTTATCAGGGATCACAATCGATATGGAAGTAGATGTGACCATAAAGAAATATCGGAGGTAATCATTCCGTTCTTTGTTCTCACCAAAAGTAAAACAATATGATTGGATCATGATAAACAAGTTCTAAATTTATTATTATTAATAGTAATATACAAACCCCAATTATCGGCATTTCTAGCTTAGTATATCTTTTTTTTTTTTTATTGCCGTTCATTTTTGTCTATTTCGCCTTGGATTAAATTGCCTTCTAAATTGTTTTTATCATTTGTGGATCTACGTGGAAAATAAGAAGGGAAGAAAGCTAGATCGCTTTATGGCTAATTTGCAACCACGTTCGTTTTGAATTGTTTTTTTTTACACGGAAATAATCAAAAGTTATTTAGGTATTTTTTTAGTCAAAGGTTGCATTTGCCTATTTCAAAATGGTTTTTAAGTATTTTCTTAGTGATATAGTATAAGGATCATTCCATTGAGTGTAACCAGCAATAGTTGTATAACCATTGAATATTCTGAAGAGTAGAAACATGGTTCTTTCGGATACCATCATAAAACAATATAATCTCTTTCGGATATTGGTATTTCATTAAGAAACTTGTAAGATTATTAAAATAGCAATTATAAAAATTTTATCTAATTTCACTTCTGGTGTCAAGGTTTTTGATGCTCTTTTGGTTGATAAATTTGAAGAAAAAATAAATCGCAATCTAAAATCATAGGAAATACAATCTAATCCAGATTCCCATCTTAGCATTAGATCATGTCTCAGTTTAATCAGGTGTGCGTATTTCAAGCTATCAATATGATTACATATGAAAGTAGCACATCATACATTCTGATGAGAGAGATAAAGAGAGCGTGAGAGTGAGAGAAAAAAAATAATAATTTGCAACCACTTTTCACATTCTCTTTCTTTGCTTTTTTCCGTTGGAGGAAATGTGTAAAGGTACGCATTCAATTCAACAAGAGCACATATTTCCGGTGTTCAATTTGATTTTTGCACAACTTTTTTTTGCTGTCTCGGATTTATGTACAGTAAAGTTATTGCTTGTGCAACCGAATATTAATAAATGCAAGACCATGAATAAGCGAAACCCAAAACAACACAATAGGTCGCAAAATAAAACAATAATAATAAAATAAAATATTGAAGGAATTCAAATATGAGTTATGTTTATATATATATATCTCGATTAGTAGAAATATTACTGGAATTACTAAAAAGAATTACAAATTGAGTTTCATAAATTAAACAACAACCATCATTAGTATTGTTGTGGCACTGGGAAGGCTTAGCTTGGCGTGGAGCATTAAAAGTTAACCTCCAATAATTTACCACGACTTAGGGCGAGACTTTGTGAAAACGCCACAACTCACAATCCACACGCAGCATTTAGTAGCTTCTAAATCATCAACATTTTACCATATGAATTCCAAATACACTCAAGAGTAGACCATTTAGAAGAATTGTATGATTTATAATGAGGTATTCTATTTACTTAGACATAATCAATTTATATATGTAATTCACATTAATTAGCATCTCCCTTAATTATTTCGGAGAACCGTTCAATGAATGTACTACTGACTCAGGAAAACATAAGCCAATTCTAGTAATATCAAACGTCCAATATATGTTTAAATTAATTTTCAAATATAAATAATATGATAATTTACATCTATGAGGCACTTGTAAATACTCATGTGTGATCTAAAATGGAAGAGTAAAGCTGCATAAGTATATAACTCACTGTTGAACTCTTGAACCAAATGGATAGTTCAATCCAGAGATCCCCAAAAATATACAAACACTGTAATGTCCATAAATTTGTGACTTCAGAACTCCATAAAGAGTATTTGACGGTTCAGACCTTTTAATTTACTTCTGTCGTTCGGATTTTTGCTCCTCTAGTCTTTAAGGTAATGATCACGTGACAATTCGCACCTAATCGCTGCCACGTAAATTTCACTACCCCCACCCCCCGTCGTTTCACGAAAAATTTCACCCACTCAGGAGATAAAAAAAAACGTTCCTTCTCCATTCTACGCACACGTTTCTTATACGAATATGCACGACCATTGGTTCACTCTTTTTGTGGGAAATTGTAACTGAATGTTTTTTAATTATTATTGTGACAAGTCTAAATTTAATTGGTTTTTATGATAATCTAGGATTTTATTTATTCTTCTGATGTTCTTTATAGTCAAATAATTCAAAGAGAAAATGGTTCAATGGACGGGATAAAAGAGGAGAAGACGGGATAATTGAACTATTCCCATAAAAAAAATAAAAAAAAAATTGTCTAAGGACTGTATGGAATGAGTGGGACTATTTTTGAATTTTTTTTTTTTCCTGTGGGATAATTTAACACGCAGTTTTCTGTATTGAAATTATAATGACCACAATTGAACAAACAGACACTACTTTCTCTGCATTACACATATCCCACCATAACTAAACACAAAGGTTCATCCCATTTGCGAGATGGTGGTGGTGGTGGCAAATCCATAATTAAATAAATTATATCGTAACAGCAGTTAAGTCAATTAGAAGAGAAGTCACACGTGCTTAATGGTATGAAGTTCGTTTTCATTAGAAACAAGCTTTAGCAACATATTCTTTTTAAAAAAAAAGATTGAACTTAGCAATCACACTCAGTAAAATAAAAATTATTGTCCCCCCTGAGACAACCAAAAAGAAAAGAAAAGAAAAGAAAAAAAAAAAATTAATAATTCTCCCCTTATCTTTACAAATTACATACATAAAAGAGCAAATACTTTTGTCCCATATGTTACACACTCTCTCTTTCTGTTTCTATGCAAGATAAATAAATACTGACGACAATCAAAGAAGAATTTTTTGGAATTTTTTTTTGTTTTAAATAAAAAAACAGAAAATTTTCCTAGTTTTGTTTTCCAATCAACACCAATATCAAATCAAAAAGGAATTACAACAACCATATATTTATCACCCTAATCAAATAGAGGAAGTAATATATTTTCAAGACAAATCTAAACTAATCAGAAATTTCTTTAAAAAAAAAATTAAAAATCAAAGGAGAAATTCTTTGTACAGTTCTGCCTTTTTTTTATATATTTAGTTTTCATTTGAAAATTGCTGATTCAAGTTTTCCCAATATTTTTTTTTTCTTTGGTAATTTGAAAAGAGACTAGGAAAAAGTTACCCCCTTCAAATCACTATTTTATTGATACTATTATCCCATCAAATTCAAATATAAAGTGTTGGTCAAAATATCCAACTGAAGATTTCGTTTATTTTGCTTTATCGGCTGTTTTTGTATTTTTTTTGGAACCAGTATTATCCCCCAACACAAAAGACATAACAGCGCTCAAAAAAAAAAATAACGGTTTGGCTGTGCCCTCCTTCCTCCTCCCCTTTTACACATTATCTTGAAATAAGTACTGGATACTTATAATTCACCATAGTGTTTCAATTCAATTATACCTTTTGAACAACAAAAACCCATAAATAAATCATTTACAAATTGTTTATTTTTTGTCTTTTTTGCTTGTTTGTTTCCACGTTCATTATTTCAATTTCGTTGTCACTGGCATTTCTTATCGTTTAGACCTTCATAATTTATTTTTTTCCTTTTTATTAACTTTTATTGTATTTTATTTTCCTTGATACCCACCAATTAACAATGATTAGCAATCGAAAGAGACCAAGAGTTTTAAGTACTGAAGGACCTTCAAATGTTTTAAATTGTGATGCAACAGTTGCTACTGGAGCAAACCGCGGCAACGGAGCAAATATTTCTACATCTACCACCACAACAAATACAACCAGCACTAATATTTCAGAAACTCCACCTTCTTTGTATCAACTGCAACAACAGCAACAACAGCACCATCTGTTATTGCTCAATAATCACAATGGAAATATTTCTTCTGATACTTCAACTGATTCCACAAATTCTTTCCCATTTTATAAACCATTGTTGGCTGCAAAGGCAAAAATTGATTCAACAACTTTTACCAACCCATTTTTGTCTGTCCATGATAATCACCACGACCATGGATCCTCCTCATATGCATTAGAAGATGACGATGATGATGATGATTTAGAAGATGATGACGATGATGGTATTGAGGAGATTGACGCGTTTGATGAGGATGATGATATTATTTTTCTTGAACAACGTGAGATTGTTAAACGAAACAGCGATACTTTATTGTATGACAGTGATGCATTGGCTGCCTATAACATGTTTAATGTTAATAATGTTGCCATTAATCCTGATTATAATCGGACAAAGAAACAAAGAACAAACTCGTTACCTCAATTGCCTCAAGTTAAATGTTTTTACAACAAGTTGCCTAACAATTATGTGTTGCAAACACCAAAATTAGGCAACATCAAAACAAATGTTATACCCCATCATTTGAATTTACCGCCGTGTGATGACGAAAATGGCCATTATATAATCAAACCAAATGATTTGTTTGCCAATCGGTTTGTCATTATCAAGTTGTTGGGTCAAGGTACGTTTGGTAAAGTTGTTCAATGTTTTGATAAGGTGAAGAATGAACATGTCGCTATTAAGATTATCAGAAATATTCAAAAGTATCGTGATGCTGCCAAGATTGAATTGCGTATCTTGTCCACACTCAAGAAATTTGATCACAAGAATGATAATCATTGTATACATTTGCGTGAATGTTTTGATTATCGAGGTCATATTTGTATTGTTACTGATTTGTTGAAGATATCTTTGTATGATTTCTTGGAAAACAACAAGTATATTGCTTTTCCAGGATCACAAATTCAAGCTATTGCTAAACAATTGATAAGGAGTGTTGCATATCTTCATGATATCAGTCTAATTCACACTGACATGAAACCTGAGAATATATTGTTGGTGAATGATAGTTTCCAAAGAAAACCATTAAAGAGCAGAACTATCACTTCTTCATACCTAAGTCTAGGGACAGGTAGTTCCAAGAAAGTACCCAAGCAAACAAAGATTTTAAATAATGTTGAAATTCAGGTGATTGATTTTGGAAGTGCGATATTTGCTGATGAGTATCACAGTAGTATTGTTAGTACTCGACATTATCGTGCCATTGAAATTGTCTTAGGAATTGGTTGGTCTTTCCCTATAGATATGTGGTCATTGGGTTGTATTTTAGTGGAATTATTAACAGCCGATGTCCTTTTCAAGACCCATGCAAATTTAGAACACTTGGCTATGATTGAGAAAGTATGTGGTGAAAGAATTCCTCCATATATGATTCAAAGAGCTAAAGAAAGAAACACTGAAGTTGCCGATATGTTTGATGATCATACTTTGAGATTGAAATTTCCAACCCTGTCGACTCCTCCTAAATTTATCACATCAGTTGAAGAAATGGATAGAATTGATTTATATTTGAGTAAGAAGATTGGATTAGATATTAATCTTGATTTTAATATCCTGGTTAATTTTAAGAAGAATGAAGATAAAATAAGTTTAGGGGATTTTACATTTTATTACTTTTTGTTTGATTTGATCAAGAAGTTGTTAGTCATTGATCCAGACGATCGAATAACGGCTGATGATGCTTTGAATCATCCATGGTTTAATTTAGGTACTGTAGATGAAGGTACCATATAAAACGCGAAGAAGTGTTTGCTTATGTTTATGTTGTGATTTGGTTTTATTATTATTATTATTATTTTAACTTGTAGGTTATATGTATTTGGTTTTATTTTATTTTTTTTAGTTCTTTTATATTTTATTTTTTTTTTTTGAATGTACCTTTGATAAGTGTGTTGTTGGAATAGATGTTGTTTATAATGTAGAAGCTTTGAAGGTATTCGCATATGCAGGAATTTTTTGATAAAGGAGTACAAAACGAAAAGAAGAAGAAAAAAAAAATTATAGAGTATGAGATGAGATTTATATTGAATACTTTATCAAACCTTGATCTACTACATTATAATACGATCAATAATTAAACCATGGGCAAAGCACCAAAGAAGAAATTCAGTACATCATCTGATCCAACATCTAAAAAAGTTGCTGCAGAAAAGCATCTTAATTCAGTGTTTAAGTTTAATACCAATTTAGGTCAACATATTTTAAAGAATCCATTAGTTGCACAAGGTATTGTTGATAAAGCACAAATTAGACCAAGTGATGTTGTATTAGAAGTTGGTCCAGGTACTGGTAATTTAACAGTTCGTATATTAGAAAAAGCACGTAAAGTTGTTGCAGTTGAAATGGATCCACGTATGGCAGCTGAATTAACTAAACGTGTTCATGGAACTCCACAAGAAAAGAAATTAGAAATTTTATTAGGAGATTTTATGAAGACTGAATTACCTTATTTTGATATTTGTATTTCAAATACTCCTTATCAAATTTCATCACCTTTAGTATTTAAATTATTAAATCAACCACGTCCTCCAAGAGTTTCAATTTTAATGTTTCAAAGAGAATTTGCTCAAAGATTAGTTGCTAGACCAGGTGAAGAATTATATTGTAGATTAAGTGCAAATGTTCAAATGTGGGCTAATGTAACTCATATTATGAAAGTTGGTAAAAATAATTTTAGACCTCCTCCACAAGTTGAATCAAGTGTGGTTAGAATTGAAGTTAAAAATCCAAGACCAAATGTTGATTTTAATGAATGGGATGGATTATTAAGAATTTGTTTTGTTAGAAAAAATAAAACTATTGCTGCTGGTTTTAAATCAAATAATGTTATTGATATTTTAGAGAAAAATTATAAAACTTTTTTGGCAACTCAGGAAAATGATGGTATGATGGATGTCGATGATAAAAATAGTTCCTTAAAAGATGTTGTCAAAGAAAAAATAACTAAAGTATTAACTGAAACTGGTTTTGCTGATAAAAGATCAGGGAAAATGGATCAAGTTGATTTCTTAAAATTATTATACGCATTCCATCAAGTAGGTATTCATTTTGCTTAGGAGTAGGAAAATGAAAAAGAAAATAAAACTAATACAAATTCCGTGTCTATTTCTAACATCTATATTTATTGTATCTATCTTCTTTTAGAGGTTCCTTTAGAAGTGTCTTTTTCAACAACTTCGCCAACACCACCCATTTCTTCTAAGTTATCTTCAGCAACAGCAACTGCTTCTCTTCTTTCCCAGAATCTATCCTCACATAAATCAAAGGCAGCTTTCTTCAAATACTTACCACGAGCATCTTTATTACTTGAAATGGCCCATTCCAAAAACTGTGGTCCTGTACGAAGGTAAAATGCACGTAATGATTCGAATGGTTTAGGATGTGGTAACCAGAATCTAGCATCTGGGAATTCTTCTTCAATTTCGTCCTCTTCTTCTTCCTCCTCTTCATCATCATCATCTTCGGCTTCTAATTTCTCATCTCCATTAACTTCTTCACCATCATCATCTTCTTCGTCATCGTCATCATCCTCTTCTTCTTCATCAGAATTGACTTCACTTCTGTCTAATTCAGACAAATCTTCCCAGAAGACCTTAACTCCATCAATTCTACCCAAATCAATAGCATAGAACGAATCCAAGTTAAATTCTTGCTCTCCTCTTTCAAATATACCACCATAGATATACAAAACATCATCAACAACACAGGTGATTGCATTGAATCTTGGGTGTGGGAATTGGTTCATTACCGGATATTCAACAACATCTTTTTCATCTTCTTTATCGTCTTGTTCAAGTTGTTTGAGTTTCTCAATTTCTGACGCATCATCATCATCGTTATCGTCATCATTCAAATTAGCTTTAGCTAAAATGGAATTCAAAAGTTCTTCCAAGTCTTCATCTCTGGTTTTTTCTTTGATAGCTTCTTTCTTCTTTCTCTTTTGTGGTTTCAAGTGTAAATTATACCAACGATTACTTTCAATGTGGTAAGTGTATAACTGGTTGTAGAATTCAGAATCCAAGTTTTCTTCACTTTCTTCGAAATCATAAACCCCACCAAACAACATACCTCTGTTCTTATGGTACACCAAAGAGCATCCAACTCTTGGAGATGGCAAAGCACCTTGTTTCTTTCTTCTTTCAAATCTAACTGCTTTAGGATCAGATTTCATTTTCAAAACCCAACAATCAGATAAAACTTTACCCTTTTGCAAACCTTTCTTGGCTTTAACTTTAGTATAACCCCCATATATGACCGCACCATCAGCACAAGGCAATAAGGAGTGACCAGATCTAGCATCTGGAATAGGATGTGTTGGAGGGAATTCTACTTGAGTCCATTTAAATTCACTGATATCAAATAACCAAACATCACTAAGATAAGTTGTCATGGTACCCAAATCTCTGAAACCACCATGTAAGATAATATAATTCTTCCAAACTGCCATTCTATGACCTGATCTGGCACTTGGACCTTTTTTCAAATCTAATTTTTGCCATTCTTTAGTATCAGCATCTAATATCCAAGTGTCCCCATAATGGTAGAAAGTAGATTGTTTAGGAGATGAGAATTCCCCACCAAACATTAACACTACACCAGATGGATGAGAACACATGGCATGAGATGATCTAGGAAGTGGAGCATTCTTACTGGATATTTTTCTCCAGGTATCATTATCAATAGAATAAGTGAACAAATCATTATAGAATCTACTAACATGACCTTCATTTACTTCACCACCAAATAAAATTAATTCTCGTTTAGTATGTGATGGATTAGCTACTAAAGTAGGATTTAATCTTTTAGATGGACGATCACAAACTTCGATTTTAACTTCAGTAAATTCTAATTGTTCTTGAGCATATTTTTCTAAAATTGCATCAATATCATCATCTTCTTCATCTTCTCCTAATTTTTTTGCAAGTTTTTTATCTTTTTGTTCTGCTTTAGCAGCATTCTTCTTTTGCTTTTCAGCAGCTCTTGCCTTCTTGGCTTCTTTAGACTTTTTATCTTTCTTAGCCATGATTTTGTTTATCGAGCTTGTTGGTTATAGATAAAGCTAGAAAATGGTTGTCAAATGTGTAATTGAAAAAAAAAAAAAAAAAAAATTTTTTCGTGCTTGATTCTCGCAACACATACATGGAGATACAAAAAAAAAGAAAAAAAAAAACTTAACCACAACAAAAACATTAAACCTTAGATATTCTTTATTTACTCCCATTATCAATCATGACATCTACATCAGACATTCCTAATAGTACATCACCTAAAAATGAATATTTTATAAAACAGCGAGATTTATTAATTCAAGAAATATCGAACAATTTAACTAAAGTACATACAAATCTAGAAGCTTTAAATCGATCTTTACACGAATCAAAGCAAATAGGTAAAGAATTCGACGATGTTGCAAGGTTATGGTCTACTTTTTATGATGGTATGAATCAAGTACGAGAAAATACAAATGTTGATGTTCCGAAACCTTCAACCGATCTGGAGAAAGATATAGCAGACGAACCAAATGAATAGAGAGTTATATTTCTTTTGTTAATGTAATATATATTTTTCAAAAATGTATAAAATCAACAAATTTTGTAACAATTCTTTTAGAACAATAAAAAAAAACAATGTACTATCAAAACTAAGCGACTTTTCTTCTTAAAATATATATAAAAAGATTGAAAATTATACTAATAGTAACAAGTTATATATATGTAGGTAAAAGTAATAATAAAAAACAGCGGAATACAAACTTTGCACTATATTGAACAACCGTTTCCTTAGAAACATTTGTGGTGGACAATAGATGGACCAGATTCGTCGTATTCTTGTTTTGAGATCCACATTTGTTGGAAAGTAGACAAGGAAGCCAAAATGGAACCACCGATCCAGACAGAGTATTTTCTTTCTGGTGGAGCAATGATCTTGACTTTCATAGAAGATGGAGCCAAAGCAGTAATTTCTTTTTGCATACGTTCAGCAATACCTGGGAACATAGTAGTACCACCAGACATAACAATGTTACCGTATAATTCTTTTCTAACATCCAAGTCACATTTCATGATGGAGTTGAAGGTAGTTTGGTCAATACCAGCAGCTTCCAAACCTAAATCGGCTGGTCTGAACAAAGCTTCTGGAGCTCTGAATCTTTCGTTACCAATGGTGATAACTTGACCATCTGGCAATTCATAAGATTTTTCAATAGCAGATGATTGAGAAGAGGTTTGCATTTCTTGTTCGAAATCTAAAGCAACGTAACATAATCTTTCTTTAATATCTCTAACAATTTCTCTTTCAGCGGTGGTGGAGAAAGTGTAACCACGTTCAGACAAGATCTTCATCAAGTAGTCGGTCAAGTCTCTACCAGCCAAGTCAATTCTCAAAATACCGTGTGGCAAGGAGAAACCAGCGTAAATTGGGACAACGTGGGTAACACCATCACCAGAATCCAAGACAATACCGGTGGTTCTACCAGAAGAGTACAAGGACAAAACAGCTTGAATAGAAACGTAGAAAGCTGGAACATTGAAAGTTTCAAACATAATTTGGGTCATCTTTTCTCTGTTAGATTTTGGATTCATTGGAGCTTCGGTCAACAAAACTGGGTGTTCTTCTGGAGCAACTCTCAATTCGTTGTAGAAAGTGTGGTGCCAGATTTTTTCCATATCATCCCAGTTGGAGACAATACCGTGTTCAATTGGGTATCTCAAAGTCAAAATACCTCTTTTAGATTGAGCTTCATCACCAACGTAAGAATCTTTTTGACCCATACCAACCATAATACCTTGGTGTCTTGGTCTACCGACGATAGATGGGAAAACAGCTCTTGGAGCATCATCACCAGCAAAACCGGCTTTACACATACCGGAACCGTTATCGATAACTAAAGCAGCAACTTCTTCTACAAAACGGGAGTTAGTATTCATAAACTTTTAGTACAAAACAGTGATTGATTGACTTTCAAATAAAGCTAGCTATCTCGATCTTAATCGGGAGGTGTGTGTGTGCGTGAAATTCTCATATTCTGCAACGAAAAAAAATACTCGACGTAAAAAAAAATCTCGTCCATAAAAAGGGGGATGGGTCGGAAATCTAAGATAATGAAACAATTCAACAAAAAACTAGTAGAAACATGATTAGTTGAATAGCATTGACGGATCAATGAAATAATATAATGATTCTAATGAAACAATTTCCATAATCTGTGAACAATTGTTGTATAAAACAAAAATTCGACTGGAAAAAAAATCTTGATCTGTTAAAAAAAAACACCGATTACAGATAAGTAATTTCCAATGCGTTGAATTGATAATATTTTGCCACCTGTGTGGTTTGTTCGTTTTTAATGTTGCGGATAGTTATTAATCATAAGACTTCATTGATCCCATTATAATTGGATCAATAATAAGTTGCCGGAAAGCAACAACAAAAATAAAACTGAAAAAAAAAAAATGTCGAACTTCTCACTCACTCACTCACACAATCGTCCGAATCGATCGATTCAACTTAAACATAGATTGCAATGAAATTGAAAGTCAATCAATCTAATTAAACTTGGATTATTAGTATAATGATTTAATTGAAACATACCACCGTCCATTTTTTATTGAATATTAATTTGTAAAAGTAGATTACTCTGGGAAAGGAGTGAAAAAGAAAAAGAAAAGAAGAAAAAAGAGGGAAGAAAAAAAGTAATGGAAGAAAAACTGAAAATATATAAAAATTGTTTCGTTGGCAGAATCACCAGCGAGCAAAGCGAACGAACGAACAAAAAAAAAAATTGAGAAAAAAAAAAAAAAACTAAAATAGAATGTATGTGTGTATGGATTTTTTTCGCCTGATTTTGGGCTGTGCGCACGTAACATTAAATGATTACACGGTTAATCACAAGTGAGTTGTATTACGAAAGTAATGTCGTTGTTTTCTAATTCTGACCAAAACAGACGATGAATGTGTCTGTATTGTATTTGGGAAGGTAATCTGCAAAGAAAGAAAGAAAAAAAAAGGGCCAATAAATTACGATCATCTTGATGTGAAAGGAATCCTACAGATATATTGGACGCGTCATTAATTCAGAGCGGAAATTTGAATTTTTAGGAGATCGGTTTTGATTAGATTTCCAAAGTTATTATTTTATGATTTTCAAACAACTTTGGTGCAAGTTCTTTACTAAAACTTATTTTTGCAGTCGACCACTTAAAATTTTTTTTTGTTCACTCTATTCGGGTGAACCGGTGGTATGAATCCGCATAGAGAATTTTATGGCTAACCAGCACTTGTTATACTTTGAATAGAAGAAAACACATATCAGAGACAACATCTCTTATTGAAGACCTCTATATCTACTGAATATATACTTAAATATCTCCAAAATTTCGGAGTTAATTTGGCACCTTATTGATTCTTTTTTTTTTCCCGCCAGCGTCATTCACTAACATTATTTTTTTCACAGCCGAGATCACAATATACATTCATGGATGGAATATTTCACTACAAAAAAAAAAAAAAGAAAAGAGAAACGTTTGACTGCCCTGTAATTCTAACAAATGATTTCACCGCCTTGATTCGAGTTGGTATTAATTAAATGGACTAGCCTAGAAGGGTTTATCAAAACTATATTCACCTCTCCTTTTCCACTATGAATTTACGGTATAAAACTAAGATACTCGTTGACGTAAAAGGAAAAAAAGAAAGAAAAAAAAAGGCAATAGGAACGATTATGTAACAGTTTTACTCCAAACACAGAAAAATTCAAAAGGAACAAATAATAAAAGAAAACAAAAATAATGCGAGAGGGAAAAAAAAAAAAGTTCATTGATCACACACTTCCTCTCCTTTTTGATAATATAGAAAAGCTTGTGCAATCAGAATCAAAGCTTATTAATACTACTATAGTATCATCCATCAACCTACCATTAATTATTGATCTATCAAGAAGGGTGAATTCAGATATACATACCATTATTCTAGACTTTTTCATTAATTAATATCCCACAAAGTTATAATTATTTGTTAGAGCAATTACCTACCTAGCATCATAAAATAGTCACATCCAGAAAATGTCTTCTTCAGTACCATATGATCCATATATCCCTAACCAAACCACTGGTGACCAATCTAATTCAAGAACCGCTGCCATTCAAGCTGTATGTATTCATTATAAAGATGTATAAGGGGATACGAAGTTCTTATAAGTTTACTAACATCTATGTTTCTTTTTAGCAAATCGATGATACCGTTGGCATTATGAGAGATAACATCAATAAAGTGGCGGAAAGAGGTGAAAGATTGGATTCCATTGAAAACAAAACTGACAACTTAGCCATCAGTGCCCAAGGGTTCAGAAGAGGTGCCAATAGAGTTAGAAAAGATATGTGGTGGAAAGATTTCAAGATGAGAATGTGTCTTATTTTTGGTATAATCATTGTCATTGTTGTGATTGTCGTTCCAATTGCTGTCCATTTCAGTTAAATTTCATGATTTTTCCTTTCATACTTACCCAAATACTAATGTCATATCCAAGTATATTTACGAATTTGTTGATTTATTTACAAAGATTTGACTTTAGCTAAGTGTTTGCCTCTCCCCCTTTTTTTGCCATGGTTAAAGATATAATTACAACTTCTTCTTTTCTCTTTTTCTTCTATTTTGGTTTCCACACATTAAATAATTTGTTATTTATAGTTGAATATATTGTATTCTAAAATTCTCCAGATTATATAATCCATCTGAATGTTCTTTCTCTCTTTTTTTTTTTAGTTTTTGTGGAAATTTCTGAGATCAGTTGGGGTGTGGTATTTATAGATTTTTCATGTATTCCCGAGTCAGGTGACATGGAGGTATATCTCTACCAAACAGAGTCAACAGTTTCGTTTTTTTTTTTCAGCTTGAGATTCCAAGCCTTTTCTCCTTTTTCTGGTGTGCCGTACCACTGAACGAGTCAAAATAAGGAAAACCACATCCAATGAAATTTACTGTAGAACTTTTTTTGTCGTTTTCCCTCATCAGTCGATTTACTTTTTAAAGTATAAATATCAATTTATATAATCTTCTTGTTCTTCTTCATATTTTTTTTTTTTTGGAATTCACCAATCTTTCATAACTTTAATTTATACACATCACATATTAAAAATCCATCATGATTAGAACATTATTAAGACCATCAACTTTTAGATTAGCTACTACTCCTGTTTCTATTAGAACTTTCTCCACATTTCCAACTAGATTCCAACTTTTAAACAAGAATGCTCATCAATACAAATACTTACATGAAAAGAAACCAGTTGCTACTAGATTTACTGAAGATCACGAATGGGTCAATTTATATGATGATGATTCTGCTTTTGTGGGGATTACTCAATATGCTGCTCAAGCTTTAGGTGATGTTACTTATGTTGATTTACCAGCCATTGGTGATCGTGTAGAAAAAGGTGAAGCCCTTGGTTCTGTTGAATCTGTTAAATCTTCCGCTGATGTTTATTCTCCAGTTGATGGTGAAGTTGTTGGTGTTAACCTTGGTTTGGAAAGTGAACCAGGTACTTTAAACCATGACCCAACTGTTGAAGGTTGGATTGTTCACATTAAATTGGACGATGCTACACAAATTACCAACTCTGAAACTTTAATGAATGAAGAACAATACGTCAAGTTCGTTGAAGAAGAAGAAGACCATTAGATTTTGTTATATAAACTATGAATATATATATATGTATCTGTTATTTCTTTGAGAGAATCATAATAATTAAATAAAGAAGCTGTAAGGATACTAAACTACTTATATTTGTAATTCTGGAGTTTTACCCTTTAATCTGCCCAAAACACAATGAGAAACATATTTTGGAATAAAATCGTCATCGTGCAACATCGCAAAACTTTCTGTAGCGTCTCTTCCAGCAAAGTTCACAATTGATTCTTTACCACCAGGGTGATCACCCAAAAATGAGGTCAAATCAACAACAACGTTTTTAATGATACACCAACAATCATCGGGTTTATTATGTTTGGCAACTTCTTCAGCAGTGAATTCCTTAGCAGGAATTGAAAATGGTTTAGGTTTTGGTTTAGCTGCAGATTGTTTTTTTGCAACAGGTTTTGAGTTTGAGACAACAGGTGCAGCAGTAGCAGAAGTATTGGAAGATTCAACTGAACCACCATTATTTTTACCAACATCAATGATGATTCTACCATCATTAGGATCGATTTGTAAATTAATCATTTGCAACCTTTGATTAGCAACGGTATCACCAACAGTAGCTTGACCACCGGCTTGTTCACTCAAGTGATGGAATTTATAACTACATGCTTGATCTGCTGCCAATCTACCATAAACAACACAAGCTAACAAAGATGATCCACCTAAACGGTTATGTCCATGAACACCACCAGCAACTTCACCTGCAGCATACAATCCTTCAAATGGTTTATCATCCTCTGCAATAACTTGACTTTTATCGTTAATCTTGACACCACCCATGGTGAAGTGAAGAACTGGAGTAATAAATGAAACATGATACTTTGAATCTGCTGCATATTCAAACGGGGTAGCTGGAAAATATTTTTTACCATATGGATCTTTGATTTCTCCCTTGGCAGCTTTGTTATAAGTGTCAAGTTGTTTTTTCATATCCTCAGCACTACATCCCATTTCATCAATGAGCTCTTTACCAGAAATAGTTCTCATCAATCCTCTTTGATTATAATGCTTTACGTGGAATTTCAAATTCTCACCTGCTTTTTCACTCAACACCAATCTAATAGGGAAATTACCTTGCTTGATTTGTTTATCAATTTCTCCTGAAACCCAATCTCTTGTTCCCAATTCATCAACAAATCTTTCACCCTTAGAATTGAAAATAATACCCCCTTCACCTCTTAAAGCTTCAGCTCCTAAAAATAAAAATCTTGGAGTTTTTTTTCTCTCAATGACATCTTTATCTTTATAACTAATAAGACCAGTTGGATGAACTTGAATCTTTTCCATATCTAAAACTTGGCCATGATTTTTTTGAACAATTTTTTGTCCATCACCAGTAGCATGACTACCATTAGTTGAAGGTAAATCAATAATATCTGGACGATATTTTCTAATCAAACTATTCTTGGTAAAATCAGCAGCATATCCACCAGTTGACATGATTACAGGTCCATGTAATTCATGTTTGGATTTATCTTTTAAATTCTTATACTTAACTCCAAGAACTTTATCCTTATTCGTACCATCCAATATCAAATCAATAACTTGACAATTTTTAAGAATAACCACACGATCAGGTTCATTTTCTGCCAAATTTTCCAATGTTTCCAATAATCTATAAGTAATAGCCATACCAGGAAATTTAGCATCATGACCACGATGTGTTCTTGGTTGAGAATGCCCACCTAATCTTGAAACAACAGTTAAATCTAAGCCAAAAACTTCTTGTAACCAATGGACAGCATCAGCAGAATTATAAGTTAATACTTTGATTAAATCAGGATGTGCTCGATCTTTAGCACTTGCTAAAGTATCTTGATAAAATTGCTCAACTGAATCAGGAATTTTCAAATCAACTTGAGTTCTAGTTAAAGCTCCATTAATTCCCGAAGTAGCTTTACCACTATTTCCACTAAGAAAACTTTCCTTATCTAATAAAACAATATTAGCACCTCGAATATAAGCTTGGTGAGCAGCGGAAAGACCTGCTAATCCACCACCAACGATAAGAATTGGGTTTAATGGTATTTCTGTAGACATGTTGCGTTGTTAATAGTAATTGAATTAAAGATAAATAAAATAGTGGTGAAAAAAATAAAAATTGAATCGTAAGATATGGCTTATATTTATGTTTGCTTAGTATTTTCTACTTTCCAATTGGTGGGGGTCAGAAAAATGTGGGTGAATTGATTCTGGAAAAACTCAAACGCACCCCCCACCCTCCAAAAAAAAAAAAATAACAACTAACAAAATAAAAGTCACAATTATAAATCCGGTTAACTGTCCCCGGACGGGAGGTAGTACCCGTAATTAACTCGGGTAAAGTTATCCACCTGACACATTGTCATCTGCATGCCACCAACTCTTCCCCCATAATTAGTCCACTATACCCCTTTTTCCCTCCCCCCACATATCCGACATTTTATGCAACATGCTACAAAAACAAGGTTCTTCTTATTCCATATCCATTTATTTAGGTACACAAAAACATAGTCTATATTTAATGAGAAATATATTGAAATGCAAAACTAATATCGTCAAATTGAGCTTCATTGGCAATTAATGTATCTTCATTGTTTGCTAAAGCTTTGTGATTCAAATGGTTCCAAGTTGTAGAATCACCATATAACATAGCCGGAGCTTTAATGAACTGACCCTTGTCTCTTTTACAACGTTTACAATTGTAGGTATCATGGGTATCACAACTTGTATCTGGGTTAAACTCAAACAATTTTCTTAAATTATCAGATGAGAATAATCTATCAACATCTTCTTTTTCATCAACCACACAACTCGATAATTGCAACTTCATCGATTGTCTTTGGAAAATTTTCTCTTCAATTGTCCCAGTAGAAATAAATCTATAGATAAAACAATCTTTCTTTTGACCATCTCTCCAAACACGAGCCAATGCTTGTTGATCCAGAGCTGGATTCCAATCTGGATCAATCAATACTAAACGATTTGCACCAATTAAATTGATACCACATCCACCAGCTTTAGAAGAAAGCAAGAAAATGAATTCGGATCCATCAGGGTTATTAAACTTGTCCACTAATTTTTGACGTTTGTTGATACTTAATGTACCATCCAATCTCAAAACACCATATTTCTTGTTACGACACATCTTCTCAATCAAATCCAATGTTTGGGTGTAATTAGAAATCAAAACAATTTTATCGTTGGTTTCCTTTTTGATTTTATGAAGAAATCTCTCTAAAATCATAAATTTAACACTAAACCATGTTTGCACTTCAGAATTACGAAAACCTCCACGACCACCATTATGAGAAATTGATGACTCATAATCATCAGGAATCAAATGATCACAACCTTCAATATCATCAGGTAAATCCAATAAATCAGGATGACTACAAAGCTTCTTAAGCAAACCAATAGCTTTCAACGGTTGTGATCCAATACCTCTAATTAATTTCTTCATATCAGGAGAATTAATGAAATGACTGTATAAGCTCTTTTGCATTGGTGACAACCCTGTAAATAACACATATTCATATTTGACAGGTAAATACTTGGACAATATATCATTAGTTCTTCTAATAATGAATTTCGAAACCAATTGAGATAATTCCACCAACTTTTGGTCTCCCTTTTCACGTTCCTTCTCAGTAGCATCGGCATCACGGCCTCTTAAAATTGCATTTTCAAAATTTTTCTTAAATTCATTTCTTGTACCCAAATATCCTGGGTTTGCAAAATTTAACAAGGCAAAATATTCAGATAAATCATTTTGAATTGGAGTACCCGATAAAATAACTCTTCTTTCACAACGCAATGAATTTAATGCAGTAAATGTCAACGATTCACCATTTTTCAAACGATGACCTTCATCAGCCAACATCAATCCGACCTCTGTACCTGCCAATTTATCAACATTTCTACGCAATGTTTCGTAAGAAATAATCAATACTGGACGAACAATGTTTCTACCTTGTGCACTTGCCCATTGCTGTAAAGCGGTGCCCAAGTCACTGGATTTCGTACTTTTACCATCAACTGCCAATGGAGTCAAAGCACCTTCTCCCAACCATTTAACAATTTCATTAGCCCAATTTCTTACTAAAGATGACGGACACACAATAATACATTTATCAATGGTTTTCTTACCTCTTGGCGATTGTCGAAGTAAAGTCCACATCAATGTAAGACATTGCAAAGTTTTACCTAAACCCATCTCGTCTGCCATAATACATCCTTTAGCCTTGGCGTCAATTAAACCAGCAGTACAACGGTACAAGAATTTAACACCTGCAACTTGATGGGGACGTAAAATTTTAGCCAATTTCGGATCAATGACAACAGGAACATCAGGATATTTAGCCAATTTTTCTTCCGGATTAGTAACTATACCAAGGATTTCGGCCAATGATTTATGAACTTTTCTTCTCTTAGCTGGTCTTTCGTCAGGCTCTTCTTTATAATCTTTATCTTCTTCAGGAGTTGGTGATTTATCTGATTCTTCATCTTTAATTTCTTCAATCTTGGGAATGACATCAACAGTTGGATCATATAGTACAATTGCAAATTCACTAGTTGGATCATGTAATGCTCTTGGTGGAAGAATGGGTTTAACCTTAGTGCCCAATGGAGGTGGAGGAGCTCTATTTATCTCACTTTGTTTTGGATTATTCTTAGCAAATGGAATTGTAAATGACTTTCTAAACGCGTTTTCATTTTTTGAAACGTTCTTATTGACAGCTCTTGGCAATAAAGCACCATATCTTTTTCTTTTGATTCCTTCGCCTTCCCCATTGACATCTAAATCATCATTATTGTCATCAGTTATTACAATACCATCAACCGCGTAATTTGTAACTTTTCTCGTGGATCTGACTGGTCTACGTGAAACAATAGTAACCCCACCCTCAACTGTAGCTTCATGTTTATTAGCAAAAGGAACTTTGAATGGTTTCGCTAGACGTACCGCAGAATCAGTGACGCGTGGTGGACGTTTATCTTTAGGGACACCTGCACCAGAACCTAATGGAGTTGTGAATTTAGTTAATGGTTTTCTAACAGCCATTGTAAAGACTAAATTCAATTATATGGAAACGTGTTCTGTGAATGGTAGCTTCTTCAAGTCGTGTTCTATAAAGAATTAAGAAAAAGTTTGAAAGAGAAAAAGAAAAGATATAGAAAAACAAAAACAAAGCACAAGACAGAATTTTTTTTTTGGTTTTGTTTTGTTTTGATCGCGAGCGCGCCCGCGCCAGGATTTCAAGATCTGTTAAGGAGGAAGAAAAATTGTCATAACATTATGGTTGGGTGCTCTTTTTATAACAACTGGGAAACAAGATGGACCAAATTTTAACTAAAGCTAGTAACCAAGCTGTTTCATTTGCTATTAGATCTGGTATTTCAATTGCATCTGGATATGCGATCAAGACTATTTCGACTTTTTTAGATAAAATCCCAGAACACGAGAAACGTCGTATTCAATCGAAACGAAACAAACTCAAAACTAAAATAGATATTGTTACTGTTACCATAGATTTGATCAAAGTAGCAGCAGCAAGAGGTAATACTGTATTGGAAAGTAGTTTGGATTTAATTAATGATTTACAAGAAGAGTTTAATGATTTTGATGAGAGGATCAATGAAATTACATCAAGTTTGAATGGTGGCAACCAAAAGGAATCGATTAAAAAAGTCGAAGATTACTTGAATTCATTGATACACGATATAAATGAAGCTATTCCTATACTTAATTTAGTATTAGTAACTCTGGGTGTTAATTTGAATGGGAAGATCAAAACTCATGGTATATCGCCTGGTAGATTATTACAAGCTGCAAATTATATTCACAATAGTGATAAAATCATCGGACCAGTGTTTGATTTAGTGGTTTATTCTATATTTTATAATCCAAGTCGGTTAAAGTATGTTGAAGATACACCAACTGATGAATTAAATGCAATTACTTGGAAGGAAACCTATGCTAGAAGTTCTGTTGATATATTACATGAAGGGAAATTTTCTTATAAATTGACTATAGAAGAAGATTTTGATGATGGTAGGTATCATGAAGATGATGATAAACCTGGAAAGATAGTTATTGATCTAAAGTCTATTAGGCTGATGTTTTTCACCGCTTCAGGTACATTATTGCGCCTTGAAGGAAGAAATACACCAGTTTTGATTATTAAAGTGGTAACAGATAACGATATAGAAGATTGGATTGCATTAGGTGAACTTCATAAGGGTGAATTCGATGACAACGAAGATGATGAAGAAGAAAATGAAGATCAAAAAGAATCTACTAGAATAAAACAAAGTCAAATCAAAAATAGTTCACTTTCTTTGCTTGAATATCTCATTCGTTTATGTCGATTACAACAGATTGAAATGAAGTCAATATTGGAAATTCCAGATGAGATATTGTCACTTTATCTTCATGATGAACTGAGTTCCAATTCGTCTGATTTACCCAAGAGTATTTCCCAAAAAAGAAGGAAGAATTAACCAAGGTTGAGAAGGATAGTACACTTTCAATGAACTCAAATATAAACAGATTGAAACATCTTGAACTTCAAGAAGACAAAAGTAAAGAATAAGTTTTAATTTTGTTTTAATATCTTTTCTTTCAATTGCATTTTTTTTTTTTTTTTCAAAAAAGAAAATGACATACTCTAATACAAGTTATATAGAATTACAAATGAAGAAAAAAAAAACATAAAGAAAAAATACAAAACTATACCTTTTTACCATTTTCTTGGTTATTATTGTTATTTGTCTGTAGATTGTTTGGTATAAAGTAATCAAATGGTGATTCATTAATGATATCTTGTACTTCATACAAGTTTGGTGTCAATCCAGTCGCAAAAGGATTTGACAGACCTAATGCAGCCATATTCATATTGTTGTTATACACGTCATTGCTAAAGTTACCATTCAGAATATTGTCAGCATCATTAGTCATGACATTATTGATGCTCTTACCATTACTATTACTATTGCCATTACAATCACCATTCATTACTGGCACACTGTAGTCGTTGATCAGATTGAATGTACCACTCCCGTATGTTGCTTCTGGAACATTATATAAATTATTAACAGATGAAGATACCGACAGCTCCGGTGGTTCGTTATTTTCAAGTTGAGATCCATATGGATCATCAAAGAAATTATCTGTGTACATTTCCGATTCAATTTTACTCAATTGTGATCCAAACTTATTTGATCCCAATCCACTACGACCGAAATGATGTTGCATGCTATGGTCATCTTGTGAATTATTCGTTAAATTACTTTCATCAAGACCATTTGAAGGTGGATAGGCAGCAGAAGTTGACGATGTTGGCAAACTTCCGTTAAGAAATGATGAATTATGATTGTTGTGGGTGTTTCCGAAAAAATCAAAAGATCGAGTGGACGAATTTGATGCTATGGACAAAACACTCTCAGGACGTTTCGGACGCAGCTGATATTGGGATGAAGACGCATTTTCCATAGCAGAAGGTATTGACGAATATGAACTTGAAGTAATTTCATTTATAGAATTAAAATTTGGTCTCATTGGTGTTGGCTGTTGTGGTTGTTTGACTGCCAGTAGTGGCTGGTTTTCATTATCAAAACTCTGTGTACCAACAAGTGGAAACAATGGGAACATATGATCGACATCAGCTTCACTAGGACTCAAAGGTATAGGAGGGTCTTTCTTACTAATTTTCCCATTAGCTGGAGGCACACTAGATGTGCCACCATTAACATTAATTGGGGTTGAACTGGTGCTTGCTAAATTGTTTAAGCTTACCAGGGAGTCATTACCACCAACTTCGGTAGGTAGATTTGACGAAAATAAATCAAACAAGCCACTCTTATTCGTATTGAAAGGTAAAACAATATCCTCTATGACGAAATTCTGGTTCAGAAGTGTATTATATGCAGTTGTGTTCAGAGATTGGTCAGGCAGACTCAGTGGCGCCTTTGTCTGCAGTTGTGGGGTTGGTTGTTTCTTACCAGGAGAAGTCACACTACCAGGAGATGAATCACTTGGATTTGACTGAGTTATAGATTCGGAATCAGATTTCTTCTTTAAATCAGCATTTGCAGCGTCTATTAGTGACTTTTTCTTTGCCTTCTCGGAGGGTGTCATATGATGGATGTCACCTTTAGCGCTTGATTTTTTTGACTGGCTATTTGAACAAGTGCAATGATTAGTTTTATGACAAGCACAAGATGGTAAATGAGTACCATTTTTACCCTTTTTTCCACAGGTACAAGAAACATGGAGGTTCTTTGATTTTCTATTCTCACGACAATGGTGGCATTGAGTGGATGGTCTTCCTTTTGGTTTGATCATAGTCAAGGGCTCGTTTGTGTGGTTACAAGTAGTAACACGATGGCCCCTGATACATCTTTCACAGGCGTACTTGACTCCCTTGATCAACATGACTTACTCGAATGAAGATAATAATGTAATTAATTGGACAGTTCAGGTTCTATTATTAAGCAATAAATTTCTGAATTAAGATTTTCTTTTTTATGTTTTTAAAGAATTTTTTTTTTCTTTCTTTTTTTTTTCTTCTTCTTCTTCTTCTTCCTGCTCCTGAATTTTCGTAACAAAGGAAAAAAAATGTATAAGAGAAGTGTGAAAAGTGTGAGTACAGTGGGAAGTGGTGTTCTCATTCATTAAAGGTCGTGTTCATCGATCCGAATTTTAGTTTTAGTCTTTTTTTTTTTCATTCTATTGTCGAAACTGGCTCGTTCATTTCTGTGGGTTTATTGTTTTTATACTTTATTATAAAGTTCCCCCCCCCCCAATTCAGCTTTTCTTTTCATTTTATAGTATTTTCTGTTTCCTGTTACTACTTTAATTTTGTTTTACTTTTACCCTTTGAATAGGATTGTATTTCATTTCTTCAATGCTCTGTTCTTAATTTTAATTGGAAGCCATTTGAACATGGCTGCTAACACACCACCACACACAGTAGAAATCACGATCTCTTTCATTCTTTCTTCACTCCTCAACATTCTTAATATGTGGCGGGACAAAAAGTGCAAGATAAGAGAATTCGAAACCAGAGCAACACTACACAGATGATATTGGGCGAAAGAAATTCGGGAAGGAAAAAAAAAATTACTTGACGGCTGGATCTATGACGACATGGTTGATTACTAAGGATTCGTTATGCATTACATGTATAAGAACAAAGAAACAAAAAAAAAGCAAGCAAAAATTAGTACTCTTTCAATTCGAGAGAATGAAAATAAAAATGAAACAGATGATCCTCTTCCGATAGCCAATAATAAAACAGTTCATAACCTATTCTAATTAATCTATTGGTTGCCTTGGCTTAGTAAACTCGTATCATTTCATATAAGCAAGGCTTGCTTTCAATTTAATGAAACGGTTATTGTTTACAAATTTTCTTGCACCACGAGACACGACTATGCCCTTTCTTTTTTTTTTTCCCACTATTTTATGACTGTTCTTATCCCGATTTCCGTGACTATCTTGCATAACCTTACTTAATCTAGAACTTGGGGGGTTGGAGGGGTTGCATTTCATATTACACATTTCCGGATCAAAGAGAAAAAATATACTCTAGTATGTATATTTCCAAATCTATAACTTCGAGTCTTTAAATCTAGGCAATGGGATAGGCTCGTATACTCTTTCGAATAGCTTGTCTTCTGGAACATATCTAGTTTGCATGTACCTGGTATCAACAAACGATTCGTCCAATTGGTCCAACGAGGTAACACCAAGTAAACGCATGTCCATAATCATCTCATCTTTCAACAATTGAATCGCCTTGGTCACACCAGCATCACCATACGTGGACATGGCATACAAGAATGGTCGTCCAATACCAACTCCTTTTGCTCCCAAACAAATCGCCTTCAACACATCAGTAGCACGTCTGATACCCCCGTCGACGTAGACCTCAAAGTTATCTGCCAAACCCTTTTCTCTCAAGACCGGCATCAACTCAGCTAGCACCTCGATTGGCGGAGGCGAGTATTCCAATTGTCGCCCACCGTGGTTACTCAACACCACACCTTGACACCCGTGCTCTGCAGCCAACACCGCGTCGTCGACACGTTGCACACCCTTCAAGATGATCGGCATCTTGGTCACGGACTTGAACCACTCCAAGTCCTTCCAGCTCAAACTGGTGTCGATGAACGAGGAGATGGCCCTGGCGGCACCCTGACTCCTGTCGGCCGATTCGTCGTCTCCCTGAACATGGCTCAAGTCGTTGATGCTCTTGCTCTTCATGTCCTTCTCTCTGCGTCCCAACTGTGGCGCGTCCACGGTGATGAACAACCCCTTGATTCCTCTCTTTTCCGCATGCTGGATGATCTTCTTGGTGATTTCCCGGTCGGCATTCACATAAAGCTGGAACCATTGTGTTTGCTTGTCGGTGGCCGCATCAACAATCTCGTCAAACGAGCACGATGCCAAGGTCGGGATCATTTGGATAATGTCTTGTTTGTCAGCACTTCTCGTCAACACTTTCTCACCATCCGGATGTCCAAGCTTCCCCAACGCAGTGGCCGTGATGTACACCGGGAACGAGACTTTGGTTCCCAACATGGTGGTGGAGATGTCCACTTCTGTTACGTCGACCATCACTTTCGGCTTGAAAAATATACGCTGGTAGCTAGCGGTGTTCAACCTGAACGTGGCCTCACCGTCAGCCAGTGACGAGTAGTAACTCCACCCAACAGGTTCCATGGTGTGACGAGCAACAAATTCAAAGTCGTACAAGTTGTAGATCTGGGAAAGGTCTGGTTTGTTCTTGACATATTCACGACGCTTGAGCTCTTCTGGGGTAGGTGGTTCTTCGTCGTCGTCGTCATCATCATCTTCTTCTTCATCGCCGTCCTCTTCGTCACCGTTGACCTCCACATACTGTTCAGCAACACCACCGGCTGGCGCTGGCGCAAGTGGTTGAATAGGTGCTTTGCCCTCTTGTTCATCATACTCCACATCAAATTCGTCGACCACGTCATTGTCACCAGAAGCTTCAACAGATGGGGCTGGAGATGGTTGTTGCTTGGGTTGCTCTTCCTTTTGGACCCCTTCTTCAACGCTCTTGGTCTTGGTCGTCTTAGTCTTAGCCTTCTTCGCCTTCTTCTTCCTCTTTTCGACGTCTCCCTTGTTACATTCAGGACTCAAGTACTTGGCTAACGTGTCACCAGGGTGGATTGGATCAAATGCTTTCGTGGCGTCTTTCCCAGCATATTTCATGATAATGGCCAGTCCGCCGGGATGTTCATCAAGGAATCCGGAAAGATCGTATGCTTTTCCGTGGATGATCACCCAGCAATCGTCCTTCTTGTTGTGTTTGGCTACTTCTTCTAACGAAAGTGGCATTCTGTTGTCGTTTGGTAATACTTGTTTGGTGATAAGAAAAAACTAGTTGCTTTCTTCTTTCAATTATTTTTTTTTTTTTTTGGTTCAACAGAATGGTGAAAGTGTTTTATAGTTGTGGAGATTATGGAGGTGGGGTGGGAAAGATTATCCGTTTTGGGAACAAAATCAGGCTGGGAAGCAATAAAACAAAAAAAAAAAATAAGATGTATAAACATTAGCGTGGAATCATGCAGTGATATCGGCCAATTGTTGGTGTCGGATTATGTATCCATGTGACACAAACAAGTATCGACCCAGAAAACTGGGGGACAGGAATGGGTGCGACTCAGAGTGTCGGTGGGTACCAGTACCCGCAGTGGGTGAACAAGTGAAAGAAAAAAAAATGTCAATTGAGTTCACTTTTCAGGTACACATAATCCAATATTGTGTCTGATGGGGATTTTAGTCAAAGTATCTAATTGCAAGTACATAAAGTATAAAACGAAACAAAGAGAAAGAGAGAGACAGAGACAGAGACAGAGAGAAAGGAAGGAAGGGAGGAATAGTGTGGGGGGGGGAGTGAGGGAGTTAAGGGAAATGGCCAACTCTTGGGCCAAAATAACCTTCGGGTGCATGCAATGTTGCGTTCAAGTAGCCTTTGGACATATTGTGGTCCCATCCTTTATGTGAAACATTATTCCCCCACCATGAAATCGGCTTGTTGTGGTATTTCACTGAGAAGTAGATGATGATGGATGAGAAAGCGATTCCTGCTTCAATGCCTGATGACAATAGATAATCATACTTTTCCCACCAAGCTTCATATCTTCTTTTAATATGGTGCATAAAAGCATATCCAACATAAAGTCCACCTGTAGTATAAGACAAGTTATATGGAGCATAACTCATAAAACCACTGATAATAATTGATGGTTCAAAATACTTTGTAAATTTTCTAGGTCCATACTTCTTAAAAATAATACAAGGAATAGCTGCTAAAAACCCAATCAAAAAACACCATTGCAAAATTGGATATAAACCATTGAAAACTTTCTTTGGACCAATTACACCCCACAAGACTGATGCATTGTAATAAGTAATTGTAGCAGGACACGTAAACTTCTGTGGGTTATTTGGATGACAATAGTCTTTAATACCAGTGATCTGATAGTTTAAAATACCCAATTGGATAAACGAGGTAATGAAAACTGATATCAATTGACATCGATAAGTGGCTCTTGGTGGTAGTTTTGCATAATGACCCTGCTTCAAATCATTGATAAAATTCAGAGCTTGCCTATCAATATTAGTTCCCAATGCTTTAATATATGCCAATGCCAAACCATTTCCTGGAATAGCATAGCCAACAATCAATTCAACCAAAACATTCAAACCAAAGCTAAACATTGTTCTTGATTGGATGGTTGTCAACGGAATCAAAAAGATAAAATTAATACCTAAAGCAAAAAAGATACCCCAAACAGGTGTCTGGGCTGGATAAAGTTTAACACATAATATAGACAACACCAACGAAACAATAAGAATAGCTAGATATGACAATTCATTTACTTCCTTGTAATTATGGCGCATCATTTTACTATGTGGATCATCAAAGCCTTCATATGTCGATTTCTTAAAGTTGGTAATACCTTGATAGACAGATTTTAATGCCGCCCACATTTCCTTGTAGTTCATTCCAACTTCAAAAACAAAATGGAATGGATATAGAGCAAAGAAAGCACCATAAACGACCAAGTTAGCGGCTGAGTAGAATGGGGGACCAATCTTTTTATACTTCTCTTCATCAAATAAAGAATGCTCGTTTACAACTGAAGTAACCGAATACGGTTTTCCCTTATTGGTAAACAAACTATTGGAATTAATTGGAAGATAACCAGTCCATTTGTAATTTGAGTAAAACACCCCCAATATACAAAAGAATCCAAAAATCATACCAATGTAGGCCAACGCGGTATTGTAAAACGGAGCATAAAAAGCAGTAGTACCAATAATATTCAAATCAAACGAGGGAATTGGATTCAAACCTAACCCGCCAAATGAACCAGTCACAACAGCAAGATCATAATTATCTGGTTTAATCCAAGTCATCCAGTTAAATTGAGAAAGTGCAGTAAATAGATAATCAGGAACCCAAAAGTAAAGAAATGAAGAAATAGCAGTAATAAAGAAAAATCTGTAACCTGAAATAGTCCATCCGTTGATTTTAGACTTAATTTCCTTCGACATCAAGGTTTTATTCAATTTCAAATTGGGTAAAATAAATGGCCACAATGCTTTTGTTGGATAAACTGCAAATTGTCTCATAATACCAGAAAGACCAAAACCAAGAAGATTGGTAGACAAAATTAACAACACCTGATACCCAAAGTCAACCCATTTATTGTTGTAAAACATTTCAGATTTCTGCATCAATATATTTGAACCAGCATATGAGGTACCATTAGAAACACCACAAAATATAGTTGCCAACATTTGTTCCTTAAAAGAGTATGGACCTGGATTCAAGTCAATGGTCCATTTCCAAATTTTGATTTTCCATTTGGGTAAGATCCATTCCATCAATAATCCACTTGGATATAAGAATACTTGAACAACAGACATTCCAAGTGTGATTGCTGGTTGTCTTTCATGAAAGAACTGATTGATAACAGCACTGATTCCCGTCCAAATAAAGGCAATAATATAAACTCTCAAAGTCTCAACTGGAATGGTGGGATCGTCATATGGATCAGTTACAGCTCTAACCTGAGGATATGGTGACCAATAAGCAACTAAAACAGCTTCTAATCTAACTTGCAAATTCCAATCAAAAATTTCATAGTATGGTTGGTTGACAATGTCATCTTCCATGACTGACAAAGAGCTAGAACTAGAACTACTCATACTCAGATTACTGTGAATTTGAGATCTCAACTTTTCACCAACTGAAATATTCCAAGAATTATTAGCTTGACTGCTATCACCACTCAGTCCAGTTTTGAATGGTTCAGAACTTTGGTTGTATGACAACAAATCATTCCACAACTTTTCATCATTATCCAAAACATTAATATCATCCTTATGGTCCTCGATTGTTTTCTTTAAAATCTCAACAGCCTCTTCTGTGGTCATGTTTTCGATTTTTTCAAGAATAAAGCTAGCTTGTGGAGGCAAGTTATCATATGAATCCATTGCATCAAAATGTAATCTCTTTAACACAAAAATTTTTTGTGATTCTGTTAATGATACAGCAACTTCAGCAATGGAAAGTGGATTGGAAATAGCAGCTCTAATGTCAATTTCATAATCAGCAGCATTGGAATGAGTAGGGACACTTCTCACCTGGGAATTTGAGAATGTGTTCTTTTCAAGCTCCATGATTAATACTTGTTGATATAAATAAAAAAGTATCCGAATCCACAGGCCCTAATCCACTTGTATTTATAGACTTCTTTTAGATGGTTCCCTTGTTAAATTATAAAGAAGGGTTAATCGTATAGAAGCTATCAGAAGTTGCGAAAACATCTTGGTTTGAAGAGTCTGTAACGTTATGAGTCCAATTTGTTTTCAAGATAAAACTAATTAAGATATCAAAAAAAGATCATACTTATCACAAGTCAAACTATTTCATGTAATAACAAAAAATTCCTTCTTTGAAGTATCTGGTCTCAATATGTGTGGGTAACCCGAGTTGTAGTCTGATCAGTTCTTCGACATAGGAAGGCCAGCCAATTTCACAAACGTAAGCCATCGAAAACCAAAGTCAAAAGCACCAAACAAATCTTTAAGAACATGAACTATCTTATCAACATTTGTTCTATCTTTTAATTACTTCCAAAAATTTGTGCCGTCTATCTGGATATGATAACGCCATTAAGAGCCCACATGGTTATGGTCTTTAAAGAAACTTGAATTTCTAATGCTTACTACTTTTTTTTTTCGAACGCAGAAGAAGAACGGGTTTGTATGCAAAGAAAAAATTGTATGGGTTCCTCTTCTTGGCTCACATCTTGAAAACCCTTTTGCAACCTATTAGTGAAATACTAGACACATTGAATACAGCTTAGAAATCAATCTCAACTACTTCTGTTTATTATTATGCAAATTATTTATTACATTGATTATTTTACTGATAGCTTTGATTTGAATGGTGCAGTTATGAGCCAACAGAAATGCTCTGGACATCGATTGGTCAATTATTCAACAAACTTTAAATCGCATTGATTGAATCTAATCTTATCTAGACTATCAATTATTAAATTTAATTTAAAACATCATAGATGTGCCGTCATATTTTTTACCTTCAGTACCCGACCAACTAGGGATGATGATCAATACGCCACACACAGACGGTATCAAACGGGATATAATGTAGGAAGAAGGCGAAAAGTACCACCACTAAGGAATCCCGAATACAAATTGTTGTGTTGTACACTTATTCTTATTTCTTTTCATACTAATGGAACAAAAGTTTTAGGTGATTGATTGTGATGATTACTAGGGGACGTGACCGGACAACTGTGTCACAATAGTGTGCAATTAATGTGCAAATAGTACAACAACCTAAAAATTCTAAAATGTGCAAAATATTTGGAGATAAATGCCATACATCAGATGAATAGAAATTGGTTCAAATATGATATTTACAATTACATAATCTCTCCTTTCGATCAATTTGAAGTTATATATAGAGTACTGATCCAGAAGAACTATCTTAATCACATTGGTTTATTCCTCTTTTAATTTCAACTACCATCTCTCACAAACTCTACCTTATATGAAAGCCCTGATGAGAGAAAATACTTTGTTTGATCCATCAAGTTGATTCTTAATCAAGTGAGCATACGGGGTATCCTTAGACAAACTATTTACGAGAGTTGATTTGTTATTCTGGTTTTGCATTTATGAATGCTTTGGCCACTAATAAGGTAATTGATCATTAATTTAAGAAGAGGCCATTCCTTCAGATTTTGATCATCAAGTTCCCTCTACATATGTTAGTTAGATCATCTTTCCTTTGTTTCTTTTTCCGGTACATTAGTAGACAATACATCTGTTACAGTAAAAATAGAAGAAAATCTCCAAGTTGATGACAAAAATACAATTGCCTGCTGGCTTTCCATCCATCATCATCTACTTCTCAGTGAAATACCACAACAAGCCGATTTCATGGTGGGGGAATAATGTTTCACATAAAGGATGGGACCACAATATGTCCAAAGGCTACTTGAACGCAACATTGCATGCACCCGAAGGTTATTTTGGCCCAAGAGTTGGCCATTTCCCTTAACTCCCTCACTCCCCCCCCCACACTATTCCTCCCTTCCTTCCTTTCTCTCTGTCTCTGTCTCTGTCTCTCTCTTTCTCTTTGTTTCGTTTTATACTTTATGTACTTGCAATTAGATACTTTGACTAAAATCCCCATCAGACACAATATTGGATTATGTGTACCTGAAAAGTGAACTCAATTGACATTTTTTTTTCTTTCACTTGTTCACCCACTGCGGGTACTGGTACCCACCGACACTCTGAGTCGCACCCATTCCTGTCCCCCAGTTTTCTGGGTCGATACTTGTTTGTGTCACATGGATACATAATCCGACACCAACAATTGGCCGATATCACTGCATGATTCCACGCTAATGTTTATACATCTTATTTTTTTTTTTTGTTTTATTGCTTCCCAGCCTGATTTTGTTCCCAAAACGGATAATCTTTCCCACCCCACCTCCATAATCTCCACAACTATAAAACACTTTCACCATTCTGTTGAACCAAAAAAAAAAAAAAAAAAATAATTGAAAGAAGAAAGCAACTAGTTTTTTCTTATCACCAAACAAGTATTACCAAACGACAACAGAATGCCACTTTCGTTAGAAGAAGTAGCCAAACACAACAAGAAGGACGATTGCTGGGTGATCATCCACGGAAAAGCATACGATCTTTCCGGATTCCTTGATGAACATCCCGGCGGACTGGCCATTATCATGAAATATGCTGGGAAAGACGCCACGAAAGCATTTGATCCAATCCACCCTGGTGACACGTTAGCCAAGTACTTGAGTCCTGAATGTAACAAGGGAGACGTCGAAAAGAGGAAGAAGAAGGCGAAGAAGGCTAAGACCAAGACGACCAAGACCAAGAGCGTTGAAGAAGGGGTCCAAAAGGAAGAGCAACCCAAGCAACAACCATCTCCAGCCCCATCTGTTGAAGCTTCTGGTGACAATGACGTGGTCGACGAATTTGATGTGGAGTATGATGAACAAGAGGGCAAAGCACCTATTCAACCACTTGCGGCAGCGCCAGCCGGTGGTGTTGCTGAACAGTATGTGGAGGTCAACGGTGACGAAGAGGACGACGGTGATGAAGAAGAAGATGACGACGACGACGAAGAACCACCTACCCCAGAAGAGCTCAAGCGTCGTGAATATGTCAAGAACAAACCAGACCTTTCCCAGATCTACAACTTGTACGACTTTGAATTTGTTGCTCGTCACACCATGGAACCTGTTGGGTGGAGTTACTACTCGTCACTGGCTGACGGTGAGGCCACGTTCAGGTTGAACACCGCTAGCTACCAGCGTATATTTTTCAAGCCGAAAGTGATGGTCGACGTAACAGAAGTGGACATCTCCACCACCATGTTGGGAACCAAGGTCTCGTTTCCGGTGTACATCACGGCCACTGCGTTGGGGAAGCTTGGACATCCGGATGGTGAGAAAGTGTTGACGAGAAGTGCTGACAAACAAGACATTATCCAAATGATCCCGACCTTGGCATCGTGCTCGTTTGACGAGATTGTTGATGCGGCCACCGACAAGCAAACACAATGGTTCCAGCTTTATGTGAATGCCGACCGGGAAATCACCAAGAAGATCATCCAGCATGCGGAAAAGAGAGGAATCAAGGGGTTGTTCATCACCGTGGACGCGCCACAGTTGGGACGCAGAGAGAAGGACATGAAGAGCAAGAGCATCAACGACTTGAGCCATGTTCAGGGAGACGACGAATCGGCCGACAGGAGTCAGGGTGCCGCCAGGGCCATCTCCTCGTTCATCGACACCAGTTTGAGCTGGAAGGACTTGGAGTGGTTCAAGTCCGTGACCAAGATGCCGATCATCTTGAAGGGTGTGCAACGTGTCGACGACGCGGTGTTGGCTGCAGAGCACGGGTGTCAAGGTGTGGTGTTGAGTAACCACGGTGGGCGACAATTGGAATACTCGCCTCCGCCAATCGAGGTGCTAGCTGAGTTGATGCCGGTCTTGAGAGAAAAGGGTTTGGCAGATAACTTTGAGGTCTACGTCGACGGGGGTATCAGACGTGCTACTGATGTGTTGAAGGCGATTTGTTTGGGAGCAAAAGGAGTTGGTATTGGACGACCATTCTTGTATGCCATGTCCACGTATGGTGATGCTGGTGTGACCAAGGCGATTCAATTGTTGAAAGATGAGATGATTATGGACATGCGTTTACTTGGTGTTACCTCGTTGGACCAATTGGACGAATCGTTTGTTGATACCAGGTACATGCAAACTAGATATGTTCCAGAAGACAAGCTATTCGAAAGAGTATACGAGCCTATCCCATTGCCTAGATTTAAAGACTCGAAGTTATAGTTTCTGTATTTTATTTAATAGAAATTCTTGATATACGTATATTTTTGTATTTATTAATTTTACAATTTTTTTATTTTTGGCAGTGGTGTTTATGAATCACATATTGTCTATACCTTTATGGAATCTAATATGACTGGTCCGGCCTACTAAGTTTCAGTGATACAAAAGATTCCTATAAACCAAATCCAGTAGTATCAAAACTAAAAATGCTGTTAAAGGTTGATGAATTTTCATGCATCAACATTGAATTGAATAAAGATGGGTCCAATAATTGTGATTGTCTTATACCAATTGGTTGTTGCAATTGTGGTGCTACATGCGAATCTTGATGTTCCGGTTGAACATTCTGTTGATAGTCTTGATTACTAAATTCCTGTGATTGTTGCTGTTGTTGCTGCTGTTGCTGTTGTTGTGGAATTTGATTATGAGTTTGTTCTTGCAGTGATTGAGTTCCTGACATACCTGATTCAAATAAAGTGTCAACCATTTTGATAAATTGATCATTTTGTAGCATGCTAGTTGAATTATTCAAATATTCTTGGTTCTCAACAGCAAAACAAGATGAAGATTGTTGTGGAAGAGATCGTTGAAGATCTTCTTGTTTAGCATACTGATCATTAGATAAAATTTCTTCTTTTGGATGTGGGGCTTCTTCCTGCTGTTTCATATATTCCTCGCTGGTTGACAATTCTTGTTTCGGTTGTTGGGGTGGTGGCAATTCTTGTTGTTGTTGCCCTTGATTTTGAATTTGAGATTGCTGCTGCTGCTGCTGTTGTTGTTGATCATGATGATGTTGCTGACGCTTTTGATAAAGTTCATATTCCATTTTTCCCATTAACATTCGCAATTCGTTGTATCTATCTTTGAATTTATTATGAATAGTTCTAGAAATAATCCATATTTCAGGATCCAAAGTTCTTGTCATACCATCCACTAAACTTCCCAATTGACGCAAAAATTTCAGGTTTTGATTGAATGTGCTTTCATTAGTATTAGAAATTTGAGCAATCAATGATTCGATTTCCAAGATGACAACATAATACACGACAATGTTGAATAGATAGTTTGAATCCGGAATAGATTTCAACAAAAGTTCAATTTCATCAGTAATTTCCCCAAATGTTTGAATGTCTGAGCCTATAGGTAACTTTAAAAATGGTTTATTAACAATCAAAAACACTAAATAGTACGCGAATTTTAACAGGTGATCTACTGATGCATCGTAAGCAGATTTCGCCAAACTTTCAGAATCCCAATATAAACCAGTTGGTAAATTTCTTCTCCAATCATTCAATTGTTGATTATAACCTTGTAATTGATTGTATCGATTTAGGAAATTCCTTTTTGAATCCTCTGCGTCCTTGTATGGTAAACTTTGATATATGGAAGCTATAACAGGTTGGGAAAATATAATCAACTCCACTAAATGTGGTAGTTTCTTATTATCGGTATTTCCAAACATTATTGGTGAACCAGGCGGTAAATACAACATTGGTGTACGGCCAAAGATCAAACCAGCATACTTGTCGATTATATAACTTCCCCAAAACACTAAACTCTTTAAATCATTAACATCCTTATCAGGACCATCTCGAATAAAGTTGTCAAAACCCAAATCCAACCCCATTCTAAGTGCAAATCCAGACAACTGCCATGCTTTGGTTAATTCTCCCAATAGTAACTCCACTAGAGCACAAAGTAACATCCCTTGAACTTTGGGGTATGAACTTTCATTCAAAGATAAGTTGCCAGCATTATCAATAAACATAATATGTTCCAGAAAACTCAAGAATTTCTTGGCTTCATCTAAATTGTTTGTGAAACAAGCACCCACCGCAAGAATAGCACCAATCAACTCCACAGAAATAAAGTGATTGGTAGGAAACTTATTTAATAGATCACTAACTTTGGAAAAATCATTTCTGTTCATACAGATTTGATCGTACAATTCCCTAGTTCTGGATATATTAACCAAGTACGACAATATCGGTCTATCGTAATACTTGAGTGCTAAATCAAAATAATGTCTAGCATTTGGTGATGTGATCAACTCAATGGCCTCTATTCCTCCCTTGACACCACTAGCAACAAGAACACTATTCTGATTATTACTATTACTAGCTGTACCTTCAACAGTATTGCTTGTTGGTTTCGGATATGTATTTTTATCAACTCCGGGAATTGCTTGTAATTTCGCCAATCGGATCGCCGGCGTGCTTAATTTTTCCTGAATTTGGTTTGCGTTCATAACCATAGACTCGTCGGCTTCAAACACGGTTGTGGCCCCAAATGCCATATTTGATTTACCACTTGGACCACGATAAAATTTTGGAGTGAAATCTAAATCTTGTTTTGGTTGGGGCAATAATGCAGGTAGCGCTGATCCTGTTGATGGCAATGGTAGTTGGGGAGGTGGTGTTCTTGAATTGAGAAAATTCGTGGCACTTAATGGAGTGGATGGTTTAGAATTAAACGAAGATATTGGATAATACGGCAGTAATCCCGTGTGACGCGAAAAAGATGCATGTTGTTGAACTGCAGCTGGTGTCGGCAGCTGCGAATGGCCCAGCTGATTCATTTGCTGATGAGGAATTTGTTGTTGCAGCAGTGGTGGTAGTTGACGAGGAACGGGTGGTGCCTGATGTTGTTGCTGAAATTGTTGGCCGGGTTGGTGGTGTTGTGGAGGCATTAATGTTTGATGTGATGCAGCCGACGTTTGTGGTGGTGGTGGTGGCGGAGGAGGAGGTAATGGTGCAGCCAAAGGTTGTGTTCCAACAGAATGAGCACAATTTGGTGGAAGTTGACCAGGAGGATATGAATATGGCGATGATGGTTGCGATCTACGCTGAGGATAACCATTATTAACCTGATTAACATGATTAGGATATCGAGTTGAAGTGCTACTTGCCATAGAATTTGATCTTGATTGATGTTGATCACTTGTTGGAGAACCGTTGGCTATATCTGGGGATTCCAAGCTATTTGATACGGGTAGTGACGGTCGGCTATTTGGCTGTTCTGGAGGTTGATGTACATTATGAACTATTTCATTAATTCGTTGGTTCAACAATGTGGGGTTATCTTTAACTTCTAATATGGCTTGCAATTTTTGTTGAAAATCTTGGTTTGAACTTTCCAAACTTGAAATATATTCTATTGAATAACGTTTTTTCCTTTTATCAATATCTGGATATATACATTCTTGATTCCTTTTGGCACAATTTGAACAAGGGGTATTTCCATCACATTTTCTTTTAATAGTTCGACATAGGTTACATCTGAAGTGAAAAACGTTTGTACTATTGTTAGTATTTCAAGAATCAATGACATGTTTATAATTGCCAGCAATACTGATACATACGACGTGCTTCTTCTTTTCTTAACCGGATTATTACCAGGAACTTTATCAACAGCCATCTTGGAAAATAAAAACCGTTGATATATGTAATGTTATGAGATGTATGACAACTTGTCTTTCTTTTTTTTTTGTTACTTTACACTTTTGAAGCAAAATGAATGAAGCAGGACATGTTTTCCTTTCTTTTTTGTTTTTTTGTTTTGTACAATCTGTGCAAGAATGAGTGAGAAGAGAGAAAGAAAAAGAGACGCCTGGCATAAGAAGAAGGACAAAAAAAGAGTATTGAGGATGTACACCATATAAGCCATGTGCCCTTTTCTATGAGTCTTCGCTTTAAAGACTTGACTAGTTTAACGTCTTGTTATGCATTGGTTCCCCTGAAGTTATCCATGATTGGTCTATTCTCATGAAAATGAGATGGACAATTTGTCCATACGGAATTCCATACTTTAATAATACTAAAATAAAAATAATTGTGACCATGCAGCTGGAGAAACAGGAGAAGAGAAAAATGAGAGAAAAACTAGTACGTGCGTGAACCAAATTTCTTGATAGAGAACCTTGGCTTATTTAGTGAACAACAAAACCCACAGTAAGGAAAGAGAAATACAAAGGGGGGTGGGGAACGAAAAAGCAGAAAATTGTTGATGGTGTAAATTGCATGATCGTTGAGGGGCCAGTTTTTTCGTTCTCAGTGTATCGCCGTGGCATAGTATTTTTTTTTCATTTTTCATTTTTCATTTTCACCGTAATTAATTTGCTGTGGAGACTAAAATTAAGAAGATGCATTCATTTTTCTTCTTCCCAATTTTATGGTTATTATTCTCTCGTAAATGTTAAATAGAGGAGAATGAAAAATAATATTCGATGATCTTTGGGATGATAATCATTGAAGAAACTTCTTCGGCAGGGCTGGAAAATAAATAAAGACTGCGTGTGTGCGTGAGAGAGAAAGAAGGAGAAGAACCCTTGTGTTCAACCTGTGGCTAGTACAATGTAACATCATTTGGATTTGTTAGCTAACCTTCAATGGCACTCTACCCCTCTGGTCGAATATCAACATAAGAAAAAGGTGTACACACCACGAAAACGATACTAAAATAAAATTGACATCGGGTAGAATTTCTACTTTTGCTTGTCGAGAAATAATCTGTTGAGTTGTTAGGTGCTCAAATAATAGGAATCTATTACGAATATTTTCAGTAACAATCTATTCTTGTACGAAACTTGATGCAAGATACTGCAAAAAGGTTGATATCGTAAGTATTTCTGATAACAATAACAATAATAATATCAATACAAACTGCATTTCTGTTGATTGCCAACGAAATATAGATGGCTAATTATGACACTAAACCATAAATTAGGATTAATTACCAAGTGTAGATCATTATTGATGGGGGAAAAAACGTACCTAAATTGAACTTCCCCTCCCCCCATATGCTACGGAACAATTTTGCCCGTGTAATTTTGGATTTCGTAAATCTAGAATTGCTGGAGCAATTGTGAAGTGTTTGGATGAAAGATATCACCAATGTCACAAAATAAAAAAAATGATGGTGTGTTGTGTGATTTCACGAGTGGTTGATATTGTAAATCAAAATATTCTGTAATATACTGGCATTACCGTGTGTGTCGAACAATAGTTGATTAATACACTACTAAGCACGATCGAGGAAAAACCCTATGACGAAATATAACATAAGATAGAGTAAAACAAAAACAAAACGGTAAAAATAAAGATAAAAAAAGAAACTACAATGGAATCAGGTGTACAATAGGTATTGTTAGATATCAATAGAATAAAACAAGGGATGAACTGTCGTTGTCGTCTATCGTGCTAATGATTCGGTAAGCTACCTACTGATCAAAATGATGTAATGTTCTCCCACAAATATGTACAAAGAATATTAGACACCTAGAATTTTTTTTATCTTCTTTTGTATTATTTTTTGGCAGTCTTGAGTCCACCACTCAACAAACGAGCAAACATATGATTTGAAATTATGGTTGTGATCCTTTAGCTATTGTTTATCTGATGATGAGATTGTAGATGAAGGGAGAACAAGGGTATGTGAATGGGTGAACAATAAGCAAACAATAAACCTTGAGTTGCTAATCTATGCTAAACTAAAAAACTGAAAAATAGAGTTTAAATCGTGTTGATTGCCATTTGTTACATCACATAAGTCAAATCAATTATTTCTTTCTTATTTTCGCCGACAAACTATGAACATTGATTCTAGTTTTACTCCTATTATAGCTCTAAAGTTGTATAAAATATGCATTAACAATATGTGTCCATGTGTATGAAAAATACTATATTGGCGTGTCAATGCGTGTAAAAAAATTTCAATAAAACAAGACAAAGACAAACAGAAGAAGTTATGCAACCTTCGTCTAAAAAAGAAAAAGAAAAAGAAACATTGTATAGTGAATGTACAAACCCCCTCCCTCCATAATCAAATCAAGTCATTTTTGGTGTTACTCCGGTTTTAGTTACAAAGTCAATTAGTACACACGTGACACGGTAATAGACAGGGAAACATAATTGGCAGATAATTAAAATATGCTTCAAACGTTTGTTGCAGAAGTAAACTATATATATAGGTATGTACTTTCTCTAATTATGTTCACCATTTAGGGTTTAACCAAAAGCATCTCCCTTTCTTGAATTTTTTTTTTGGCCCATTTATTCTTTCCTCCTTATTTGGACATTTTCATTTTTATCAAGACTATCAACAATATCATCAATTAAACTAAACAAAGCTACACTGTTCACTGCACTGCGCTGAATTGAATTGAATTGAATTGAATTGAACTAAACCAAAAAAAAAAATAAATAAAACAAAAAATATACACCGACAATTTTTGTTTTTCTGCCCCCCTTCCACTCCACTTTACTTCACTCCAAAGAAAGAAAGAAAAATTATTTGATTCCAATCTTGTATTTCGAAAGTGTGTGTGTGTTTTTTTTTCATTCTTATGTATTAGTGTTATCGTATGCATTCAACCATTTCAAGTTTACACTGATTATTTACCATTTAATATTACACTTATTTTTCTTTTCTTCTTTCATTTCAAAGCAAGCAATATTAGAAGAATAGTTTTCCCCAGATAATTAAGTGCAGTACATGACAATTTAGATATTCAAAAAAAAAAATTTTTTTGTTTGTTACATATTTTTTTTTAATTTCTACCAATATTTTACCTTAGCCTAAAAGAAATCATAATCATGGGTAATAATACTTCAACAACGGGTTCTACTGGTTCGGGTATCATTCGTCGAGGTTCTGAATCAACTAGAAAGTCAACAGCTTCTGCAAACTATAATAACCTTAATGGAAAAGATCATTTTAATGATAATAGAGTCAGAAAATCATCAGCAGGTAAAAATACTAATTCATTGGATGAAGAATTTAGTGATTTGATCTTACACCAAGTAGTCACGAAACCAAGTAATTCAAATTTGGTTCCACAGCAACTGCAATCACAATCACAATCACTGCAGCAACCACCACCACGACAACAACAACAGAAGAAACAACTTCCACACAATCAATTTAGTAACGATTTAATAGAGGATGAGTTTAATGAATTGAATGAAGTGTTGGTGGAAACTGATTCTACTGCCTTACAAAGAAACATTCTACCAGATGATGGGTTTGAGAATGAGAATTCTTCTTCTAGTGATACTACTCCAACTACCAATGATTCAACAACAGTTACTGATGATATGGACATCGATGAACCATTCCCACAAGATTACGATGCTGGGAGTGATGTCGAAGATGAAGATGAAATCATGAATAATGCGCCAGATAGATCTACAACTCCAACTCCAGATTTAACAAAAGTTGATTTTACAAAGATTACCAGTCAAAAACCACCTTCTTTGTCGAACGAAAATGTCAGTGTGCCTCCTCCAGCACAAATGTTGTCTGCAGCATCAGTTGCAAGAAGTGTGCATTCTCCTTCACCAAATCTTGAAAACCAAAAATATTTGCAACAACGTCCTTCGAAATCAATGAAGACTGATCAAAGTACAACACCACAGAATCATAACTACCATCATCATCATCATCATAATCAACACAATCATCATTATCACAACCACAACAATCATAATCGTCAGAAACAACAAATTTTAATTCCAATTGAAATCAAATGGGTTAATGTAACCAAAGAGCAAATTAATAAAATTGCCATTATTGGGTCATTTTCAAATTGGAGAGATGTAATTAAAATGTATCCATCAACAAGTCACCCAAATGAATTTGTCACCACTATCAATTTGCCACTAGGAGTTCATAAATTATTGTATATTATCAACAACGAATATCGAGTAAGTGATCAATTACCAACAGCAACTGATCAAGAAGGTATTTTTTTCAACTGGTTTGAAGTTATTGATGATACCCATCTTTTCAATCATTCTATGAATCAACCTAATCATATTGGTGCAAGTACTGATTATGATGCTAATATCATTAAATTTGAAGAACCAGCAATGGCTCAATCACCTCAATATCAACAACAACAACAACAACAACATGTTTACGGTGCTAGTGGATCTCCAATGAATAATATAACTCCTAGACCAGCAGGTAAATATGATGTTGATAGAATCCATCAGAAATCAGCAGAATTGATGCATAAGATATCTAAAGAATCAACATCTGAATTTGAACATGTTGAATTTATTGAAGATACTCAATCTGATCAATTGTTACCTCCACAGGTAACCCAACCAAATGATATTTATGGAACATCATATGAAAATACTCAATATCAACCATTTGATTTATCATCTAATAATTCAAATTCATTTTTAGCTGCTAATGCAGTTAATGAACCAACATATGAATATTCATCAGAAATTCCTGAAATGTTTATTAATTATGATTATTTTAAATTAAAACCAAGTAATTATGAATTACCTGAACCTCCACAACTTCCACCTCATTTGAATAATGTTTTATTAAATAAAATTTCCTCATCTGGTTCTTCATCTTCTTCAGGTTCAGTACATACTCATATTCCAACTAATATTTCTTCAAATTCTGGTGGATTATCAAGTACTTCAACAATAAATTCAATTAAAAGACCACCTTTAAGAAGAGCAGATAGTTCATATTATGCATCAAGTAAAGAATCTTATCATTTACAAATTCCAAATCATGTCATTTTAAATCATTTAATGACTACAAGTATTAAAAATGATGTTTTAACTGTTGCTTGTATTACTAGATATCTGGGTAAATTTGTAACTCAAATAATGCATTCTCCGGCTGATAAATAGATTTCTTACAAACCATTAAAAAAAAAAATACACCAAAAAAAAAAAAAATAAACATAAATGGAATACTAGTATATATATATGTATATAAGTATATAAGTTGTAGTTACAATAATACGTAAATTTTGAAATTTTGAAAATAGTACAGCATTAAATCATTAGCAAATAAAAAACAAGGGGCATAAGCAATTATGAATAGGATCAATTGAAATCTCTTGATCTTTGTTTTAATCTACGTTCTCTTCTCAATCTAGTTTGCATCAAACTATAACTTCCTCTTCTAATAATAACTTCTAATTTGAAAGGATCAATTTCTGGATAAAATTCAACAGTATAAGAATATAATTGTTGAATTAATTCTTTTCTTTTAATTTTTGTAGTATCTCTTATCCAAGTTTGATAACCTAATTGAAAATCACAATAATTTCCAAATATTTCTAAAATATTTAGTTCAATTAATTTAGTTAATTGAATAGAATATTGATGTAAATTTAATATTTTAGATAATTCATAAATATTTAATCTTGAATAATATCTATCATTTTTAAACTCCGTTTCTTTACTTGATGATGATCCAACTTTATTAGATTCTTGTTTGGTTGATGTTTGCTGTTTTTTCTTTTCTGATAATTCTTTGGATCTAGTTGTTGATGATGATGTGGATGAAGATGAAGACGATGCTGAAGCTGATGCTGATGTTGATGTTGATGATGATGTGGAGGAAGAAGATGATGATGATGATGAAATACCATTCGTAGTTGATAAGTTTTGTTTTGGTTTGGAATTTTGAACTCTATATGGTCCTAAATTCCCTTGACTATTTGGTCTATTTGGACATCTTGTGGTGTTTTTGGTTTTTAAATTATAATTTGTACTTTGACCATATCCTAATTGGTATTCTGGATCTTCCATTAATACCAGTAATGGTAAAAACTTTTTTTTACGTAAATTATGAAATTCTTTACTAAATGGTTCAGGTAATATTTTGGGTCCTATTTCATATATTTCAGTAGCACCATTAGGGTTGGTTGTGGGTTTAGAAGAAATTGTACAAGATAATTCTTTTCTTCGTGATCTACGTTCAGCAGCTTGTTGTTGTCGTTCGACTTTTTGTTGTTTTTGTTCTAAAGCATTGATCTGTTCCATATGTTGACTAAATTCTTCTTTACGTTCATTAAATCTTATAGTAAATGGATGTATCATAAGGGCATTCTTTCTTAGTCCACCACTTTTCTTGAATCTTCTCTTAAATTTTCGATCTTCTTCCAAAGGTATTGAAGAAGTTTTGTAAGTATCATCTTTATCTTCAAAATTATCTTGATCATCTTTTACGTTTTCATTGGGTTTCTTGACAAGAACAATTGGTGAAGAAGGTAAATCATGGTATTCATTCTTGGCTGATGTTTGTGATGGCCCGCAAATGTTTTCATCTTCTGTGGTTGTCTTCTTTTTATACACAAAAGCAGGTTTTAATCCTAACTTTTCCTTCATTTCTGACATATGTTCCAGTTCTTCGTCACTTTTCAGATATTCCAAGAAAATATTACTACTTGTATTATTGTTATTATTATAAGTCAACAATTGACTTAACAGTTGTTTGGCTTTGATAGCAATAGCAATAGCTGTGGTACATCCATCGATTATAGCACTTGATTCGGATTCATTAGCAGTTAAGGTATCACTGCTTGTTTTTTGAAGATTCAATAATTGTTGTTGTTGTGAAGAAAGAAATTGAGCAGGTGGTGGTGAACTTCCAAATGCAATAAATCTATAATTATAATCACTATTGTCATTATTATTCTCTTGTTCATATTCATATCCTTCATCATTTTCAATTTGATTAGCAATCTCTTGTTCATGTTGCTGTTCTTCTTCTTCAACGTCATCATCTTGAATTAGATTTGGATTTAAGAAATGGATCTTATCAGAAGACCAACAAATCAAAGTAGGTTCACCATTGCCATTTGAAAATTGATCATCATCATCATTATTATTCAATTCCCTTTCAAAATCTTCAAATTCAATTGGTGAAACTTGAAATTTACACGATGATGAACCTTCAGTAATTGTTGCAATAGTTGTGGTGGTAGTAGCAGCAGCAGTAGCAGTAGTATGAGAAATATCAACCCCAATTGAACCAGAATTGGAATTAGATTTACCAATTGTAGCAGTACCAATTTGACTATTAGATGATGAATTACTACTAAGATATTCAGCTTTATCAAAATCTTTTACAAGATAAGTATTATTACTTATGTTTGTATTAGTAGTTGTGAAATTAGGAGATGGATTTAAGAAATTTTCATCTAATTGATCATCATAATTCTTGATATCTTGAGATTTTATAGGAACTTTAGAAGAATATTTCAAAAATTTATTACCATTATTATTATTTGACAAAGAAGAAGAAACTAAAGGATAAATTAAAGATTCATTATCTTTTTGAAAATTGATATTAGCAATAGAATTAGATTCACTCAGTGGGTTATTTGAGCAAATTAAATATTGGTTTAAATCAAATTTATTTGATACTGATGATGATGTTGGTGGATCGGTCGAAGTTGATGGTTTTATATGGTCAGTCATTATTTTATGCTTGATTCTAACTTTTCCAGATCAAAGTTGAAATAGATTGATTTCTTTCTTTTTTTTTTTTGCCTTGTTTTGATTTAATTTGATTCTTTTTTTTTTTGGAGTATTATCTTTTATACAAATGGAAGAGGGGGAAGTATGGGGGGAGTTGCCTTTATATGTTAGTGTAATGATATAACCAATGACAGAAAAAAAAAGAAATCTCCAACCAAAAACAAAAGATATTAAATGGAAACTATATGGTTTCAAATCTATTAGAAGATCTTTAATACCTAGATTATTCCTCTTGCCTTCTTGTGTTGACGATGATGATGATGATGATGATGATGATGATGATAGTTTGAATTATATTGCTAGTAAATTAGATTACTACCGTGAACTACTCTGCACTCAAAACCAAGATCTCTTCACTATGGTAATAATTTTTTTTTTGTTGCAACCAAAATTTTAAGTACTTGTTAAGTTGCAACAACACTTGTTTTGTATGATAGTAGTAATGTGATTCAATATTGATTAAACAACCAAAAAATAAAGCTAATGTGATGTGGAATATAAATCAGAAACTAGTAATAAGTATACGAAAGAAGAATAATAAATCATCATTGGTTGTAAGAATTTTCATCCCAATTCCAAATCTTGGTTGTAAAAAAAAAAAAAACTAAAGAAAAATAAAATAAAATCATTGATGTGTATTGTATTATGTAATCACATCAATTAAAAATGTGTTAAATTTTATGATGAGACGAAGTGTGATTGTGGTGTTTTTCTATTGGATGTTTATGTTGTGGAGTCATTGTTGAAACATTGCATGACCGTTTTTATATCATAATGCATTATCTGTTAGTTCAAAACATTGTTGAAGCATTGTACCAGGGAAAGATACCATAAAGGGTCTTTCAAAAAAAAAGGGTCGTGCGGTACCAATACAACACCAAAAGAAAGTCACGCGTACTTGGGCTGCCATTTGGTTGTAAAAAAAAAATAGAAACACAAATTATATTCAACGCTTTGATCATCTATGTACTGGAATTAACCATTCATTTTCTCAACAATATTAGCAACGACTTCATCAACTGAATCTTTGGAGTATTTACTAACCATTAATACATCAATTAATCCCTTAATACCAATATTAATATCATAACTAGATAATTGACTTAAAATTTCCAGTCGTTCACTACTGGACATAAATCCTAATTTATCCATTACTCTACCAATTTCTTCAACATGTCTAACTGGAGGAACAGCAATAGCATCATTGAAACTATCGACAAGATTCATGTGTTTGAAAACTTGATATTGTGATGTTGTTCCAATAATCAATAATCTTCTTCCCTTTGGTGGTTTCTTTGTTAAATAAACATTTAAAACTTGTAAAATATCATTAGAAAATCTAGGACCAATTGGATTATAATTAATAATATTCTCAATTTTATCAATAACTAAAACATTCAATGGGGATTTATGAACATCTCTGAAAACATTATCAATTTCTTGAATCTTACGTAATTCTCCCATACCAACTAAAGTTTCAGCTGACAACATTTTAATAAATGGGAAATCAGAATTTAAGGCTAATGTAGTAGCAATAGCGGTTTTACCAACACCTGGTGGTCCATATAATAAAATACTTCTTAAAGTTTCACTTTCACTTGATCTAACAACATCAATAATAGATTGTCCTTTTTCAAAAATATGTTTGATAGTATTATTAAATTGAATAATTCCATGTTGTGCTTGTTGTGATAAATCTTCTTCATCAGTACCAAATGCAGGACGAATATCATTCAATGCCAACAAAAAATCATCTCTAGTGATTTTCATTTTTGCAATAGAATCAGTATCAATTTGTGCCAATGCACCTTTTTTAGTATGACGAGAAATGGCATAAGATTTGGCTGAATTACACAACCCTTCAATTTCAGCACCAGTGAAATTCTTAGTCAATTGACTCAATTCATCAAAATTAACATCAGAAGCTAAAATACCATTTTCTACTAATTTCTTGGTATGAATCATGAAAATATCTTTTCTACCCTTTTCATCAGGTAAAGAAATTTCGATTTGAATTTCAAATCTACCTGGTCTTAACAATGCAGTATCAATTAAATCCAAACGATTGGTCATACCAATAACTAAAATATTATTCAATTGATCAACACCATCCATTTTGGATAATAATTGATTGACAACATTATCACCAACACCAGTTCCATCAGATTTACCTGACCCTCTTTGTTTGAAAACAGAATCCAATTCATCAAAAATAATAACATGTAAATCAGAATCTTCACCTTTTAATTTATATTCTGCTTCGGCATCTTTGAATAAATTACGAATATTTTCTTCAGAAGCACCAACATATTTACTCAACATTTCTGGACCATTAACAATTTTAGGTTCTTTACCATTCAACATTTTAGATAATTTTCTGGCAATTAAAGTTTTACCAGTACCTGGAGGACCATACAATAACAACCCTTTACAATGTTTATAATCCAATTTTTCAGCCAATTCAGGTGGCAAAATTCTTGAATTGAAAGCACGTCTGAAAATATCTTGAAATTCAGAATCTAACCCACCAATACCTAAATCTTCTAATTTGAAATCAGGATTGATGATTTGCTTTCTTCGACTTGGTCTATGAGGAGTATTACCACCAAACATTCTTTGTTTTAAAGTTTTTGATTTAGTTAAATTAATAATTGAACCTTCAAATGGATAAAATACAACGTCGGTAGATTTAATTAAGATCCCTTTAGTTTTAACATCATCAGAATCTTTAAAACTTGGCAATTGATCTTTAGTATTAACATCAATAACTTGAACATTATTGATTCTAATTTGAAAATAAACTCCATTATATTCCATATAAATAACTTGAGTAGGTTGTAAAATTTGATTTTCATAATTTTTCAAAAATAAATTAACCAATTCATCATGATTAATAGGATTTGAATTAGCTCTAGCTTTAGCTCTAAAATCAATCAGTAAATCAATTGCTCCTAAATATTGTTGTTGTTGACCATTATGAAAAATATTATAATTTTCAATATTAACAGGTTGTCCTAATGACCATTTACCCCAAGTTCTCATATTTCCAGCTAATCCAATAGTTCCAGGACGTGTTCTATCATCTTTACTTATAGAATAAACAAAAATTCCATCTAAAATAACTGGAGATCTATCAGGAACATTATGAAAATCTTGTGGATTAACAGCAACACAATTAGCTACAACAACATCATTACCAGGAGCATTATCAACTAATAATTGTTTACGAAATGATGCTTCTTCAATTGGTCGTTGTGGTAATGGTGGTGTTTGTGGATTAGGTATCGCTCTATTATGAGTGATTTTAGGTTGACTTGGTGATGTTGGGGAATTACTAACTTTATGAAATCCAAATTTTTCCATAACCATTAATTATCTATTAGGTGAGTTATCTATTCCAATTATAGTCTAGATCGAGAAAAAAAAAAGATAAAAAAAATAAAACAAGTAAATAAATCGAGATAATATTTTTTTTTCGTTTCTTTATGGAAATCAATTATTTATTTGTGATTGAATTTTTATTTGAGAAGTAGTAGGAAAATTCTAGGTTAATACGGATGTAATGGATTAAATGTTGAAATTTAAATGATTCCGGAACTTGAAACTCAATTTTTTTTTTTGCCTCGTTGATTTTGGTTTCGTTGTCTTTTTTTTTTTCTTCCTTTTGTTGAGAGATCAAATAAGAAAAAATATAAAATTGGGTTGAACAATGTACACGACTTTGGTTATGATTTATCAAAGATCATGAATAATTGATGATGTCTATTAAAGATCATTCAAGTAGGTGTGAAGCCTATTGGTATCTATTATATTCTTTTTGTTAATTTAAACAGCTAAATTTTTGGTGAGTTCATTCATTCATTTTATAGTTTGCCACTGACAAAAAAAATAAAACACGTCCACAGAATCGGTTTTTGTACATAATACAAACAATTCTATAAATAGAGAAAGTCACCTCAGGGATAAAGTTGTATAAGTGTTTATATACTACTCTTTATCTACGTCATGATAATCCTAATCCTGTCAAAATCAGGACTCATTCTCAATATAAGTAAATCTTTTCAAGAACTCTGATAATAATTAATGTTTTTTTTTTCATTAAAAATTCGTACGAAAATCGCGTGAAAAAAGAAAGGAAAAAATTTTTTTTCTTTATTTTTGTTTCCTCATTCTATGAAAGGAGTTGTATTAAGTTAGTGGCGTTTTTTTTCCCATAAAATTACGTGTTACAATATCTTCAAGACAATGATCATCATCAACACCACATCCCTTTAAAATTACCTATTTAAGATATAATTAAACACTGGTTTTTTATTTTTAATTCGTTTAACTATGAATATTCTTACATTCCATTTATATCGTTTGAGAAAACACTCATCGTATTTTAATAATTTATTATGGGGTTAGATTTCTTTTTTTTTTAATTTGAACTAAACTGCAATTCAATCAAGTCACGTTTTTTTTTCGTGTTCTGGTTGTATCAGATGCTGCTACCAATCGCACATCAAACCTTTCTTTTCCGGATGATGTAAATTGCAATGAAAGAGAGAGAAAAAAAAAGATTGCGAAAAAAAAAATCAAAACAAAGAAAATTAAAATTTTTGTAATTAAAGATTTTTAGCAGCCGCAGCCAAAAAATTTTTTTTTTTTGGAATCAGGACGGAAACGAGGAGACACCGAAAAAACAAAAAAAAGATTCGGATGAAGATGAAGAATTTTTTTTTTTCTAAAGGGTAGTGTATATTTTCTAGATAAGCAACATTTCATCCCAATTAGGAAATACACTTGATCTGTGAGATCTGACCTTGCTTTTTTTTTTTTTTTTCACAGAAATCAATACTCATAAAGTTTGTTAAACACTTAATGAAAATAATATATAATAATAAAAAACCTATACAAATATATATATATGATGATGATGAGTATGATACACTAAAACAAAACAAAAAAACATCCACATGTAAATAAAAATCGTATATAATCTTTTTTTTTTGTTTTTGAATATAGAAAACAAATCAATTAAAAAAAGGAACAAAAATATAAAATAAAATAAAATAAAAAACCAAAACTTAAATTATACAAAAGTAATTAAAAAAAATGACCAAAAAAATATAAAAAGACAAGGACAAAGGGCATAATAAAATTGAAGAAAGGAAAAAGGATATAATTGTAATCGAAATAGTAAATGGAAAAATAAAAAAAAAACACACACGCTTCACTTGACTCTATCACCAATTATTTGATCCGAAAACAGGAGCATTTCCACCGAATGATGATGTTGATGACCATGATTGGTTATGTGAATGATACATGTTTTGTGTTTGTGGTTGCTGCTGTTGTTGAGATGGAGGTGGCATAACATGTTGCTGTTGCTGTTGTTGAGGATGTAAGTGTGGTGGAGGTGGAGGCATGCCATTGTTGTAGAAATTTGGTGGAGCAAAATGCATTGGAGCGCTAACACCAGGAGGTGGTTGAACAGGTGGTGGAGTATAACTTTGAGCACCAGGTCCAGTAGTATAATGGTACATTGAATGACCATGATTCAACGAGGAAATAGATGATTGTTGTTGTCCAACATTTGGATAAAATCCTCCTCCTGGTCCCATACATGGTTGCTGCTGTTGCTGTTGCTGTTGCTGTTGCTGTTGCTGTTGTTGAGGAACTCCATAGTCACCATTCTCACCATACAAATGTGAGCCATTATTGTTTCCATTCATATTGATTAATGAATTTGATGCAGAATTATTATTAAAAGGTCCAGTATTAGTACTACCTGATTGAAATGATGTTACAGAACTATTCACATTATTTTTATTGTTGACATTAAAAGAATTATTATTATTATTGTTGTTGTTGTTGTTATTATTGTTGACATTAGCAGCATAAAAGTTCGTTGGCAATGAAAAATTTCTATTTGGAACTTGATGAATCTTAGAGTAGAATTCATTAGCATTATTGTTACCATTCATAATGAAACCAACACCTGCTGGAGATGAAGCACTACGACATGACAAGGGTTGGGGTTGTCCCGATTGTTGATGTTGATGCTGCTGAGATGATTGTTTTGAGTTGAAATCATTAACAATGAATTCTCCATTAGCATTCATTTGAGACTTTCTATTGGTTTTATTAATAGAAATTGAAGATGAAGCACTGTTATTCAAAATTGTATTAATCTTGGATTGGATACGTTTACCAAAACTTGAAACAATCTTACAATTCTGAAACCAAAACTTGATAATTTCAACTTGCAACTTTTGGTACAGTTTAAAAGTTTCATCAGTTTGTTGATCTTGTGGTAAAATCAATGACAACTTGTCAATATTTGCATTTTGATAATTAACTTGTGGGTTAACAATGATATCAATCATAGTTTGAATGACATAATTCCCATAAGGATCATTGATCAATACATTCAAATCATTAATCAAAATTATATAAATCAATTCAAATTTCAAATTAGCAAATGATGAATTGACAGTTTCATTGGTGTAACAATTCTTTAAAAATTTTTCAACCACATTGGAACTAAACTTTAAATTACATAAATTTGAAATACCAAATGTAATGAAATTTTGGAAAATCTTAAAATTGATATCCAAAGAATTAATAGAAATCAAATATTGTAAAACATAATTACCAAATTGATCATTAATCAACAATTTGAAATTTTCAAATTTCAAAATTGCTCTAGAAAATTCACCCAATTGTTGCAAAGTAACATGGTTAAGACACTTTTGTAAAACACAACAACCATGTTTATGAGTAGCAACAATATATAAATCATCAATTATAGAATCATAAATAAATTGACAATCTGGGGGTTGATACTTATTTAAAATCTTCTGAATCACGTGATTCCCGTTAAGATCTTTAATCAATTCTATAATATAAGGTTTCAAACCTTTAATCAATAAACCCAATTGATGAGAATTGTTCAAGTTATCAATGATCTTTTGTAAAGCTCTGGTACCATGTTGATTGATGGAAATTTGAAACAAATTGTATTGTAAAATTTCCATCAATAAATCCAAATTAGATTCATTACAATAAGCAATCAATTTTTGAATCAAATAATTACCAAATGGATCAATAATTAACTCATACATATACTGATAAGTTTGGTTGAAAATGATGTCAAAATTGGCCAATCTAACTTGATAATTTGGAACCAAACTTTCATCAATCTTCTTTTGCAAGAAACGACAACCATATTGATCCTTAGCAAGTTTTAAAATTTCCAGTTTCAATTGAATTAAAGGCAATTTATTGATAGAAGCAAGATATTCTTTATCGATTTTTTGTGGCATTCTAATTGGAGGAGTCATGGTGGACGTAAAATCAGAAGGAGTTGAAGCAGAAGAACTTGGAGTACAACCACTAGTTGCAGAACCGGTACCAGCAGGAGCTGCAATAAAAGTAGACACACCAACACCATTGACAAAATTATTACCATTAACTTTATCAGTGATAGCAACAGTAGCAGATTGGTTGTCTAAATTAGACAATGAAACAACACTAGGAGTGGTTGTAATGATAGATTTATTCATAATCATATTTTCTTTATCATCAAACCCAACAAAATCACTAATAGCTCTTTGATGACGTTGTTGTTGTGTTGCAAAGGATGAAGTAGTTTGTTGGTCTTGTCCAACTGGTGGAACAATTAAAGGGGTTGAGACAACCTCGTTGTCAATAGAAAAATTTGGTAAATTTAAATTTTGGTTTAATTTGTTTGATGAGTCCCAAAGAATGGATTTACTATTTGCTGAGGAAGAGGAAACACCACCTTTTGAATTTGACAAAAAGCCAACGCCACCACCATTAGACAAACTTCTCATGTGAAAAGAAGTGGATTTAGAAGTAGAAGAGGTGGACATTGGAGTAGCAGTAGTAGCAGGAGTTAAGACAATTCCTTGTTGTTGGTGTTGATTTTGTTGAATTTGATGCGATTGGTTATTATTGGCCAAATACTTTTCTGACGCAGTATTATTATTGGAGGTGTCAGTGGTTGTTGAAGTAGTAGAAGAGTTGTTTGGGGGAGTGGTTGGTTCTATAATGGATGAGATTGAATTAATGGAAAGATTGTGGGAATGGTGGTTATGGTGATAATAGTTATTCAGTTGATATTGATAGGACATGGTTGAGTCCACAATGTATAAAAAGGGGGATGGTAGTGGGGGGAAAGACTATCCTTTTTAATTAAAAACAACAGAAGTAACTAGTAGATGTTGAAGTGATCTCTATCTTACCAAGATGAAAACAAAAGAAAAGAAAAGGAAAAGAAGGTTGTTGGTTGAATAAAAATCTTTCTTCAGCTTTAGTTTGAAAGAAAAAAAAGGGAAGAAGAAAGTGAAGGGGAAAGAAGAAAAAAAATTTATAGTGTGTGTGTGTAAGTAAAAATGTGAGTTGTGGTGGTGGTGGTGGTGGTGGTAGTAGTAATGGTAGTGGATTAGGCCCAGTACAGTAGCAAAAAAAAGGGAAAGGAAATGAAATGAAAGGAAAAAAAAAAAAAAGAAAATTGTTTGTTTGTTTGTTTGTTTGTTTGTTGGTTGTGTGGGAGTGAGTAAAGTGAATGTGCAAAATAAATCAAACTAAGAAATTTTATTTTTCTTAGTGTTTAATTTAAATTAAATGTGTGAACAAGTAAAACAACACTCTTTGGTTCAAATAGTTTAAATTATTGTTAAACTATTCCTATGTCTAATAATGGATTGATTCACACTCTTCAACAAATCTTACTCAATTAGTTGTAATAGCCTTTTTTTTCAGTAGTAATAACTAACCAAATCAAACAATCTCAGTATAGTATAGATATATAATTGGGTAACAATGTATTGTAATTACTCAAGTTTTAAAATTTCTCTCTCTTACTTGTTAGTCGTGTAAAATCTCCTAGCCCTAACAAAAAGAAACCAAACAGAAACAGCCCCAAAAAAAGGACTAAAAATCAGTATGGGTAATAAAAAAAAACTTTGAATAATAATCAACGAGTTGATAATTCGATAATCACAATTGACCAATACAAAATACCAAGCAATTAGATCAGAAACAAAATAGTAGTACACTTATCAAGTTGTACAATATCTGTTTTGTAGTTAAAGTATAATATATGGGAACTGTAGTTATTATTCCGTGGAATGTATGTAAAATGCTCGTGTCAACTATGATGGGAATAAGCACTACTAAACAAAAAAAAAAAAATTATCTAAGATAACTCTCTCTCTCTATACTAATCAGCAACGACAACGAATTAATGAATTATAAATTGATGATGAATTATGTTCTTCTTTTCTTTAGTCGGTTTATTCTTTATATCAATGATAGACCAATTAGAAATATATATGGAAGAACTGATGAGTTGGAAGGTTGGTTGTTGAGATTAGAAAGGAAGGAAAAGAAAGGAAGAAAATCTACTAACAAAAATTGAAAAAAAATTTTTTTCTCTCTTTAAATTTATATCCCATAGACAGGAAATAAATTAGAACAAAAAATAAAAAAAAAAAGGAGAACAATCACAAAGAAAAACAGGAAGCAAATCAACAAACTCAAACCGAAGACTCAAACCAAGTGGGAAGATCAATATGTTAATTCATTACTATTTTTAATCAAAAACTAACACTTTAATTCTGTGTCCGATGTTTCATGTTGATATATAGAGGAAGTTCAGGCGGAGAGAGAGAGAGGGAGTGGAGCTATATGATAATGACAGATCATATATAATAATAACCACATTCAATTATCAAAATCGATTGCTTTCAAGTTTCTTTTCTAATTGACCTAACCCACACATTATATAAAAAAAAATTGTGATAGTATATAAAGTACTTCTTACCTGGAAATGGTATTTTTCCTTTTTTGCTCTAATTAAAAAAAAAGTGTCGATTTCATTCAATTTAAGAAAGGGGACATTCTACATATATACAAAAAAGTCAAAAAAAAAGAAAGATACTCGGGGATTATTTTGGATGCAATAGTTATATATTACCAAGAGGAAAGAGAAGGTGCAAAACTTATATATGTTTACTTCATCACTTTAAAATTTGATTTAAACCATTCTTTCAACCATGACTATATTTTGTAATAGTATTAATTCAATTTTGGATATAACTCATTCAATTCGCCGTAATGATGATCGTCTGGGTCACTTATTCTCGTGTAAAAAAAAAATTTGACCTTGTGATTTGTTTGTATTCTGTATGCCTAAATTCTCTTTTTTCTTTTTCTTTTGCTTTTACTGTTGTTGTATTGTATTGAATTGGTGGAACTGTACATCATTCCCCTTTCTCCTTTCTTGTGTCAAGATAAATGTCTCTTTATTATTATTAGTTCATTAACGGTTGTGATGTCTTAATCTTTCTCTTTCCGTATTCTCAGTGTCGGCGACATTCCTCTTTCTCATTTAGACGAACTTTTTTCTTTTCTCATTCTTTGCCTAAAAAAAAAAAATCTGCTTATATAATCAAAATTTATAATGCTACTGCAGTAAGTCTGAGATACACCACACCTCTATTATCCGGATTTCACTACACGTTGCACACAAAACATTAATAAATACACCATCCATGGTAATGTTGATGAATAAACAGAACTAGACAAGGCGGTCAAGAGATAAAATCCACTACTTTGAAAGATAAAGAGAGTAGCCACCAATGGATTAACTTTACTCCACGGATGTGTTATAACCTTCTTTTTTTTTGTCCTTAGGCTTAGTTTTAATTGTATTACTTGTGATGAAAAAAAAAAAAAAACAGTGGTCCTTACTAACAATATAGCCAAAATAAAAGAAAAATCATACACTACTTTGATAGACAGATAGAGATAGAAAGATTGTTATTTGAATAATATCCCCTTGTCACGTATTTAATGTTTTTATTGATAATAACCAAGTCGTGACAAACTCAAAAACGTACAATAAGTATAATATATGTGTCTAGTGTGTAGTGTATAATTGGTCAATTTTTAAAATTACATTACAGAAACAAAGAACCAGGACAAAAAACACACATACACAGCTTTTCATGGTGCTGTAACGGTACATGATGCGTAAAAAAGCAATGATCAAAAGCGTATATATTACTGTTTCTAATGGTTGATATTCAGTAATATAAATATGATCCGTAGTATTCAAATATTTCCGTACTGATCTAGAATTCTTCAATTATTTTTTATTTAGCAGTCAATTCATACCATTACTTTCCTTAAAAAAAAAGAAAAGTTCAAAATTGTGCAACTAAAAATAAATCAATACAAAAGTAATATCACATATATACATACATACCTGTGTCTATATATGCGTATTACTAACAACAACTTCATCTTTTTTTGTTCAAACTATATTATTACTGTCTTTCTCTATCCCCCTTTCAAATTACTACAATAAAAGAAACAACAACAACAACAACAAAAAGATTAAAAACCCAGTGATTAAACAAAGAAATGTATTGGGATAAAAATTATCAATAGTACTGACATAATACTACTCTCTTAGAAGCTCCATGATACTGATAGAAATTTCTTTCAATTTCCTTAGCAAAAATATGATCCAAGTATCATTTATCAGTTGAATTTTTTTGGAATTTTTTTTTTTTTTTTTGAACTTTTTGCAATTTGTCTGTCAAGACATTTTCAACCATTCCTGTAATTATTTAAACCATAACCTTTTTGCCATGTTTTGTTTTTGTTGTTTTGCCAATATAAATATAAGCCTGTACTAGAAAAAGAACGTGATCATTGAATGACCCAATTTAATTACACTAACTTACTTTGAAACACACTCACACACAACACAACACAACACATATCTACACATACACATATATAGCCTGTTTCTAATTTTACAATTGCAATGGTATCTCGAAACAGAGAGGTTTGTTTTTGCTAACTAATGTACTAACAAAAACCAAAATGAAAGATTGTCATAAATTCTGGGATTAACTAATCAGTTTCATAACCATTATCCTTCCTGTAGTTAAGAATATACAATATGTCATCGGAGTTATGAAATTATATTTGAACAGAAAAATTAAATTCACAAATGTATTTTTACATACTTTACATTGTTTAAAATTAGTTCAAATTTAAATACCGGGATTAATTCCGTTCAACAGTATCTCTTGGTGGGTAATCTTGAAGTATATGACTAATGATAATAATAGTAGATCAATTGTCAGATTGATTATACACACATATATATATATATATTAACCAATTAATGATTACCAGATAAAAACCTTAAACTTGCTATTTTTGATTTTTCTTAGTAAAATAAAAACCAAGACCAATACCTTAATGCATCACGTGACACATATTGTTGTTTCTAAAATTTAATTGGTTAGATCAAAATTATTTTGCATTTAAAGATCTGCAGTCATTTTTTGTTTCTCTATTATTATTATAATTATGAATATTTCATTTTAGGATAAAACGGTATTGAACCATATATATTCCCAAACATAATGCTATGACAAAACAAGGGGGCGGAGGACAAGCACGAAATGTTATTCAATGAGATTAACTTTTGTTTTGTTTTGTTGGGTTGATGAAGCTTTGAACATATACATTCTTTCTATTAATTTCTATTTTAAGTAGGCGATAATACTCAACCACACACACACACATAATGGGGAAAAAAAAATTAAAAAGGGGTGTCGGAGTGCCGACAATTTGTGGGAATGATTCTAGAACCATTTCAATGAAAATGGATCTCGAATATCCAGTTGTCTTTACAAACTATATTCAAAGTTTATCCACATGGAATATTAAAGGAATTTCATGTTTTTAATAAACATACAGTATCTATTAAACGAGGAGAGCGTGTTAACTATTGAATTAACCATTATGCAGTGAAAATCTCATTTCATGGAATCTTGAGAATTATTACCAAAATTAGGCAATTGATTACATATACATTCTACTATTCACATGATTAGCATAAATTGAACTCCTCTTTGATTACACTCTCAGACCGTAAAAATTTAGTTGCAAAAGAGAAAAAACAAGGTCTTTTATAATATTACTCTATAAAGTATCTATCATTAATTACATATTTGTTGAAAATATCAATTGCAAATATAAATTCTCCAATTTGTAAACCTTGATCATTAGTTTTAGTAGATTCATAAATTCTTCTAAATATTCTTCTTTCTTGTCTTTGTTGAATAATTTCTTTTCTTTTAATTTGTTCTTGAGTATCAGGAAATTCACTTTTCATAAATCCTGGAGGTGATTGAAATTTATCAAATAATTGACTTAATACATCTTCAAATTTTCCAAATTTTTGAACTTCTGGTTTATCTCCAAATATTTTAATAAATTTCTCATATTTAACCTCATTTTTAATATTATTTTTTTTAATAAATTTCATTTGTTCATCAAGTTGATGATTTGGATTAGGTATAAAATCTCCAAAATCCCATTTAATCATTTTAGTAGGATGTTTTTTAAAATTGATTTTAAAATTAACATCATTTTTAAATTTATCAATATAGAATTGTAGTCGATATTTTCGTTGTAATATAACTGTGTTGCAATCAGGTGGAATTTCGATTAATGGTAAACTCCCAGAACCTGACGTGGTGGTTCTTGGTGGTGGCATCATTAATTGTGATGGAGTATTTGGAATTAAATCCTCAATTTCTTCTTGTGAATCTTCAATTATTTCTTCTTGCTCTTTCTCTTGTTCTTGTTTTCCTTGATTAGTTTTAGGTTTAGTAGGTGAAGAAAAAATTACATTGTTGATAGATTCTTTAGTTGGTGATGACTTCAAATAGTCCATTATTTCTTTCTGAAAAACAGAATCTGAACTTTGTGAATATTGAGTTGGTAATTCATGAATATTAGTGCTTTTCAATTGTGAGTTTTTCTTTAATTGTGAACCCGACTCTTCTTCTTCTTCTTCTTCTTCTTCTTGTTCTTCAGTTGATCGACTAACTTCAACTTCTTGAGCTAACTTGGGAAATGGAGGTGGATACATCTTTTTCCCATTATCTAATCGGGGTATTTTCTTTAATGGACTTAAATCTTTCGTTTTTGTATTATAGTACAATTTTCTCTTAGGACTAATACGTGATGAACCTTGTGATGAAAATAAAATATTTGATTTCTTTGGTGATAGACTATCTTTATTAATATCATAGTCTTCGTCCTCTGAAGATGATGAATATTGAGTAGGTAGATCATGAACACTGACATACATTGATTTAGTCAATCTTGGATCAAATTCTTTTAGTTTTTCATCGTCATTCAATAATTTTTGTATCTGTTTACTTCCAGTTAGTGAGACACGTTTCTTAATGGGTGATATTTCTAAATCCGATTTCTTTATTGGGGATTTTTGGTCATTTCGTCGAGATTTAAGTACGGCTATTTCTTCATCTTTCAAATTAATTATCTCTTTTAAATGTTTGATTTCTTCTTCGAGTTTTTGAATCTTTAAATTATCTTCACGTTTCAAATTGTTAAGTTCTGTATCTATTAGACCTATTAGATCCTTTGTAAATTCCGGTCGTAGACCCAGCATGGTAATATTCTATTGGATAATCGTTTGTTTACGTTTAGTAAATTACTGTGCAAAATCTCAACCTCAGAAATATTCCACGAAGCAAGCCAAAAACAAAATCTTACAACCAAAGCCAAAAAAAAAAAATAATAAAAATAAAAAAACAAGAGAAGAAGAAAACGAGAATTTTTTTTTCTTCACTTGTTAATCATCAACATCATCATCTCTAGTAATATCAATTATGTTTGGATCCACAACTCAATCATCTACAGCTCCATCATTTGGAGCTTTTGGATCTAATGCAACAAGTGCATCCGCCTTCGGATCTAAACCTGCTGGTACAACTGGTGGAGGATTATTTGGTTCAACTACAGCTAATTCAACTCAACCATCAACTACAGGTGGATTGTTTGGTGCAAAACCAGCTACTAGTACTACTACAGGAGGAGGATTATTTGGTTCATCACAAGCTCAACAACAACAGCAATCACAATCAGGTGGATTGTTTGGAGGACAGCAACAACAACAACAACCACAATCAGGTGGCTTGTTTGGATCTTCACAACCACAACAACAGCAATCGGGTGGATTATTTGGATCTTCACAACCACAACAACAACAATCAGGAGGTGGGTTATTTGGTGCCAAACCAGCTACTTCTAGTACCACCGGCGGAGGACTTTTTGGAACCCAAAATAATACAACAAATACTACTACTGGTGGGGGATTATTTGGTGCCAAACCAGCAACTACCACTGGTGGTGGATTATTTGGAGGTAATCAACTGACAACAACAACTACTGGAGGAGGATTGTTTGGTGGTAATCAACTGACAGGTGGTGGATTATTTGGATCTAAACCTGCAACCACAACAGGCGGAGGATTGTTTGGCAACACTCAACAACAACAACCACAACTTCAGCAGCAACAACAACAACCACAACAACCACACTTGACTGCAATGACTAGAGTAGGTGATTTACCTGCGAATATCAAAAATGAATTGGAACAATTTGATAAATATATAAACACACAACATTTAATTGCTACGACTTTAAATTCAGATATGAGTAAACATGATGATTTAATTAATACCATTCCTAAAGATATAAATTATTTACAAAACAAAGTATTATCTACTAAACAAGCATTGAAATCAGATTTAAGTCAATTATTAAATTTGAAAAATTTAAATAATGAAGTTACTGAAGATATAAATAAGATTATGCAATTGATTTTGCAATTAAGTACACCAGGTACAAAATTGAGTAGTTCATTTCAATTGAATGAATTTTTCATTAAAAAAATCAAGAAGTATTACGAGTTATTAAATTATTATGAAGGAGTGATCAAAGATATTGAAGGTATATTATCAGGATTAGAAAAAAGTTGTACTGAAGGGTTTGGTAATTTGTTTAATATCGTGGCAGTTATTAAATCTCAATATAAATTATTCATGGAATTATGTGAAACAATGGCACAATTACATAATGAAATAAATAGATTAACTAGATAGAAAGACAAACAGACATCAACACATAATCAATTAAATGTATTATTATTTACTATTACCTATTATCAACATCTTACATTAATGCCTTTTCTCATTTCTGATTCTCTAATTTCAAACATGATTTGAGCACCAACAAATAATGCACCTGATGATATTATAAGAAACCTTACTCCATCAAAAGTTTTAAATAAATCATGTAATAATTTCCACATTCCATCAGTACCTAAACAAAACCCAACTAAATTAGCAATCATCATCATCCAAATATTAATGACTGCACCAACACCACATAAATGTCTATACCACCATTGATTACGATATTTCTTAAATATCATTGTTACTGAAATTTCAGGAATCAAAAACAATACAACTAACCAACCCCACATTAATAATTTTAATTCAATATCATGCCAAATAGCAACAAAACTGAACACCAATAAACTATTCAAAATTCTATATTTTCCTCCACCACCCATTGGAAGATAGATATATCTAATTATCCAACGATTATAAGATCTATGCCATGCTCTCCAAAATGCTAAAGCTGAGAAATTATTATCCATACAACGAATCATATTTTCTGGTGGATCAATACCATCTAATAAAGACCATAATCTAAATAATCTCCAAGGAATTAATAATTTTAACCAAATTATATTTAAATTAAACATTCCCAACATTGATATTTGAAATGGCGAATTGCCTTCCCATGATTTTGTTTTTGAAGCTGCAACAACATACATGAAATGAAGAATGAATTCTAATGTTAATAAACAAAATATAAATCGAATTAAATACATCATTATTCGATGATAGTCTTTTGTTGATGATGATTGTTGATAATTTGACTGATAAATATAATCATTAAAAGTTAATATTGGCCCAGCAATAAATAATGGAGTATATGTAAGATATGATATATAATTGAAAATATTGTAATCTTCAATTGGTAATGGTGCCGTTAATCTTTCACGATCATCTAAATTTAATAATGAACCGTTCGATTCTTCTTTTGGTAATGTCATATTATTCAATTTTTGTTGTCTTTCAAGATAATCAAAATTAAATGAAATCATACGAAGTAAAGTAAAATTATAAAAAACATCCCATCTTGGAATTATACCAGTATATCCTGTTGATAAAAAACTTAATCCTAAAGTATAATTTCCATACCATTCATTGAAAAATAATGAAGAAATTCCATATATCCAAGTTATCCATAATGAAAGTTTATAATTTTTAATATATTTCCCAATTAAATAATTTATCAATAAATGAATTGATAATTTTAAAACATTAACCCCATGAGCCCCAATTAAGAAAATTATTCCAAATATAAAATCAAAATAAGTTCTCTTACTACTTAATGGTATTATCCTATTGATAACTCTTCTTAGTCCAACATGAATAATAATTAAGAGACATAATAAAGGGAAATTGTTTCTGAAAAATCGATATTGTTGATCAGAATTATCAACTTTTCTACCAAATATCCATCCATTACTTAATAAATGTTCATATTTAGGATAATTTGGATTATTTTCATTTGCTGATTCCATACCTGCTTTAAACATTAATGGTACAATTATTAAAAATACAAGATAATAAAATTTGAATTCTATTGTTGACCATCTTGATTTTGGATTTGCTTGTTTGATTATTGATTGTTTCTTAGCTGTATTTGAACTTGGATATAATCTTGTATCTAATGTCTCTAATGAAAATAGTTTTAGTATATCCGTAAGATATGACATCTTAATATGGTACAGAAGTATGCAATTGGTTGGGATTAGATGATATCTGGGTATCACCATTCGTGTCAAGTATTTTTTTTTTTTGCTTTTATGAACGGAGAGAGAAATTTCACAATCGAGGGGAAGGAAAAGGAAAAGGAGAAGGGGAAAATTTTACATCTCAATATCATCATCAACAACAACAACTACATCCAGTAGCTAATAGCATCATCATGTCTAACGATAATCAACCATCTGACGATTTTACACGTCGTCCAAATCCAAAAGGTTGGACAGCACCAAAAGCACCATATAATCCATATGATCCAAATGATATTAGACCAGCTGAAGGTTATCCATCAGAATATAAGATTCCTGGACAAGAACCAAGTGGATTTTCATCAATACCTAAAAATCCAACTCAATATCAGAAAATAAATGAAATTATGGAAAGATTAAATTATACTGCTCGACCACAATCTGATTTATATCCTGGACAATATAAAGTATTAAGAAAAATCGAAACTAATAAACGATTAAACTTAGGATCAAGATATTTTGGTACTTTAATAATGAGTGGGATTAGTATATATGCATTATTTTTCCATAGATGGAATGAAGGTAGAGAAAACGTATTCAGTGATTTTTATAGATTTCAATTAAAATTAAAAGAACAATTATTAGGTGGATTAAATGAATTGGACTATGATGATTTATATCATCCTAAAGCAGCAGGCATTGTGGTTAAGAATGTTCCTGATGCAGTTTATATTCCTGATGATATGAAAAAGACCAAAGAAACTGAGTATAATTTAAATAGACCTAGTGAAAAACACGTCTTGGAAGCTCAAAGAATTCAACAACAAAATGAAGAAAGAATGTTGAAAGAATTGGATTATCATAAAGAATTTGCAAAAAGTTTCATGAAGGAGAATGATATATCTGTCGAGAACCAAGATGTACTGGTGGTGCCAAATCAAGATCAAAAACCTAGAAAGAAGTGGTTTGGTATTTTTTAATATCTGGTGTAAGTATGTATGTATGTATGTATGTATTATTTATTTATAGTCATTTGTATATAGAGAGAAAGAGAAAAGAAATATCTATTCGTTGTTAGTTATTCTACCATCGCGTATATGTGCATACAGTGGTACAAGCTGTTCCAAGATGAGGTGTACCATCACATGGTTGAATCGGTTCACAAATGAAATTCCTTTTAGATCTCAATTCGTATAAACAAAATTACGCCGCATTTCCGCTTTTTGACATCACGTTGGATAAACATCAAAATTTCTTTTTCTCTGACAAGGAACATTTTTTTTGATATTTTTTTTTTCTTTTTTAAGAAATTGCTTTCTTTCTTTCTTTCTTCTATTTTTTTTGATTTTGGGGTTTGACCTTTATCAATTAAGAATATGCCAGTTCATGAAAAGATCCCGATAACATCATCTTTCTATAACATTGCCGTACTAGCAATTAAGGCAATTTGGTTATCATTTTGGTCACTTCTTGGTTTCACAAACTTGTATCATGAACCACAACAACAATTCACAACAACACCTACAACAATAAAATCTGATACAGATTGCAAAAGTGATACTGATACCTTCAGATCTAAGATAATTGATGCAAAAGACATAAATGAAATTGTTGAAGCTTCTGGATATAGAGTTAGAGAACATGTAGTTACTACTAGAGACGGATATTTATTGGTGATCCACAAACTTGAAAATCCTAAGCTTGTTGGAAAACATCATATCAATGCTTCCAAGATTATTTATTTTCATCATGGATTAATGACAAATTCTGAATTGTTTGTATTGGGAAGTACTAAATTGAAAACATTGCCTTATTTGTTGGTTGATTTAGGTTATGAAGTTTGGTTAGGTAATAACAGAGGTAATAAATATTCAAGAAAACATTTAAAATTACCAGCTTCTGAACCTAAATTTTGGGATTTTTCTTTGGATGAATTTGCATATTTTGATATTCCTGACAGTTTGACTTATGTTAAGAATTATTATGAAACTGTTCATCATAGTCCATTGGATCCACAAATCATATATATTGGATTTTCTCAAGGCTGTTCTCAATTTTTTGCAAGTTTAAGTTTATATCCTCATTTGAATACCCAATTAAGAATGTTTATTGGTTTATCCCCAGCTATTATTCCTCAGAATTTAAAACATCCAGTATTCAAGTTGATTGTCAACCATACTGCAGATGATAATTCATTTTTGTATAGTTTGTTTGGAAGAAGGGCTCTTTTACCATCAGTAGCATTTTGGTCTACCATTTTGGGACCAACATTATATGAAAAAGTAGTTGATATTAGTTTGCAATTATTATTTGGATGGAAAGGGGAGAATATTTCACAAACGCAAAAGGAAATGGGTTACCCTCATATGTTTTCAAACTCATCAGTTAAATCATTATTACACTGGTTTCAAATCATTAAAGCAAGAAGATTTCAAATGTTTGATGAAACTTGTACTTATGGTGTAACTAAATTGTCTGCATTCAATAAAGATCTGAAATCAAGAGGAAATAGAGTTGCACCTTTCCCAATTGCCGATCATTTAGATGTTCCAATGCTTATATTTTATGGTGATAGCGATATTTTAGTAGATGTTAACAAGATTAAAAACTTGGTGGTTGATAATAATCATAAAATGAAGGATAAATTGGAATTTGTTTTATGTCCAGGATATGAGCATATGGATACTTTATGGGCAGAAAATGTTTATCATGATGTTTTCAAACCAATAATTGATAGATTAGAAGCAATTCAAGTTCCTGAACCAATTGAAGGTGAAACATTGCGTGGATTAATTAGAGATCGTGACCAAAGATTAAATGACAGTTCAACAAAACTCAACAGTTTGAATAGTAGTTTTATTTTAAATGAAAAACCACTATCAAATGGAGGTTCTAACAGTTTAAGAAATGTTAATGGCAATTTCTTTACTGATAAAACGACAACTGGAAGTTATAAAACTATGGAAAAAGTTAATGGCAGTTTCCTGAATAGTGATAATGAGAAAGAAGTTGAAGTTACCGACAGCTGGTGAGTTTTACCACAAAAAAAAAACAATGTGCGTGAACAAAAAAAGACAAATTTTTTAGGGCTAAATGCACTTCATGAATTCTCCCTTTTAGATATAGATACTAGAGATATAACTAGAGTTATGATTTTAAATAATTAGATACATGTATACGTTGAATTATGATTTATGGTATATTATTAACATAGTAGGTTCAGGTTCTCTACTTTTCTAGTTTTTAATAATACAACACAATTGATCTCATCGTGTGCCCTACTCATCACCAGTCGTGTCTCGACCAAATCCAATTTACTATATAAAGACCTTTTTTCCCACTGAAAATTTTTTTTTATTTTTTTTTTTTTTTCCTTTTCTTCTTTTTCTTTTTCCTTAACGCAAAATTCACAGCCATTAACAACGTCAAAGCGTTCCTTCGAGGTTGAACCCAATTATTTGGCGTTCTTGACCCATGACCTTTGGAATATTGTTGTACTTTATGTTTTATTTGATGGACTGGAGAAAAAAATTCATTGATCTTGGGTGCAGCATCTCATCTGTTTTGAGATTAACTTTGTTTTAATTTCCTAAGGGTTAACCTTCGTGTGCCCGTATGGGAGATGGTGCAATGATCAGTGAGACATTTCATTTATATAATAATAATAATAATTATTATCGTTATTTGTTAAATTGTAGATTATTTAGTAATAGGCATAGTGTAATACAATTGACCCATTTGATTGACCTGTGTTTAATATCTATCATCAACCAGTTTCAACATCTCAATGGATCTATAGCAATGATAGTTAGATCTGTGAATGAACAGAATTGACCATTATGAGCTTCATTAGCATTCAGTTACTCTCATTTACCTGTTGAACAAATTATCAACAAGAAAAAGAGAGAGCCAGGCAAAAAAAAATTCAAGCCGCAGTAGATAACTCTTTTTTTTTCTTCTACTATTATTGACTTCAACATAGTTATGAAATCATTTTACCTACTACTTTATAGCACCATTGCAGTGACAGCATTAGTTCATGAATCTTTAGAAACTCCGGCTCCATTCTTACCTGTCAATACAACTTATCCACAATGTTCTGATGTTATTAATCAACCTCATTCTCAACAATGTAAATTCATTAAAGATAATAATTGTACATCTGAAGGATTGACCAACTATTTTGAATTTTATTATTGTAAATATTCATTTTTACATTCATTGGCAATTATCCCATTAAGTATTAGATTGTTATTTTGTTTCTTATTAGTTGGAATAACTGCTTCAGAATATTTATGTCCAAATCTTTATACCATATCAAAATTTCTTAAATTACCTGATACACTAGCAGGGTTGACATTATTAGCATTTGGCAATAGTGCACCAGATGTATTTGGTACTTATCATGCTATAAAATCAGATTCGTTAAATTTAGCAGTTTCTGAATTAATAGGGGCAAGTTTATTTATCATGACTGTTGTTGTAGGAACAATTGCAATTGTACAACCTTTTGAAGTTCCAAAAGAATTATTTCTTAGAGATTGTATCATGTATTTCATTGTATTTCTGTTGGTTGTTTTATCTTTGATAATTGGGAAATTATTAACTATTATATGTATTTTGCTAGTTCTGTTTTATGTGGCGTATGTTGGTGCAAATATTTATTCCCATTCAAAGAAAAAGGCAAGAATTGCTAAATTACTAAGAACTCAACGATCAAGAGGTCAATATAGTGATGGAACTACAACTAGTAATAATGAATAAATAGATGAAATATACCTTGATGGTATTGCTTCATTACCAACGATTGATGAATTGAATCTTGAACAGATTAAACAACAAGTGGATGATATTAGGGAATTACCAAGTCGTGATTTAAATGCTGCAACAGTAGGTACATTTGGATTAAAAATGTTATTACATGATTTATCAGAACATTCTAAAATGAAAGGATCAATTCTGTTGACTTCAGAGAGACCCCTAACTGTTGATGAAAATTCAAGTCCAATTGAAATTGATCAAAGATACTCTGAACAAAATCAATATTGGATTGATTTGTTTTTCCCACAATTAAAATTTTGGAATGAATCTGGATTTAATGATAGGGCTTATATGGTGGTGACATTACCATTACAATTATTATTAAGAATCACTTCACCATCAAGAGATGAAAACAAAATCAATGAAATAACCAATGATATTCATACATTCACTTATGATGATGAACCAATTCCTACATTTGATTACAAGCAAGATAAAACATTAACTATAGTGCAAACATTTTTAGGGACATTATTCTTATGTTTTAGTGTATTCAATAAATCCTGGTTAATGTTATTCCTATCAATTATAATTGCTTCATTATCCACGATTGCAATATATAATATTTATCCAAGTTATGCCACCACTAATTTCATTTCCAATATCAAACTAATCAATTATTATACCTCAATTTTCGGATTCATTTTATCAATCTGTTGGATTTCATTTGCTGCTGATGAAATCATCAATATTTTGCATGTGATTTCAGTTGTTTTCCATTTGAGTGAAGATATTCTTGGACTTACAGTTTTTGCATTAGGTAATTCGGTAGGTGATTTCATTTCAAATTATACAATTGCAAGTATGGGCAAACCAATGATGGCATTTACTGCATGTTTTGGTGGCCCGCTATTAGCTATTTGTAGTTCTGGTCTCAGTGGATTAATTACAAATGGAGATTATGGTATGAAATTTTCATCTACTTTGGCAATCATTTGCACTTCTTTATTTGGAACTTTATCTTTCATGGTCTATATTATTCCCAAGAATCATTGGAAAATTGATAAGAGAATTGGTACTATTCTTGTCAGTATATGGGTTGTCACGTGTTTAGTATCTATACTTGTAGAGATTAATTAAAAGTTATATCGATTGATAATTTTTATATATACAAAGATTTTTATTTTTATTACATTTTTTTATGAAATATTAATTGATAAAAATATACAGCTATACAAGAAATAGTCTTTTAAAGCAAAAAAAAAATAACAGTAGTAAAAAGAAAGGAAATAAAACCATGAAGAAACCATACCTAAGAATAAAATAAAACAATTAAAAAAAACAAAGCAGTAGTAGTCATTATCATAAAAATAACGAGCAATTATTAATTAATCATTAAATTTAATCGACTTCTTCAACTGTTGGACCAGAGTCACCACCGCCTGGTGCAGCACCGCCACCTGGAGCACCACCTGGGAAACCACCAGCAGCACCACCTGGAGCACCGCCTGCTGCACCATAAGCACTACTAATAATTGGATTAGCAACGGATTCCAATTCTTTACGTTTATCTTCATATTCTTCAGTAGAAGCAGCTTGAGAAGCATCCAACCAGGAGATGGTTTCATCAATGGTCTTGGTTAATTTCTCTTTATCATCAGCACTAATCTTATCTTTCAATTCACCTTCACCAATAGTGTTCTTCAATGAATAAGCGTAAGATTCCAATTGGTTCTTGGCTTGAACTCTAGAAGCTTCCTTTTCATCTTCTTCCTTGAATTTTTCAGCTTCACTAACCATCTTTTCGATTTCTTCTTTGGATAATCTACCTTTATCGTTAGTGATAGTAATCTTTTGAGTCTTACCAGTACCCTTTTCTAATGCAGAAACATTCAAAATACCATTAGCATCAATATCAAAAGTAACTTCGATTTGTGGAACACCTCTTGGAGCTGGTGGAATACCAGATAATTCGAATTTACCTAATAAGTTGTTATCCTTGGTCTTGGCTCTTTCACCTTCAAAGACTTGAATCAAGACACCTGGTTGGTTATCAGCATAAGTGGAGAAGGTTTCGGATTTCTTGGTTGGAATGGTGGAGTTTCTTGGAATCAATTTAGTCATGATACCACCAGCAGTTTCAATACCTAAGGATAATGGAGCAACATCCAATAACAAGATATCTTGGGTCTTGGAAGAAGTGTCACCAGTCAAGATGGCAGCTTGAACAGCAGCACCGTAAGCAACAGCTTCATCTGGGTTAATGGATTTGTTCAATTCTTTACCATTGAAGAAGTCAGAAACCAATTTTTGGACCTTTGGAATTCTAGTGGAACCACCAACCAACACAATTTCTTCAACTTGGGATTTGTCAATCTTGGCATCTTTCAAAACCTTTTCAACTGGTTCCAAAGTAGATCTGAACAAGTCAGCACACAATTCTTCGAATCTAGCTCTGGTAATAGAAGTGTAGAAGTCAATACCTTCGTACAAGGAATCAATTTCAATAGAAGTTTGAGCAGAAGAAGACAAGGTTCTCTTAGCTCTTTCACAAGCAGTTCTCAATCTTCTCAAAGCTCTTTGGTTGGTAGAGATATCCTTCTTGTTCTTTCTCTTGAATTCTTGGATGAAAAAGTTAACCAATCTGTTATCGAAATCTTCACCACCCAAGTGAGTATCACCAGCAGTAGCTTTGACTTCAAAAATACCTTCATCAATAGCCAATAAGGAGACATCAAAAGTACCACCACCCAAATCAAAGATCAAGACGTTGTGTTCACCTTTGCTTCCTTTTTTATCTAAACCGTAAGCAATGGCAGCAGCAGTTGGTTCATTGATAATTCTCAAAACATTCAAACCAGCAATTAAACCAGCATCTTTGGTAGCTTGTCTTTGTGAATCATTAAAGTAGGCTGGGACAGTGACAACAGCATCCTTGACAGTAGTACCCAAGAAACCTTCAGCAATTTCCTTCATTTTACCTAAAACCATTGATGAAATTTCTTCTGGGGTAAAGACTTTGGTTTCACCTTTGTATTCAACTTCAACGTTTGGTTTACCACCTTTGTCAATGACTTTGAATGGGAAGTGTTTAATATCTGTTTGAACTTCAGGATCATTGAATTTTCTACCAATCAAACGTTTAGCATCAAAAACAGTGTTTGAAGGGTTCATAGCAGCTTGATTCTTAGCAGCATCACCAATTAATCTTTCAGTATCAGTGAAGGCAACAAAAGAAGGGGTAGTTCTGTTACCTTGATCATTGGCAATAATTTCAACTCTATCATTGGCAAAATGAGCCACACAGGAGTATGTTGTACCTAAATCAATACCGACAGCTTTGGACATGTTGTAATTATAGATGTATTTTTTTTTTTATTTCTTTGAATATAGTCTAGTAAATCTAATTGATTGAATTAAAAAGTAATTAAAAAAAAGACTAAAAGAAAGAATTGAAAAAATATATAATTTCTGGAAATCAAAGTATTGTTGGCTTGTATTTATACCATGAGGAAACAGCAAACTTAAGGGGGAGAAACTATATTATGGGGAGAGCTGCAAAAGTACTGCATATATGTTTGTGGTTTTCAATCGAACTCCATAGAATTCTATGGAACCCGATAGAACAAATAGGTGGGAACTTGCTAGAACTTGCTAGAATCTTCGAGAGAAAAAAAAAAGATATCACAAGATTAGCGATTCACTTCTGGATTTAACACTCGTTCAATTGAGTTACTACAAGTGATATTCAAATATCAATTGACTTGTTGATTTAGGTTTTATGATTAATCCAAGTATTTGAAAATAAGGGTTAAATGAAAAATGTATCGATAAACACAAAAAGTCAAAGCGGGAAAAAAAAAAATCTGAACATTGCTAGATTTTCTATTGAATTCTATGCGACTAAAAATCTGTTGCAAAAATTTGGCCATATTTCCCGAATTATCCATAATGTGGGACAACCAAGCATAGAAAAAAAAAATTTAATACCTCAGCAATTATAAAGGGAATTCCGAGGGAGAGGGAAGACTGTAAGCCGAAACTTGAAGAATTCCCTCGAACAACTGGTTATTCCAAATTTCGAAAGGTCATTGTCGAATGTAATTCTATTACCTGCGTGATTACAATTACAAGGAATCACTGGATTGATGTATCGAAATTGTGGTCTAGGTCAGATGAATCAGCAATGGATTTTATTAATCTGAATACAGGAGTATTGATCTGAAGATTATAGGTTTCAAATTATTTTTGAACATAATGGGAGCATCTGTCAATTCTAGTTAGCAATTCTGTATTAGTGATATACAAGACAAACCGAAACTGACATTGTTCTTTAGCAATATAAAGTAGAAAAGAACCTCAGATTTGTAGGTAACAAACGCTTTAATAGGATTGTTCATGTATGGAACCACTTATTTACTTTTAACTTTCTTAATAGTATACAATTCGGATCTTCTATGAATATTTCCGCTCATCATGTATGAATGTTGGTCATTTTGAATAAATGCCCCCTATTTCCACTTATACTGGTCTAAAATCTTTCTCTATTTTCATATCAGTCTTAATTATAAAACTCGCGTAATCTCAAGTCACTAAAAATGACAAATATAGAGCTAATACCTTATGCCAAATGGTGAATGATTTCATTCTTATTGAATTATTGATCACAATCTTTAGGATAAGCGGGTGGTTTGTAAGTTCAATAGGTATACTGAAGGAAACGATAAAATCTTAATATCAAGCCTGTTTATCATTCTTAATCTAGCATTCTCTTTTGTGATGGTTTTTGATTTGTATTCGTGCCATCTTGTTTTCTAGATTACATTGATTCAAGAACGTAGCCATTTACTCGATATCTGGTCACTTGTATGCATTTACCTAGTGTTACAAATATGACCGAGCCAATTGTTAACCTCGCAACAACTATGTGAAAATGACAATTCCAGCAAGGTGGGAGGGTCAAAATAGAGACACCCTATTAGTAGAGGTTGTAATCTCGGCTTTGATATTTGATCATAGTGACAATAACTGCCCATTAGTTTAAACACAAAAGGCAATAGTATGGTTTAAAATTATCTTTTAATGTGAATCGTGTAGAACAAACATTTCTGAAACAGATAGTTTTTGTGTATCATTAAACTGGTAGCATCATATTCATATACCAATGTACACCTGGCCCCAATAAAATGATCAAGACCTTTATAGATATTAGTTTCCAAGAACATATCTTTCAATTAAATAACATCATTACATTGTAAAGCACTTACCAAAACATTCCCCAGGTTTAGATATAAATTAAATCAATAAAAAGACGTGCCTGAAACCTTACGCGTTTATAGTTTTCATTCTTTTTTTCTTGAATATATACAAAGTTTATATTTGACAAGTTTGATATTCTATATCTCGACCAATAAGATTCTTTAGCGTAATTCTGTGGTTAAGATATTTTTATTGGAATGAAGATCGACGCTGCCCATTACCAATGTTCTTTCCTTCTTTTTTTTCTTTCTCTCTCCCCTTGTAAGAAACCCTTTTTCTGTATTCTCATTAAGGAAAGAATAGAAAAAAAAACCACCGGTTTGTCGCGATATTCAGGTGACATTCCGTGTGAGCATGTCGTCTATTGTTTAAGGATTCCGGCTAAGTCTCTTTGGATTTTATTTTATTTTGTATTATATTTTTTTTTCCTACATCGACCTGTTTAGAGCCGTTGTCATCTCAATGCAATAAAAAAAAAAGAAGGTAACAATAAACAAAACTATCCCCTTTTCGTTATACTACTTGTGCCGTCGTTGTTTTAAATGTGTAACTAACAGTTTGTATCTTATATTTGGATTGTTCTATTTTCTGTGATATTTCTTGGTTTTGTTTGTCCCTGTTAATTTTTTTTTTTTTTTCTAAACGCAGAGTATAAACACAGTATATTTTATTTTATTTTTTTTTTTTACAACCCACCTTTTTGCTTTCAACTTCTTTTTTGTATTAAACTAACCAAAACAATCCATCATATATAATCAAATTGGAATCAAATAGAAAAGTCATGCAAATATGAGTAGCAATGGGTTCTTGTCTAACGGTAATCGACAGCTGATGCTTCGAAATGCCCCAGCAGTACAATTGTCTCACATTCTATCTTCAATCCCAGAGTTTTCCTTCTTTGATGAGTTAATTCATATCCCACAACCGCCAGCATCGGATCAATCAGCAAACATCAAATTACTGCAGCGGGATGTGTTTGACATCACCAAAATATTAGAGGATATCAATTTATATTTGAATGATGTGCTTATGATTTTCAATAATGTACAACTGGGATCAAAACATGTGACTGATCTATTGAATTGGTATTTTGAAGGCAAAACAGCATTCCTTGAACTACTAAGAAATATTGATAGTATTGACTCAATCATTTCCCAATTGTTATTAGTTATTGAGTCATCAGATGTACCTGACAACATTAGTAATAATCTATTGGCAATTTTTGAAGAGATTAGTGATTTGTTATTGGAGGTTAAGAAAGGTCTGATCGTTTTTAAGAAATATCTTGACATTTCCATAAATTACCGAGAATTGATTGATTCTGTTATCAAGTCATTGAGTAATGAAATTGAAGATTGTGTGAAATGTATTTTGAAATTAAAAGAGTTAAAGTTGAGTAGTCCCAAGAAAGTTTTACCAGAATATAATTTGGAAGTTATTACCACTAAAATGAAAGTTAATGATTTGACAAATGGAAATGTTTCTTTTAAAACTATGAGATTACCCACATTTAGTGATTTGGATGAAAAATTATACAATGATTACCTAGAATTGGAAGCCAAAATCGATCCTTTACGAACAGCTATTGGTATTGTTCCTTTGAGAATTGATGAGTTTAATACAATGTGTTCTGGGCAATTGTTTGTCAAGTCTAGAGAAAATGTCTTGGATACATACGAAATATTGGTTCAAAAATGGAACTTGTTATTAAAAGAAAAGAATATATTCAAGAAAGAAAACATCAACGTGAAATGGAATCAAATTTTTGGCTACTTAATTGAAGAAATTTGTAAAGAATGTGATGCGCTAATAAAAAAGATGGACTCCAGTACCTCGACCGATAGTCTGCAAGAAGTTCATTCCACGTCGCCAATAATAACTGATGAAATGGGTAATAAATACAAAATGTGTTCAAGCACCATAACTTTGATACAGAAGGCTTTTAAAGAAAGTATTGTTACCGATCACGAATTGGCTACAATCTTTAATCATGATTTGATTCCGAAATGGAACCAGGTAAATGAGGCTATTTCAAATAACGGTAAAGCAAAGCCATCTCTGAAGAGACTGCTGATGTATGTGAGTACAAGTACAGTAGAATCTAACGGATTGAGATTATTCCAAACAGGTTCAAGAAATTCAACTGCTAGTAGTCAAGATGCACCACGACCAACGAGTAATGGATTGGGTATTGATTTTAATTTTGAGGTGGAAACAAGCACTGTTCCATTGAGCATTGAGAAAACCGATAGGGTTAAGGAAGTGACTAGCGCTGGCGCTGGTCTGCTGAATCATTCAAGAGGCAGGGCTTTGAGACACTCGTTAATTAGTGTATTTGAAGATAATAGTGGTCATGATGACGAAGATGAACTAACAACATTGGTGAAAAGTCCCAGAGTTGAAATAGTTAAAAGGGCTGAGGAACAAGATTTCGAGAAACAGGATGTTTTTGCTAAACAGGAGCTATCGTGTTCGTTTCTGGAAGCTCCCAATAACAATAACTGTGATACCGCAAAAAGTATTGATTTTGCTGCATTGTTTGAAACTATCAGTAGTTCAAGTTTGAAAACAGACTCAAAGTTACCAAGAGTCGCCCCGGACCTTATCAAAAGAGGTTATTCCACTATTCAGATACAGCCAGGGTCAGAGAAAAGTAAAATCCCTGGGGCCAATAGAAGTCGTTCTCTATGTGGGTCTCCAGTTTCTTCGACAAGAAATCTTTTCATGAAACAAGACTCATCTGAATTTGGGTCTTTTGTGTCTCCATTACGAAACAAGAGAAATAGTGCATATTTTTCAACTCGTTCTCGAGCAAGTTCTAATGCTACAGTTATTGGCAGACCCAATTCATTATTAAATGAGATGAAAATCCCCAATTTGAATTATTCAAAAAGGTTGAGCTATAATTTGGAAGGTTTACAAGAAGATGGTTTGACATCATTCGAATCTAGATTTGACGAAGAAAACTTATTACAAGCTCTTAGACAAACTAGTATTTGGAAATAAATAGAAAGATAAATTGTATGCTAAACTTGCTATGTACAGGGTATAATGAAGAGTAATATTATTAATTTGTTTATATTCCTACTCTTTCTTTTCTGAAGTTTGTTTTCGAGTTTGACTAGTGAATCCATCTGTGAAAAAATCTCTACCAAATATCTTATACATCAATGAATTTTGTTCCACATTAATCTTTTCTTGTTCATCAAAATCCCTATTTCCACCATGTGGCAATCTTTCACCCTGTTGAATCTTTTTTGTCGATTTGCCTTCTAATCTTCTGTACATCTCAAAAGATGTAACCCCTAGTACGGGTAAAGATAACAATATCAAGTAAATCCCCTTGTATCTTTGTTTAATTTGAGGAGGTGCTTTTTGCCAATTTGGACGTCCTGTTTGAACTAACTCTTCAACAAATGGGGAACTCTTAGTTTTAACCTTCGGTGTTGTGTTACCTTTGGAAGTGTTGGTTTTATTATTATTATTGTTATTGGTTGTTATTTTAATTGTTGATTTACCTTCTTTATGAAATGATGGTTTTTCAGATGACATCTTGAAGGTTAGTTAATAGATCTGGGGGGGTTAATAGTTGCATTCCATCACTATTATCATTACCTTCTTTTTTTTATTTTTCCTGCGTCAAATGTTGATGTTTCTTACGTTTTCGGGGATCTATTTTTGGAACCTGAAACGACAGAGAGAAGAAACAAATGTAACACTGATCTGAATCAATTCGATTAAAAAAGAAACAGAACGAAAAAAAAAAAAAAAAATTTCAATTGAAATCTTAGATCACAACACGTTTTGAATAATCTAATATTAGTGACTTAAATCCCCGTTAGTATACTAATTAACAATAAACAATGTCCATTGAACAAACTTTACCACAATATTTATCATCTCATGCCAAACCAGAAGGTATTAAATTCACCTATGGTACTGCTGGGTTCCGTATGAAAGCTGACAAGCTTGATTATGTCAATTACACTGTTGGGATCATTGCTTCTTTAAGATCTAAGTATTTACAAGGCAAAACTGTTGGTGTAATGGTCACTGCATCTCATAATCCTCCAGAAGATAATGGTGTCAAAGTTGTTGACCCATTAGGAAGTATGTTGGAAAGTTCTTGGGAACAATACGCTACTGAATTGGCCAATTCTAGTCATGAAGAATTATTACCAAATATTCAAAAATTAGCAACTGATTTGAAAATTGATTTAAGTCAACCAAGTAATGTTGTAATTGCCCAAGATTCAAGAGAATCGAGTCCGGCATTATCCAATGCTACCATTGATGGATTTAAAAGTGTTCCAAATACTACATTCCAAGATTTTGGATTATTCACTACTCCAGAATTGCATTATGTTACAAGAACTTTGAACGATCCTGCATTTGGTGAAGCTAAAGAACATGGTTATTATTCAAAATTGGCTAAATCTTTCAAAGAGATTTTTGCATTGTCTGATTCTAAAAATAAGATCGATATCACAATTGATTCTGCAAATGGTGTTGGTGCACCAAAGATCCAAGAATTATTAGATAACTATTTGTCTGATGAAATCACCTTTAAAGTTGTCAACGGTGAATATAAGCAACCAAACCTTTTGAATTATGATTGTGGTGCCGATTATGTTAAAACAAATCAAAAATTACCTAAAAATGTCCAACCAGTCAACAACAAATTATATGCTTCTTTTGATGGGGATGCAGATAGATTGATCTGTTATTATCAAGATGATGATAGCAAATTTAAATTATTGGATGGTGATAAATTATCTACTTTAATTGCATTGTTTTTGCAACAATTATTTGAAGACATTGATGCTAGTAATTTGAAATTGAACATTGGTGTTGTTCAAACTGCTTATGCCAATGGCTCTTCTACTAAATACGTTGAGGATGTCTTGAAAATCCCAGTCCGTTGTACTCCAACTGGGGTTAAACACTTGCACCATGAAGCTGAAAATTTCGATATTGGTGTTTATTTTGAAGCCAATGGTCATGGTACTGTTATTTTTAACCCAGAAGCAGAAAAGAAAATTTTTGCTTACCATCCAAGCAATGAAAAGGATTCCAAGGCTATCAAAGTTTTACAAAGTTTTAGTCAATTGATTAACCAAACTGTTGGTGATGCCATTTCTGATTTGTTGGCTGTTTTGATCATTGTTCATTACTTACAATTATCTCCAAGTGATTGGGATAACAAATATACTGATTTACCAAATAAATTAGTCAAAGTTATTGTCCCTGATAGATCTATATTCAAAACTACAAATGCTGAAAGAACTTTAGTTGAACCAAAGGGTATGCAAGATAAAATTGATGAATTAGTTGCTAAATATCCTAACGGTAGATCCTTTGTTAGGGCTTCAGGTACTGAAGATGCTGTCAGAGTTTATGCTGAAGCTGATACCAAGGAAAATGTCGAAGCTTTATCTGCTTCTGTATCCGAATTAGTTAAATAGACTATTGTTTTTTTTTTTTTGTGTGTGTGTTTGTGTGGTATAATGAAATGTCAAATACGTAGTATTATTATTCTCCACGATAATGAACTCTTTTGAATTCTCCAGGAGTAGTGAGTTTCTTTCCTAATGACCAAACACCTTTTCTTAAACGTTTTGAATGAGCTTCTAGCTTTCTATACCAATCCTCGTTATCACCAAATTCCGCTTCTGCTTTCCCTTCATAAACAATGGCATATCCTGTTTTTAACATCTCAGCAGATACATCTTTTTTACCTGTCCATTTCCATATTTGTGCTCTGGCCACAACACGTTTATATTGATCGATTGAATATGGAGTTATGGTTACATATTTCCCATCCACATATCCACGTAACCAATTCAATGCATCATCAGCAAATGGTTGTGCTGGTTTACCAAAATGAGCTCCTTCAGGAGCATCTATTCCACATAAACGAATCATTAATGTTTCATCTTTCAATTCTTTTCTAGTAGTTGGTATTTTTCTTAACCAACCCCATCCCATTAATAAGCCACCGGGAGTATGATAAAACCTAAAATTATCACCATCACCAACTCGAGTCACATATCCATATAGTTTCTTATTGTTTTCGATTATTGATGGGGTTAAATCTAAATATGTTCGTACTCTTCTAACATATCGAGTATAAAATCTGTATCCAAGAAAAAGGGATGTTGTTATTCCTGCTGAAAGAAGTAAAACTTTTGGATGAAGAATTGAAATGTCTTGTGCAGGTGTTGGAGGTATAGGTGCCATTGTGTGGTATGTTTTTTGGTCAAAATAAGCTAGTAACTATTGCTAAGGTGATCTGGATTGGTCCAACAACTCATGACAAGCAACCTATTATATTCTTCTCGGTGGATTTGTTTTTTTTCTTCGTTTTTTCTAGCATTTTACTTTGTGTTCTATCCCGCACCAATTTGTTTACATTTTGGCTCGATCGATAAAAATTGATCCAGACCCTGTGAATATGGTCTTTGTCTATATGAGTTATGAACTAAGAAAGTTAGTAAGGTTGGGTAAGACTAGGGTGATTCTCATTTGAAAGAATGAATTGTTCAACCATTGGTCAAATTTTGGCTTTATTTTAATTTGGCAGTAATTTCTTGTAAAAATTGTTGCAAAATCTAGACAAAAATTAAACCCAGTTAAGAAATAACTGCAACTACTAACCACCAAGTAATAAACACCATTATTTTCACGTGTACAATCAATTTATTATGAACTTCAAATCATAACTCGGATTAATACTCCAGAAAAGTGTACTGTCGGATAATGGTATGTATAACTATCCGATAAACAAGGAAGCAATACAGCCGAAATTTATTTAAACGATCGTTCCCATGGTTGTTGCAAGATTACTTTAAAAACCCCCCAAAAAAATCCATAAATGCTTAAATTGTCGTTCCCCTAAGATTCAAAGCCTTTAATTAGAATCACGTTATAATTAAAAAAATGAAGTTAGCATTGATATTTGGAGTTGTTGCTTTTGCATTTTATTCACTTCTTGATAAGTTGTATGATACATGGTTGCCAACAAACTATCGTTTTGACAACAAACTTCTTCATGAACTAGTCAAAGAAACTGTCGCTGAACATCCACTGGCCAACGCAACAGCTATGATGATTGATTTGGGTGCTAAAATTAAACATCATTATCCCGACATTGTCAACGAGTTAAACTTTCAAGATTGGGTATTCAATAATGCTGGTGGGGCTATGGGGACAATGTTTATTTTACATGCATCTATTTCAGAGTATTTGATATTCTTTGGTACTGCTCTTGGTACCGAAGGTCATGCTGGAGTTCATTTTGCTGATGATTATTATATGATTTTAACTGGTCATGAAAAGGCAGCAATGGCTGGGGCTTTACAGCCGGAAATTTACAAGCCTGGTGATTCACATCATTACAAGAGGGGTGAAGTAAAACAATATTATATGAGTCCAGAAGGATTTGCTTTGGAATTAGCTCAAGGATGGATTCCCGCAATGTTGCCATTTGGGTTTATGGATACGTTCAGTTCCACCATGGATTTCAATACATTGTACTTAACAGTGTATTACACAGCAAAGGATATGATTAAAAACTTGTTTCACGGTAAGTTTTAGTCTCTAATTTCTGTGTAGATTGATTTTGTTTAGTTCAACATATTGAAATATAACCTATTCATGCATTGCATATTTTGATGAGCTTTTGGTGATTGTGTCAGTGTGTACGTGTAGACGGAAAAAAAAAAACAAGGAATGTATTTGAAAACTGTAATTTGAAACGCGTCAATAAACGATTTTATTACACTGAAAAAAATATGTGTATAAAAATTTTCCAACACACTATATGAAAGGACACGACATACAAAAAGAGGTGAATGTACAACCTATTTCTTTTTATTTTTCTCTTTTTGGGCGTTCTCCTTGAGAATGCCATTCATAACTTATGGCCCGGAATTTTATGGTTAACAAACAGATCATACAAGCTGTTAACTTGGCTGTCGATAAGAAGTTAGGGTCATAATAAGAACCAAAAGAGGTAAAGTCCCTGAAACATTATGTTGCAATCTTTAGTATTATAATAATTTTTTTTTTCTTTCAAAGTAAAACAAACTCTCACATGCTAAAAATATTCAGGGGAAAGATCATAATAATGATTCTAGCCAAGTTTATCCTGTCTCCTCTCCACCTCCCCATTACACTACATTAATAGTAATTGTACCTAACAACACTAAGTCTTTTTTTTTTAATTTTACTACTTTAGTGTTCCAGTTATTGTCTTGTATACTATTTTAATGTGATACAAAAACTAATCCAAATACCACGTAGAAAAAAAAAATAAAACGCCAAACACCAAACACCAACAAAATTTTTTTTTCTTCTCTTTTGCCTACACGGTTTATATGCAGGCACATACAAAACAATTCAAAACAACAGAGATCAAAGAACGAAAAGAAAAAAAAAAAAATTCAAGGTGTTATTTTTGACCACACCCAAAGAAAAAAAAATTTCGTATATACCAATTACTTTACAACCAACCATTTGATATCTAGAATATTAGATAACAAATTATTCGCTGCAACAGTCTTCATCACTAACCTTACCGATAACTTCTGACATTCAACAAAGAAAATACGACACATTAGAGTCTTATTAATTTGGAATCAAACGGAGCCATCAAAGTAATTATAACGAACATAATCAAAAAACAGAGAGTGTGTGAAATAGACGAGTTTCGTTGGAGGATTTTTTTTTTTTAAGAAAGGAATAATTTTTTTAGGTTATACAAGTCAATATTTCTTTGATTGATCCTTTTTTTTTACTTTTGTTTATAAGTTTTCATTTAATTTTTAATACCTGTGATTTGCTAGGTCCTTTATCAACAGGGGATATTTATTGTATTCATATTAATACCCAGATAGACTACTATTAAACCATGGTGTCATTGTACGATACTGGAACCCGTTGTTGGTATCCAGATGAAAAACTTGGTTGGATAGGTACCACTGTCAAATCAAATAAACAAGATGGCAACAAATATATTATAGAGTTGGTTTCTGAGAATGACGATTCCGAAGTCTTTACTGTGGAAACTGACGACTTGTCCGAAGAAAATCCAAAGTTACCGCCACTAAGAAACCCTCCTATTTTGGAAGCTGCTGAGGATTTGACAAGTTTATCATATTTAAATGAACCAGCTGTGTTGCAAGCGATCAAATTGCGTTATTCACAGTTGAATATTTACACATATTCTGGTATCGTTTTGATTGCAACCAACCCTTTCCAAAGAGTAGAGCAATTATATACACAAGATATTGTGCAAGCATATGCTGGTAAGAGAAGAGGAGAGTTGGATCCCCATCTTTTTGCCATTGCCGAAGATGCCTATAGATGTATGAAAGCAGAAGGTGAAAATCAAACCATTGTTGTCTCTGGTGAATCCGGGGCTGGTAAAACAGTGTCTGCGAAATACATTATGAGATACTTTGCATCAGTCGAAGAAGATTCTGAATTACAACACAATCTCGGGACAGAGCATAAGACTGATATGTCTGATGTTGAAAAGCAAATTTTGGCAACTAATCCTATCATGGAAGCCTTTGGTAATGCCAAAACTACAAGAAACGACAACTCTTCCCGTTTTGGTAAATATTTGGAAATTTTGTTTGACGACAAAACATCGATTATTGGTGCTAGAATCAGAACATATCTTTTAGAAAGATCAAGATTGGTTTTCCAACCTGAAACTGAAAGAAACTATCATATCTTTTACCAAGTTTTGGCTGGTATGAGTGATAGCGAAAAGGAAAAATTAGGGTTGACTACAGCTGATGATTACAAATATACCAATCAAGGTGGCATGCCAGTCATTGAAGGTATCGATGATGCCGAAGAATTCAAAATTACTAAAGATGCCTTGTCTTTGATTGGTATCGATGACGGTAAGCAATGGGAGATATACAAAGTTTTAGCTGGTCTTTTGCATATTGGTAACATAGACATTGCTGCTACAAAGAACGATGCTCATTTATCCGCAGAAGAACCAAGTTTGGTTAAAGCATGTGAGTTATTGGGCATTGATGCCACTGCTTTTGCCAAATGGTGTGTTAAAAAACAAATCACTACCAGATCAGAAAAGATTGTCAGTAATTTGAACCACAAACAAGCTATTGTTGCTAGAGATTCTTTTGCCAAGTACATTTATTCTGCATTATTTGATTGGTTGGTTGATTATGTCAACTCTGACTTGTGTCCAGATGATGTTGCTGCCAAAGTCAAATCATTTATTGGTGTTTTGGATATCTATGGTTTTGAACATTTTGACAAAAACTCCTTTGAACAATTCTGTATCAACTATGCTAACGAAAAATTGCAACAAGAGTTCAATCAACACGTTTTCAAATTGGAACAAGAAGAATATATCAAGGAACAAATTGAATGGTCATTCATTGATTTCGCTGATAATCAACCATGTATTGATTTGATTGAGAATAGATTGGGTATATTGGCACTTTTGGATGAAGAATCCAGATTACCAGCTGGTAATGATCAATCTTGGATTGAAAAGATGTATCAAAACTTGGACAAGGCACCAACAAACAAGGTTTTCAAGAAACCAAGATTTGGACAAACTAAATTCGTTGTTTCTCATTATGCGTTGGATGTCACCTATGATATTGATGGTTTCATTGAAAAGAACAGAGATACTGTTGGTGAAGGTCATCTTGAAGTTATGAAGAACACTACCAACCCATTATTGCAATCTATTTTGGAAATCATTGACAAGAATGCTGCTGCTTTAGAAGCTGCCAAGGCCGAAAGCAAGGCTCCAAGAGCTAAAATGGCCAACAAGAAACCAACCTTGGGTTCCATGTTTAAGAATTCGTTGATTGAGTTGATGAAAACAATTAATTCCACAAACGTTCATTATATTAGATGTATAAAGCCAAACGAACAAAAGAAAGCTTGGGAATTTGATGCATTAATGGTGTTGTCACAATTGAGAGCTTGTGGTGTTTTGGAAACTATTAGAATTTCCTGTGCTGGTTTCCCATCTAGATGGACATATGTTGAATTTGCTGATAGATACCATATCTTGGTTCCATCTGATGATTGGATTAAGGTTATGAGTGGAGAAACTACTCAAGAATCTGTCACTGAATTGTGTAACCAAATTTTGAAAGAAAACATTGAAGAAAAGGAAAAATACCAATTAGGTAATACAAAGATTTTCTTCAAAGCTGGTATGTTGGCTCATTTTGAAAAATTGAGATCAGACAAATTGTTCAAGTCTGCTGTTTTGATTCAAAAGAATATGAGAAAGAGATACTACAGAAAGAAATATCTCGAAACCAGAGAATCTCATATAAAATTGCAAGGTTTGATTCGTGGTTACATGACAAGAAAGACAATCAAGGAAGAACAAGAAAGAAATGCTGCTACATTAATTCAAACATCCATCAGAGGATATTTGGCAAGAAAACAATTTGCTCAAACTCTTTTGTCGGTCATTACTATTCAAAAGTCTGTTAGAGGGTTGCAAGCAAGAAGAAACTACCACAAATTGCGAGAAGAACGTGCTGCAGTTGTTATTCAAAAGTCCTGGAAAGGTTACCAACAAAGAGCCGACTACAAGAAGACCAGACATTCTACAGTGGTTATTCAATCCGCTTTCAGAAGACAATATGCTGTTCGTGAATTGAAACAATTGAAGGTTGAAGCTAAATCCGTCAAGAAATGGCAAGAAGGTACTTATAAATTGGAGAACAAGGTTATTGATTTGACTCAAACTTTGACCACTAAGATCCAAGAAAACAAGGCATTGATGGTTGAAATCACCAACTTGAAAGAATTGTTAGATCAACAGGGCCGTGCTCATGAAACCTTGAAGACCCGTGAAGTTGAATTCAATGAGAAGTTTGATTCCCAAAGTGTTGAACATCAACAAGAAGTTGAAAACTTGAACCGTGAATTACAAGCCATCAAGGCTGAGTACACTTCCGCTGAAGCTAAGATTGAAGAATTGCACAAGGAACAAGCTGAATTGAAGGAAGAAGTCAAGAGAACTATCGAAGAATTGACTCAAGCCAAGGATGATCTTGTCAAACGTGATACCATTGAAGTTGATTTGAAGACTCACATTGAGCAATTGAAATCTGAAATTTCTCAATTACAACAACAAAGATTGGAATCAAGAAATGGATCCGGTGCTACTCTCGTCAACAATAAATCCAGAACCGTTAACAAACGTCACAGCAGTGCTGTTGCTTGGAATTCACCAAACTCCCTTGATAACAACAATAGACCAGTTTCAGTTATTGCCGTTTCCAATGATGAAGACGCTAATATCGATGATATCAATGATGAATTATTTAAATTGTTGAGGGACTCTCGTCAATTGCACCGTGAAATTGTGGATGGTTTGTTGAAAGGATTAAAGATTCCACCTTCTGGTATTGGTGCTGATTTGACCAGAAAAGAAGTTCTTTTCCCATCAAGAATCATTATTATCATTTTATCCGATATGTGGAGATTAGGATTAACTAAAGAAAGTGAAGACTTCCTTGGTGAAGTTTTGTCTACTATCCAGAATATTGTTTACACATTGAAGGATGATGATGCTATTCCACATGGTGCCTTCTGGTTGTCCAACACTCATGAATTGTATTCATTTGTCTCATATGCTCAACATACTATCATTGCCAATGATAGTTTAGCTCATGAAATGAGTGAAGAAGAATTTGATGAATATTTGAAATTGGTTGCTGTTGTTAAAGAAGACTTTGAATCACTTTCTTATAATATCTACAATATGTGGATGAAGAAGATGGAAAAAGATTTGGAAAAGAAAGCTGTTTCTGCTGTTGTTTTGTCACAAGCATTACCAGGATTCATGGCTCCGGAAACATCTCCATTCTTGGCTAAAGTTTTTTCACCAGGTGTTCAATACAAGATGGATGATATCTTGAGTTTCTTCAACACAGTCTATTGGGCTATGAAATCATATTTCATTGAACCAGAAGTGATAAATGAAGTTATTATTGAATTGTTGAGATTTGTTGATGCGTTGTGTTTCAATGATTTGATTATGAGAAGAAACTTTTTGTCATGGAAGAGAGGTTTGCAATTGAATTATAATGTGACTAGATTAGAAGAGTGGTGTAAAGGTCATGATATAGAAGAAGGATCCAATTATTTGAGTCATTTATTACAAGCAGCTAAATTGTTACAATTGAGAAAGAATACTGCTGATGATATAAGTATCATCTATGAAATTTGTTTTGCATTGAAACCAATTCAAATTCAAAAGTTGATTTCACAATATTATGTTGCTGATTATGAAACACCGATTGCTCCACATGTCTTGCAAATTGTTGCTGATAAAGTTAAAGAAAGTGATTCTAGTAATGCTGATGATTTGTTTGAATTGGTATCTACTGACGGTCACTTTAATGATCCATTTAGAAATATTGAATTGAGACCATTTTCAAGAGTTGAAGCTTACGTGCCAGCATGGTTGAATTTACCAGTTATTAGAAGAATTGTTGAATTGGTCGCTAAGAATGCATCTGCACAAGAAACACAACATTCTACTATAGAGAATGAAGTTAACGGAAATTAAATGATTGGTGTTGGATTTTAAATAGTTATTTTTTACATGTAGTATTTTATTTTGTTCGTCTTTTTTTATTATTAGTGTTGTTGTTCATTTAGTATAGTCTTTTTGTTTTGCTTTCTTTTTTTTTTTTACACAATTTATAAATATATAGGGATTTTGATTTATTTTTGCATTAAGTCTATTGTTTTCTATTTACATTATTGGTGTGTGTGTGTGTGGGGGGTATAAAGTCCTATTAAATCTATTTCTTAATTTCCTTTTCAGTTTTAGTTTTCATTTGTAATGCATGAACACCATGATTTTTCAACTCATCATCTAATAAATTATAAACTAATCTATGTCTAGCAGGTAAAGTTTTACCATCAAATACATCACTTATAATTTCTAATCTAAAATGGGATTCAGTTACATTAGTGGCACCTCTAATACCAGCATGATGAGCATGTTTATGAGAATCATTAACGATTTTAAAATATGATGGTTTGAATTCATTTGTAATTTTTGAAATTATTGATGCTTCTATAGGTCCTGGATTTTCTGATTTAATTATTTGTGGAATAGAACTAGACATTTTTCGAATGAATTGTTTAAACATTTGACTAAAGTATTTGATAACATTGATAGTGGTTCGGATTTTTTTTTTTTTTGGTTTTCTATCTTGTCTTGATGTTGTTGTTATTTTTTTTGGCGTGTGCGAGAAAAACGAGAAAATGTGTAAGAATCTTTTAGAGTTACGTAATTGGGTATTAATATACGGAATATCATTCAATTGACAACCAACAGATAAACGGTGTTTTGCTCACCATCAATATTATGTTAAAAAAAAAGGAATATTAGATGTTGGTATTGGAATCCAGAATTCGTCTAAAACATTCCAAATCATGAAATTGTATATGGGAAAATTTGAACTAAATTGTCTTGTCTACCTGGGTCACAATAGCCTGTGATGTTTGAATGATCTCGTTTATATAGACATATATTCCTCAAGAAAACAGTAACAACATGAAACACTATGCTTAATAAGGACAATAGTAAGAGTAAGTAATTCCGACAATGATAAACTTTAATTAGGTGAAACATACAATAGTGTTGATTGTATTACAGTGAATTGGTTGATAAAGGGTATCAGATCTGTGTCTAAGATGTATGAGCTCATCCCTTTGCTGCACGGTTAAGGTTGATGATTTGTGAAAGCATGTAGTGGAAATACGGCTATGATGGCTCTGATGATGATGATGATGATGATGAGGTTTACTGAGGGTAGTGCACAAAATCAAAATGAGGGGGTGGTTGTTAGTGTCTGGGCAAAGAAAATAGAATTTGTGTTATTAATTACATGCATGTTCTTAATTGTTAGCCAGCCATCTTTTTTTCTTTTTCTTTTTCTCGTACATTGTACAATATCTAATCATAATCGACACATTCCTTCACCCAAAATGGTAGTAGTAATATTAATCGGCTTGTGTTGTAGCAATAAAATAAAATAAAACTAATTTCAAGTGAAACATGAAAATCCTTTTAATTATTGGATCTTCTTTGTTTGATTTCAAATCAAATTAATTAAATAAGGAAAAAAAAAAATAAAATAAAAAGAATTCCCCATCATCTTTACACATCACTTCTTTCTTTCTTTCTTTTATCATCGATCCACTACAAAGATTCCAAAATCCATTTCCAATCGTTACTTTTAACAACAACCTGATATTTGACTCTTCATTGTTTAAAGTCCCTTCGTTTACCTTATAATTTCTAATTCTATTTCGATTTCTATTTATTTTTTTTTTCCCACAAGATGAATGTCACGAGCAATGGATATTATACACAACAATACTTAAACGAGCAACAAAGAAAACAAGCAGTTCGTTCTCCTTACAACCAACAAAATTTTTACCCAAACCAATCTTATTCTTATTCTTATTATCATCCTAGTTCATATTCCCATTCAGGTTCGCCAAAAGAGTTCATCGTTGAACTTGATGAAAAAGATCCAATTCCTGACTCGTTACCAATGGAGTTTACTCCCCTGCAAAAGGATGTTTTCATGAGTAATGTTCGTCCAAGAAGTTATAAATCAAGATCTGAATCTACTATTTATCCCCCTTCAGGTTCTCATAGAAGTACTGCTTCATTACCAGCAGAACCTGTTGAATATGACGATGTTGAATCAAAAGATCAACTAGAAGAAACTATAACTCCTGCACAATTGAACTATATCAATATTCCACAACAATACACTCCCTATGTTACAGCACCAAGAGGACCATATGTTCCACAAGCGTATTATCCCAGGAAAGATCAATCGTCTCCTGCTCGACATGCAAAGAATAAAAATAATGATTATTATCTTCGTCAAAAGAAACGTTACGATGATGCAAAAGTCGTCAAACCTAAAATGTATTCTCACAAGACAATTCATGATGTTTTTGAAGATAAAAGTGAGAAATTAGATAGATATAATCCAATGGATATGGTATTTGAAAGTGAAAATGATAAACCAAAACCAACATTTATTGATAAAATGCTGAATAAATTAAGTAAAGAAAAGTATGAAGATTATAATTATTATGATCATAGAAAGAAGAAATCCCCACCAGTAAAAGATGTATTTGTTGGAAATGATAGTGATGATGATTATGATATAACAAATGATACGGAAATGGTGGAAGTCGATGAAGTTGTCACTGTTGGAGAAGGTAAAAACAAAGAAACCAAAATAATAAAGAAGAAAGTTCCTTTGAAGAAGATAATGAAACAGAAATTGAATTTGGCTAAAAAAGAATTGGGTAGAGATTTTGCTATGTATTCAAAAAACCAACGAGAGATTAATGAACAACTTAAAAGATCTAAGGAGGAATTGAAGAAGAAGAAAGAGGCAGAGAAATTGGCTGAAAGAATAGCTGAAAAGGAAAGATTGAAAAAAGAAAAATTGGAACAAAAAAGAAGATTAAGAGAAAAAGAGAAACAGGCTGCAAAGAAGAAAGAAGAAGAAGAAAAAGAAGAACAGAAAAATGATAGTGAATCAATTGTGGATGCTAAATCTGAAAGTGACCTGAAATCTGTCAAGAGTAATAAAGAAGAAGAAGGGGAGGAAGACAAAGGAGAAGACAATGCTGCAGAAGCTAATGCCGGTTGGTGGCCATATTTAACTTCATGGTTAGTTTATCCAGAAGACGAAAAGAAAGACACTGAAAGTGAAGGTAGTAAAAAAAGCTTGGAGGAAGAAGCAGAGGAAGAACAGAATGGTGATGACAAAGAATCGGTGAAAACCGGTAAGACTAGTTCAAAATCTGATATTAGTGATGTTTCTTCTGTTAAAACAGTTGTATATGCACCTACTCCGTTTGAAAAGAACTTTAAAAAAGTCAAGACATTTTCGAAAAATTCAAAGAAATTTATGAAACATTGGGATGAACCAGCTACAAAGATGTTCCATCGTGAATTATTAGTCACTCCTCCTTCACTGACAGGTAGTCCTCTGATTGCTCCTACTGCAAAAACAAGGAAAACTATTCTGATTGCACCATCTTCTAAGAAAGCGATACTGATTGCACCATCTTCAAAGAGGGCCCCACTGATTGCTGCAACATCTACTAAATCCTCAAGAATGTCTCAGTTACTTTCAGGATCGGAAAATCAACCAAAGGAAGTAATAATTGAATGTGATCCTGATGAAATTGGATCACGAATCACAGAAGAAATGTATTATAATCCTGTGACAAAACAATTAGAATCAACACCACCTACATCTACTTCGTCGATGCTTCGTTCTCCGAAATCTATTAAATCTGCTAGAACGTCTGATTCAAGATCAATGGTTACTGTTGAAGAAGAAGTAGAGGAACTTGAAGAAGAAGAAGAAGAAAAAACAGGAAAACGTACACCATTTCAATTTCAATTTGATCCAAATGCTCCTATTGTTGTTGTATCTACATGGATAAATTTAATTAAACGTATTCAAATTATGAAAATGTTATTTGCTCCAATAGACATTATTGGTGAATTCATTCCTGGATTACAAGGAGTTGTTGTATTTATTGAATTGGTTTTGTTTGTTTGGATATTATATGAATTAAGTCGTTTGGTAGATGCTCTTTGTATGATGATTAAAGCATTTTGTGCTCCTATGATTGCTGTTGGTCGATTTATGAATAGAGTTGTTTAGGTTTTTTTGGTTTTTTATTTTCCGTATTTACAATTGTTATAATGATATTAATAATATATAAATACAAGTACATTTAATTTAATTTAATTGTGTTAGATAAACGATGTATAAAAAAAAGTATTCAATCAAATAAAAAGTAAGATAAACAATATAACAATCTTGATAATAATAATGAATAATAATAATAATAAAAAAAAAAGGCGGGAACACAACATAAATCCATGTGTGTATATAGGAAATATCACTTAGAATATCAAATCAAACAAACAAAAGGATATTATACAAAACAGAAAATAAAAAAAAACAAAAACAAAAAAGTAAATATTACAAGGTGATCAAAGTGTATTATTAATAATAATTATTTGGATAATTTTTTAGTAATACCACTTCCATTAATTCTAACCCCCTTAATGGTAACCCCTGTTTCTTCAATGGCGAATTTTCTAGGTCTGCCTCTTCTATCTTTCTTCTTCAATAATTCTTTCAATTCAGTATCATTGAAGTTTCCTATTGTGTTGGAAGAACTAAATAATCCACTTATATCCGTATTGGTATTTGTTGCATTGGATGTAGATGAAGATGGTGATTGGCCATTACGAGAATCATCATAATTGTTTCCATCTCGAATTGCTTTATTCAACAGTTTGAAATTTGGATGAGTTGAATCAATCATTGTGTTTGTTGATGGATCTAGTATAAACTTCTTTGGACGTCCTCTTTTCTTTTTCCCTGTAGAGTCTTGTTGTACTTGTGATTGTGTAGATGGGGAAGTTGAAGAAACTGATGAAGCATTCTGTGCAGTGTTTGTAGAGGAAGAATTGTTCTGCTTCTTACTGTCTTGTTGAGTAGAAGACTGGGTAGAAGATGTTTGATGAGATGAAGTTGATGACCGCGATGACATTTGTTGAGAAGAAGTGGTTGCTTGTGTCAAATTTGGTAATGATTGTTGTTCGCGAGAAGAATCGTGTTGAAATTGGGTTTTCTGCAAAAAAGGCTGTTGATAATACAGTTGCTGTTGAGATTGGTTTTGATACAGTTGTTGTTGCTGCTGAGGTGAACTAATCTTTTGAAGTTGTTTAGGATCTAATTGTTGGGGATGATCATTACGATAACCTTGTTGTTGGTTTGAAGATTGTTGTTGTTGTTGCTGCTGCTGTTGTTGTTGTTGTTGCGGTTGTTGCTGTTGTTGTGAATGCTGGTACGGCAGTGGCAGATGAGCAAAGTTTGAAGGTGGTAAACCATTCAATGGTGAAGTTCCAACAAAAGAACGAGGAGGAAGAATTCCACTAGGACTTAAATGTGGCACAAGATTTCCAGCAGAGTTTCTTGGATAAAATGAAGAACCTGAACCTGTTGCTGGAGAACTAGTAGACAGAACTTGCTGTAAATAAGGCTGTCTCAAATTAGATTGTTGAGCAGATGATGATGATTGAGTTGGAATAGATGAAGAAGAATTACCATTAGGAAGATTATTACTTCCAGTGGTTTGGTAAGGATACATAATTTTAGCTTTCAAGTATACTAGTAAAAAAAAAAAGCAAAAAAAAAAAAATATTGGGTTCTTGGTCTTCTAAAGCAAAAAAAAATTGGGACTTTTGTTCTTATTCTAATATTCAAATATCAAATGAAGAAGTACAAATTTTTATTCTTGATTAAAAGCAAGTACTAACAGTTGTTGAATCTTGAAGGTGTTACTGATAAGTAGATTGGTGAAAAGTTTATTGATTCTGGATTTAATATCAAGATGAATTCCTGCTCTTTTTTGTTTTTACTTTATAATAAATAGAAAAAAAAAAAAAAAAAAAAAAAACCAAAGAACGAGAGAAACAGGGAAAATAAAAAAAAAAAAAAAAATTATTAAAAAAAAAAAAAGAAAAAAAAAATGAGAAGAGACTGCATATAAACGAGACTAAAATTTGATACCAAAACACTTTTGATTAATACAACGCGTATAATAAGTATATATATATATATAAGACATAAAAGATCCCATTTGTTATATAAGCATGATTCACATCAACATCTTACTTTTTTTTTTGTTTAACTCTCTATAAGTTTGTTATTTTCAATTTGTTGGCAGGAATTTGAGAAAGTAATGAATTTTCAAAGTATTCTACAAATTGTTTAGAATCAGACACCTTTTCATCAAATTTGATCTTGAATTGAACTCCAACATTGGAAGATCCTGTTTCCAAATATTGAACTGGAGTAGCCAAGCCTAAAAGTTCATCAAAATCATCAACCTTAATTGGTTTTGGTGCAACATTTTCACCATAAAATTTGTAAGTTATATCGTAAACTTCAAATCTATTCTTTGTAACTGGGGCAGAGATTATATCATCAAAAACGTCATACTTGTCATAAATTGAAGAAGCGGTTGGGGAATTGGCAAATTCTGGGAACTTGGTAGCATAAGTGTGTCTAATTGCAGCAGCGACAGATTTTTCAAATGCAAACTTGAATTTTGCTTGTGATACATCTTCACCCAAGTTTGAAGTCAACTCGACTGACAAAATATTCTTTGGTTTTGGTTTTTCTGTCTTGGTTGGGGCAGCACCTTCTTCTCCCTTTTTAGTTGATGATTCTGAAGGTTGTGCAAGTACTATGTTAGACAAGTCTAAGTGTTCTCTAGATTTCAAGAATTCTGTCAAGCTGGCAATTGAATCGGAATTGATCTTACCGAGGAATGCCAACACATCACCTTTTAAGATTCTACCATTTGGACCAGAGGCTTGGATTTTGGCAAATGCGTCCTCGGTGGAAATGTGGTTTTCATGTAATAACAATTCAACAGCTGGGGATAATTTTTGAGATGGGTTTGGTTTTTGGAATATACTGTTATCAGTTGGAGCTTTAGACTTAACTGGTTTTTCTTCTTGTTTTGGCTCTTCTTCTTTCTTAGGTTCTTCCTTTGGTGCTTGAGCAGTTTCATCTTCAATGGCTGGTTTTTCTAAAGTACTCAAATCATCATCTTGTTCAGCAATAAGGGCAATTGCTTTACCGACAGGAATTCCTGAAGTACCTTCATTGATTAAAATTTCCCATAATTTACCATCGTCGGCAGCTTCAACATCAATATTGGCTTTATCAGTTTCAACTTCCAAAATTGCATCTCCTGCACTATAACTATCACCTGGTTTAATTTTCCATGCAACAATCCCACCTTCACTCATGGTAGGTGACATCGCAGGCATCTTAAACACAGATGCTGCATTATAGATCGATGATTTATGAATTGAACGTATTTGAGTGATTGTTCTTCTTGTAAAAGCTGCTCTAAGCATGATTGAGTTTTATAATAATAAGTGATGACGGGTATTTGAACCTGTTTCAATTGAATAGATAGATAATTGAAGAACTAAAAAAAGTAAATAAACTTCAAAGAGTAATCAAAAATCTAATGAAAATGTCAAATAGATTTTCAATTTTCTTTTTCTTTTTTTTTTACCCACCGTTCTACTATTTTGCTTTTGGAGATTAAGGTCCGATGGTAGAGACATCTCCGTGATGAAAGGAAAAAAAAAAAATGTAAATGTCGCAATTGCAAATACGACATGGGCACGTGACATATATAGTCGTGTCCGCTCATTTATATTTTTGGGCTTTGTGAAGATTTATTAGACTACCCGGAAAATTCAGGAAAAGAAAACAGAAAAAAAGAAAAAACAAATGGCAATCAAGGAGAATATGTATACAAGCCATAAATCTGTGAGGGATAAAGGGAACTTTCGCACGAAAAATGTTGCAACCACAAGAAGAAGAAGAAGAAGAAGAAGAAGAGATAAGTTGAAATCTTTGCTTGTTTATCAGTTGGCTCCATATTTCAAACTCAAGTACTATAGTGGTTAACCAATAGAGAAATGGGATACTTTCTGACACAAGCCACGCCGCTGAATCGGGATTTTACAACCACGCCAAAAAAACGCCTACGACCAAGATTTTTTTTTTTTTTTTTTTAATTTTTTTGTAAATTCTCTGGCGTACGTACGTGCGTAGGTGCGTGGTGTGTGTTTGGCGTGTCCTGGTAAACAACAAACAAGGCGAACTAAAAAAAAAGCGAAAATTTACAGCATTTCAGGTGTGCTGTACTGTACTGTCTTGGGGTAAAGAAAAAAAAAAGAAATGATCTTGCTTAAAAAAAAATTATTTACCTGTGACTTTAACTCTTCTTCTTCTGTTTTTTAAATTTGCTATTTTAATTTTGAAAAGGATCAGATTATCATTTTGATCAGTCGATTTGTTTAATTCATTCGTTCAATTATTATATTCTGTTCACTGGCCCTGCCCCCATAAATTTCTCGATTTTGTCTTTAAAAGGGATAAAAGGAACACTCACACGCACAAACAGAAAGACAAAGAACGAAAGAACGAAAGAAAGAAAGAAAAAACTCCCACTGTGAAGAAAGGTAAGAAAATAAAAATAAAATTCCAACCAGAAAAAAAAAAAAAACGAACTGGAAATCTTGTATACAAACAACACTACGAAATTTTTAAACCAACCAACTATTATTCATTGTTTTAACAGATCATATTCTTCTCAATTCCTTCATATTGATTCAGAAAGAGAAATATCATTACAGGAGATTAAAGGATTTTAAACATACAACTCAAAAAAACGTTTTCTATTCACAAATTTATATTCTAACAAATTATCATAAATATGAGTTCCATAACGAAATTTCTAAATTTAAAAAGTATTGGATCAACTATAAAGAAATACTCCAGGTTCATCGGTCCAGGATTGATGGTTAGTGTGGCATACATGGACCCTGGTAACTACTCCACAGCAGTGGCAGCTGGATCTGCTTATAAATTCAACTTGTTGTTTCTGATCCTATTATCAAATTGTTTAGCAGTATTCTTGCAAATTCTAGCAGCAAAATTGGGTGCGGTCACAGGATTAGATTTGGCCGCTAATTGTAAAGCACATTTCTCCCGTAGAACTAATCTAATATTGTATTGTCTAACGGAAATTGCCATTATAGCGACAGATTTGGCAGAAGTTGTGGGTACTGCTATTGCATTAAATATTTTGTTTAAAATACCATTATTTGCTGGGGTCATTGTTACTGTTGTTGATGTGCTAATAGTTTTAATGGCATATCGTCCAAAGGGACCACTTTTATTTATTAGAATTTTTGAAGGATTTGTTTCGATTTTGGTTGCAGCCACTGTGGTTTGTTTTGCTATTGAATTATATCAAGTTAGTCATGATGAAACCATTCAATTTTCAGTAGGTGAAGTTTTAAAAGGATTCTTACCAAACAAAGATGTTGTTGATATGTCAGAAAGAGAAGGCGGAAGTGGGTTATTTTTAAGTTTGGCCATTTTGGGTGCCACTGTCATGCCTCATTCATTATATCTCGGTTCTGGCTTGGTGCAATCAAGATTGAAAGATTTTGATGTCAAGAATGGATTTTATAAACCTTGGGGAAAACGTTCCGTTGAAGAGCCAAGACCATCAACCCCAGAAGAAGCCGAATACTCTTTGGTACACGAAGAAGACGAGAATTTAACTCCTATTGCGACACCATTAGTTCACAATAATCAGCAAGGTTTTGAAAAAGATGATGATGCTACTCTTGAAATTTCCAATGAAGATGAAGATGATCATTATAGACCTTCTATTCATGCTATTAAAGATACCATGACTTATACTATTATTGAGTTGGTTATTTCATTGTTCACTGTCGCACTTTTCGTGAATGCTGCCATTTTAATTGTTGCCGGTGCAACTTTAGATACTGGAACCAACAACACAAGAGACGATCATGATTCAGGAAACGAATCTGATTCTGATTCTGATGATGATTATGACTATGAAAATGCTGATTTGTTTACTATTTATCATTTATTATCTAAACATTTGTCTCCAACTGCGGGTTTTGTTTTCGCATTGGCATTATTATGTTCTGGTCAAAGTGCAGGTGTTGTTTGTACTTTGGCAGGGCAAATGGTTTCTGAGGGATTTTTAAATTGGACATTACCACCAGTTACAAGAAGATTGATTACTCGTGCATTGGCAATTGCCCCTTGTCTTTTTGTTGTTAGTTTTGCTGGTAGAGAAGGTTTAGGTAAGATTTTGAATGCTAGTCAAGTTGTCTTATCGGTCTTGTTACCAGTTGTAAGTGCTCCACTTATTTGGTTTACATGTAATAAAACCACCATGAGAGTTCCTATTTTTGTTAGAGATGGAGATGAAGAAGTTGATATTTTATTTGATGATTCTGATGAACATAGTGAACAATCTACTGCGGTAGCAACTTCAAGATTTAAAAGTTCTGAACCAGCTATTAGATTACAAGATTTGAGAAAATCACATCCTTGTTCAGGTTGGGACGAAGATGATGAAGATCATCATTTACAAATTGAAGAAAACCGACGTTTGATTGGAGATGCAAGTATAGAAGCTGCTGCTTATTCACATTCTCAATCAACAGTTATGAAATCAAGAACCAATTCAGTTTCCATTACACAAGGGGAAGTGCTACCAACTGATGATTCAACTGCTTCTTCATCATTATCCACACCTTCTTTACCAATTGAAGTATTTGAAGATTGTGACCAAGATATATATCGTATTAAAGGTTATAAGGATTTCAGTAATGGTCCTGGTGCTACATTTCTAGCTGTATTGGTATGGGCATTCGTCGCATTTTTAAACTTGTACTTGATTGGAAGTATGATTCTTGGATATGATGTACCATTATAAGATCTAAGGTTTCAATTCATATATGGAACAAAAATTATATATATATATTTATTAAGGGGTAGAGAAAGGAAAGAAAAATTTGAAATTTATATATATGTTTGCATAGCTCGATATTTTCTATAGACTAAAGGTTATTTCACTTTACTGTTCATTGTACCATCAAGAAAAACTCTAGTAATTTACAAGTTGATTCATTATTGTAAAATAACAAAAAAAAAAGATTCCTATTGTATTTATATCTGTAGATAGAAGAAAGAAAAAGAGAAGATAATCAACTAAATATTTGAATAAAGAATAAAAAATAAAAAATGAAAATGAAAGGAAATCACAAAATGGGCATTAAACTAATAAAATAAAACTTATACACACATCTCTAAGCGTCATAAGTAGTAGATGAGACATCACCACCTCTACCAGTCCAGTTAATGTGGATCCATTCACCCTTCTTCAACAAAGAGTTTTCTTTACCTGGCAAGACTTGGAAAGTGTGAGCACCGAAGTAATCTCTTTGAGCTTGCAACAAGTTAGCTGGCAATCTTTCAGATCTTAAACCATCGTAGAAAGCCAAAGCAGTGTTGAAAGCTGGAGTTGGGACACCATATTCAACAGCCTTAGCAATAGAAGTTCTCCAACCCTTTTGAGCTTTAGTGATAGCTTCATTGAAGAATGGGTAGAGCAACAAGTTTTCCAAATCTGGTTTCTTTCTGTAAGCAGCAGTGATTTCACCCAAGAAAACAGATCTGATAATACAACCACCTCTCCACATCAAGGCAATACCAGCATTGTTCAATTTCCAGCCGTAATCTTTAGCGGCTTGGTTCATCAACATGAAACCTTGAGTGTATGAGATAATCTTAGAAGCGTACAAAGCTTGTTCCAAGTGGTCAATAAATTCTTCTTTGTTGGTGATTGGAGAAGCATCGGAAACAGATGGACCTGGCAAGGCTTTAGAAGCTTCAGTTCTTTCATTCTTCATAGCAGAAAGACATCTGGAGAAGACAGCTTCACCAACCAAAGTAAGTGGGATACCCAAGTCAAGAGCATTGACAGCAGTCCATTTACCAGTACCTTTTTGACCAGCAGTATCCAAGATCTTTTCAACCAATGGGGTACCGTCAGTTGGGTCGTTGTAGTACATAATGTCTCTGGTAATTTCAATCAAGAAAGAATCTAAAACACCCTTGTTCCATTTAGCAAAAACATCACCAATTTCTTTGTTGGAGAATTTACCAACTCTCTTCATAAGATCGTAAGCTTCACAAATCAATTGCATATCACCGTATTCGATACCATTGTGGACCATCTTGACGTAATGACCGGCACCGGCATCACCAACCCAATCACAACATGGTTCACCATCAGCTTTAGCAGCGATATCTTGGAAGATATCTTTAATGTGTGGCCAAGCAGCTTCGTTACCACCTGGCATCAAAGATGGACCAGTTCTGGCACCTTCTTCACCACCAGAAACACCGGAACCGACAAACAAGATACCCTTCTTTTTCAAGTCATCGTATCTTCTGTTGGTATCTGGGAAATGGGAGTTACCACCATCAATAATGATGTCACCTTCTTCCAAGTATGGCAATAATTGGTCAATGAAATCATCAACTGGTTTACCAGCTTTAACCAAAAGCATAATTCTTCTTGGTCTTTTCAATTGGTCAACCAATTCTTTAATAGAGTGAGCACCAAGAATTGGTTTACCTTTAGCTTCGTTGGCCAAAAAGTGGTCAACCTTAGAAGTAGTTCTGTTGTAAGCAACAACAGTGTAACCATGATCAGCCATGTTAAGGATCAAGTTTTGACCCATGACGGCTAAACCAATCAAACCGATATCACCTCTGGCAATTGAACTGTTAGTATTGTTGGTCATAATTTGTTTAGATAAAATAGATAATCTTGAGATTGGACTTGACATTTTTGATTAAATAGGTATTTATTATTGAATGAAAAAAAAAAACAAAAATACATTGGTTTGAATAAATTTTTGGTAGTGGGGGAATTTTGGCAGCCTTATATTTTTTTTTTTCATTTGATATTTGATTTCTCTCGCCCCCTCCTCTCCATGGCCTGTGAGCCGAAAAAAAAATTCCGGTCGCCAGGAAAGCTCGGTTGAAGTTTTTTTTTTGGCTTCTCTTGTAACCTGAACCGAATGAGAAAATTTTCAAGAGGGGGACGTATGAGGATAAGGAATTGAAAAGGGCTCGTAACAAAGAATTAATAAATAAAAATCCCATATTTATAAACTAAATTCCAGTTATAATATCAATTGATTATCCAAGTTTAATTTTCCATTCATCCATCTCCTCAATTGAATTGAATTGGAGTGTCATTCCGTTTTAATCATAATCTCAATCTCAATCTCAGTTATCTCATCTATGGATCAATTCATCTGTTAAAGAGAATTGACCTGGAATTGAAATGAAATGAATTACATACTTTGGAGCTGAAGACATTGTAATTGTAGTTGTTAATGAAGAATTAATTGAATAGAATTAATGTTGAAGGGAAGAAAGAAAGAAGGAAAAGAAAAAGAAGAGAAATTCATGAAAACTAAAAATTATTCAAGGAGAAAATTGTTGAATATTTATACAGAATTTACAACAGAAAATGGCGAGAATGCGATTTCCGTACAGGATACAGCCAAAAAAAAAATGTTTGGTGTCAAATTAATTAAGAAAGAAAAAAAAATTCTCAACTTCCGGACTTACTGAAATTTGTAAGAATTTTTTAAACCAAAAAAAAAGACTCAGCAATTAGTAAAATATAACCAATACACCTATGATCCGGAAATGGATAAAAGAAAGGTATGCAATCATGGGTTGTTAGTAAATGTGTCAATTGCGTGGTTCTAATTATCTCCTTTTTTTATGTATTACAACCATCACTTCCAATTCTACAACTAGGAATCATTACGTCGAAGGTGGCAGTCAAATTCAGGTCGAAAAAAATTTAAAGTAACGGTGCGCTTTGGTGCAGGAACGATACGCTTCCTCTTTTTATTTTTTAGTAATCCATTATCAAACCCAATATCCCTTATACGTTTTAGTAATGAATTGGTAAACAATTATTATTATGCGATAAAATACAAAAATCAGATTATCATTGCAGAGTTCTAAATTACTCTACTCAAAGTTGCAGCAGGCACAACAATTGATATCGTAGGATTTATTTTCAAGGAAATGAACACAAGGTTCTGATTTATGGTCGGAAGTGGGTGAATAACCGGATCTGACTAATTAATTTTAATTTATTCTTCAATTTTTGTTTTTTCTGTGTGAGTCTTCAATTTATGCGATTTCGGTCTACACTAACCCATTTTTGTGAACGGTGATTATGTAATGGGGACTAATACTATGAATAATCTACCTGCCTCCACCCCTCCTTTCTCTTTTTGTTATTAAACTCGTTAATTATTTCTAATTAATAAAAGAAAGGGGAGGAGGAGGTTGTGGTGCTACTATTCTTGACTTGCTAAATCGACGATACAATTTGATTTCCGGTCTTACATTTCCCAACAAATCCAGTGATTCCGATCTCCTTTTTTTTCTTCTTCTTCTTCTTGCTATTGTCTACGATTGCTATTTTAAACTCATAAGGCAGTAGCGCACCAGAAGAACAGATCAGAAGAAAAAAGTGCATTTCCGGTGGCACATGCTTCTTTTCGTTTCCAACGGTCAACAATAATTTTTCATTTTCTTTTTTTTTTTGTTTGCGAAATCATAAACTCGAGGTTTATTCAATTGTTTCTTGATTTAGATGGTTCGAGACAAAGTTTGTCATGAATGTAATTATGTTTGATCTTTTAAGATCTATTGGATCTTTCCCCCTCTCCCCCAACTGATATCCCCCAAAAAGGATTCGATTTGGGGGGTGACGAGACGTTTCTATTGTTCTTGTTTATTGGACGACCCCCAAAAAAAAAACAGGGTTATCCACCCCACCCTTGATAATAGAATCGAATTTATTTGTTGTAAATTATCAACTCGAGGTGCTGGGTGGTGTATAAAAGTGGGGGATATATGATAATTATGTCGATTCTTCATGGATTCATGAGTTGTTCCCTTAATATTTGAGGTCGTGTAAAATGTGACGATTTTTTGATTACGCAACAGAAAACGTATAAATAGGAGGAAAAAATATCTGCAAATAACTGCAAAAGAAAAACCGAAATTAAGATTGCAAAATACGGCAAAAAAAAATAATAATGTACATGATAAAGGGGTCCTTTTTTTTATCTTTTTTGTTCTACTTAAGAACTACCAATTGACGTAAGTATATAAATGGTTTAGTTGGATTGTTGGTTATAACTAGGACAATTTTGTTGTATGCGATTCGTGGATAGTAGGAGACCTCAACACGCGATCGTATCATCACTCAACAAATGTATGACGATTACCCTTTCTGATTGATTCTGAATTGCTCATAGGCGAAGATAATCATCATTTTATAATCATAAAGATCAATGTTTCACATGGGAGTGTCGTTTCGTTTCCCTTCATCAATCAATGCAACTGTGGCATACTTTCGCCTTAATCAATCTTGGTATCTTATACATTGATTATATCCACTATTCTTCTCCTCTCACACTATTCATCACTACTTTATTTTTTCTTGGTTTTGCTAATTGCAATTGCAATTGTGGATTGAATATTGTTAATATTTCTAATCACATTTCCCTATCTTATTAATTATTGGTTCTTTAAAACTCATACCTATACACGTGTTGAATACTATATAGAGCTTTATCATTGTGAGGATTACCCCGGGAATAAAAACTACACATAAGCGGCAAAATTGTAAAAAAGAAAAAAAAAATCTAGGATTCAATTTTAAGCCCAATCAGACATCATTTGATTAACTAATGCATTTTATAAAGAGGAAAATATTACTGTGGTTCACGTGCAATCACTGAATTTTTTCACACCCGTTGAAATTTTTTTTCTCTCTCTCTTTCTCTCTTGCGGAATCGCAACAAAATCAAAGATTACTCAGTTTTGCAACTGAGTCCAATATAAAGAGTAATATATAATTAAATTAATTTTTTTTTTTCATTCTTTTCTTCCCCTTTCTTCTTTTTCTTTTTCTTTTTCTTCTTCTTGTTTAATTATTATTTATTATTCACAGAAGTTGTTAACTTTTTGGTATTAATTATAACTACGACTATCACAAGATGCCTATTCCAGCTCCACACGGTGGTAAATTGAATGATTTAATCATTCGTGATGCCAGTATTAAACAACAATTATTAGAAGAAGCTAAAACTTTACCATCTTTGACATTAACTGCTAGACAATTATGTGATTTGGAATTGATTTTAACTGGTGGTTTTTCTCCATTAACTGGTTTCTTAAATGAAGATGATTATACCAGTGTTGTTGAAGATTTAAGATTAACTAGTGTTAAAGGTGAAAATGGTAAAGGTTTATTATGGCCAATCCCAATCACTTTAGATGTTAATGAACAAACTGCTTCTAATTATAAACAAGGTGATAGAATTGTTTTATTGGATTTGAGAGATGAAACTCCTTTGGCTATCATTACTCTTGAATCTATTTATAAACCAAATAAAGAAAATGAAGCTAAAAAAGTTTTCCGTGGTGATCCAGAACATCCAGCTAATAAATATTTATTTGAAATTGCTGGTGATTATTATCTTGGTGGTTCTTTACAAGGTCTTAATTATCCAAAACATTATGATTATGTTGAATCAAGAAAAACTCCAACTGAATTAAGAGAAGAATTTACTAAACTTGGTTGGGCTGATCAAAATATTGTTGCTTTCCAAACTAGAAACCCAATGCATAGAGCTCATAGAGAATTAACCATTAGAGCTGCTCAAGATATTGGTCCAACTGGTCATATTTTAATTCATCCAGTTGTTGGTTTAACTAAACCAGGTGATATTGATCACCATACTAGAGTTAAAGTTTATAGACAAATTTTGAAAAAATTCCCTGATGGTTTGGCTACTTTATCTTTATTACCATTGGCTATGAGAATGGGTGGTGATAGAGAAGCTTTATGGCATGCTTTAATTAGAACCAATTATGGTGTTGATCATTTTATAGTTGGTAGAGATCATGCTGGTCCAGGTAAAAACTCTCAAGGTGTTGATTTCTATGGTCCTTATGATGCTCAAGAATTACTTGCTAAATATCAAGATGAATTAACCATTAAAATTGTTCCATTTAGAATGGTTACTTATTTACCGGATGAAGATAGATATGCTCCAATTGATACCATTGATACTACTAAAGTTAAAACTGCTAATATTTCTGGTACTGAATTAAGAAATAGATTAAGAACTGGTGAAGAAATTCCAGCTTGGTTTTCTTATCCAGAAGTTGTTAAAATTTTACGTGAAACTAATCCACCAAGATCTAAACAAGGTTTTGCTATTTTAATTGATAACTCAAATAAATTGGGTGATTATTTATCTTTTGCTTTACAATCTACTTTAAATCAATTTTCTGGTGAACGTAGAATTACCAAAATTTCAAATGAACAAGCTAATAATACTGATCCATTTATTATTGGTGAATTAGTTAAAGCTGGTTCTGGTCTTATTATTCCAACTTCAAACCCATCTGCAATTGTTGATGTTGTTGGTACTGGTAATTCTTTAATTGTTAATTCTACTGAAGGTCAATTCAATTTATCAAATGATGATTTGACTGTTGTCGTTGAAGAAATTGTCAGTTATTTGAAAGATCAAGGTTTCTACTAGATGTGTTATTACATAAACTCTCTTATAATTCATAATTCATTATATCTCGTGTATATTATTTATAAATGCTGTTGTTTTTTTTTTAAATGTAATTTAATTTATTCTAAGGAATACTTTTTAAACTGTATGAAATTGCAAAATATTACCAGATAGAGGGGGTGACAACTTAATTCCATATTGTGGTGCAAACTATTTCTCAATCCACGGGTAGTGTACTAATTTCATTACTTACGTACGTACCAATTTCGTATATGTCTACCATAACTGTATACATACAATTCTATTGAAAGTAAAATAATTACATAAATTTATATTAAAATACAAAATAAATAAATAAATATTGAAACACAGAGCTAAGCACCAACATGCATTCCTCTGTGTTTTAAAGCATCAGCGAAAACCATAGCTAATGGCCAGACAGGAACATCAGCTAATATTCTAATCCCCAAATATATAGAATTGATAGAAATATGGGCATCAATAACCAGTTGATTAATTTGCTTGTTAATTTGTACCAATTTGGCTTTGTTAGATTCAACATTCTTACCTTCATATATCTCATCATCGCAAACTTCACGTTCTTGACTCAATTGTAATAATTTCTTGATAACTTCGTCACCAACTGATGATGTTGATTTGATTTCTTTAATTAATGATTCCAGATGAGCTGACTTAATACTAACACTCAATACTGTTTCCAATTTAGACAACATCTTTTGACATTCAAACCATTTCTTCAATTCCATATTACTAAGATCTCGAGTAGTACAGTTTCTTTCTAGATTCCCCAAATATGTAGCAATCAAAATTGAACTGGTGAAAATTCCACAACAGAAAAAGGCTGGTGTTCTTCTTGATGTTTCTCTAACATCATAATTGATAGTTTCAATGTTGTAAATCCATAATTCCAACATATCACAACAATATGGTAAAGCATTAGTCAAGACACTGTACTTGGATTCTCTATAGGTCAACAGATCCAAATCTTTATTCATGGCATCCCAGTCTCTATGAAAAACTGCAGTCATTGAATAAGTTAATCTAACTTCCAATTTGATCTGAAGAATCAAGTGCAACGGAAGAATCAATTTCAATTCATGGTTCACAGTAAGGTTAGATCTATTACCAGTAACGATCTTCAAAGTGCCATGATTCTGATGAAATAAAACCTCCCAATTGTTGAGCAATGCTTTAAAGTGTCTCTTTTTGTCTTGCCAAATCAAATGGCTAAATGGTTCTGGAGAACGAGCAACCTCAGTGGTTATTTGTTCATGAAGCACAAACAACATATCAAGTAGATTGTTGTATGACAATGCTTTAGGTGCACTAGTAGGATCATCAAGATATGAAGCAATCTTATCCATACCAATACCATTGCTAACATCAACCAAAGACCATTTGCCTGGAAAATTCTTGCCAAGTAAATTATACCAGCTACTTGCACCATCGCTCCACCACAATTTTTCATTGGTACAGAAACTACCGCTATGAAGTAAATTGTAATTAAACAAAATTGGGACTCCACCAAAATTAGTCCTAAATGATTGCAAGAAATAAAAAGCATGTAAAGTACGAATTCTAGATTGAGCCATAATGAAATAATCATAATTCTTTTGAATTAATGTTTTATCTCCAGCTGACCCTGGAATGGCTGGTGGTGGTGGGATAATCAACTTTTCTAATGGTTCATTGAAGCTGGTTGATTTGATTAAACCAATCATTGACTTGATTTGTCTAGAAGTTGTATCCATCATATTTGGTTCATTGAGGAAAATTGAAATGAAAATATGCAACACAAGACATTGATGAGCCATCAATGGGACTTTTTTGAAATGCAAATTATTCAAAGTGATCTCCCTTTCAAAAAAGTTTTGAATATGAAACTTGGACAAATTAAACAAAACTAATGTATCGGTATCATTATAATCATATAATGCACCAATGGCAGCAATTGCCAACAACAATGGGATAGTTTCAAGGTTGTGATTTCTTGGATTCTTCAATGATGGCAAGTGAATGAATGGGAAATACTTGTTGAAACCATAATCATACAACTGAACATAACGTTTCAAATCATTCAACGGTGGTAAATCTTTTTCCTCGATGTTACTCATTTCAATTATTCTCTCTCTAAGTTCGGCAGTAATCAATAAAGTATCTTCCAAAAAGAAACTAGTAGAATAATTAACTGAAAACTCGGATGCGTGGTTGATATGAGCTTGTGTATATGGCAAAATATGATTGTTGTTGTTGTTGTTGCTGTTGCTGTTGCTGTTCAATTGTTTACGGTATGCTTCATTAGTGTCTGCCAATAAACTGGTTGAACCAAAAAAACCGCGCAAATCCTCTGTGCTTGCGTGAGCACTAAATGGTAAGTTCAAATCAAATGGTGGAAAAACCAAATCTCTAAACCATTCATTTTGATTGATATCTGTATTTGCATTGGTATTGTGGTTGCCATTTGCAATAGCAGGCGTGGTTGTCTGTCCGTTATGATTCAATTGTTGTGGATTAATACTCTTTGTAGATGAAACAGAATCTGTCATGGAATGAGGCGAAATGTGTTGTGGAGGAGATTGGTGGTGGTGGTGGTGGTTGTTGTTCTGATGTTGTTGCACTTCTGGTGGTTGCACTTGTTGTTGAGGTGGAGGTGGTGGTTGACTATGGATTTGTTGGGGTGCAATTTGAGGTGGTTGTGGAATTGAAGAATGTCTATTGAGATTGTTGTAGGAATGAAGTACATCCATACCAATTTCAAATGGTACACTTTGTGAATGCTGCATATGAGTAGATTTTAATTTATCATTGAAAAATTCTTGTAAATTCTTGATGGATTTTTGTTTCATAGCAGTTTTGCCTTCTTCATTCAAATCCAAGTGATCAATAGAGTCCCAATCCAACAATCCGTTTGTCTCAAAAAACTTGGTGAAGTCTTCTTGGTGTGGACCAAGCTGTGGAGTGGCGAATTCAACATGACTTGGAGTATCCAAAAATTCCTCTTTAAAACTAGAATAACAAGGACCAGATGCAGCAGAATACGACGCGTGTCTATAGTTGTGACCAATGTGGGTAGGAATAGCGCTGACCAATCCATTTCCCACTGGTGATACTGAAGCTTTGAATTTCTTATTTTGGGGAGAATCTGGTGTGGGTTGTTGACGCAGCAGTTTACTTTTCCTTCTGTTGCCATTTGGCACTGGTTGTTCAACTTTTCCGTTCGCGGTAGTTACAGCTGGTGGAGTATTTGATGATCCAAATGAAACACTACTTCTATGATTGTTACTACTGTGTAATGTTATACTTGGACGTGGAGAATTTGACATGGATGTAGCGTCTTCATCGTGGTTAGGCAGACTGTATTGTGCTGCTCCAAAAAGTGTTGTTCGAAATACGGGTTTTTCCACTGTATCCGACTTGCTGACACTGTTATTTCGGCTGTTATTGTTGCTGTTGTTGGTGTTATTTGGAAGCGGAGCATTAGCATCAGTGTTGTTATGCAATACATTAATATGTTCGTTGATTTCATTATCTTTGGAAGAGCCTCGTCTTATCACATGAGGTAAATCTGTATGTAATTTCTGCTGATGTCTCAATACTAAATCTCGACGGGCAAAACAACGGCCACAGGCGGCACATTGGTATGGTTTTTCATTTGTGTGGGCTCTTTCATGGCGTTTTAAATGTTCTAATCTAGCAAAAGCTCTGGTACAAATGGCACATACATGAGGTCTTGGTTTGTCGGTTCGAATTTGTTGTGATTTCTTGGGTATTGGTTGGGTTGGTATAGGAGTTGCATCCAGAATAGATGTAGTGGACATTGTTGATAATGGTGAGTTGACTGAAACAGATGTTTGCATATTCATTTTATTTGTTTTGTTTGTAATATAGATATCAAAAACAAAAATGTAGTTCTTTCAACAGGTTATATCACTCAACTATAATTTTTTTTTTTCAACCAACGAGGAACTTAGAAAAAGTCAAATTCCAAAAAATAAAAAGAAAAGAAAAAAAAAAAAGAAAATTTGAGTCTGGGGGAAAAAATAAAATAAATTATGGAACTATCTGAAAACAACAAAAAAAGTTGTGAGGATGTCAGACAAATGAAAATAATTAACCGCTTGAACAATAAAAAATTCTTGGGATTCCCAGGAGTGATAATATTGATAAAAAAAATGATTGGATATGTTTGATTCTTAATAGTGGATAGGTAACTCTTGAAATCGTTGATAGTATCCACAGTTGAATATATATAAAAAAAACTCAAAGAAATAAAAAAAAAGGAAATGAACACACAAAAAATGAAGAAAAAAAAATTACCTGAGAAAAGTTAATACTTTTATACAGTCAGTGTTAAATTTAAGCAGACATTTCCACTAACAAGTGTATACAGAGAAAGGAAGACAAAAAAAAGGGAGAATAAAAATAGATAATGGAAAATATTGCCGATTCTGACTTTTCCGTCATTTGTGCAAGGAGAAGAATAAGACTAAGAAGTAGAACAATAAGTGAGCATTTCTGTTCAACAACACTTGGTACATACACACCTTGCATGGTTTGAGAAAATGAAAATTAAAAAAAATGACGCGAAACATCACACAAAATTTCCTCCCTGGGCCTCATTCCCCCCCCCCCTGCCCCACGAAATACATTTAGCTCTTTGTATTTTCTTGTCTATTCTTATAAATTGTAACCTGGCCTATTATTATTTTGTATGTTCTGATTTCCCAATATTGTGTTTCTCTTGTAAACACAAAGAATCAGAAGCTTCCTACCCCTCTGTCTCTTTCTCTCTATTTAGATTTTTGACTCACGTGTTTCAACCGATTAAGACAAACTAGAACTTACTTTTCAAAGTTTACACTTTATTGGTAGTCATCCGATCTTAGGGAATGATTTCTGTCTGATCTCTCGGAGTTCCAAGGATATTTTATTATTATAAAAATAATAAACTTAAACTAGAAAGCAAACAATGCGTCATACGTTTCATTTAAGCAACTATGACTAAATTGCACACACTTAAAACAATAAGTTTATGCAATTCAATTTTTTTTTTTTGCTTTTCTCATTGCGTTGTTGTGTTTTTTTTTTCTTCCCCAGATTTTTATTTTTTATTAGAGAAAATTTTTTTCGTTCAACTAATTGATAAATCTAACAATAAATAGTGAACAAATTTAATCAAAACTCTAACTATAGCATTAATTGGTTAATACCGCTACGGAGTTATCTGAAAGTTACAAAGAAATCAAAAGAATTTCTACAATTTCATTATGACTAGAAACAAAGCAACGAAGGCAAAAATAAATAAGAGTCAACGACGCTTGAAATGGAAAAAAAAACTCCGAGATTAAACGATAATCCCGTGATCAATGTACCAAATGAAAATGTATTCTATCAAACGGATTAAAAACAAAAAAAAAGAAAGAAAACAAGATGTTATGATGGAAAAATCAAAGGGGGGGGCAGATAACAACATCAAGAATCATCCAATTAGCAAACATCTAAGGGACTTCGATGGTGGGGCACTGATCTGTTAAACTCACTCTTGATTGCTGCTGGTGTGTTAGTTAAACTAGCCAACAAAAAAAAAATTAATCGGTGTCAAGTTGTTTGTTTTTTTCCGACCTAGATAATCTCGCCAAGTAGTACATACAATATTAGATAAAGTAGGAAACGTTTGCTATGGATGTGACTAGTTAATTATACGCCTCCCTTAATTACTGATGATTCAAGAAGAAAGGAAAAAAAAAGCAACTTTTTGTTGGGAAATAATTTTTCCTCTTTGGGACATTAAAAAATGTCTGTCTGTATATAGTTTATTAACAATTCAAATCCGGGGAAACAATAATATTAGATCTAGACGTTCACGGGACTCTAACACAAACGTGCTTGTTCTAATACACAGCTTTGAATAATTATTAAAAAAGTAACACCTAGTATTGAAGAATTCTATTGTAGGAAAATGAAATCCGAAGAAATTATGTGGAAGAAAGTATAATGATTCAAAAACTTTTTTTTGGTTAAGTTTTCGTACAAAAATTCAATCAAAAAAATAATCACTGCGACTAAAAGTAGGCTGTGAGAAAGAAAAAAAAGAATGGACGAGATAAGAGTCGAACTCATGACCTTTCCCATGCTAAGGGAACGCGCTACCAACTACGCCACACGCCCAGTTTCTTGTTCATTTAAAATTCCTGGTTTTTCACATGTAAGGTATGTGGCTACACGTGCAAGTTTGCAAAAGAATATATTACGTATCGGGTTTGAGTAATGAAATAAAAGCCACAGTATCCCCAGTATCCCCAGTCGAAACCACATTTTTTCACAACATAATACCAGGGAGTATTACTACGTACGACAACTTTGATTTGTTATAGTTATAGAGTAGTGGTTTATGTATTCCGGTGATCTAGCGCTTAAGTAGTGTTAGAACATAAATAGTACAGTAATGACACTGGACATCTAATCCAAATCAAGCAGGATATTTTAAATAGTAGATGAAGTAGTAGAGAAAGATCTTAACAAATTATGACAACCAGATATAAAGAAGTATCTTCAGATATTTTAAACTGTGATCTAGAAGTATAATTCTTGTTTGTATGAACTAACAACACTAATTGGTGGTAAAACACAATAGTAAAATATAAAGTTGGCATCAACAATTATACGATGACTTATACAAATATATACTCTTGGGATGGTATATTGGCCAACATCAAACGGCTTTATATTTATGTATAGAACTAGTGAATTTGCTTCCTCTGCATACACTAAAACCCCACCAGAAATCCACAGTAAGATCTTGGGGTGTATGATTTTATGTTTTTTGTGTCCCCTAACTTTTCAATAAGGACTTGAAATCATAGATATCGAAGTACCACATATATCACCCGAATTGTTAATCTTGATTAGAATACAAAAAAAACCACAGATAATTAAAATATTTTATATGTACGCCTTTTAACATACAAACAAGCAAATGAAAAAAAATAACGTTCTTGGCATAGTTACAATATCAAATGAACAGCCTTACAAGACAGGTATCCCCATGTATTGTCTAAACCGGAAGCTTTAACTACGTCTACGGATGTATATCTTATAGAAGATACCACCATTGGATTAGTTTAGTTTTAATGACATACTCCAATAAACACGTCAAGCGATATATGTCGCATCTTGATTGATTAGATCTTTCTTCGTTTGTAGGACACTTTCTTGGCTATTTGTTGATAACCAAAACAAAAAAATAATATTTATGATTTAATTAACAATTCAACTTGTGAAATTCAAGCCACAGTTTACATCAGCCGGGCCTAACTACTTTAATATTGAATGGAAGCTTTGATTCTAATACTGATTGAAGTATAAATACTCCAGACAATTGTAACTGATGATAGCTTAAATTTTTATTTTACTCAACAATCATGTCAGATCAACCAGTTGAATTATTGAATCAAGGTGCAGGATATGGAGTTTTAGTTGGAGTTGGATCTGTGTTTGCAATAGGTATGATCTTAACCACAATTTTGTTGCGAAAATATCTTCATGAAGATGCTCGTAGTACAGAAACTTTTTCAGTTGCAAATCGTTCAGTTGGTACTTTTCTTTCTGCTTCCGCAGTCTATTCTTCTTGGTCATGGGCCACTGAATTTGTCATGCTGACTAGTCAAGTTTACAATTATGGAATTCAAGCAGCTTATTATTTTGGTGCTGGGTTATCAATTCAAATTGCCGTGATGTCATTAGTTGGTATTCATGCTAAAAAGAAAATCCCCACAGCTCATACCAGTTTAGAAGTTGTTGGTGCAAGATACGGAAGATCAGCCCATCTTTTATATTTGGTTTTGGCATTGATTTGTAATATCATTTCTAGTTCAGCAATGGTTTTAACTGTTGCTTCATTAATTTCTATTATTGCCGGTAATTTACACATTGTTGCGTCGACTATGTTAGTTCCGTTCGGTGTCTTGTTGTATACCGTTGTTGGTGGGTTGAAAGCAACTTTCTTGACTGATTTTATTCATACCACAATTTTGCTCATTATTTTGTGTTATTTGAATACATCCCTTTTGACATCTGATCAGGTAGGTGGATTAAATGAGTTCTGGACAAGTCTCACCAAGGTAGACAGACAAATTGAAGGTAATTATGCTGGTTCCATTATTACTGGTAAATCACAAGGTGCATTGATTTTCGGGTTAGTTTTAACTGCTGGTAATTTTGGATTGACCGTTATGGATTCGGCATTTTGGCAAAAGACATTCTCTGCTACACCAAAAGCAACTGTCCCTGCTTATTTACTTACTGCTGTTTTTATTTTTTCAAATGTTATTCCAATTGGAACTATTGCTGGTGGTATTGCTTTAACTATCGAAGACAACCCTTCATTCCCAACATATCCTAGAAAAATGACTGATTATGAAGTTGCGTCTGGTTATGTTTTGCCCTATGTTTTGAAATCAATCTTGGGTAAAGGTGCAGTGGGATCTTTACTTTTGGTAATTTATTTAGCCGTTACTTCTACACTTTCAGCACAAATGGTTTCCGTGGCATCTATTTGCTGTTTTGATATTTTTAAATATCAGTTGGGATTAAAAGGGTCCATGATACGTGTAGCTCATATTGGGTGTGTTGTGTTTGGTTTTGGTATATCCGGGTTCTGTATTTTACTCCACGAACTTGGAGTCACAATGACGTGGGTTACCTATATTTACCCTATTATCATTTGTCCTGGTGTTATCCCACTTATTTTAACAATCACTTGGGACAGACAAACGTTCTGGGCTGCTGTTTTGTCTCCAATAATCGGGTTAGGATCAGCTATTGCTGTATGGTTAACCACGGCTAAACATTACTACGGTGCCATCAATATCAACACATTGGGTAGCGAATTTCCATCATTATATGGATCTTTAACTGCGTTGATATTACCGGGTATTGTTAGTGTTATTATTTCGTTTATTAAACCAGAGAAATTCAATTGGGAAGAATTACAAAGCCTTGACTTGACAATCAAGGATGAGGTTGCTGAATCGGATCCTGTTTCCACTTCTGATTCTAATTCTAACTCCAATGGTAGCCCAAATGAAATAGATGAAGAAAAGAAAGTTGCTTTAGTTGAAGTTAAAACACAACAATTATCATCCAATGAATTAGATTTCTGGATCAAGATTGCTACTGGTGCTGTTATCTTTATACTTTTAGTCACTTGGGTTATTTGGCCAATGTCTTTATATCAAGATTGGATATTCTCTGCTGCATATTTCAAAGGATATGTCACATTTTCGTTGATCTGGTTATATGCAACCTTGATTATTATTGGATTTGTTCCCTTTTACACAGGTAGATATTCAGTTGCCACTGTCTTCAAAGGATTGTACAATGATTATATAAAGAAGAAATAGTATGTAAAACTTTTCTATAGTAGAGTACAAAATATGGACTGATTTTTCCTTCCTCCCCCAGAGCAAAATACGAAATCGATTACGCAAAATTTTTCTTTCCTTTTCTTTTCTCACACATTTCACCTTATCGACGACTCTACTCAATACCAGACATGTTACGGCAGAACAGTTATAAAGCTCTAACGGCAGCTAGATTCAATTCGTCAACATCACCTATAACTCAATACTCGTACATTCAAGAATACTTGTCTGATGCTAGCAAAGAAGAAGTCGCCAAATATCTTAAAAACCTTGGTCCATTTCCTACTTATTCCAACATCTTAAACCCACAACATTTCTTCCAGAATGCTGTTTTACTAGAATATCTGAAGAAGCAACCGCATCCGGTATCATTAAGACAATTGGCAGGATATGGGAATACGTTAACACGACAAAAGGTGATCAATTCTGCAAACTTTGTGAGGATTGAATTGCCGATAAGATTGGCATTAAGAATTCGTGATTTGCAAACATTGCCATTTGGTGTGGTTAATAATTTCCACTTGGCACAGATATATGAGAGCTATTACCATCTGTTCAATGCGTTCAGAAAAATCCCGAAGATCCACACCATTGAGGACAACAACAAGTTTTGTGAAATGATGTCAAGTATGTTGGATGACCACATTTTCAACCTATCCCATTTGATGATGGGAGCATTGGAAGTTGCCATCTCAAACAATCTTCCTGAAGCAGAGTTGAACCAAATTATCCACAAGATGTTGTCGTCAAGAATAAGCAGACGTCTTATCATTGAGCAGCATTTGTCCATTAGTCAAAGCTACAATAAGAAACCGTATGACAAGAAGCCGCCGCATTATTTGGGTGAAATTTTCGACGATTGCAATGCTGTGGAGCAGTTAAAGATTGTTGCGGGCATGATCAAAGATTCCATGAAATCCAGCTATCCAGAGATCGAAAGAATGCCAGACTTGGAGATTGAAGGCGATGTGAAAACACATTTCCCATTCATTGTACCCCATCTCCAGTATATCCTTCATGAAATCCTCCGGAATTCGTTTGAAGCAACAATCAGAACCCATTCCACAAAGACATCCAAGTTATTACCACCAGTCAAGGTCACCATTGTCGATCTGACTAAACAAGTGTTGTTCAGGATTTCTGACCAAGGAGGGGGCATTAGCCACGACAAGTTAAAGTCAATTTGGTCGTTCGGCAAGAAACCAGATTTGGCCAGGAAAAGTCTTGCGAACTTCCACCGAATTCCCGGATTGCAACTATATTCGAATTTGAAAGTCACGCCTTCTGGCTCATCAATAGTGACTCCTCAAGCACAACAGATACTACAAAACACGAGTCTTGGTGAAAGTACGGGAAGCAAAAAGAAGTCCACGTTGGAGAATTTGATGGGCCGACCACATCATTATCACTTGGGTATGGGTTTACCTATCAGCGCAATCTATGCCGAGTATTGGAACGGGGAATTAACCATGAATTCATTGGAAGGCTATGGCAGTGATACTTCATTGGCCTTAGGTAAAGTTGGTTATCATAGTAATATCATCCAATTGGATAGAGCATAGGGAATAGTCTATAAGTATATTATATATTCGTTGATTATCAATTCATGTGGTAGATCCGAAAATGAATCTCATTCTCATCTCTCTTTACTATTTCTAAATGACAATAGGCCTATTTAGGGATATTGAACTAGAAGTCCTTGATGATGACCAATTGAAATACAACCTGGTCGTGTACAAGTGAAAGCATTTTTTTTATCTTGTCTCCACATAACTGCGTGTCAAATGTGACAAAAAAAACGATCAGAAAAGTCGTGCGTCCACCCAATATTTAAGTTTTTTTTTTTTTTCAATATTATTTTTCTTTTGGGGATGGTTGTTACCTGGCCATAGTTAAGGAGATTTCAGTAATAGTGAGGAATGATAAAAGGAGAACAAGGAAAATTAATTAATTTTAACGACCAACAAAAAAATAAACACAGAGGAAAAAAAAAAAACTGATCAACTTGTGTACAGCATTAGGAAAATTTGACAACAACAATAGTCCACCCGTAGAAATTTTTCTTTTCTTTATACAGAGATATTCACCCTTAACCAAATAATTCCCACACACACACACACATACAGTGAAAGAAAAAAAAACTTTGCAACCGTTATAGATGTCACTGTCAAGTAATAATAATATATCCATATCGTCATTACTAGACTCTGGATCATCATCAGAAGTGCAGCCGCAGCAACAAGGGACAAGAAAGTCGTCGTCGTCGCTGCTGGGAAATAATCGAAATGGCACTCAACGAGCGGTACCAATACTGGAAATGGTATCCAAATACAAAACGTCAATTAATTTAACCAATGATGATCCTGATATTATTGTTATTAGTGATACTCCAACTCCCCGAGGATCAAGGAAGACTTCTCCAAGTGTTGCCAATAAACCTCCTACATTGCCACGAACTAAATCCAAAACCTCAAACAATAATACAACACAATCAGGAAGCAAGTCCAAGAAAGAGACAGTAACTTCTGCTACTGCAACTTCAGCATTTGTAAGTGATCAAGTTAAAAAGTTTCAAACTAGTTTTCAATTGAATCCAGTAAACACCTCCCCAAGTAAAACATCAATTAATTCAATTATAAATATAGATGATAGTTCACTGCAAGCACCAACAGCAAGCCAAACTCCATCACCTGCAGTTGAATCAGCCACCGGTGGTACCAAGAGGAAAAGAAATGTTATATATTTTGATGCAAAGAAACGTCGATCCGGTTCACCAGCAGCAAGTAACTCACCAAAACAACCATTACCAGTAGGTAATAATAACAATACTCAAACCATTTCACCAGTACCAATTCTTGCCAAGGCTTCCACACCATCAGCACAACCTGTAAAGATACAACCACTGACTAAATCTAGTACTACATCATCTAAATCAACATCGAAATCAACTAAACCACAAACTCAACAGCTTCAAAAATCACCAGTGATAGATAAAAAGTCAAATTCTTCCGGTACAACAGGTAATGGGACTCAAACTTCTTCTGCTACCACCACAACACTGAAGAGTGACCCGGTGATTCCAGTTAAAGTTGCTGCTCCCACGGTGATAGATCTATTGAATATTGATGACGAAGAAGAGGTTGTTTCAAAGGAAGAAAAACCCGAATCAACAACCACAGTCGAAAAGTCGTCCGATAAACCGAAAGACAAAGAGAAAGAAAAGGAGAAAGAGAAACAACAGGAAGCTCCTATTATCGCATTAGATATTCCGTTATTAGACTCTAAAAATCCTCAACCTGGTAAAGCTGAAGTCATTGTAAATGTATTGAAATTAGCAGAAGAAAAATATGGATGGAGTGTAATGCATCCTAATTCCAAAAATGCCCTTGATATGATGGATGATATGATAGATGATGAAGACGACGATGATAATGACGAAGATGAGGATATCATTGAAGTTCCAAACCCATCAGAACAACAACAGCAACAACAAGCAAATTCAACAAGTGGTGGAAAAGAATCAAATTCTGGAGCAACCACTCAAAAGGGTAAGGAATTGACTGAAGAACAACTATTTAGACAGCATGAAGTTAAGATGATTAGAAAAGTTGGGAAGTACGACTTTGAGGATCCATTTATCGATGATGAAGAGTTACAAATTGAGGAAGATATTTCATCAACTAAAGAAGGTTTTTTTGTATATTGGGGTCCTTTGGTTGACGAAAAAACCGTCACCAAAATCAAAAAGAAAAGATAAATATACATATATATATATATATATACATTAGTACTAATTAGACTATTCTTTGAATCTCTCGATTGTAAGTTGAAGCATATCACCAGCATTTATTTCGAATTGATTCTTAGTGGTATTTTTAACTTGTTTGATATTATCTTCTATAGAAGTTAATCTATCATTGACTTTATCTTTATTTGAAATGATAACAGGATCTTGTTTAATAGCAACCAATAAGTTTAAAAATGCAGCAATTGATGATAATTTAGTAGGATCAATAGAATCATCAACAAATACTTCTGATTCAGCAACTTCAATTAACTCTAATAAATCATCTAATTTTTCATCAGTTAATTGATAAGATGCTGATTGCTTTAATTGACGTGGTGGTAAAGGTGGAGCTGATTTGGAAGATTTATCATCACCATTTGCATCATTTGAAATTTTTAGTTTTTCCATATCCAAGGTATCAATAGACGAACAATTTTTCAATAATAATTCTTTATAAACTCCAATTAAAGGTGCTTTGATATTTTCATATGGACAATGCTCTATAGAATCCTTAATGAAATCATAACCTATGTCAGGACACAATACCAAAATCTTGGTTAATAAAGTCAATACAATATATCTAAATTTTGGTTTGTCTTTAAATACTGTAACCATTATGAATAAGATACATTGTAGGAAAATAGTGAATAAAGGTTTTGGAATTCTTTCAATTTGTAATGATAAGTTATTATGATTCAAATTTTGCTGTTGATATAACGTAAACCAGATCCAAAAGACAACCATATCAACAACACCAAAGTTAACAAACTGAGAACTAACCATTTGTGGTACGATAAGTCTCAAAGTCATTGCCAACACATCAGCTATGGTCATTGTTGGGTTTGAAAATTCTTTTTTGATAGCGATTGAATGAGTGAATAAAATCAATTCTGCAATTGTAGAATCCTTAATTTCCTTCATATCACTATTGACAATACTGGAATAAACATTTCTCTGGTAATCAATAATTAATTTTTCAAAAATCAACCCAGTTATTTCCTCAGTAGATTTGGTTCGATCTATAGGAATGAGCAATTTATGAGCATCGGTTATAAAAGTTTGAAAAACATTTAACAATTCAATATCAAAAGAATACGCCAATTCAACAAATCTATCTGGCAAATTGGAATCCACAGAATATTCAAAAATATGTCTTGACTGGGATTGTTGTTTCTGTAACCAACTGAAATGATCCATTGCATATCCTTCAGCATAGTTTACATTTTTCAAATAAATAATATTGGTTATGAAACCAGTTAGCAATTTACGTTGCAAATATTCTTCATCTTTTAAAATCTTGTCAAGATCTTCTTTGGGAACATCAATATCATCTGGTAATGGTAAATTAATATAGTTTCTTGCAAAACTATAAGCTCTTTTCAAAATAAAATGATGAATTCCTAAATTAGTGTACTGCTTGTTTAACTTGTATGCCAAGTTAATAAACGCACTAACAGTCATTAATAAAAACCTAGAAGGATACAAGGTTTTAATTCTTTTCATACAAGAATCAATCAATTCAAACACACAATAAACCTTGATTTCGTAGAAACTATCTCTACTCTCAAGAGGCAAACTTTCATCAGTAGAAACTTCAAGACTACTTAACAATTCACAACTTTTCAAAAACAATTCCTTAGGGTTCCCGTTGATTGCTAATGTTTCAAATATTTTCAATATTTTATAAACACAAGGAGACGATCTAATTGGACCTTTGAAATCGTAATCGGATTCAATGTATAAAATAACCAACTGAGGTAAATCCCAGCCAATTTCAAAAGTCAAGTCTTTATTATTGGTTAAAATATCTAATAAATGACCCATTAATTGTTCCTTTTCGTCGTTGGAATACTTAGTAGGATCATTTAAATAAATATCAAGTAAAGTGGAGTACGATAAGAAATCTTGTGATTCTTTAGCATCTTCTGCTCCATGTTCCAAGTTTTCTAAAATCTTTTCAAATTGTAATGGTTCAATTGTAGATTCGCTTGTTTCAGAATGATCAGTTTCTGACATTACTGCTTCTTGTTGAATTTCTGGTAAATAAACGTAGATATGGGGGTTAACAACGTTCTAGCCAAACACAAGGTTGGTGTTCTTTTTTTTTTTTCGTTCTTGTTCTTCGTTGACACCGGTAGTGCAATTCGAGTCAAAGAAAGAACGGACAAAAAAATAAAATTTAAAGACCGTTCACATGGAGTCAAAAGTAACCGCGAGTGCTTTAGAGAGTTTGAATTGTGTTTCTACCAAAAATGGCAACCAAACTACTGCAACTCATCAAAGTATGTCTCGAATAGTCCAATCTGAAGATGATGAGTCATCATCGTCGTCATCATTACCATCAGCGTCCTCCTCACACGCATCATTACAGAATGAACCGTCTCCTCCACCACAAACGAAAATCCCTTTGTCTACCTCTATAATACTAGAGAAGAAATTGCCCCTGCAACAACAACAACAAGAAATATTGAATCCACAAACTATAGAATCGTCAAAAATTACGATACGGTTCGTACCTATAGGATCAACACCTTCAATTCAACCTAGAGTTTTCAAAATATCATCAACTCAAACCATATCTACATTAAACAAGTTTCTATGTAAAAAATTAAAACATAAAGGTATACTTCATTTATACATACAGAACAGCTTTATGCCATTACCAGATGAAAAAATTGGAGCATTATATGGTCTTTTTAAGACAAACAATGAATTGATTATTAGCTACTGCAATACAATTGCGTTTGGATGATGAGTTACAACAAATGGGTTCTATATTTAATACAGATGAGAGAAAAGAAAAGGAAAGTATTTTGACGTCATGAAAATAGCTAAGTTAAAAAAAGAATATTCATAGACTAATAATAAGAAAACAACATCAAAAAAAAGAAAGGTAATGGGGAATAAAAAAAAGGTATCTAAATATTACACTATATAGAAAGAATAAAAAGTAATTTTTTTATCTACCAAACCATAACAAAAGGGCAACGTGAAAAAACGAAAAATAAGGGGAAAAAAAAGAGAAGTCATTGGTATGAAAATATCAATTGGACATCTAGTAGAAGACGAATTTAGCGTCACCTGAGTTAACGGTAACGGTACAACCGTCAGAACCAGAACCATTGTATTGACCGTTTTCGTACTTACAGTTTCCGTTAACGTCATCACCAACAATCTTGATGTTATAGTTTGGTTGATCTTTGTTGTTTGGATTTGGAATCAAAGACAAGTAAGTTTTACCACCAGTAGTACCAGCACCCAAAACGACTGGAGCCCAGTTACCAACACCGGAACCTTCAGTACCCCAGATACAACCATCTTCGACAGAAACACCGGCATTGTTAACGTAGTATTGAGTGGAAGTCTTACCACCTTTCCAAGTAAAGTAAGTATCACTGTCAACAACAGAAACTGGAGCGTTACTACCAGCTTCTAACAAGGTTGGAACATTCATGTTTTCAGAACCTGGGTAATCGGTTCTACAGATGGCAACATCCTTAGAAATTTCAGAAACAAAGTTGACATTGTTAGCACCCCATTCACACAAGTAGTCGTTGTCAGTGTTGCTTCTGTACAATTTACCATTTTTACAGTACAAACCACCAACAGAAATACCAGAGTCTGGTTGTTCAGATGGCCATTGGGTCTTGGACATACCAGCTTGACAAGCATAAGAACAGTAGTAACCATCTTTACAATTGGAAGAAGTGTCACCGTTTTCATTCATGATAGTGGTCCAACCACCGTTCAAACCAGAGATCCAATCAACGGCAATGACACCTTGGCCAGTTGGAACGGAATCACAATCGTAGACACCATCTTGGAATTTCTTGGATGGGTCAACAAAACTTTGCAAATCACCCAAGATACCACCAACAGCACCTGAAACAGCAGAGGCGACAGAGTCGGCAACATCGCTGGAATCAGAAGAGGAGGAGGAAGAAGAAGAACCTCCAGTGGTTTGAGCAGAAGAACCAGCAATAGTTTGAGAAGTGGTTTGAGCTTGGGCAGTGGCAGTGGCAGTACCTTGAACTTCGTTACCGTTGGAATCAACGTAAACAACCTTGGTGACAACAGCTCTCTTGACGTTATCACGAGCGTGGTGATGATGTTGATGGTGTTGTTGTTGCAAAGGAGCTGCCAAAGCAGTGGATAAAACAGTCAATAAAGTTAAATATTTCATAATGAAAGTAAATTGATAATCTTGGATTTTTGTTTATTTATTGTTGATAAAAAAAGGAATGGCTAATGTTGAACAAACAATAAATGATGATTGAAAAAAAAAGAACTATTCAAAGATAATTAAAGAAAGACAATAGTTGGTATTGATTTTATTTTCAAATAAAAACAAAAATTAAAAGATTTTGAATAATAAACGAAAGTAGAATAAGTGAATCACTATATATATATATATATTTAGAAAAAAAAAACAGTTGAAAACTAACTTGGTTTTTATATTTGCAATTGAAGTGTGAGTGTGTGTGTGATAGGGAAAATTTTTTTTCTTTTTTATTTTTCTCTTTTGTATTTTAGTATTATTTTGAAAGGTGGGAAATCTATTGTTTTTCTTTTTTTGTGCCTTGTGTTGCTTTTTTGTATGGAGACACACACTGAGCGACAGTGAGTAATTGACAATCAACGATTTTGTGAAATCTTAATTTGGTTGGAAAGCGAACAAAAAAAAATCTAATTTCAATTTAGCCCCCTGTGCATTTGAAATAATTACACAAATCTTAAGAGTGCGGTGTAAAATTTCCCGATTCAATAGATCTAGAACTACAAAGGCTACCCATTGCGTTGGAAATGTAAACAATTAGTAGTGCCGACTACAAACGACGACATTAGGAGATTTACACTCCCTTGTATTCCTCATCGAGTAAAATTCTGTATTATGCCGTGGCGTGGGAATGCTTACAAAAGGGATGCCCATACTTGGTGGCGGTAGTTGTCGTGGTAGCTTCAAATTATGTGTGTATATAAAATAGAGAAATAAAAATAATATAGAAAAAAATGAATACTTCGACACATTAATCAGTTTTCCCCCTATTATTTCCAAGAAATTAGTATTCACAATTGTAATAAATTACAAAATATAGAGTTAGGGTTTTCCAATTTATAGGGATCTAGACTTTCTTCAATATATTATAATCTGGTTCTGTGTTTAATTAATCACAGAAAATCAAAGGTAATAAAACATTGAGAAATTTTTTTTTTCTTCTCTCTTTCTTCTGATCGTTTTGTTGTTGTGTTGATTTTGAACAAGGGCGTGTACAATCAACCAAAAAATAAAATTAATTAATCACTTTTGTCATCTCCGTTACGAGCTAAATATTTGTTCCTGTGTATACGGATTTGTAGTGAGTGCAAGAGTTCTTCTTTTTTTTTTTATTATTTCCATTAATTTTAAGTCGTGCCTTTCAACTAAATTCAAAGGGAATTTATAATGTAAATTCGCCCTTTCGTTGTACACTTCGACGAAAGGCTTATTCACGACGCGATTTAAAGTCAATCTGTAGAAGGGTAACGAGAGAAGGGCGGATGGGGATAAAGAGATGGGGAAAAAAGTCCAAGTAAAGAGAAGTGTACGTCATAATATGGATTGGTTTGGAAAGTGTGAAAATCAATAGGATTTTTTCATATTCTGTTTCATCTCAGTTTTTAACATGATTTGCATTCAATTTATGAAAATCGAAATTTCGTATGGCTCTAACTAAATGAATTCATAACCCTACACATTCATTGGCCCAAAATCCCTCCTATTTTTGCCATTGTTTGTTATAGCTCACACTATACCCATGATTTATCAAATCATTAAAAAAGAAAACCCAGGGGAGAGGGCAGTTAAATGTGTCTATTATATGCACGTAGTGGGGCAATTAAGCATGTTAGAACAAATGAACAATAAAAGAATACCAGAGTTGAAGCTACAACAACAACACTCACATGTATTCACACCTACATATCTTGGGATTAACTATTGCTCCAGTGTATCTCATATTTCTTTCATTTCCTTTTTGTTTCACTGGATTTTGATTTGAATCTTAACAATCTACTAAACTCTTTCTAGTTTTGTATAATTGAATCTAGATTCAATCTAACTTGTTACATGTCTATCCAATGTATAGCTTAAATAACAATGACCAACTACTACTTACAAAAGAAAACGATATTGGCTGTGATTTTGTGCCATGTGATATCATTTATTAGTATGGATATTGGAAAAATATAAAACGGACAAATTAAATTAATCCAATTAACGCCCAAAACGGAAATCTAATTGAAAATTGTTTTAGTAATTTTCTTGGTATGGGACTTTGTTTAAATTGCTAATAATCAAGTTTTGTGTTAGAATGTTTGAGTGATTTTTTTTTTCTTTTTCACTTTTTGCTTTGCTACTACTATACTATGATTGGTTGAACGGCTAATAAACCTATGCAAGTTGTATATAACCTGCATTTAGTCTCTAGACAATATACTTCAATATATGGTCTACTCAACTAATGCAATTTAACTAATTAAAGTTAGAATAGGAACATGAAGAAAAAATTTTTTTCATTTCTCTCTTCTTTCTTATTGCCATCTTTTCGAAAAATTTTTGTTTTTGGGCAATGCACACACCCCGACTTGGCGATCGAGATAACTGAATTGCAAATCTCATCATCGTTCCATGTAGATCAATAACAATTATTTATGACGACGCGATTAGTTACATTCCCAAGAGGGTTTTTCGACCAATTCCGATTTTCCAAAGAAAAAAAAAATTTTCTCTTCAAACATCAAGTGGCAAAAATCAGATCACGATGCCGTTGCAACATTGCTGATTATTGCCTTGATTTTTTTTTTTAGTTAATTTACGAGATGTCACTACAAGATTAGTTTCTTTTTTGATGGCTGTTTTTCCGAGTATGAAATTCCTTTTTTTTTCTTTGTTTCTGACCAACTTACACAGGGCATCTCTACGGAGATTAAGTTCATGACCTCCAATTAATTGACAATTGTATTTGGTTAAGTTTACGTCACCGTATTTGCAAACCAATTCAGTCTAGACCCAAGATAGGAAAGTCAGAATAATAACACCATGAGAAATAGAAAAAGAAATATATATGCATCACCTAATCTTTTTTTTTTTTTTACTTTTTGTTTTGTTCTTTTGAAAGCCGACAATTTGGACCCGTTAGATCAAGCTAAGTCTAGAACCCTTTAGGTTTGAAAACCTTAATTTGTTCCCTTTTTGCTACCGACTAATGAGATCATTACATAATACCCCAGGTTGAATATATCTTACGCTTAAAGCCTTGATGTTGTACAGAACACACAAATAGAGCAATAACAAATTGTACATAAAAATAAAAAAAAAATCATATATTACTACAATTCAGAAGTAAAAAAAAAAGAAACAACCAATTAAACCAATCTTACAATCACCTTCTATTGTTACTCGTTACTCTCCTATTATTCATGTCTTGTTCAATCTCCTATTCTTGTCTTTCCAACCATCGAAATCAATCAAAGCTTGCATACAACCCCATTCTGTGATTTTATTTTGTAGCCATACCAAGTTCACCGGCTTGGTCAAATAATCATTACAACCGGCAGTCAAGGCATTCTTCTTGTCTATAGAACTATTAGAACTGGCTGTCAACGCAACAATAATAACAGGCGATCGAAACACTTTACTGTCTAATTTATCCTTGTCTTCAATTTCTTTAGTAGTATTCAATTCATTTTTGTCAAACACACCAATCTTGTTTAACTTCTCCAAATTACGAATCTCTTTAGTGGCTTCAATCCCTGATTTAACTGGTAATTGGATATCCATCAACACTAAATGAAAACCTCCTTCTTTCCATTTATCAATAGCCTCTTGCCCATTTTTTGCAATCTTATAATGGATTTTTCTTTTTCTTAAAAATGCCCCCAAAATGGCTTGATTGATCGCATTATCTTCAACCACCAATACTGAAATTGATGGCAACACTTTATCAGTCGTAGAATCACTTGATTTTGGAGTACCAGCAGCACTTGTAGATCCATTGGTATTGCTATTGCTGAGTTTTGTCAACGGTAATGGAGCAGGCTTGTGTTTTGATTTTGGTTTGGCAGAAGTATCTCGTTGTTGTTGTTGTTGTTGTTGTTGCTGTTGTGATTGTTCTTCCTCAAAGGCTTCGCCTGCTTCGTCAGCACCACGCTCGTCCTTTTCTGTGAAATTAGTTTCTGGTTTACCGTCATCATCTTCATCTGGTGTATTATTCTCATTAATAGTTTCTGCCATACCATCATCAGATAACCTACTTCTGTGATTACTGTTATTATTGTTAGCCAATGAAAAATTTCTAGGAAGTAATAATACAGCCAGCGGATTATTACCTTGTTGCTGTTGTTGTTGTTGTGGTCCTTGTCCTTGACCTTGCTGTTGGAAAGACTGCTGCTGACCTTGTATTACATTAGAAACTGGAGAATAGACTGGATTGGAATACGATCTCTTGTGAGAAACAGGAGAATTTCTTGATACCAAAGCCGATGGAGAAACCGATCTATCTTTATTTAGATTATTACCCAGATGTGCACCTCTTGTCATTGGATATACTTTATAATTTGCCATTCTAGAATTACTTGGCTGCATTGGCTGCGGATGCTTAACTCCTTGTGCTCGATTTAAATTATAATTGTACCCTACCATACTCAAATGTCGTTCACCACCTAGTCCTACACCGTTAACATTATTAAGGTTATGTGTAGCAGACAATGGTGTCGGAGGTTGTACTTGATTATCTAGTGTGAAAGTTGGAGTTTCAATAATCAAAGCTTCAGTCATACACATTCCATGAGGAAAATAATGATCCAATAGCTGCCAAACATTCTGGTCCGGTTCTAAAATCAAATAGTTCTCATAAGTACGACTACTATTGTTACTAACTCTATTCATGCTTGGAGATACAGGAGCTCTTAAATTGCTTAAATCAACTTTGATTACCAAATCGGCTGCATCGTCAAATCTCCCGATACTATTTGGATATTTATTAATAACTGCCGATTTCAAATCGTCCACAATATCATTAACATATGAAAAAATCGTGGTTGGATTACCATTTGATTTCTTAACCCAGATTCGTCGTGGTGGCAAATTGTTCTGTATAACCTCACTGGTTGCTGAATTCAAAGATGAATGGGAATATTCATCTCCAATACTACCATTGCCATTACCACTACTTCCAGCACCAGCACCCCCTTTTCCTTTCTTGTCAATCTCAATTTTCGGAATTGGAGAATCGGACATTGACGTCTTTTTGAATTTACTCAGTGGTGTATTGGTTAACGCTGGTGTTGTTTGTGACGTTGCTGCCATGGCCGCTGCCGCCGCAGCAGCTGGGTTCGTGGTTGTTGACCCGTAAGGAAGAGCATTTGCTGTTGTAGTAGCAGTTGTTGTGCTTCCCTGTAATGGTCCTGATGAAGATGATGACATTTGTTGTAATCGTGATATTTGGGAAAATGATTGAGATCTTTTACCATACGAAGGAGGATAATCCGTGGTGTATAGATTACTCATTTAGATCGTTATGGTTAACTGATTTTTTTTTTTCCTGTGTATTTGTTGATGTAGAAAGGAAATTTAGCAACGCTATGTGATTCTCTTTTTAACAAATCCACATACAAAACTAAACCTTTTTTTTTTTTGGTTTTTACTTCTTACCCTCCTGTTTTGTTCTCATGAGGCGGAATTTTAAATTTAGTCCGCGAAATATTGAAAGGTCAACAAAATAGTTTGCCTTTTTTTTTCCTGTACCAAACTACACTACGCAACTATCATGGTTGTATGGTATTTTATAACATATAAACAAAAATGTGTGTATCTCTCAATATTACTTACATAACTACAAATTAAAGTCATTCCCAATCATCATCATCATCCTCTTCTTCTTCTTCTTCTTCACCATCAGAACCTTGTTTCTTTTTCTTATCGTTGGTAGATTCTTTCTTAGAGTTAGATTTCTTACTGACAACCAGTTTCTCCTCAACTTGTTCTTCTTCCTCTTCCTCTTCATCATCATCCCAAGTGAATTCCTCTTCATCGTCATCATTTTCTTGATTTCCATCAGTTTTTGAGGTATCTTTCTTTTCCAATAATTCCTTTCTCTTCTTTTCTTGTTCTTTTAATTTATCATCATTCTTGAAATATCTGTACCAAAATAAATTATAAGAAATCTTAAGTGGAACCAAATCGTTCATGGTTTTGGTCAAGGTATTTGGGTACTTTTCTAACAATCCGCTTATTTCTTTAGTCTTATTATCGGCATTAAATGATTCAATTTCATCCTTTACGTCCAACTCTTCATTAAGATAAAAACTCTCAGTAGTATGTAAATTCAACAAATCAGTTTCATACCTAGTAGTACCATAGTTGTTAAATTGGTTCAATGATGAATTAAAAACAACTTCTTTCTTACCGTTACCTTCATCCTCATTCACTGGATTAACCGAAACAATGCTGGATAAAAACGAGGTGAAATTACCAAAATATTTACTTGCTTCATTTTCAACAATTTCCAATTTGGAATCCAACAAATCCAATGCCTTATTAGCAGATTTGGTAAAATCATCAAGTGAAACTTGTTTTAAATTGTCTTCAATTTTCTTTAAACTTTCTTGAACATGCAATTCATTCGTTTTATCATTCAACGCTTTTCTAGTATTATTTAATTGTTCAATCAACTTTTGTTTCTGTTCTTCAATTTTAATTTTTTCCACATTCTTAGAAGCATTTGACCATAATTCTTGAAATTTGGTTTCTACTAATCCATATGCCTTATCAATTTCAGATTCCAACTTTTCAATTGTTTCTTCTGTCTTGACAGTAGCTGCATCGTGTTGAACTGGGTTCTTTTCATCAGTTTTATCACCCACTACAGTAGAATCCGTAGTTGGGTTACTTGATTGAGTAGTTACTGGGTCAATGTAATCCATATTTGTATGTGTGGAGTGTTTCTAAAGGAACAACCAGAATTTCGAAACAACAAAAAAAATAAAAAGATATTGTGTGGTTTACGTATGCAATTGTAATTTTTTTTTTTTTTGTTCTCTTGTGTTAAGATTGGGGTGAATAACTTGGCACATGAATAAAAATCCTCACCCATGACATGAATCTTCCTTTAGAATAACCAATGATCATGAAGACGTTTGGTGCATTGGTGGTGAGTAGCAATACTGTTTAACAAATTATAAAATGATGCTGTGTCCACACTGGCTTTAATTTCATTTGTAGCTTAATGACTCAATCAATGTCCACTAGTCCGGATCTGGTAATAAACATAACGGAGATATTTACTGCGACAATTTCGAAAAATTCTCAATATTTTTCTATTACCTTCAACAATTGCTTTTCCTTCAGTTTTCAATTCCCAGATCTATTGATAATGACTGGAACTTCGTCGATGAAGAATTGCTTGGTTGCAATTAAGAATGCCAAATTTAAAAAGGATACTTTACTAAAAACTCCCTTCGTTTACCCTGATCCGATCACCGAAATAGAAATCTATCCACCATCGGTGAGAGCCAAACAGTCAACCTGGGCCGTTACCGGAAGTAGTAAAACTACAATGTTAAAAATCTTAGCAGGTGAATTCATTCTGTATCCACCATTATCCAGAACATATCCATTAATCAACGATTCGCCAACACAATTGCAGTTTTTGAACTTTAGAGATGCTTCAGGATTGGATAAAGTACATATGTCAGCTAGATATGAAACATATTCTTACAAAGGAAAATTAGAAATGCTGGATGATGTTAATTCTGTGTATAATTATGTCACAGGGTTGAACAACTACAACACTAAAAACAAAAACATTAACACAGAGTTTGTTGACAGTTTGTTGAAATATTTCAAGTTGTCACATTTGCAACATAAATGGATCAACAGTTTGAGTAACGGACAATTAAGAAGAGCCAGGATTGCCAAGTCTTTGATGACAAAACCCAAATTATTGCTAATTGATGATCCATTTTTAGGATTAGATCCAATTAATACCAAAAGCGTCAGTGATGCTTTACAAACCGTAAGTCAAGAATTGGATATAAGTATGATTCTTGGTTTAAGAGTTCAGGATGACATCCCAGAATGGATTCAGAGTTTATGTTATGTTGATGAGAATGGTGTCAGACTTGCTGGTGACAAACAAACCGTTTCTACTGAGTATGAAAATTTAACAACATCAACTGAAACGTCTCACAAGGCTCATGAGTCTCGTCATAATAAACATACAAAGCTAGTTCCTATACCTACAGATTATTTTCAGAAAGAGGGTTTACACATCGAGTTTCATAATGCGTCAGTTGCGTATAAGAAATTGGTTATATTTGACAACTTCAATTGGAGAATTCCTCAAGGTAGCAAGTGGAGAATCTTGGGTGATAATGGTACTGGTAAAACTACATTATTATCAATCATCACAGCTGACCACCCACAATCATGGAAGTCCGTTATATCAGTTTATGGTCAATTGAGAAAAACAGGATCTGGGGTTACTTTCTTTGACATAAACAACAGAATTGGGATATCATCACCTGAATTACATGCATTGGTTCCACAACATACGAAAACGATGAAGGAAATAATCTACAATGGTTTAGTGAAGAATGTCGGAAACTCCAACTTTCTTTTTAAAGGTGATCCAAAGAATATTTCCGAAATAGGTCAAAAATATTTGAATTACTTTCAAGATAGACTTGACATGTATGGAGATACCGTTTTTAATGAATTATCGATGACAGATCAGAAGCTAACACTCTTTTTAAGAGCAATTATCAAAGAACCAAAGCTTTTGATTTTAGATGAAGCGTTTTCCTGTATGGATGATGAAAATGTGATGATCAGATGTCATGAATTGATTGAACATGAGTTGCAAAACACAACTGTTATTTCCATTGGTCATTTAGAATGGGAATTGGCCAAATACGATTATATGATAAAGTTGATCAATGACAATGATAAAAGAGATTATAGAACATTCAAAGTTGAATGATTAGAATTAGAGGGGTGGATGGACGTAGAAGGAACATTAGGAACATTCGGTGTTAATGAACTCATCATTGCTTTGTGTAGTATATGTAAAGTAAGTCGTGTACGTTGACTATGAATATTAGCTTAGGAGAACAAAAAAAAAAACATTGTAAAAACTAACGCGACAGTTGTGATTTCTTTTTTTTTGTTTTTTTTTTTTGCCCGAAAGACGACAAAGAGAAACTTTCTCCTTTTTTTTCACGATCAAGAAACCAGAGGAAGAGTCGTAACTTTTTTTTTCCAGCATATATTCAATTCACCAATTGTTTTTCTTACATATCCCAGGAGAATATCAAACCCTTATTCCGTTTTTTTTTTTTGTATATAGATATAGTTATATATTTGAAAAAGGGAAAGCTACCCACTTGAATAAGCATTCTCCAAGAAAGAAATCCACACCAACGAATTACTTCATTATCATAGCCCACATAATCAATTAGACATTCGCTTTTTGTTATTTGTTTATCGTACACATTTCCATTGATGACATCGACAACAACACTAGAAAAAGAGGAGGTTTCAGTTAAACATTACACCAAAACTATTCCCAATGCTCCAGAAGATGACAGACCTTTAGAAGTTAGGAGTAATTTAGAATATGGTAAGTCCACATCTAAAGAGCATCTTTATGTCTCCAAACATCCAGTTGGGGAACCTTTACCAACACCAATAGATGATGAACCACCTTATGCCATCTTAATATTCACTTATATTTGTTTCTTGATTTTAATTATAATTGGTCATATCCGGGATTTCTTTGGCAAAATCTTTAAACCTGAAGAATACGCAGATTTAATTGAAAAAGATGGATATGCTCCTTGGTATGATGGGTTTGAAAGTTTCTACGTGCGTAGATTGAAAACCAGAATTGATGATTGCTTTGCCAGACCTATTCATGGTGCTCCTGGCAGATACATCAAATGTTTCAATCGTATAAGAGATGGTAAAACAGGTTACTTGTACGATGGAACTTCAAAAGAATGTCTTAACTTGTCTTCATATAACTATCTTGGCTTTGCTCAATCAAGTGGTGTTTGTACTGATTATGCTTTGAAATGTGTGGATGATTATGGTACTTCCGGATGTTCCCCAAGACTTTACAGTGGTACCACCGACTTACACCGTGAATGTGAACGTGTTATTGCTGATTTTGTTGGCAAAGAAGATGCTATTATTGTCAGTCAAGGTTATGGTACTAATGCAAATTTCTTTGCTTCTATTGCGGATTCCAAAACCTTGGTTATTTCTGATGAATTGAATCATGCTTCCATTAGATTTGGTATCAGATTGTCTGGTGCTTCTGTTAAAGTGTTTAAGCATAATGACATGAAGGATTTGGAAAATCTTATACGTAACCAAATTGCCCAAGGTCAACCAAAGACTCATCGTCCATGGAGCAAGATCATCATTGCAATTGAAGGGTTGTATTCTATGGAAGGTAACATGTGTAACTTGCCAGAAATTGTCAAGATAAAGGATAAGTACAAGTGTTATTTGTTTGTTGATGAAGCCCATTCTATTGGTGCTTTGGGTCCAGATGGTAGAGGTATTTGTGATTATTTTTCGGTTGATCCAGCTAAAGTTGATGTTTTGATGGGTACTTTAACCAAATCTTTTGGTGCTACTGGTGGTTATATTGCTGGTGACAAAGATTTTATTGCCAGATTAAGAATTAACTACATTACTCAAGGTTATTCAGAAGGTGTTCCACCACCTGTTTTAGGTCAAATCATTTCATCTTTGAAAGTCATTAAAGGTGAGTTGAACCCAGGTGAAGGTGAAGAAAGATTACAAAGAATTGCATTCAACTCTCGTTATTTGAGATTGGGATTGAAAAAGTTGGGTTTTATTGTTTACGGTGCTGACGATTCTCCTGTTATTCCATTTTTATTGTTTGTTCCTTCTAAGATGCCCGCAGTTTCAAGAATGCTTTATGACATGGGTATTGCTGTTGTCATTGTTAGTTATCCTGCAACTCCATTGATTAGCGGTAGAGCTAGATTATGTGTTAGTTCTGCATTAACAAAAGAGGATTTGGATTACGTCTTGGCTAAAATGAGTGATATTGGGGATTTGATTTATTTGAAATTCAGTAGTGGTATTGCTGGTGGTTCAAAAGTCCCAGGAGAACCACCTCGTTGGACCGTTGACGAAGTATTGGCCACTAATGTTGAAGATTGTAAAAAGCCAAAATTAATGTAGCATTGGCTTTCTTGTCATTAATTTTAAATTCATCCCCCTTAATGTAATTATATTTAATTTATTATTAATAGTATCAAATACATAGACGAAATATATACGTATAGTACAAAGTAATTTCTTGATGCAGGTATTGATTGTGCAGTGGCCAACTACAACACCATGTTGGTCATTTTATAACCAAGCAATGCCAGTTCTAATCGGTTGCATATGTAACTACAGTTCTAATAGTGAATGAAATCCATCTTCGGATCTACCACATGAATTGATAATCAACGAATATGTAATATACTTATAGACTATTCCCTATGCTCTATCCAATTGGATGATATTACTATGATAACCAACTTTACCTAAGGCCAATGAAGTATCACTGCCATAGCCTTCCAATGAATTCATGGTTAATTCCCCGTTCCAATACTCGGCATAGATTGCGCTGATAGGTAAACCCATACCCAAGTGATAATGATGTGGTCGGCCCATCAAATTCTCCAACGTGGACTTCTTTTTGCTTCCCGTACTTTCACCAAGACTCGTGTTTTGTAGTATCTGTTGTGCTTGAGGAGTCACTATTGATGAGCCAGAAGGCGTGACTTTCAAATTCGAATATAGTTGCAATCCGGGAATTCGGTGGAAGTTCGCAAGACTTTTCCTGGCCAAATCTGGTTTCTTGCCGAACGACCAAATTGACTTTAACTTATCGTGGCTAATGCCCCCTCCTTGGTCAGAAATCCTGAACAACACTTGTTTAGTCAGATCAACAATGGTGACCTTGACTGGTGGTAATAACTTGGATGTCTTTGTGGAATGAGTCCTGATTGTTGCTTCAAACGAATTCCGGAGGATTTCATGAAGGATATACTGGAGATGGGGTACAATGAATGGGAAATGTGTTTTCACATCGCCTTCAATCTCCAAGTCTGGCATTCTTTCGATCTCTGGATAGCTGGATTTCATGGAATCTTTGATCATGCCCGCAACAATCTTTAACTGCTCCACAGCATTGCAATCGTCGAAAATTTCACCCAAATAATGCGGCGGCTTCTTGTCATACGGTTTCTTATTGTAGCTTTGACTAATGGACAAATGCTGCTCAATGATAAGACGTCTGCTTATTCTTGACGACAACATCTTGTGGATAATTTGGTTCAACTCTGCTTCAGGAAGATTGTTTGAGATGGCAACTTCCAATGCTCCCATCATCAAATGGGATAGGTTGAAAATGTGGTCATCCAACATACTTGACATCATTTCACAAAACTTGTTGTTGTCCTCAATGGTGTGGATCTTCGGGATTTTTCTGAACGCATTGAACAGATGGTAATAGCTCTCATATATCTGTGCCAAGTGGAAATTATTAACCACACCAAATGGCAATGTTTGCAAATCACGAATTCTTAATGCCAATCTTATCGGCAATTCAATCCTCACAAAGTTTGCAGAATTGATCACCTTTTGTCGTGTTAACGTATTCCCATATCCTGCCAATTGTCTTAATGATACCGGATGCGGTTGCTTCTTCAGATATTCTAGTAAAACAGCATTCTGGAAGAAATGTTGTGGGTTTAAGATGTTGGAATAAGTAGGAAATGGACCAAGGTTTTTAAGATATTTGGCGACTTCTTCTTTGCTAGCATCAGACAAGTATTCTTGAATGTACGAGTATTGAGTTATAGGTGATGTTGACGAATTGAATCTAGCTGCCGTTAGAGCTTTATAACTGTTCTGCCGTAACATGTCTGGTATTGAGTAGAGTCGTCGATAAGGTGAAATGTGTGAGAAAAGAAAAGGAAAGAAAAAAAAAGAGAAAGTCAAATCAATGAAGATTCATTCAACTTTGATAGAAGCAAATTCTACATCACGATCCATATAAAACAATAATGACACAAGTTATCCCAGAAACTTATATTCCTCCTCTTCGATTTAGTATGGTTCAACCAAATCTTTATAGAGGAGCATATCCAAGAGAAGTTAATTTTAAATTTCTTGAAACCCTACATTTAAAAACCATAATTTCATTAACACCAAATCCAATTTCACCAGAGACAGACCCCCAGCTTTATAATTTTGCAAAAGCGAATCAAATTCAACTTATTCATTTAGAATGTGCACAATCTGGTAAGGGTAAAAAAAGAGGAGTTCCATTAGATTACGAGATAACTATTCAAGCATTACATTATATAATTCATAGTCAATATCAACCAATTTATGTTCATTGTTATAATGGTGGTCAAGTGACAAGTTTATTAGTTGCATGTTTACGAAAATTACAATTTTGGTCTGCTATTTCGATCTTTAATGAATTTATTAATTTTACTACTAATATAACAGTAAATGATAGAAGCTTTGTCGATGGTTTCCATGGTGATATAAATATAAATCACGAAGATAAAGTTGATTGGTTATGGGTAGGAGTTAGCAAACACGTGGTTGGAAACCATCCTAGATTACGATTCATAGAAGAAAGCAAGGATAAATCTCTGAAATTTGTGTAAGTTTATATGTATATGAATGTCTATACTCTTTGGAAGAATAAACAGTAGGCATTTTTATTGACCACTTGAGATGGTGAAACATTGAAGGTGATTTTGGAATCGTCAAAGTAACACCAGTTTCGTTTCTTTTTAGAATCACTATGTTTATAAACATAAGCAGTATAATGACCTGTTGTCAAATTACCAAAATGGTTTGCAACACCAAATAGCTTATACTTGAATGGAGGTGTCTGGTTTCTCACAGGGAAAGATTTTAATAGTTCTTGTTCCTTTTCAATAGACATAGTGCTATTTTCATTAATTTTTGATCCAACATCTGGCCAATATGGCGTCATGTCCAAGACTTCATTAACCGGGTAGGTGACAAATGTCTCCAATTTATTAAACCCACCAGTGCTTGTCATTTTAAATCTATTGAAATTCACTATTAGCACCTGTGGTAATCTGGTTATGGCGATTTTCTTTGTCAGTTTTGTAAATCTCTTACATCTTGGGCAATACCATTTGTTATTATCATCTAACAATTCTGTAGTTACAAATTCCTGAAGACACTCATTTAACAGAACTTTGCCCGCGTTGTTTAACTTTTGAGGAATAGGTAATGAAAGAATTGAAAATGAATTATAAGTAGTTGAAGTGAATCCACATTCTAAACATTTCAACTGTGATAAATGCTGTCCTTGGAAATAATCAACAATCACTGAAAAATTTAATTTGAGATATCTTTCCCATTCTATTGTTGATGCTAATCTAACTGGTAATATCTCCCTACTCTTTTCCTGTTCTGGACTTAAATCTGTAATCATTTTACGTTCTTGAGGGTCCGTAATTGTAACATTGTTAAGATCTTCATGAAGTGCATCTAAAAGAAAATTTAAAAATTCGATACAATCTTGTTGATCATAAGTAAGAAACTGCTGCGAGGGAGATAAGGAGCCCATAATCTTTTTAAACTTGGAAGGGCTAAATGACCTTTCGTTGTTATTAAGCATATTCAAGATTAATTCAACAAAACTTGTAGTTAATTGACCCTTTGTACCCAATTTGTTGCTTACATTTATATGTTGTCTGTAAGAATGATCAGAAAAGGATTCTGTGATTGTCGGGAAAAAGAATGAAGTAAGTTGAGGTGTTGCAGCTAGGCATTGAACAACACAGTTCATGTAACAAGAATTTCCTAAATTAACTAAGCCAGTGGTATACAGTTCAAGAAATTGTGATTTCTTTGAGGAAATAGTAACTTCTTTGTTAATAGGACTAGACGATTTCTTTTCGGGAACATCAGGCAAAGTAGTTGGTGTGGTTACTATAGGGGTGGATGGAAGAGGGATTGATACAACCGAGGAACTTGGTGTTGATTTCACATCAACCTTAGGAGATGCAAATATACTTGATACACTCTTAACTGGGACAGGATCAAATTGATTCACTTTTCTATGCGATGGTTTTACGTAGTCTCCATTTTGCAATTTCTGGTGTGGTTGAGGAGGTGATTCTTTAGTGGCGCTAGATACATAATCACTGAATGATGTTAAATATTGACTTTCAGAAGCTTTGTCAACCCCATTTTGTACTATTGTTCTTTCCAAATATTTATCTCCAAAGACTTTATACCAATTCAAGACTCCTCCCGAAAGAAACAGGGGACATACTTTCAATCGTGAACTGATATATTTATTATTCATGAGAATCTTGACGAGCTTGTTAAAGGGATTAGTTTTTCCTATTATTTCCAATATACCAGAAAATCTATCACTTGATTCCGATCCAAAGTTATAATTGTATATCACTACCAAATCGTATTTGCGTCTATCCAAGAATTTTTTGTATTGTTCGTGGAGTACTGATGATTTTAATAACTTCTCCAATTCTTCATCGGTTGCAGTATCCGCTAATGATTCAACTATTTTAGGTTCAATATGTACCAAATCATTGAATTTTATGTGGTTGTTCAAATAGTCCTTTTGGGGTCTATAATCTATTAGTAATACTCTTCTTTTCGTTAATTCATGTTGTAGTTCAGTTGCAGTTATCCACTCTCGAAACACTTGATCTTGAATATGATTTGGTTGAGATGTTTCTCCACTTATTGATTTAAATCTATTGACTAAAGGATCTTCTTCCTTGGTATCAGATTTTTTGAAATGGCTAATAATAGTTTTAAACGTGCTCACTCTCTTTCGTGTCTGAAGCTGTAGTCCTGTCAAAATATCCATGGTACTGGGAGTAGTCTTTGATTTAATCAACTCCACGACCTGAATACATGTGTTATATGTGACATACGCCACTTCATAATCACAATATCCTCTCAAATTCAAAATATCAATTTGGTTGTCAAATAACTTCAACAAGTCCATAAGTATATTGAATAACTGTTGGAACGTAGGGGAATTGGATTTAATTCTATGAGTAAGTTTAAGGGCTATCTGATCTAAATCAGATGTTGGACTTGATTTAAATGGCATGGGTATAGAAATCAAACTTTTCCTTTTGAAATAAATATGCACTGGGCAGTTGGGGTTTGGGTAAATTGTTGAACTATAACTCCTAGGAGTCTGAATTATTAAGCTCGCTTTTTTTTTTTTCTCGCCTTCTGGAAGTACACAAGTTTACACACAATAGATAACTCTCCGACAAGGGAATAAATCTATGCGAATCGAACAAAACATCTTCCACCATGATATGGGCATGATAGCTGGAAGATCATATAGAGAGCTGTGATCAATATTTTCTACAAATCTTTTACATAGTAATCTTTCTTATATTTGGCTTGCATACAAACTTCTTTACGTGTAACACTAACCAACTGCAAACCTAGCAAATCCAGAACCAGATTCTTTCCAAGAAATTCTTTGGAACAGGGACAACGTAATCAAGTTCTTCTTGTTCAATTTCATCCAAATGAGTAATCAAGTCGATATTTTCAACTGGAATAACCCAGTCGGTGTCACCAAGAACCATGCGAGAGTAGATAACGTGACCGAAATACAAAACGACAACGATTGGTAAGGTAATATAAGCAGCCAAGAAATCACCAATGTTAAAGTCAAAGAAAACAGCATAACCATTGGTAATGATAATGATGGATAAGAAGATAACAACAAAGTAGGCACCGAATGGAAGCAATTTTGATCTGTATGGGAGTCTATCCATAAGACCATTCAAAACAACGGCTTTTCTCCAACGAATGTAGGCAACTCCAACGGTAGCCCATCCAATGAAACCAGAAATGGTGGAAAGATTAGACAACCAGGTGAAGACAGTAGCAGAGGAAGATGACACATTCAAGTAAGCCAACAAACCAAAAGCAGATGAAACGGCAACAGAGTAGTAAGGAACACCGTATTTGTTAACTTTGGCAAAGATCTTTGGAGCATTACCACGTTCAGCCATGGAGAACAACATTCTAGAACTGGAGTATAAGAAGGAGTTACCGGCAGAAGTGGCAGATGACAAGATTGCTGCATTGATGACATGATCCAAAGCGGAGATACCAGCATTTTGAATACCAATTACAAATGGAGAAGCAGAAGCGTCATATCCACTACCAATTAATCTTGGATTGGTGGAACTAACAATAACACCAATGATTAAACTACCAACAACGTAAAAGAAGATCAATCTGTAAATGAAACGACGAGCGGCTTTACTGCCGTTTTGTCTTGGACCAACAGTTTCACCAATAGCAGTGGAAATCAACTCTGGACCAGTGATAAATGAGAAACCAGATTTAATGATGGCAGTCCAAAAACCCAAGAATCTACCTGTTGATCCAGACACCAAATACTGACTGAACGCAAACCCGTCCTTCCAGTATCTGAAACCTAATCTGTCGTGATTTGGTGCTCCACCAAGCATGATTACCAAACCGGTGATAATCAAGATAATAAGAACAATAACTTTAATCAACACTAAACAGTATTCAGTTTCCCCATAAAACTTAACGGGTAAGAAGTTTAATGCAACAATGAATCCGAGAAGAATTGTGATCCAAACGGCAATAGGAACAGCAGTGGTCCAGTATTCAATAAGCATGGCAGCAGCTGTAACTTCAGCACCCACCAAAATACTAAAAGAGTACCAGTAGTTGTAACCAACTGCAAAACCAAAGGAAGGTGAAAGATAGTCATTGACAAAAGCAATAGGACCATTACCTGGGATAGGGCGGAAAAGAACAATCTCAGCAAAATATTCCATGACATTGTAGACAACAACAGACATGGTTATAAAGGCGAGTAACAAACTGGCAGGACCACAGGTAGCCAAAATCAAACCAGATCCAAGGAACAAACCAGTACCAATAGAACCACCAAGGGCAATCAATGACAAGTGTCTACTTTTAAGACCTCTAGCAAGGGTATCTGGACCCAAGGCAGGGTCTAATGAAGTTTCTGAGATACTTTCATTACCTTTTTCTTTGTATGGCATATTTTTTTCTTCATCAGAGCGTTGATAGCCCGATTCATGAATTGAGGATACAGATGTAATCAAGTTAGCTTCTTTTGCTCCCATGTTGGATTAGTTGAATAGTTAGATGATTTGGGTTTTCTTTTTTTATTATTTATTTATTGCTAATTTCTAATTTAATTTAATTATGAAATCAAAGATCCTTTTATATACCCCCATTGAATGCCAATCATTTATATATATATACATATTTTATAAAGGTTGCTAGTTATCTACTATCTTGACTTTAGATTATTGATAATGATTACACAAAAGTACGGAAGCGCGCAAAATAAAAATAATAAAGTAGGCAAGAAATTTTGCAGACAAATTTTTACTCTGCCCATAGTAACTCCTGTATATTACATAATAATAAGTAGGTTACTTTTTTTTTTCTTGTTTTAATGCCAAGCAGATATCAATCAGTGGAGAATAGATATATTATTGAAACCAACACCAACAACTTCAATCAAAGTAAAAAAGAAAAAATCGTACGGCAATTTAATAATATCTATCCCTAGCTTGGATTTGTCAAACTAACGGGGAGTTGATCAAAGTATGACCCATTAATTCTTAATACTTGCTTACATGGGATACCCCCTCTTTGGTAGTTTTTTAATTCAATCCGTTTTTAGTGGATTGAGGATTAACTTTCTTCAAAAGTTGACAATTCGGAGTACCATCGCCGCTTTTCCCAACCACGAGTAATCGATCGATGTAAATTTTCAAACTTCAATTAAGTGGTTTTATCTTCAAAAGGAATGGTTGGTCCGAGATTAGCCTTTTATGATACCTGTTTTTGTAGTTTGATTCTAACTGACACAAAAGATCCTATTCAAGTTTATTATATCACCTAATTGATATATACAGTCAAATTCCCGTGTGAGTTATGAATTCTTGACGCTATAGGAAGTTTGAATCACTGGTTTATTATTACTTGATAAGAGAAAATATTGCCAGCTATTGGAAATAATATGTGTAAAGTACACATCTAAAATTGGATTCATCGCTTGAAGAAACCTCAAGAGAAATATACAAGCAGTGAGGAGGAATGTGTAGTGTAATTGAATTGGCAATCGATAACGAGAAATGGACTTATTGAGCGTTTCTAGCAATATTATATTGGTCCATTTCTACCCCACACAAGATTATACGAAACGGCTGTTCCTATTCATTTTTAAATTATAACTAGAAGTCCATTAACCCCTCTCTACTATTAAATTTAACTACTATATTGCTTTATTTGTGTGTCATATTTTGCTTTCTTTTTTGTGATGTTCTCAATATGTTTTCCCCATGAAATGGTTTTTCTTCTTTATTTTGTATTGTAACAACCTTTATAGGTACACAGAGAAAAAAAGACTAAAGCACTACAAAAAAAAAAAAAAATCAAACATATCAATCTTTGCAGCCATCAATAAACAGAAAACCAATCATTTGTTACCACAGTAAATGACATCAATCAAAAGTAAAACTACTAATCTAAAGTCATGCTCGACCTACACAGACAATGAGAACCACTTTCTAGTAGATTCAAGATATGAAATAGTGCGAGTGTTGGGGAAAGGTTCATATGGTGTTGTCTGTTCTGCCATTGATACTAAGAGTTCCAGTTCAGGAATGGAACATAAGATAGCTATCAAGAAGGTCACTAAAATATTCAACAAAGACATACTATTAATCAGAGCAATAAGAGAACTAAAGTTTATGATGTTTTTTAGAGGTCATAAAAATGTATGTATTAAGATCACACCAAATCTATCACAAAACAAGCATTACTAACTGTTTCTTCTTCTGTTCAATTTTAAAGATAGCAACACTTCTTGATCTAGATGTCGTTTACGTTAAACCATATGAAGGGTTGTATTGTTTCCAGGAACTCGCAGATTTAGATTTGGCCAGGGTATTGTATTCAAATGTACAATTCTCAGAATTCCATATACAAAGTTTTATGTATCAAATTCTATGCGGATTAAAGTATATCCATTCAGCTGACGTAATACATAGAGATTTGAAGCCAGGAAATATTTTGGTCACAACTCAAGGTACTTTAAAAATTTGTGATTTTGGTTTGGCAAGAGGTATTAATCCCAATTATTTCAAAAATCGTTCACCCACAATCACAAATTATGTTGCAACAAGATGGTATAGAGCTCCTGAGTTGATTATGTCGACTAAAAGTTACACCAAAGCAGTAGATATCTGGGCAGTGGGTTGCATTCTTGGAGAACTCTTTGGAAGAAGACCATTATTCCCTGGTAAGAATCTGCATGAACAAATCCACGAATTGTTTAAAATACTAGGTAATCCTCCCATGGAGACCATCAAAAAGTACAATTGGAAAGTAGAAGGGTTACTTTGGGTTAAATATAGACCGGCTAAATGGAAGAGTTTGTACCCCTTTGCTCCCTTAGATGCCATACAACTATTGGACAAACTTTTAAAGTGGGATTACAAGGCAAGATTAGACGTGGAAGAAATATTGGCCCAGAGTTTCTTTAAGAGTTTACGTAATGTTTTTGAAGAACCATCCAGTAAAAATATATTTGATTTTAGTTTTGAGGAGAAAGGAAGAAATATTCCACAAATGAAAGAAGTTCTTGAATCAGAAGTTAAGCATTTCAAAGAAACTTGTAAAGCCGGAATTGAGTGAACTTGAAAAGTTGCCAAAGAAATTTTTCCGTCAACCATATTTCATGTGGGGGACATTCGGATGCGAGAACCTGAAAAAAAAAAAAATAATGATAATATAAATACATAAATTCCTAGAAAGTACAAATGAAGAGAGTATGAGGTCATAAATAAGCGAAAAGAACGTCTTAGTCCCCTCACATTATGTGCCCGATAGTAAAATTTTCTTTTTATGGTTAATGATACAAAATTAAAATAGAGAAAGATTCAATCATGTAGTTTCGGGATGTTTAAAATCAAATCACATGCCAAAACATTTTAAAGTACTGGTAAGTTGAATATTTAGAACTTTGTTCCCCGAGGAACTCGGAGTAGCTATAGAGTTTATATATATATATATAAGAGAACCACAATCTCGTCTTGTTCGATTGATTTTATATACCAATTGATATACACAATAATCTCTCCTTTAACCAAAAGATAACAACTTAACATCATGGCCGTTGAAACTCACCCAGACTTCCAAATCATTAAATTTGTCCTTCATGTTGAAGGACAAGAACCGAAAGAGGTTCAAGTCAAAGATGCTGATGAGATCCACATTCAACTTCCAGGTGGTATTAAATATTACATGACCTTACACTTCCAAGTTAAAAACAGAAGATATGAAAATGTTAAATATATCCAGGTTGTCAAGAAAGCCGGTATTACTATTAGAAAGAATGAATTAGAAATTGGTTCTTATGATCCTTCTGAAGAAATCTATACTAAAGATTTCCCAGAGAGTGATACTCCAGGTTCCTGGTTAGCTAGAGGTAATTATCAAAATGTTTCGACATATTATGAAGGTGACAAAGAATTATTTGCTACACCATGGACTCTTGAATTAGTTGCAAAAGCTTAGACAAAATACATATCTTAAAATAGCAGTTCGTACATATTAATGGAAAAATGTCAAATTGATGGATAAATACATTCTCGACGATAACCCAAGAAACTCAGTAAGATAAATTTCCTAGGTAAAAGAAAAGCAATCTGTTGCCACACTTTTTCTTTTATTATCGTCTCTTTCTATCTTTCTTGTATTATTATTTTCATCTACATATGCTGTGTAAGAAAGTCTAAATGTACACTATGTAACAACTAGTGTGGTAGTTTGCTTCACTCGGAAAAGATTACGGTCGGGCGGTAAATCGTGGGCCAGATGACTGAGAGTTAGATGGGGAAAAAAAATCTAGTTCTTATCAAAGCCACCCCCCCCCCAGCCCCCAGCCCCCAGAACTCTTTTTCTGTCTCAGCAATTCGTCGCAACTTCTTCTTTATTTCATCGTGGTTTGCCACTATAATACTAAAGGAATTACCGCTTTGTCTTCTTCAGTTTTAATTATAACAAGAGAATGAGCGTTCGTTCTGCAACTCATGCTGGTACTTGGTATACCAATAGTCCGACAAAATTAAGAAAGCAACTAGACGAGTTTTTTCATAAAGCTAAATTATTAAAATCACCCATTAATGGAGACGATGCTAGCAATGGAGTCGAGGGAGCAAGAATTCTTATTGGTCCTCATGCAGGTTATGCCTATTCTGGAGAAAGATTGGCAGAAACATTCAATGCCTGGGATACTACAAAAGTGAAACGAGTATTCTTATTGGGACCTTCCCATCATGTGTATTTCAAAAGTTATGCAATGCTTTCCTCGTTTGATTATTATGAAACACCTTTGGGTGATATTCCAGTTGATAAAGAAATCATAAAAGATTTGATCAATAAGAAATGTTCAAGGGGTCCTATTTTCAAGTATATGTCTGATGAAATTGACGAGGATGAACATTCATTTGAGATGCATGCTCCATTTATTCGTTATAAAGGTGAGTCTTCTCCGCATGGTGTTCCAAAAATTATTCCTATATTGATTAGTGGCATGGACGAAAAGTTGCAACTGGATATTGTTGATTCTTTGCTCCCTTTTATGGATAATGAAGAGAATCATTTTATAATAAGTTCTGATTTTTGTCATTGGGGTTCAAGATTTGGATATACAAAGTATTTATCATCTAGTGATGTGACATTGGATAATTTGGAAGACGAAATAACCTCCTTAGGAATGTTTCAGCGCACAAAAGGGTTAGAAATATACAAATCGATTGAATTATTGGACAAGTTGGCTCTTGAAATCGCTTCGACCGGATCATCTGCTGCATGGAAGCAATATATCGATACTACGGGAAACACTATATGTGGCCAAAAGCCAATTTCAATAGTTCTTAAGCTATTAGAAAGATACCTGAAGTACACTCCTACTGACGGTAATGTTTTCAATTGGATTGGATATTCGCAGAGTAACCCAGTTCATAAAAGCAGTGAAAGTAGTGTTTCATATGCTTCAGGGTACGTCAAGCTTTAATTATGGGTTACATGAAATTCGGAATGGCGATTGTTTGTATGCTTTCGTTTTGTTTTTGTTGTTGTTGTTGTTTTTGATTTTATTTTTGATTTTATTTTTGGTTATATGTTTTCTATCATTAGATTATATAGGTGGTTATGGGTTTGATTATACTAAATTTGAGTTATTTTATTTCAGAAAGAATTAAAGGAAGTAAGTTGGAACCAAGTCGCGTCTTATGTAATCGTTTCTTCTTTTATTTTTTTTTTCTATAAAGAAAATCTTCGGTTCAATTTTTCCCTCCCTCTTTGTAGCATTTTAGTTTTGTCTGCGTTTTTGTCCCCTCCTACCACTTCTTCCCTCACCACTCCTTTTTTTTTCGTTAATAGCTGATTTTTTTTTTCCAGATCGATCTACTTGTTTTGAATTTGTATCTATATTTGATCGTCTTTTAACCATCAGTTGTCATTAATTAACATGAGTGATGGTAAATTATTTACAAGATCGAAGAGTTCAGAATTGCGTGCAGAATTGGAGCAGGCATTTAAGAAATCAAAACCAGTTTCAAGGGTCATATTAGTTCTTAAGAAAGTTTTGGCAAATATTATTTTTAACAACCATGAAATAGCTTGTTTAATGAAAGATATAATCCCATTAATGAAAATTGATGATCTTGAAGTGAGAAAATTATGTTTTGAATTCTTGGTGGCCTACGCTGCATCTAATCCTGATGGTGACGATGCTATCCCGTATCTTTCTCGATTTCACAACGATCCAACTCCGTATTTGCGAGTACTAGCACTTAAAACAATGTCATCAATTAATAGAAAGGAATTTATAGACTTGTCCATCACATCGTGTAAGAGACTGTTGGTGGATTCGGACTCAGAGGTTAGAAAGTCCGCAGCTTTTGCTGTAGCAAGAATTTCTCAACATGATGCCGCTAGAGCCGAGAAGGAAAACTTGGTCCAACAATTGAATGATTTATTGTATGATTCAAATTCTTCCGTTGTATCAAATGCATTAGCAGCATTAAGCTCGATTATAGAAAGTAATCGAAACTTGAATCTAACCATCGACAAGAACCATGCATTAACTTTGATTAATTTATCGAGTTCGGCAAATGAATGGCAACAGACATATATCTTAAACGCATTGATGGCATATGTTCCGCAAACTGATGATGAAGCCTTGGATTTAATTGAGTCAGTTTTACCTGCATTACAACATGAGAATTCCTCGGTGGTGATAAATGCAATCAAAGTTGTTATTTATTATTGTAATTATGCCAGAAATCCCGAGTTACGTCTTCCTGTGCTACCCAAAAGATTGGGTAATTCCCTTGTATCTTTGTTAGCAAAACCATCTGAAACACAGTTCCTAGTTTTAAGAAATGTCATATTATTATTATTGGGAAGAAAAGATTTAGTCAGCTTTGATGTGGAAATGTTTTATTGTAGGTATGATGATCCTATATACGTTAAAGACACCAAACTTGAAATTATTTACTTGTTGGCAAATGAGTCAAATGTTGGACTGGTACTTCGAGAATTAGAAGAATATGCCACTGAAGTCGATGTATCTATGGCAAGAAAGGCTATACGTGCATTTGGTAATCTTGCTGTGAAACTAGAAAATGCTTCTGAAGAATGTGTTGAAGTAATTTGTGATTTGGTATCTAATGGTATCTCCTATATTGTTCAAGAATCCACTATTGTCATAAAAAATATTGTTCGTAAGTATCCTGGAAAGTTTGAATTTGCTATAAACGAGTTGATCAAACATTACCATCTCATTGATGAGCCAGATGCCAAAACTGCTTTCATTTGGATTATTGGGCAATATTGTGAAAGTATTAAAGAATCCAAAACTATTTTGGAAGATTTCATTACTTCTTTTAAAGATGATCCTGCTGAAGTTCAATATGCCACCTTGACGGCAGTAACGAAATATTATTTAAAGTTCCCAGAACAAGGTGAATCTATTGTTTTAAGAGTGTTAAAATGGGCTACAGAAGAGGTTGATAATCCAGATATTCGAGATCGTGGATTTATCTACTGGAGATTATTGTCTTCAGAAAATGCCAGTGGTCCAAATGGTGAATTTCAGTCAAACACCAAAAAGATTATTTTAAACGAGAACCCAGTGATTAATTCAGAGAATGATAATATTAATCCGGAAATACTTGAAGAATTGGAGTTAAACATTGGAACATTGGCATCTATTTACTTGAAACCCGTTCAGACTGTTTTCCGATTGGCTAAACCTAAGTCGCTTCCTTATAGTCCTTCCCTTCAAAGACGTAACCTGTTACCCAACCTTCATAGTAACAATTCTAGACTGACTAGTCGAAGCCTGAAAGAAAATTCCCCAAGTGTTGATGTTGGTAGACGTATGTCTTATAGAAGAACCAACAGTGATAATTTAAGTACTAGAAGCAGTAACAATAACAAATATCCAGATGATAGAAAAGCATTACATCCACAACCCCCACAGAAAGAAAACTTGGCTAAGAAATTTTCAAGAAAGGCATCTTTTATTACAAACAAAATTAAAAACTAAATAAAAATCTACACTATATACATTTATATATAAATCTACGTGTTTTTTCTACGAATAACATTTAATAGCTTGACATTTGGTGAAAATCTCACAGTATTATTGGCATTAACAATGGTCTCTATATTAACATCTGGTAGATTAGGTTCTGGACCATTAGGTAATTCGTCCTTCAACTTTTGTAAATTCATACCCATAAAAGAAGCCAATACAATCAAAGCAGCAGGACGAGACAGAACTCTCATTTGTTCTTTACAAGTACTTGAAACCACGCATAATGGACATCCCCAATTACATGTACAGTTTTTAACTCGTCTAAAAGTAGCATCTAATATTTCATCAATACTTTCAAAACATTTGTATGATATTCCTGTACCTGATTGTCCACCTTTAGTATCATAAAATACTAATCTTGCAGGTCGTTTCCTACTATTTTCCCTCGCCGAAAACTCTTTCAATGGAGACTTACATTCAGTTGACAATTCCATATCTGCGATATTTCGACCATTTTCAGGAGCTCCGTTGATATGTATAGGTAGCATGTTCATAATTGCATGAGCAGCAGCATGTATTCCACCAGCTGTCGAAAGTTGTTTTTCATGAATTACTTCCAATGCTTCTGATGGTATATTTAACCAAAATCCTTTGGAATAGATAATAACTGGTGGGTTTTTCACTTCAACTACTTCTAAAATCTCTTCACGTCGATTCACTTTGAAAAATCCAAATACCTTCATGGTGATTTTGATTCTACCAGAGAATGCTGGTATATCAAGTGCTTGTTGTGCTTTCGGTGGGAATAATGGCTTGACACACTCAACTTCTTCTGGATCAACATCAGTGTAGTCCCTCTGCAGTGTTGTCCAATCAACATTAACTCGCTCAACTTTAGCATAACGATCCTCTTGATTGAATTCTTTGATTAAGTACGGTTGACCTTGATGAAGAAAAATTCCTCCTTCATACAATGTAAATGTTGTTCTCAGTAATTCAATCTCTTCAATTACTATATTTCTATTGTTTGTGATATCAACCACAGCAAAAGCAGGTTCTTCAATTGCTCGTATGGCCACTTGATTATGTGGTTTTGTGGTATACCGTGGGTTGGTCTTGTATTTTCCATCAACATCAAGAATTAAATTTTCATTCAAAATCTTTGAAAAATCATTTTTGGATCCAGTAGGCATGAACCAGTGCATATCTTCAAGAGATATTCCCTCTTCATATGCAGCACACTGTAAATGTTTTTCTAAAATCAATCGTCCGCATTCCATTTCGCGTAAGCCTTCAACACATAAATCCTCATAGTTATTACCAATCAATTCATGAGGATTCTCTAAATAGTACTGATCAACTGGGCTCTTACCAGGAACAAATACAGCCAAACTTCCCTTGGCATTTCTTCTTCTCCCTGCTCGACCAAATTGTTGATGTAAGTTCAGTTTCAGCATTGGGAATCCACAAGTTATCACCACATCTAAATGAGATAAATCAATACCTAATTCTAACGCATTGGTTGCAACAATTGCTCGAAGTTGCCCATCAAACATTTTCTTTTCAATTACTCGTCTATCGTTTTTACTATAGCCACCTCGGTATGCCATAATATCACTTTGATCTATCCCTGATTTACTAAATACATCTTGCAACAAATGCCTTACTTCTTTCATTAAAGTTTCACAAATGACTCTGATAGGACAAAACACAATCACTCTTAAATTGTCATTTATTGTCAAAATATTCAATAACAATCGTGCCAGTTCCAGAATCATACTCACTCTTGGTACTAATTTATCAGGTGTATTTTCCTTTTGTCCCCGCTGGTTCATCAATGCTGGTGGATTCCAAACCACTAATTTTTTCTCACAGCAAGGACTACCATCTTGATTGACATGAACTATTTCGTCGCTATCGCGTAATGCACAAACGACTCTAAAATGGCTAATGGGGTTTTGAATGGTTGCTGAACATGAAATAAACCTTATTTGATCGCCATCATCCTGCAGAAGCTTATTCTTAATTCTAGCTAGTCTCGCCATAACAAATCCAACATTGATACCAAACGTACCTTTATAAACATGTAATTCATCCATTACAACAAACTTTAATGAACGAAGAAACTCTCTCCAATTGTCAAAACTATGTCCTGGAAGAATTGATGCATGGATAGTATCTGGATTTGTAAATATAATATCTGATTCTTTCAGAATCTTAACTCTCTCTTGGAATGGTGTGTCTCCATCATATGTATTGACAACAATTGGACGACTTTGTGCACTAGGTAATTGACTAATAAAGTCCTTGAAATGCCTTATCTGATCCTGAGCTAATGCCTTTGTTGGGAAAATGAAAAAAGCTGTGGTACTACGCCCATGAAAACCATTGGAAATATCCCAAAGAATAGAATTCAAAACAGGAATCTGGTATATTAACGACTTACCTGAAGCCGTCAGGGTACTAGCTATGACATGTGAATTGTTTGTCGGATCTAAAAGTGTATTCAATGCCACTGCTTGGTGGGAATACAAATCGTTGTCTATCGAAATGCCCTTTGTTTGTAACAATGCCTCTTTAAGTTCTGGGTGGATGAATTCTTGGATTTGGGGTAATAAGCTTTGTTTCTCTGCGGGCCGCTCCTTATTGAGTAATTGGACCGATGAAATTTGGTTATTGTAAAATTTGGACTTCTTTAATGCCAGGATCATTTCATCAGTAGTTAATGTGACATTAGCTGTAGCAGTTGTACTTGGCCTTTGCTCTAGTAATTTTACCATGTCATCAAGTATAGGTTCTTCTGGTATGCGCCTTGTTGCTGCATCGATTAACTTTTTCTCTGCTTCTTCTTGATTGGAAAACTTATCCATGAAAACTTGTAACAACCGGTTGAATTTTTCGTTCCGGTTCTTTATAAGGTTAGTCAATTGCTGTTTAGACAACGGTTGTAATTGAAACTTACTATCTTCCAAAAAAAATCCCTGTCTTTGTTCAGATTTATAATCACCACTATTGGCTTTCCTTCTTTTGTTACTCAAACTTCTCATTGCTTTACCTATTCCGTGAACCTTGGTATCTTGGAAAGTAAAAATCAATATTTGTTTAGATTGACGCGTGTGTTCTTCGAATTTTTCAGCAATAGCAGACTGATGATACCCTTGATTTCCCACTTTTACTTCCTCTACAAAGGAAAGCATTACTTGGTTTTCGTCAACATAATCAAAAAATATTTCACCTTCAGGGAATAAATATTTGTAGATGGATAATTCCAATGGAGTTATGGAACTGTCTAATTTTTGAAGTAGATCATAAGATGGGATCACGCTTCTGGAATGCGATGACAAAAATGTGAGATGAGTGTTGATTTCATAAAAAATTCTAGATATCTTTTGAAAAAACAAAGACCGTGGTTTTTCATTACTCATCATACTGGATCAACGGATTGTCATTCAAAGTAAACTATACCGGGGTTGTTTTGTTTGATAATTTTGTGATAGCCCACATCAGGCGCAATCGACTTAAAGAGGGAGATTATTTTTCTGGTTCTACTTCTCAGGTCAATTACAAACAATCTAACCGCAGTCGTCACGTTGCAACAATAAATGTTCAGTTAACTACACACATCTGCATAAGGGAGCAATTTTAAATTAGAAAGAAAGCAAGAAAAAAAACCAAAATGGAAAAACCCCTATAAAAAAAATTCAGCAACCTTAGTGATCAATTCGATATTGTTCCAATACTAATTATAAAAAGGCAAGAAGAAAGACAGACTACAACTCAATTGTTGTATTTTTATTTTTGCCACTTAATCCTTATTTTAGTTCTACAAATCAATTGACTTAATATTACTATCGCACAACTATGCAAGCTGCCTTTTCAAAATTAAAACTCAAGAGTAGAGCTTCTGATATCCCTGAAGCTGATCCTCCAAGTACTGCAGGAAAGCCACCTTCGACTAGACAAATTTACCAATCACGAGAAAATTACGGGGTCAATTTTGGCGCCTGTTTTGTCTTAGAGAAATGGATCTATCATGATTTATTCTCAGAAACAGATGGTGATACCGAAATGGATGCTGTTCTGTCTTTAGTTAAAAAATTTGGAGAAGACGAAGCTAGATCCAAGTTTGAAAACCATTGGAATAACTTTGTCAACGATGATGATTGGAAATGGCTCCAAGAACACCACGTGACGTCGATTCGTTTACCAGTTGGGTATTGGGATATCGACGGAGGTGCATATACTTCTGGATGTAAATTTGAGAAATACAAGAATGTTTACAAGAATGCTTGGACTATTGTTAAAGAAAAGTATATCCAGAAAGCATTAGACCATAATATTTCTGTTCTTGTTGACATTCATGGTTTACCAGGAGGCGCAAACAATTCCGGACATTCTGGTGAATCTGGTAGCGGCGGTGGTTTTTGGAAGGATGAAAAAGCACAACTTTCTGCTGCCAAAATGATGGGTTGGATAGCCAAAGATTTGAAAAAGTTTGACAACATTGCAGGTATTCAAGTTGTCAATGAAGCTGAGTTTTCTGATCCTGCCAAGAAACAATCAACCTATTATGCTGCTTGTATCACTGAGATCAGAAAGAGTGATTCCCTGGTTCCAGTTATTATTTCTGATGGTTGGTGGGCTGACCAATGGGTTAAATGGGTTCAAGAGAAACAAGGCCCCGATGGTAACATTGGTGTTGTTTTAGATGAACATGTTTACAGATGCTTTTCTGATGATGATAAGAACAAGACTCCGCAACAAATTATTGATGATTTGAATGGGGATTTGTTGACCAATTTAACGGATGATGGTAAGGGGGTGGAAATCATTGTTGGTGAGTATTCGTGTGTGTTGGATGGTAAATCCTGGGATAATGATAAAAACGCCAATCGTGATGCGTTGGTTGAAAAATATGGTCAGCGTCAAGGTGAATTGTTGGCACAGAGAACTAGTGGATACTATTTCTGGACTTATAAGTTTCAATCAGGTAATGGTGGAGAATGGGATTTCAGAACAATGACCGATAAAGGAGCTTTGATTCCTCCACCAATACCAACTAAAGAACCATCTCAAGATCAATTTGACGAAAGTTTAAACAATGCTTATAGTGGGCACGTAAACTATTGGGATAATCAAGATCCTAATGGAAAATACGAGCATGATAACTTTAAAGATGGGTTCAAGACAGCTTGGAAGGATGCAGATGCCTTTGCCAAATTCAACGGTTCCAAGATTGGTAAAAAGAAAGCATGGAAGCGCTCTAGATTGCAGGAATCAGAAGCGTTCAAAAAAGGACTGAAGTATCTTTGGGAATGGGAACAAGGTTTTGATCAAGGTTTGCAATCATTTTACGAAACTACTACTTGATACGTTACTGATTAGAGGTTGATGTTCCTACTTGCAGAAGTTTTATTTTTTTTTTTGCAGTTAAATTTTTTATTTTCAGTTAAATTTTGTAGAATATCTTGCAGTAAATACATGAAATATCTACATAAACGAAAGAAAAGAAAAATCGTATGTTATTTGCCGCTAAGAAGATAGAGATCTATCATAACCAATTAGGAAAGTGTTTGAGTATGGATGTGATTGCTCGCTAGCGGTATCAACTTGTACAAATTAGAAATGGTGAAAAGACAAGCGAGCCAATCAATTTGTTAGGTGCAATGAAAAATGCCCAGAAAAAAAAATAATGTTTTGAGGATCGATGAAGCGAGCGAGAACAACAAAGAGAAAGAAAAAAAAAATAATATTGTCACAGTGCACGCACTATGGCAAAATGGATCTTTTCAAAACGCCGTATCAATTGGGACGTTAATGAACACAACATGAGCATAATTAGGCAAACATTTGGAAGAACAGAAATTTAATATTATATTGCTAGTCACATCCACTTGTAGGGTAATACGGCTTACCCCATGATTTATATTTTTGTTGTCTTTCTACCCCACAAATTAAGCAATTTAATCAAATAATATTATTTTAAATTACCAAGTTTCTTCAAATTACATAGTAGGTGTAAAATACCCTTTGTACCTGACCCTGGAGATAATCTACAAGAAAAATTGTATCGAAGACATCTCCTGACCGGAGAAACTCCCAATAAAGAATAATAGAAATAAGAAGTTAAGAAAAGAGGATAAAAAAATATATCATTGATTAATAAAGTAACATTTTAGATAAGCTATCAGTTTTTCAGAAAAAAAAAAAAAAAAAAAGAAAGATTTCAAATGCCCACCCACCGGAGTAGACAATAATAAAGGAAAAAAAGCAATTGAAAAATTTGTCAAAGTACGAGGGCCAAAATTTGGTCATGGAGTTGAGTTAGTTCATAATTCCCACTCTTTCTTTCCATTAAGTGGAACGTTTGCACGAAATATCGCGGCAATCGACGTAGAAATAAACAGAAACTAAAATATAAAAGAACTTTGAAGAGGGGCATGAAGTAAAGGTGGGGCTGAACGGAAAGACTTTGTTGAATTAAGAACAACCAAATTCAAATAGTAAGATTTTAGGGAAATAATTTACAGTTACCATCATGAATTCTGTATTTCAACCAATAGGGTAATATGATTAAGCGCGTTGTTGAAATTAATGAAGGCAAGTCATATCAAAAATATGTCTGATTGGAAATGGCGCTATAGGCAATTAGACTATCATAATCTTTTTTTAGATAAGCCCAAATTATGTCCTTCACCGATTGAGGGTCTGTGTGCAGGAAATACACCTCCAACATTATCGATAATTTCTTTTGTGGGTTTTAGATTTTGTGCAACAAATTGCTTTTTTCATGAATGATTACTTTCTTTTTATTGTTTGGTAGTTTTGCATTCAAAACAGCCATCCTACGAAATTAATAACCATAGGAATTTTCCCACATTATAAGAAGAACCTGAAATCCTACAGTTTTTCTTCGATTTAAATTTTAAATATTTTCTTTTTAGTTTACATATCCATCAAATCATCTAACTATTCAACTAATCCAACATGGGAGCAAAAGAAGCTAACTTGATTACATCTGTATCCTCAATTCATGAATCGGGCTATCAACGCTCTGATGAAGAAAAAAATATGCCATACAAAGAAAAAGGTAATGAAAGTATCTCAGAAACTTCATTAGACCCTGCCTTGGGTCCAGATACCCTTGCTAGAGGTCTTAAAAGTAGACACTTGTCATTGATTGCCCTTGGTGGTTCTATTGGTACTGGTTTGTTCCTTGGATCTGGTTTGATTTTGGCTACCTGTGGTCCTGCCAGTTTCTTAATTGCATTCATCATCATGTCTTTTGTCGTTTATAATGTCATGGAATATTTTGCTGAGATTGTTCTTTTCCGCCCTATCCCAGGTAATGGTCCTATTGCTTTTGTCAATGACTATCTTTCACCTTCCTTTGGTTTTGCAGTTGGTTACAACTACTGGTACTCTTTTAGTATACTTATTGGTGCTGAGGTTACAGCCGCTGCTATGCTTATTCAATATTGGACTGATGCTGTGCCGGTCGCAGCATGGATTACCATTCTTCTTGCCGTGATTATTATTTTGAACTTCTTGCCAGTTAAATTTTACGGTGAAACTGAATACTGCTTAGTGTTGATTAAAGTTATTGTTCTTATTATCTTGATTATCACCGGTTTGGTGATTATGCTTGGTGGTGCTCCAAATCACGACAGATTAGGTTTCAGATACTGGAAAGGTGGTTTGGCATTTGCTGAACATTTAACTGGAGGTTCAACTGGTAGATTCTTGGGTTTCTGGACTGCTATTATTAAGTCTGGTTTTTCTTTCATTTGTGGTCCAGAATTGATCTCCACTGCTATTGGTGAAACCGTTGGTCCAAGACAAAACGGTAGTAAAGCTGCTCGTCGTTTCATTTACAGATTGATCTTCTTTTACGTTGTTGGTAGTTTAATCATTGGTGTTATTGTTAGTTCCACCAATCCAAGATTAATCGGTGATGGTTACGATGCTTCTGCTTCTCCATTTGTAATTGGTATTCAAAACGCCGGTATCCATGTCTTAAACCACATCATTAACGCTGCTATTTTGACTTCTGCCACTTCTGCCGGTAACTCCTTCTTATACTCCAGTTCTAGAATGTTGTTCTCCATGGCTGAACGTGGTAATGCTCCAAAGATCTTTGCCAAAGTTAACAAATACGGTGTTCCTTACTACTCTGTTGCCGTTTCATCTGCTTTTGGTTTGTTGGCTTACTTGAATGTGTCATCTTCCTCTGCTACTGTCTTCACCTGGTTGTCTAATCTTTCCACCATTTCTGGTTTCATTGGATGGGCTACCGTTGGAGTTGCCTACATTCGTTGGAGAAAAGCCGTTGTTTTGAATGGTCTTATGGATAGACTCCCATACAGATCAAAATTGCTTCCATTCGGTGCCTACTTTGTTGTTATCTTCTTATCCATCATTATCATTACCAATGGTTATGCTGTTTTCTTTGACTTTAACATTGGTGATTTCTTGGCTGCTTATATTACCTTACCAATCGTTGTCGTTTTGTATTTCGGTCACGTTATCTACTCTCGCATGGTTCTTGGTGACACCGACTGGGTTATTCCAGTTGAAAATATCGACTTGATTACTCATTTGGATGAAATTGAACAAGAAGAACTTGATTACGTTGTCCCTGTTCCAAAGAATTTCTTGGAAAGAATCTGGTTCTGGATTTGCTAAAGAAACTCTTTCTATTGTATTTTAGCATTATTTTACGTTTAATTACTTATGTTTGTAGATCAAATATATTTTGTTCATTTTTTAAATTTTAATTGTCGTAGTTCAATGTCTAAAACTATTTTTGCGATACTGTTTTTTTCTGACACTTCGAAAAGAATATGTATGAGGTTCATCTCATCATGAAAAAAAAAAAAAAAATCTTCAAAAAAAAATGAAGAAAAGTCTACCACTGAATTAGTTCCTTCAAAACCTAAACAATCAAACACATGTCAAGTTTAGCATCGCAGTTACAGTCAATTAACGAAAAGACTGCGTCTATTGCATTAGACAGAAAACAAAGATCAAAATTACATTCCCGTTCTTTGATCTTTGATCCAAAAGTTGCTGCAGGTCAAGATTATGAAACCATCTATGATGTTGCCATTGAAGGTTTAGATGATTTATCTGAATTAGATTCAAGATTTAACAAATTTAGACAAACTTTGTTTTCTGAAACATCTGTTACTTTGGATAGAAACTTACAATCAAAAGAAGTCATTGATCAGTTGAATAAAAATATTGATGCATTTTTGACCTTAGTTGGACCTTACTATGGATTAACTTCTTCCTTAAAAGCAGTAGAGTGGCTAGTTAGAAGATTTCATGCAAATATTCATAATGCTGAAGTTATGATCTTGACTTCATTGCCATATTTTCAACAACCAATCTTTATTAAAGTTTTAAATGTTATTCCAAAACAAAATTTTCCAAAAATTTTTGAATGGGTTAGTGGATACAAAGATTTGTTGAAAACCCCCCCTTCCAGTTCTGTATTAAAAGCATTCTATAATGATTTCCATTTTTTCAATTTATATACTAAATTTTTGGATGATCAAATCAAGAATCATACCGTCTACAAAGAACAGTTGGTATTCTACTTGTCTAACACAGTTCAAGTGTTGGCATCATATGCTAAGAATATCAATGAATTGAATGAAAATCACGTACCAGTGGTTCTTGAAACTGTTGGATTGATGTTATTGCCACAAAAGGAATCAAAGTATTCATCATCAATAAATTCAGATTTAAAATTAACTGCTTACTCTCTCATTTCAGTTCTTTCTTCCATTGTTCCATTTTCCATTTCGATTTTAAAATCTTTAACTGTCTCAATTTTGGAAGATAAAAGTGCCACAAAGGGTTTCTTCAAGCAAACTATTATTGTCTTGGCTCAATTGTGGAACAGTTATCAAAGTGGATTGGAAACTTTAGATTGCTTCAACAAATTAAAGTTTGATGATTTGAAAGTTGAAGAATTGGACGAATTACGCTCCGAGAATTACAATTTGAGTAAATTATTTATGTTTTACTTGGTGTCCACGTTCCCATCAGCTCAATCATACAAATTGTTACAGTATGTTGACTTGTCTTCCAAAGTGTTCTTTGAAACAACCACCAAACTTGTATTGAGTAATCTGACTACCCAAGACGAATCAATAAGATCAAGTTTAGTGAAGATTGCCCACTTGCTTATAAAGACCAACCTGGGATTATTTTTATCTATTCTTGAACAAGAAGATGTCAAAGTAGATGAATTGGAATTAAAACTCATGTCAGTACTTATTCAAAAGAAAGAGGAAAATGAAGACGCTGAGTTTAATGTTGATGTTGCTGAAGAGGATTCAGCAACAACCACTGTTGATACAACAGATGTGTTGAAACACATTGATGCTGACAAATTGAAAGCTGTTGGTCAAAGTTACTTCAACTCACAATTCGATTCTGAGTTCAATTCTTTATTGAAGAGCTTGAGTAGCGCCTTGTCTCTTACTGAAGTTAAATCACAAGTTTCAGTCATTTTGTCCTTTTTGCACAAAGTCTTCACATCTCAAGATGTTGCATTCACTTTTGTCGTTAGAGTTGCATTAACTCCTGCCGTCCCAATATCTATTAGGTTGTCTGCCATCAAAGCCCTTAGAATTAAGATTAAGAGAACTTCCAGTGGTGAAACTGACTTCTATTTGTTGCTTCCAATTATCTTATTAGGGTTGTTTGATGATTCCAAATCTGTCCGAATGGGATTTTCTCTGGTTTTGAGATTGATTGTTGACGTCAAATCGAAAATTCATGCTAACAAAAAGATGAGTAGTGCACTTGTTTTAGAAAACCAAATATATGGTGATTACAAAGAAAAGAAATTGCCTACATCCCAAGACAGTTTATTGTTGTGTGATTTGTTAACTGAAGATGTTGTTAAAGACATTGTTTTGGATTCATCAAGAATAGTCAATGTCGTATTTGAAAATATTTTTAAAGCCAAAAGTGGTAAATCCAAGGCCGGCCGTTATCTCAAACTGTTTATCCTTACACAATGGGCTTTGCCGTTCTTACCTGTTGTTTTGAAAGCTAGATCTTGGAAGATTGTTTCTGAGGCCAACAAAACTGGTACCGATGATAGATTTTTCTTCCTTGATAATGATGTTGAAACTTATTTCAACAAAAGAAACGTTTGGATTGAACAAGCCAGCATTGCTGGAATTGAATTTTTTGACAATGTTGAAGTTTCCATCGTTGGATTAGTTGGAGGTGTTGCATCATCTGGAAATGATAAGAGTATTACAAAAGAAGCGGAATGGCTTTGTAAAGGATTGGTACATGAATCTGGTAACTTGCAAATTGCGGTGAACAACAGAGTACTTGCCATTTTTGACAAATTTAAAGCTATTGATTCTAAGTTGAAGATTGTCAACAAATTGCTCGATCTTTTGATTGATGAAGATATGGTTGATTTCGATCCAATGGCTACTTTGCAAGAATTGCCTTTAAATAATGCTTTGTTTTTACAAGCTTTATCCAGTGTCCAAATTGGTGATCAAATGCCAGAACAAGGGCCAGCCAAAAGAAGAAGAAGATCTTCTAATTCTGCGAAACAAGCAATGGCCAGAGATGAAATAAACAACATGGCTTTAACTCATTTAAAGAAGCTTACTGTTTTGTTAGAAGTATTAGAATCTGGACTCCGTAAAGAAAGAGACGTTGTCAGTCCAGAATTGTTGAAAGCATTGTTCAAGATTTTAACTGATTTGGAGTATCTTGGTAATGATGGTAACTTGCCAGTTCTCTATGCCCAAGAAACCTTGGCCAATTGTATGCTTTTGAGTATTGTTAATTTGAAGGCAAGTAGTAAAGAAGTTAAGTTTGACTCCAATTTCATCAGAGCTGATTTGATTGTTAACTCTATTAGAGCCTCAAACTCTCCACAAGTTCAAAACAGATTATTATTGGTCATTTCTGAATTGGCTTCATTGGCTCCAGAAATCATCTTACATTCAGTTATGCCGATTTTCACATTCATGGGTGCTCACACCGTTAGACAAGATGATGAATTTTCCAGCTCTGCTCTACAACAAACAGTTGCTAAGGTCATCCCTGCATTAGCTGCTAATGGAACTACTTCTGTCTCTAGTGAAATTGAATTCTTGTTGACAAGTTTTACTACAGCTTTCCCACATATTCCAAGACACCGCCGTATTAAGTTGTTTGTTTCTTTATCAAAGACTTTGGGTTGTCAAGTAACTATGCATATCATCTTATTTTTGATGGGTCAGCAGTTTGCTAATAATATTCACAAAAATAAAACTGGTGAAGTTGAATCTATTGTTGACTTTGTTCAAGGTTATATGAAGGCATTTACAGCTGAAGAACAATTGCATGGAATTTCCGAATTTACCAAGTTGTGGAACGAAATTCCAATTACTCAACTTGAACCTGGATCTGAAGAGTTTGATGCTTTGAACACTCGTGCAATTTTCAACGGTACTATTGCTAGTTTGGAAAATGCTGGATTAACCGAATTAAGAATCGATTTGTTGCAATTTTTGATCAGAATACTTCACTCTGAAAACAGATTTGAAGTTTCATCATTGAAAACCAAAATGGCATTGGTTTTGATTGACGACGAACAAGATAAAGAATTGGTTTTGAGTAAATTCAGAGACGTAACTTCATTTGCATTGTCTAGTTTGGATACTTTCACTCATAGCCACCCAGATAATAAATTGTGTACTCAATTGTATGCTTTGTTGGGTGATTTGTTAGACTTGTTACCATTAAATTATTTTGTTGACTCTATTGTTTCATCTTTGGATATTGATACATTGTCTGATTCATTATCCATCAAAGTTGCTAGAAATTATGCAATTTTAGCATCAAGAAAGTTTGAAACCGAATTGGATGTTGCAAACTGTGAGAAATCTACATTTGATTCTGTAATTAATAATTTGTTGCCAGTATTAATCAAAGGCATTAAGAAGAACATTGATGTTGAATTACAACAATCTTACTTGAATGCATTTTCTACTATTGTTAACAAGTTTGGTTCATCAAGTGCAGATTTTGCCAATGCTGATATCTCCAAGGTTCTTATTGAATCATTGGGAACTATCACCACTGATCGTGGTTTGTTAAATGAACTGCCAGAAATTATCATTGCTTCTATCAATGCCATCACCAGTATTGTCAATGCTTTGGGGGTTAAAACTCTTGGTTTGTTCCCTAAGGTTGTTCCACCAGCTCTTAAGATTTGGGAAACCACTACCAAGAAGGATAGTGAAATCTCCAAGTTGGTGCAAGGTTCTGTGTTAGTTTTATTATCATGTTATATTAAAAAGATTCCTGCTTTCATGACAACTACTTTGGACTCGGTTTTGTTGACTATTTTATCTAGTGACTTGATTGAAGATCAAATCCGTTCCAGCATTTTGAATTTGATTGTGGATCACATGGATTTGGCACAAGTTTTGAAATCGTTGTGTAATGTTTGGATCAGCAAAGAGTTTTACACTAATGATAATTCTAATAACATTACTTTATTCTTGGAAGCTATGCAAGCCACTATTGATAAGATGGAAAAGAAACAGGCTATTACTCAATCTACTTTGTTTATGAAATGGCTTATTAGTGCATTTGAATTCAGACAATATTCTGAAGATAATGATGACAAGTTTGATATTAACACCATTCATGACTTGGAAGGTTTATTCCATGGATGTGCCATTGCATTTGTCATGAAATTGAATGACAAGAGTTTCCGTCCATTGTTTGCTAATTTGGTCAGATGGGCAGTTGAAGGGGAAGGTGCTACTTTGAAATCAGGTGAAGTTTCAAGATTGTTGGCCTTCTTCCGTTTCTTTAACAAACTTCAAGATGAATTAAAGAGTATTATTACTTCTTACTATTCTTACTTGTTAGATCCAACCTCGGCATTATTAAAGAGATTTTCTGAAGGTGAACTTGAAGCTTCTAATTTGAGAAGACTTGTTTTAGTTTCTTTGACCACTTCATTTAAATTTGATCAAGATGATTACTGGTCACAACAAGGTAGATTTGACAGTATTTGTATTCCATTGTTGGATCAATTATCAAATATTGAAGAATCCATTGGTAAATATTTAGTCAAAGCCATCAGTACATTTGTTACCAATGTTTCCTCAGAAGAATATAATGAAACTTTAGTCCATGGTTTGATTAAATTTATTTCTAATGAAAATGAAAATTCATCATCTACTAAGATTTGGACAATTCGTTCATTAAAGACTATTTTCCAAAAAATGGGTGAACAATGGTTGACTTACTTGCCAACATTGGTGCCATATATTGCTGAATTGTTAGAAGATGATGATGAAGAAGTTGAAATGGAAGTTAGACGTGGATTGGTTAGAGTTATTGAAAACGTCTTGGGTGAACCATTAGATAGATATTTAAGTTAGTGTATAGTTTTTGAATATAATGCTACCAGTTAGAAGTCGTGTGTATCGGTAAATGTTCTAGTAAATTCCATGGAAACGGACAAAAAAAATTCCTATTGGGAGCATCCCCCAACCGGAGAACGAACGAAAAAATGAAAAAGAAGTGAAAAAAAAAAAAAAAAACTCAATCATTCTCTTTCATCACCACTTCTCCATATTTGCACCAACAAAGATACATCATGGTATGTTTTTAATTGAATTGATTGAGTTTGCGTTGTGAAATAATGTACTAACGATATTCCCATTAGTCCTCAATAATCAGATCTGCTAAGTCTTTAAAACCATTATTTGACAGAGTTTTAGTTCAAAGAGTTAAACCAGCTACTAAAACTGCCACTGGTATTTATATTCCAGAAAAGAACCAAGAAAAATTAAACCAAGCAACTGTTATTGCTGTTGGTCCAGGTATCACCAATATGACTACTGGTCAAATTACTCCAGTTTCTGTTAAAGAAGGTGATAAGGTTTTATTGCCATCTTTTGGTGGTAACCCAGTTCAAGTTGGTGAAGAAGAATATTTGTTGTTCACTGATAAAGAAATCTTGGCTAAAATTGAAGACAACTAATTGGGTATATAGGCTTTATCCATCAAATCTTGTAAATAAAAAGTTGGAATATACTTGATTGGTATTTATTTATTTTATGTTTTTAATGAATTTCCGATATATTCATAGTTTTGCACGTGATCTCTAATAGTATTTTGATTTTGACTGTACAAACAAAAAAAAAAATAAAATAAAAAAAGGTGAGTGAGAAAGGCAACCCAAAAAAAAAACGACCAACGGGGAAAAAAAAATTGTAAAGGAATTCGCCTATACAGCCCCTCTACCACCAACTATCCTACTGAAAACTAATAATAAACTTAAATATGTCCAAGCCTGATAGTAATAAGAAATTTTCACAATTTAAACTTGTTCTTTTAGGAGAAAGTGCTGTTGGGAAATCATCTATAGTTCATCGATTTGTTAAGAATAGTTTTGATGATTTGAGAGAATCAACCATTGGTGCGGCATTTTTAACACAAAGTATCACTATTCCAGAAACTCAAACTACTATCAAGTTTGAAATATGGGATACTGCAGGTCAGGAAAGATATAAATCGTTGGCTCCTATGTATTATAGAAATTCTCATGCAGCTATAGTAGTCTATGATATCACGAAAACCTCGTCACTTCAAAGAGCTAAGGATTGGATTGAAGAATTAAGGAAAAATTCTAGTAATGATGGGATAATCATAGCTTTAGTTGGGAATAAATTAGATTTACAAGATGAAAGAGAGATTGAACAAAGTGATGTTGAAGAATATGCCACGGAACAGAATTTGCTTTCTTTTGAATGTTCTGCGAAATCGGGTGAAGGTGTTCATGATATATTTGATGCTATTGCTAGGAAACTTTCCGACAAGATTGCTGTTCAAGAAGTCCCAGAAACTAGAAGAATTGACTTGAATCGTAATGCAACTGCTAATAATAATAATAATTCCTGTTGTTAGTTTTTATTGTGTACTTTTTATATATATACATCCATATTTGATTTACAAACATATAGTTATCTTTAAACGGAATAAATAATCAAACATAAAAATAAAATTGAGTGCTGCCGAGGGTACCATCACGTGTATATTGAACTTCCGAGGGTATTTTCCTGTATATTAAAATTTGAAGTGCAAAACTATTGTGCACACACGACCATCACTTTGCAAATTTTGATGTATCGAAAGGGAGAAGAGAGAGAAAAAAAAAATTTTTCACCTTACTAAAATTTTTTCACTTGATTCTTTTCTCTTTTTTTTTCTTTTTCCCTTTCCTTATCATTATTCTACATTAAAGATGTCATCAAGACCACAAGTTTCTGTTATTTCCGTTAAAGGTGAACAAGGTTCTGCCCAATTACCATTGCCAGCTGTTTTCTCTGCTCCAGTCAGACCAGACTTGGTCCACTCTGTTTTCGTTAGAGTTAACAAGAACAAGAGACAAGCTTACGCTGTTGCTGAAAATGCTGGTCACCAAACCTCTGCTGAATCCTGGGGTACTGGTAGAGCTGTTGCCAGAATTCCAAGAGTTGGTGGTGGTGGTACTCACCGTTCCGGTCAAGCTGCTTTTGGTAACATGTGTAGAGGTGGTCGTATGTTTGCTCCAACCAAAACTTGGAGAAGATGGAATGTCAAAGTTAACCACAACGAAAAACGTTATGCTACTGCTTCTGCCATTGCCGCTTCTGCTGTTACTTCTTTGGTTTTAGCCAGAGGTCACAGAGTTGAACAAGTTAAAGAATTGCCATTGGTTGTTTCAAACGAATTTGAATCTGTTACCAAGACCAAGGACGCTGTTGCTGTCTTGAAGGCTGTTGGTGCTCACAAGGATGTTGTTAAGGTTATCAAATCCAAGAAATTGAGAGCCGGTAAAGGTAAATTGAGAGGTAGAAGATTCACTCAAAGAAGAGGTCCATTGGTTGTCTACGCTCAAGACAACGGTATTGTCAAAGCTTTGAGAAACGTTCCAGGTGTTGAAACCGCTTCTGTTAAACACTTGGGTTTGTTGCAATTGGCTCCAGGTGCTCACTTGGGTAGATTCATTATCTGGACCCAAGGTGCTTTTGAATCTTTGGACTCTGTCTACGGTTCTGACTCCACCAAATCCGTCAAATCTGGTTACACCTTACCAGCTAACATCATCTCCAACACTGATGTTACCAGAATCATCAACTCTGCTGAAGTTCAAGCTGTTGTTAGACCAGCCGGTGAAAAATCTCAAAAGAAATCTCACGTCTTGAAGAAGAACCCATTGAAGAACAAACAAGTCTTGTTGAGATTGAACCCATACGCCAAAGCTTACGCTGCTGAAAAATTGGGTTCTGCTAAGGTTGAAAAATCTAAGGCTAAGCCATCTAAAGGTCAATTTGCTGATGTCTTGAAAAACTAAGCGGATGTCATGATGAATAAAAGAAATATGACATTTTAAAAATTGTATATAGAATATATAATGAGTACTTCCTGCAAGTGAATAGTATCATAATAAGTTACATATACAAATTTTTTTTGATCTTTAATTTAACATTACTGTAGAATTTCTGGACGATGTCTTAATGATGAATTAGCAGTAGAGATGAAATGAAATTGGTAGGCATAGTGTTTAAACTCTGCACTGCATTATAGAAGTTTTTTTATTTTTAAAGCCATGGACCAAGAAAAATGGTGGTGGACTTCAAAAAAAAGGCTAGAAGCACCTGCACGCCCATGAACAATTCCCGACAGGTTACAAAAGTAAAAGTTTGCGGTGTTTAGTTTTGTGCAATATTCATTACACCAAACACAAATTGAAACAAACACGGAAGAACACACGCGCTCGCTCTCTCTCGTTCTCTCTCTCGCCTTCCCCCTCCCCCCCAGTTCGCCTCGGATATTAGTAATGGGGAACAAAATGCAACAAAAAAAAGACTCGGCTTTTATTCTAGGTCGCAGGATTAACGTACGAGATGCTTAATTGGATTATACACTTACAGTACTTGAACGCTACAATACACTCACCTCTCTTCCCCCTTTCCGAATTTATAATGCAAAGCTTACTTTCATTATTCTATTCCTTCGTTCACTTGTCATGTGTGACTAATTTTCTTTGTTGATTCATCTTAGACACAGAATAATGAGAGATGAAATTCACATTGACAGAAGAGATCTTTTTCTCTTTGAATTTGCAATTATACAAAGTCCGTTATTTTCTAACTCAGTAGAGTGAAAGTGTAAGTATGAAAAATAATAACTGTATTAAAATAAAATGTACTATAGAACTAAAAGAAATAAAAGGATAAAAATAAAAATAAAAGGACGAGAAATAGAAAGCTAGTTATTTTTTTTAAGGATTATTTTATTGTCTCTAATCAACTATTGGGAATTCAACACTAAATTGGGAAAACATTGTCAACAAAATAAGTGTTTCCACTAGTTGAGTTAGTACCAATGATGTTACCTCTTGGATAGTAGTTACACAGAGTAATTTGTCTCCAATTTGGACTATCATTAGGATTAGTACAGTTTAATCTAGCACAACCGACTTGAGTACTACTTCTCCAAAGTAATTGAGTCAAATGACCAGTGGATTGGGAGTATGAAATTGGGTCCCAACTTTTAACTAAATCGATTTCAGCACCGTACCAACCATCAACAACTGGAGAACTACCACCTACATAACCAGCGGCCAAGTTTTCACCGTATGGTGGATAGTTACTGTGAACAAGTTCAAGATTACTACAATCAAATGCAGTATTGACGTATTCTTTAGCAAATTCATACAAGGTGTTGTTCCAAGCCAAGTCACCAACATGGTGTAATTCTCTATAATAATTGTGAGCAGCTAAGATGTCGTTAGCAAATTGAATATCCTCAGTTGGTTGATCAGCTTCGGAAACTGTAGAACTTGGGGTTTCTGATGATGATTCTGATGAAGATGCTGGGGTGGTTGAAGAACTTTCTGGTGTGGTTGAAGAACTTTCGGGAGTAGTAGAAGAACTTTGAGAAGTTGAACTTGATTGAGCTGATGATGTAGCATCAGTAGCTTCTGATGAAGTATATAATGAAGTTTGTGGTGGGCCAACACTAGAGGAAAAAGTTTCAGTATCTTGATCATAGTTTGGAGGAGCACTATACACTGTAGCAAGTTGTGTTCTAGTAGTATACACTGATTGAAGTGTGTGAGTGTACCAAACAGTCTGTGTTGGAGCAGTGAAATACTCAGTTAAGGTTGCAGCATCAGCGGCGGCTAGTATAGTTGCAATAGCATATAAAGTCTTTGAAAATCTCATTGTTGATCTGATGCTTGAAATTTTTCTTAATGTAGAGAGAACTTTTTCAAAAAGGAAACTTTTCTATCAAAGAAAACAAAAAAAAAAGAAAACTACAACTTTATGGAAATTTATTGAGTATTTAAATAATCAGTCAGTGATAATAAATTCATTCATCCTCCCATTAACAGGTTAATTGGTTTGCAATCGAAGAAAAATTTCAATGTTGTTGTTGTTTTGTTATTTCTGGCTAATTATTTTTGTGGATTATGTAAATTTTATTTATTTAATTTTTACATCTTTACACAAACTCACGATTTTTGGTTCCATAATTAAAAAGTACTGAAAATCCGAAAGAAGAAAAATATAATGAAAGAAATATGAATCTTATTGTTTACAAGATATGCAACTCTAGTAAATGTTAGATGATGTATTGTTTGGCCTTATTTTAAGCTACTCATAGATTTTGACTACTCATTTACTAATCTCCCACATGTTGGTATAGTTTTGTTGCAATCAATCAATCTCGGTGATGCGTGTAATGTTAAATGAACCAAAAGAAAAAAAAAAAAAATTACAAGAAAATCAGTCGCATTGAATAACGTCATCTTTTGTTCGCTCAATCTTTGAAGATCTGCACCATGTGCATGGTGTGTTTTTGTGCTATCTGGTATCTTGTGTCTACTTTAGGTCTTACTTGTGTGTGTTTTTTCTTTGTTTTCTTTATTATTCTGTTGTTATTATTGTTTAATGCTGGTTCCAGCAACAATAACTAACCAACAATTTCTGGTTGATGAGCTGTAAATAATACAAATAAACCCCAGCACCACTTCTCAGAACGGGATATTATAATTCATGTGGAGAATAATTTATTCTATTTTATGTAACATTTATGTGCGTGCGTAGGTGTGTGAGTTTGCTTATTAATTGTTGAAAAACTTTGAGTGAGAATCTCACATCGAAACGCCTTATTTCAAGTATATTATCTAATCGACTATTTTTTTGGTTTAAAAGATAAAGAAGAAAAAAATTAGACGGTATAGTAATATGCATTAGTTTCTTGGATTCACTCCCCGAAGATTCATACTGCTAAAAACCACGAAGATCACAAAGAATGATGGATTGGGCGTCGCACTCAAAAAGCAGAAACCAAAAAAAAAAAAATCCAAAAAGTGGCATGGCTTATACATAGTCATGAACAATGGGAAAAAAAAATAGGACGATATTCATTTCCAGGATCATAACCCATTTATTTATTAATTTCTACTGGTTTACGATATTATTTTATCTATTTGGTACCATTGTTATCCGAATCCAGCATTACTAATTCTTAATTCAGTCAAGCAAATATATATTTTTTATGCATACGTCAATACGATATTATTTACGTCCAACGTTGTAACAAGCAAGAATAATATTAGTATAACTCCATTTTCATTAAAGTGAAGTACTTGGACTTACATGTTTCACCTTCGGCCGAGAAGCATTTTTCTCCGAATAAATAATCATTACATGGTACCTAAATTTAATTTGAAATTCAATGATAGAACCAAATTGATTTGTAATAATCCAAGTTGGTAATGAAATGACTAAGCTGGAATAGACATTACTTTAGTAGAGATTTAATGCAAGCAGTTTGGACACACACGTACGATTATAATATTCATGTTTGTGGCACATTTTGGTTCATTTTGTGTTTGTGTCTTTGTCAATTCTTGTTAAAAATTCGCAGTAAAATTCAACCAAAAAATTAAGAGAAAAAAATCCAAACTCATATATTTAAGAATAGAACTACTCCAAGTAAAGCCAATGTTATTATCTTACTGTTGCATCAACAACTTTAATTTCCCAGATCTTCAAAATTGCTGAAAATACATCTCTGAGGAAATCTTCAGCACCACCCGCCAATTGTAGTTTCCATATTTCTTGGAAATATCTTCTGATAGCAATTTTAAAGTTATCACTACTCTCTAATATTAACAAATTAGTTATAGTGATTACATTTCTTGTCCATCTCAAATCATCAAATAATACTTTAATGACAGGAATTTTTGATTGGTTGAAAAAATTTGACTCTACAAATGGCAACAGATTTAGTAATGTGTCCAATTGATTATGGAACTCTAATTTTATACCTTCCTCATACGCAAATTTTTCTTCATTTCTAGATATATCTTGAAGTACATGGAACAGATTCAACAATAAAGACACTGACTCTTTTGTTAATTGATTAAAGAATCTTTCATGGTCAAAACTAGCTGATACCAACACTTCATCGATTTTGCCTTTACCATAACTTGGAAGATATACTGTTGGGATTTGGTCGTAGGATATAATCATTCCTTGATTATTATTCGATTTATCTCTTCTCGGACGTAATTGTCCTCTAATAGCCGATAACTGGGAAGCAAGTCTCTTCATAATTAGCAAGATTATTACAGAATTTACAAAGAATAAATTGCTTTTTGCCAAAACCTAAGAGATTAGTTATGCATTTGTTTTTTTTTTCGCAGTCAATCCTCATGACCTAGACACGACGTTTCTTTTATTTGTTTATAACGGAACAGGGCATAGCATGCTTAAGTTTTATGTTTTTATGTAACGCTGACCCTCAAGTAATTAAGTGCAACTTATACATATTGAAAACAAACTATTTATTAGTTAAAATCATACATTAAGTTTGCACCTTCTGGTGTGAAGTAGTACGTGTGTGTACCAATTCTGAGTGCCAATCACAACCCCTCGCTGACGCTCCTACATATTTCGCACCACTCAACACTACTCTTTCTTTATAGTTCACATACGTATCTAGCCAATATACGGTTTCAAACCTAGGTAAAGTTCCCCTTTGGGGTATCCTTATCCTTACAACTGGTAACTAATAATAAATCCCACTACTTTCAGCATAATTTACTAATTTGTTAAAATGGATATTTGATTTGAAACATTGGAATGATATTATCATTATCAATCTATAGTTCGTGGAACTAATAGCGTTCAACACCAATATTATATTTGTCTTGTTCAGTTTCTTATTCCAAGTTTGTCGCATGATATTCAGCGCTCACTATCTTTGTCAACCAAGTGTCTGTTCTTCTATATAGAAATGGGTCCGTATACACCATTGTCTGTAATACTTCTGTATTAATTAATTATTGTTTGACATAGCTTTGAACTTTGAAAAAGGTACAAGAATCACATTTTTTTTTATCACTAACAATCACTAGAAATATTCTGATAGAACTATCACCTGTGTGTATTTTCTAGATTTATAATCATTTATTGGTCTGTTTTAATTAAAAAAACCCAAAAAGCTGTTGTTCTTTTAATTCATGAACAACCATGATATTAATTCGTATCCCTTTAGATTTATTAAACTTTTGAAAAATACCCATAGGAAACACAAAATGAATTTCGCAACAAGTAAAACATCACGTGCATTTAGACACGTGAAGTATGGTTCACACACTACACTTTTTTTTATAAAGACCAAACAATAAAACGTGCCAAGAATGAACCTACTATATTTGACACTTATAAACTAAACCACAAGAAAACAAAGAGTAAAATACGAGACATTTGACACTTTTACTACTAGGCAAGAATGAAGACATTCCTGCCTAAGAAAAATGGACTGGCTCTTGTCGTGACCGTGAAACAAGCATGGTTTCTGTCGATTCATTTTCGTTCAAAACTCATCTCGCACGAGTCAGAGTAATCAAAATTTTTTATTTTTTTGTTTTTTCGCACTATATAATGTAAGGTGATTTTTATTTTTGTGGAAATAATGTAAAATAATCTGATCAATATTTTTCTTGGCACTATTTTGGGACAATTCTATTGGCTGAGAGAGGCACCGCGTGCAGGAATAGGCTTTTGCGAAGATTACAAAAGCCCCATCAATCTATTCGATCAAAGTGTAAAAATTAACAACAATGAGGTTTAGCCGTAGAATTCGAAGAGAAATAGCCAATCACAAACAAGCACATTTCGTTTTTCGGGGAAGAAAGGAAAAAAATTTATACAATTTAATCCCTCAAATAGATTTTACTTTTTGAGGGGTGATTTTCACTCCTTGAAAGGTTCTCACTCCTTGAAAGGTTCTCACTCCCTAAAGGTGTTCTCAGGATGCAATTAATGTGAGAGAATGGGTACTCTACTCAAGATAGATCTCAGGATATCCAAGAGTCTGATGTAAGAAATTTTCTTGTAAGGTACAGATGTGGGAAGTGATGGGACTTGTCAGGGTTAAAGAAAAAAAAATTTTTTTTTCTTGCAATTTGTGTTGTATTTGTGATAAGAAATGCCTGCAGGGAAGACTGTCTGACTTTACAATTGCCTTAGAATTTTACCCGTGGGAATAAGCTATAAATAGGGCCAGGAGGTGCTTCTCTTTTTATAAAATTTTTTGTTTTAAGTCTTCTTTCTTCAGATTTCATTGAGTCTCCCCCTTATTAATCAACTTAATTTTCATTATTAATTAATCATGGCTGACGTATTCAATGTGCAAGTCTTTTTTATCGTTTTCAGAGAATCTTTGGAAGCAATCATTGTTATCTCTGTTCTTCTTGCTTTCATTAGACAATCCTTGTCCAGTGATGCTGCAATGAAGAAAAGACTCTACAAACAAGTTTGGATTGGTTCAGCGCTTGGGCTTTTCATATGTTTGGTTCTTGGTGGTGCCTTTATTGGTGCCTTCTATGGATTGGGTAGAGATGTCTGGGGATCTTCAGAAGATCTTTGGGAAGGTATCTTTTGTCTTATCGCAACCATTTTAATTACTGCTATGGGTATTCCAATGTTAAGAATCAATAAAATGCAAGAAAAATGGAGAGTCAAGCTTGCTACTTCTTTAATCAAAAAACCTGCTGGTAAGAAAAACTGGTTGAATATTGGTTACTATTCTAAGAAGTATGCTTTGTTTATTCTTCCATTTATTACTGTTCTTCGTGAAGGTGTTGAAGCTATTGTTTTTGTTGGTGGTGTTGGTCTTAACTCCAAAGCTACTGCCTTCCCATTGCCAGTTGTTTGTGGTTTGATTGCCGGTATTGCTGTTGGTTTGTTCTTGTACTACTTTGGTTCTTCTATGTCTTTGCAAATTTTCTTGATTATTTCCACCTGTATTCTTTACTTGATTGCTGCTGGTTTGTTTTCTCGTGGTGTCTGGTACTTCCAAACCTACAAATACAACCAAGCTACTGGTGGTGATGCTTCAGAAAATGGTTCTGGTCCTGGTACTTATGACATTAACCAATCTGTCTGGCACGTCAACTGTTGTAACCCAGAAACTGATAATGGTTGGGATATCTTCAATGCTTTGTTGGGATGGCAAAACTCTGCCACTTATGGTTCTGTTATTTCTTACAATGTCTACTGGATTTTCATCATCTGTGTTATCTTTTTGATGGTCTTTGAAGAAAAACACGGCCACTTGCCATTCACCAAGAACTTGACTTTGGTCCAATTGAATCCAATGTACCACATCAAGGGTAAGAAGAAGTTTGAATTGTCCCAAGCTGAAAAGGATGAATTGTTTGACAAACTTAAACATCAAAAATTCGGTGACGCTGATGTCGACGATGAAACTTCTTCCAATAAGTTGGTTACTGCTAATGAAAAATAGATCCAATTGTGAGAATGATGTCCTTGTTGAATCGCACACACACATATATATAATAACAACAAGGGTATCACGAGCATTGGTCTATTTGTTGATTTATTTTTTTTAATATAGGGGTTTTTAAGGGTTATTCTTTTTTTTTTTAAATACATAAACGGGATTTAAAACGTTGTATAGTGTAGTTTTTTTTCTCTTTATACGGTAGCTTTACACGCTAGACACACACATACACAAAACCTATCGGGGTCAGGATTTTGCAGTAATCATTCTGCCGTGGGTACATACCAACAATAATGTACACATGCTTGCGAAAAACCGACCTGTTCCAAAATTGCATGAATACACTTCTTTCTCTTGACCAAAAGAATATTAAAATTCATAGTAGGATTACCAAATCTTGCGTAGAAATGCATTTACCACTAATAAATAAGATAAAACTTTTGAAGAATTAAATAGTCATGAATTGTGACTTTGTTATTGGGGTATTTTTGGACATGAAAAAATGATAAATATTGTCCATGAATTGATCTTTTTATACCACCCTGCTGAAACGCAAACCAATCCACTTAATGGCTACCGCGTTGTATATATAATAATACTTTAGGGAATGAATTTCATTAATAACAACAACCAAACTGCTAGCAAAAATACTGGTGTTGTTATGTGGTATTTAGAATCAAATTTCAAGCAGTAGTAATAAAACCACCGTCATTTAATAACACCTATCATTAGAAGGGGTGTCAACAACAAGCAAAAAAAAAGGGAGATAATAAATAACCTTTCTTATAAAGTCATACAATTTCAAACTTCTGCTGTACTGAATTATGGGCTATAATTGCTGAAACATGACTCGTGGGAAGTACCATTTGATAAGAGCTGTAACCAACCAATTATCACTCAAAACATCACAAAATGGGCTCAAATTAACTTACCGCTTTTCTTTAAAAGAATATCCAACCACCTACGGCTTTTTTATGTCAAATTAGGTTATCGTATTGCGGGTCGCGTATACTTTGTTCATCATTTTAACCAACAAGTACCTAGAGTAGATGGTCAATCTTTTACTTTTCTTTCTTTCTACCAGCGTTTATGTAATTCTTTGTCGGCGCCACCTACGGTGTCATTTCTCTTTTTCTAAACAATAAAAAGTGGCACACGTTAATTGTTTACATAAAAGTATTCTTGAATTATATATGTATCATTGGCTTTATTAAAATCACGAATAGACTGACCAAAGCAGTAATCGTGAGCTATCGAGTGCAAGTTACTGATGCCATCTTATGGAGCAGAACACCTCCTCATAGCTACATCATTAACTCCCCCCCAATATAAATAAATTTCTCTGTATACATCCCAGCTGGATGCCGATAGGGTGCCTCTCTCCCCACACTGGAGATATATTTAATTCTGGTATCTGTATTCTATTTGATCACTTCCTTCTGTCTCCCCATCTATATGGCTCAATAAGCTCTTCAAGTTGGTTGTACCTTCCTTTGAACAAAAACAATTCCCCCAGCTAGTTAACTTGTTAGTTTGCTCTCCAAGAATAATACTGCCTAGGTTATATGTCAAAAAAGTTTGGGTATTCATTGTTCTCTTCATGGAACGTGGGAGATACCAGCACAACAAGCATTATCGGTACTAGATACCATCAATAGATGGGCAATCTTTTCATTGAAATTATCCTAAATTCAATTGTCCAAAATAGAGTCATTACTGTCCTGTCATGTCCTGTTGTATCCTATCGAGTGATACCAATGTTTTTTTTAGAGGTAGAGAAATACTATCAATTTAGTCACCTTGAGTTCTCGCACATATTGGTTAATTGGTTCAGTCGATTATATTTTGTGGTTTTCAAGCTGATCGTAATAACCTAGTTGTTGTTCAGAGATAGACGTATAAACACAAATCAATTTTGACGACTTAAAACGCAAGAACAAAGTCTATCCCAGTATAAGGATCCATTAATCATACTTATCTATCAGTATATAATACTGGCTGTATCAACCATTACTATACCATTATACATACAACCCTACTTCATTTTCTTGTAATCGGCGAATGACAACTTCTTGACAACCTTCGGTGGTGCAGCAACACAAACTTCCTCTTCTACCGGCTCGATCGCTTTGTCGACAACTTTACTTTTAATATTCAACTCATCATCAATAGTTTTCTCTATACTAGCCATCAACTCAGGTACAACTGGAATAGGAATCTCTTGCCCTGTTGGGTCTGAATCATCTTCTTCACTAGCAACTGGTGTGAGTTCTTGAATTGAAGTTTCAGTTTTAATCCTTGTATTTTCCAATAATTGTTGTCTAAATGGTACTCTAAACAACATCTTTGGTTTGACTTTTTCAATTATATCCTCTTTCTCTTCTGGTACAACCGTCGTCTCAGAAACTTCTTCTTTATTATCTACCTTCAACAATTCCCCTGAGATTCTTTCGTTTCTTTGATTCAACCGTTCTGACCATGGTGTATATTTCTTTTCAGGTCTTGGTAAAATCAATTCATCTTTTGATTTGGCTAAATTGATATTGCTTAATGAAGCAGCCTTTCTTGTTGATCTCATTAAATATGATGTAGCCTTCTTAATCTTGAATATTGCACATTGACCATTATTATTTGACGTAGTACACCCACATTCAACAAAATGTAAGATATTATCAATGTAGGTAATTAATGCAGATTTTTCTTCATTAGTTAAATTTTCAAATTTTTCCAGATTATTGTTCTCATAAAGTTTCAATATAGGATGATCTACATCCCATTCCCAAGGTAATCTCAATTCTTCATCTTGTCCTTCGGATTTCAAAGTAATTGCCTTGGAAGTGTACACCATAAATCTAAACCTGTTCTCTTCTGGCACATACACAGGTTGAATCTTACAATTAGAAGATGTAGGACACGACTTGCGAATAAACCTACTCTCATTCCCCACAAACCTTGAATCCAATACAATACTTAACGGTGATTCTGCTGGCAAAGAAGTTTTCAAAACTTTTGGCTTGGTGGTACCCCACATCACATATTGATTAATAGTATCTCGACAATAATTCTTAAACAAGTCAACTTCTCCAAGATACTCTATTATTGGTGTGTTTTCAGGAATGGTTAATGATTCTCCACTGTTAACACCAATGAACAACGAAAGTTTGGAAACTCCGTTAAATTTCTGTTTTTGATTATCAGCATATGGCTTTACTTGGATATTCGTCTTGTTTGTGCTATTCTTCTTTCTGAGTTTGTTGTGTTCTTGTAAATATTTGTTATACTTTGGCAAAATTATTCGACTTGTTTTCATGCTTCTAAACTGATTCTGCAGCATGATTGAAACATTCTTGTAGACCATACTACGTTTCTCAGTTTCAGGTAACCGGGAAAAGTCCTCAGCAAATTGGTGTCCAATACTATCAATAAACTCTTTAAGAGACTGAGTTTTGAAATCATTTTCCTTCAAATTGTAATAAACTGTTTGGTACGATTCTGCTGTGACACCATCTTCTAACAACTCATTGTCTTTATTAGGCAAATCGTCCACCTCTTCTGGACGAGGACTTTGACGCTTAGGAGTCTGTGATGCACTGCCACCAGAGTTTGATGATTTCTCTTCAGTTTTTCTTCGTTTATTCCCATTACCATCTCCATTCAGTTGTTTCCTTTTTGGTGCTGGTGGTATATTTGTCTCCTGTGGTTGTTGCTGTTTTTCATTGTCTAACCTTTGTAAGGTCCTTGATTTTGATGTCTCGGGATCAAATTTACCCCATTTGTTCTTGTCACAATAATAACACTTATACTCATCATCAGGAACTTCTTCACCATTTTCATAGCCCATACAAACACAATGCTGCCATCTAAAGCATACATCACATTGGATAGTAAACCCATCATCATCTTCAATACCACATATACATCCAATTAACCCCGAATCCGGTTCAACCTGATAAGAAGATAACGGTGGTGCAACAAATGGGGGAATTCTTTTTGATTGAACAGGCAATGCAGCCGTAGCCGCAGGTGTAGCTGCAACAGCAGTTGTTGTTGTTTCTTCTTCATCATCATCGTCTTCTGGTTCAGTGGCTTGATCTTCTTCGGTTTTAATAGATTTTGTCTCAGCAACAGGAACAACTTGTGCCTTTTCCTTAACCAAGACTTGCTTTGGCTCATTTACTACTTTCAACGGAAGTGGTATATCTGCGGCTGCGGTTAAGGCAGCAGCGGCAATTTCAGCATTCTTTGTATTTCTTTCTTTGGATCGTATATCAATGCCTCTTTCATAAGTCGGTGTAGGAGATGTCAATTCTTTTGATTTCTTCATTTGCAATTGGTGCTGTTCCAATTTTGCTATTGTTGCCTCAGGAGTAGAATTCGATCTTTCATGAGTAGGTTTGAAACTTCCCTTTCTAGGTAAACTGGATGTGGGGGAAGTGGATTTTTGTTTTGGTATCTCCTCTGAAGAAGGTGGGTCAGGGGTATTCATTAATAAACTGATAGAGCTTTTCCTTGGGTGGGCGATAATAACAGGTGGCTTGGACTGGGTTACTTTCGCTACTGCTGGTGTTTCTGGTTCAGTCGGTGAATTCAAAATTTTATCGTTAAAACTTGGCCGTGGCGATGTAGCCGAGGCTGTGGGACTCTTTTGATGAACTCTAGGTGCTTGCGGTTGTGATTGTAGCTGTTGCTGAATAGTTGGTGGAGAAGATACATTTGAAGTTGGAGATGGCTGATTCAGTTGTTGTTTTGCTGCCACATTGGCAAACATCAACAATGTCGATGCATCTTGAAGTAATTGTTCTTCGTCCTTATTTGTCATGATAAAAAAAAAATTTGTATTGATATTTCAAGACCAAACCTAAAAAAAAGGAAAATCAACGATATGATCTGAATGATGACTTATAAATATAATCCACTTCAATAATTACTTTGCTGGTATTGGAACGAAAAAGAAAAAACAATGAGTTAAATATATTTATAAAAAAATTTTTGATGAAGAAAATGTGGTATATCGTAAAATACTGAAATGAGACAAATCCTGCCTTTCGTTCTGTTTTCGTTTTCTTTTTTTAAGAATATTTTTTTTTTATTTTTTTCTTTTAGTATTATACCCTACGAAATGATTCCCTGGTTTTACACAGTAACTCTCGTTCCAAGAATCATTTTTCCGCATATGTGTTGAGTCGAGCTATACGACCAGAATTTTTTTTTTTTTTCTTACAGACTTCGTTTGCATGCCCATTGAAACGATAGTTAATTAGTCATTGTGGTTGATGATTATACGACCATTCATTCTACCAAACTGTCGTATAAAGCCTTGCTTACCCACACCAAGTCTCCAGAATTACTTAACTAGCTATCTTTCTCCCTGCGCAAGCACTTTGTACAAGATCATCTGATTGTATACATCCCGCAATCCAACAAATTATTAAATCACTGAGCAGAGGGATAGTACAACAGTATCCGCTACGACAACAATAGGACAAAGATAGATAGAAAGATATAAAAAAAAAGAAACCACTGCAAAACGTATACTTACTTAAATATCATGGATAGGTGAAACTAGCAGCATCAACAAGTGTACGAAGATCTTTGGTGCAATATCAATTTAACCTAAAATTCAACATCGTATGTGTATTATCAAAAAAAAAGTATCTATTTACAAGTATGACTAAACTTCGACTCCCAATGTAATTAGTTCGCCGCCTCTGACTTTTCATTCTGTAACTTCTCCATGTACTCTAGTTCTTTCTTCAACGTGTCCATGGCATAATATATCTTACTCTGAAGATAGAACGAGTTCCCCTTTTCTTTAGAATTCACATCAAATAAATAATTATACTTTTCATCTATTTTATCCAAACTTAATTCATTCTTTTCCAAATCCAAGATTTTCATTGCTTCATCAACTTGAATACCACCAGCAGAAGCAGCCTTGGTTGGTCTTCCAGCGGCACCAGCAGCTGATGCCTTAGCAGCTTGCTTGTAAGCTTCAGTAAAAGCACGTCCAAAAACAGATGCACCAGTGAAAATAACGTTAACTAATAATCTATGAGCCATGGTAGGTAGCTTGTAAGTAATAAGTAATTTGGTTTCCTTTGATGGCCAAAAGTGTCTGTATCTTTGAACAATAATTTTTTTTTTCTCTTCAGCGTTTGACTGAAACAGAGGAAAAAAAAAACAAATTCGGCACATATACACGACCCATAGTAAGTAACGACTTCTATGATCCTAATCTTAACAGTTTTTCTTGAAGTCATCGGTAACCAAATACCCCAATAGAGTGATTAGAAAACAGAACAAAAAAAAAATTCTACAAAAGTAAATTGAAAAAAATGTAGCACCATGCTTTCATCTGGATAATCATTGATATTTCACTAAATTACCAGAACTTATTTAAAAACACATGTAAATGCCGTGATTCATCTAAAAGACCGAAACGAAGTATTGACTGTGGCCGAGTTGTTAGCAAGGTCAATCAAAATACTTAGCTATTGGGTTAATGAATGGGACAGATCTTAAATAGTACACATCTACGATATACTATCAGTAAAACCTGCCGTAGTCTTTATAGTAAAGTAAGTTATATTATATAGTATAGTATAACCACTACTGATGATTAGAGAAGAAAAAAAGAAAGGGAAAAAAATGTTTAAAAAAAATTTGTGAGGAATGTGCTGTATTTATAGTAAATAATCAGTACTGCATATAATTGAAAATTTTATTTGCCAATTTCATTCCTTTGCTATTTTGCAACGAAGTTACACTACCTTTTCTTTTGAGATGCATTTGTGAGTTTTGAAATTGAATATTTTTTTTTAGGGCTTTAAGACAAGTCTCGATGTGTTGTTTTTCTACATCATCAAAATGTCATCTACATCAATAAACAAGATAGATTCGTTAACCCATTGGTTAAAGAATAATTCATACTGGAGGGATGATTTAATTATAAAAGAATCTGAATTTGGAGGCATAGGTGTATTTAGTAAAGGTCCAATGGCTTTCAAAGAAGATGATGAAGAGGAAGAGGAAGATCGATTGCTACTACGTATACCCAAATCTAATCTATTGAGTCCTAAGAATTCGTATATTTATAGTTTATTGGTGGATTATGAGTCAGGCAATGAGGATATTATACTATCTGAATATATGTTTGGGTTGGTAATTACTGTGATTTATGAGCGTCATTGTGGATCGTCGTCACCTTGGTCAGAATATTTGAGTACAATTGATTTTGAGAGTTCAGAAATTCCAATTTGTTTGTGGGATACACAAGACAAGAAGAACTTACAGAATACAGAATTGGATTTATTAGATTTGCTTGATCCACAACAATTGATTGATTTTTACATTGAAAGTATTCGTTTTGCTCGTGCAAACAAACTGGTTATCAGCATCCCCGATGTATTAAACATAAATGTATCGGAACTAACACCCGAGGTGTTACAAAAAGAATACCAAGTCCAGATGATAGAATTTGGTAAAATAATACAAAGTGTTACTTCAAGAGCATTTATGGTTGATGATTATTACCAATTGGCATTAGTTCCAGCTGCTGATTTATTCAATCATTTGTCCCCTATTATTCAGGACGGACATGTGAAGAACCGTGAAAACATACACTTTGTTTGCGATGGAAATGTATGCGACAAATGTGGTGAACAGGATTGTTATCACATGGAGGTATCTGACGAAGAGGAAGATGAACAAGAAGTAGTTCCCATGGAATCCGATATGTACTACATCGAATCGATCGTTGAAGAAGAAATGAGTGATGCAGAAACCGATATTGATCCAGAAGAGGTGTCGACTGTCTCTATTGATGGTGATGTTGCAACCAATGGAGCAGGATTGGATTTGGCCACTGAATTATCTGACGGCTCCAAATGTTGCGATGTGGTTTTAATAAGTGAACCAGAAGAAGAGTATGGGTATGAAATATTTAACTCCTATGGGAATGAGTTGACTAATTGTCAATTATTGGAAAAATATGGGTTTATTGATATGGATGATAATCCAAACGATACATGTATTTTATCTGTTCAATTTTTCAAACAAATTAAATCCTTAAAACAAAAGTTAGGTAATAACAAGAAAGCGAAAGAGGTGGATGAGAAATTGCAGTGGTTAGAGGATGCAGGGTACGATTTAATGAATGAAATCATCAACAGCATTGAACAAGACAATGATCATAACCATGAACATGACAATAGTAATGGGGAGTGTTGTGACAAAGATGCAGGATGTGCCAATGATAACTGTGAAGATGATTGTTGTGGAACAGATGTGGTGACAGATTTTCCAGAATCATGGCCGCTCAGCATTCGAGTTAAGAATATTGATGGACAGTGTTCAACTCAATCGTATGCAATCTTGAAATTAGTCGAGCTAAAGCATTCTGTATTCAGTCAAAAGTTGTTGAACATTAAGAATGAAAAACATTTGATAACAAACATTCAAAAGTATTTGTTGAACAATACAGCTGACGAAATCAAATCATTCGATAGAACTATTGTTAACTGGTGTAAAAATCGGTTGAATAACTATCCTAAAGAAATTTCGCAAAGTAAACATAGCGAAATAATTGAAAGAATAGTCAAGCAGGAGAAGAAGATATTGAATAAGTTTATAACCTTACATAGTTAAAAAGATACGAACAATTGATATACGGATCTAATACTTCTTGTTGGTCTCTTATAGCTAACCAGCCAGTTTTCACAACTGTGGCATTTTTGAGGATTATTCTGTGTGAATTAGTTTAAAAGTTGCAAAATTTTATAAAATTTTGGTAGAAAATCGTGGTCAAAAATTATTATACTAGAATAAATTTCAAGTTGTTTCCCAATGTTTACACGCTATATCTAAATTGCTGATTAGGTAACACTATCATCATAAGGGTGTGCATGTGTCTTTTATCATATTTGGAACTTGCTTTAATGTACCGTTTCTGACAGGGGTACACGCATTCATTACTATTATTGTTTCCATTATTAATCAAACAGACACTTGCATTTAGACTAGGATACCTTGTTTTCCTTCTTACTGTTTAGCATATATATATAACAATATCTCATAATACAATCAATATCAAATCAAGAAATGATAATTTTGCTACACAGCTCACATTGTGTACTGTCCTGTTTTACGTTTTCATTTTTTTGTCATTGTCGTTGTTTCCCTTGTCTTCTCGTCTCGCAACAGGAATGTTATTTTTTACTCCTCTTTATCAATTTTTACAAACAGTTCTCGCTATCATAGAGTACACGTCTTATTTGCCATTCAAACACATTAATCAGGGGCACTTAAGAGTATCCACCACTACACATCAAGAAGCCAATCATCCAATAGGAATACGCAACAATAAGATGAGTGATATAGAAGATGAAAATATCTCGTTTGATTACGACGATGATGATGAGGAAGTCGAAATGGACAGTGACTCAGAATTTTCCTTTGAATCTGATGATGGCGATAATCGAGAGAATTTATTTGAATTTAGTGATAAGATCAGTGCTGGTACCACTACTGCGCGAGATGAACCAGCCATGGTTGGATGTAATGGTACCCATTATCTACCGTGGACGTATGAGTTGTTTATACAATATCAGTTTTTAGAGCCTTTGAAGAAATTGCAGAAATTCCAGTTGAAAGATTGCACTGATAGTGATTTGTTAATAATGTTGCAGAAGCAGAAATGGCAACTGGATAACGTGGTGGATGCATTTTTTGAAGACCATAATAAATTTTTGGAGAAATGTGGATTGCCCGTGGGTAAACCATCCAACAATAAATTTGAAGAGGTGAAGGATTTCGATTGTATGATTTGTTGTGAGTCATACCCCAAGACTACTGTTTACTCGCTTACTTGTAATCATCAGTTTTGTTTTAACTGTTACTACCAGTATATCAATGGCTATCTTTCTGATGCTTCCAAAGGGGACTTAATTACGTGTATGGTGCCAGATTGCCAGTATGTTATCCCTCATAAGGATATCCAGCATTTCTACGATGTCAAGGATGTTGAAGAAAATTTCATTTACATCGAGAAACCACTATCAGTGAATCCGTTATTGCGCAACAGTGCTCGTGCTCTTATTGATTCAAGACACAAGAAATATGTCGCTTGTCCTGCTCCAGATTGTAACAGTTTTGCCGAATTGTTATACCAGGAGTCATCATGGCAAGAAAATTTCCAAAAATTAGAAGATAAACAGTCCCCTGATATTTCCAGGGTTCCTATTGTTGGTTGTGTTGAACAACACCAGTTTTGCTTTTATTGTACCAAAGAAAACCATTTACCTTGTCCATGCTGGATAGTTAAAAAGTGGGATAAAAAGTGTAGTGATGATTCTGAAACTGCAAATTGGATCGATGCAAATACACACGGATGCCCCAAATGCCAATCGTCAATTGAAAAGAATGGTGGCTGTAATCATATGACATGTCGAAAATGTAAGCACGAATTTTGCTGGGTATGTCTTAATGAATGGAGCGAGCATAATAATAATTATTCTTGTAACCGTTTCCGTGATGATAAGGCAGAGGATGAACTGAGAAAGAATAGAAGTAGACAATCGTTGGAACGGTACTTGCATTTCTACAAGCGTTTTGCTATTCACGAGAATTCAATGAAGGCAGATCTTAAAACGGTTAAGAAGATTGAGGATATTACTCGCCTTTACATGGAAGATAGACGTGCAATGGGTCAAGAGAATTTGTCATGGAATGACATTCAATTCTTACTGGATGCGATGAGAGCACTTCAAAATGGTAGAAAGGCTTTGAAATGGACCTATTGCTTTGCTTATTATTTGGCCAAGTCGAATTTTTCACAAATTTTTGAATCTAATCAAGATTTCTTGAATAGAACTGTGGAAGACTTGTCTGAAATATTTGAAAGTATCATGGACAAGAAGAACTTGAACAAAGTTGATACGATCATCAAGAACAAGACAAAGATTATTAACTTGAGTGAATCAGTGAAGTCAATACAAAAAACATTGATCAAAAGTGCACAAGAAAATTTACTGAATGGATGGTTAAATTTTGAGACTTAAAATGGTTCACGTAGTTCTAGTGACGAAGCGGTAATGATCGGTTGAAAATTATATATTTATATACATACAATGAAAGATTGTAGTTTGTGTTTGCATTGTGTGAATGTGTAAGGTAAATTTAGTGAACTTTTTTCTTCCTTTCTTTCTCTCCCTAATAATGAAATCTGGTTTTGTGTAACATGATATTCCTTATCAGTGAATAATTTCATTGGATTACCAACACCACCACCAGAACGTTTTTGATTTGTGATAAGCTGGATTTGTGGATTTGATTTTTTTTTTAATTATTATCCTTTTTGCTTGGAAAGTTTATACAAAAAAAAGACAATTAAAGCAATTACTTATACCAGGGTTTATTTCTCTTTCTTTCTTTTTTTCATTTTACATTTTGTATTTTTTCAGATTTTGTTCTTGCTATCGTTATTGTCTTTAATTGAATTGAATTGAATTGAATTGAATTGCACTAATATTTGTATGACTTTACGAACGACAAGTCTTCAAGCACAACAGCACAATGTGCACCCACACCAGGAAGAACGCGGGAGGTCAAAGAGTAAGGATTTGACAAGATCAGCTGAAGGTTCTCAAAACAGACTGAATAATTTAAAAACCATTCAAGAAAGTTCAAATTCTTCTATAAATAATAAGCGAACTTTTCGATCGAAATCTACTAATGATTCTTTGGCTATGGCTAACAGAAAACGACAATTACCACTACATGCTGGACGAAATCATTCCGAACAATTATTATACACAGCAATAAACCAAAATCATCAATTCAAATCAAAATTGACTAAATCAATGTCATCACAAGGTAATGCCTCACAATTATTACCACCCACAGCAATTCAAAAGAATATCCCCATGGTTCACCAAGAAATATCCTACAATAAAAGACCCGAATTTAAAAGGTGGAACTCGTATGATATTCCAAGTACTAATTCAAGAGATCTGAAACTGGATGTATTTAGTCGTCCTGAGATACTTGGTAAAGATAGTGTGTCTCCATTGACCGTGTTACAAGATAATTTCAATACTAAAAGACCCATAGTTAATAATGTGGTCACTATGCCCACGGACAATTCCTTCAAGTCATTATCAAAAGAAAATATCAATGAACCTGATGATTCAATCACAACTGAAATGATAAAGAAGCCAAATTTATATGAAAAGATGAAAAATTTTGCAAACGCAAGCATGGGCTCTTTAGTTAGTTTTCAAGATAAAGTAACCAACAGGTCAAGTGATATATCGCGGATACAAAGTGAACTGGATGATGACGATTCGAACACAGACGATGATGAAATATGGGGGAATACAAATAAAGAGAATGTACCAGAGTCGGACACTCAATATCCAATAGATCAAGTCGAATCAAATTTATCAACTCAGGAACAGGAAGAGCCTATTAATTTTGAGGATCTTGTTAAGAAAATTGATGACTTCCAAGGAAATTTTGTCAACAAGCAATCTAGTAGAAGTGGCACGTTGAGAAGTCAACAAAGACAATTAGACTATAAAGAGTTGTATGATTATGATTCAAATGATAATAGTCGAACTACATTTTCATATGAATGGAAAATTCAAAATGAGACTATATCATCACAATATAACACAATACGATTGAGATTTTCATCTCGTCATATGGGAGTTTTAGGGTTTATTGAAAGGTACCAAGAGCACAACAAGTCAAGCACACCAAGTACATATTCATGCTTTGACGATATCAACTCCAAATTGAACGATGCCTGGGAACATGAATACAACTTGCTTTTTGAAAGCTCAGTCCTAACTACACCTGTAATCGCTAATACTGAATCCAGAGAAGATCAAAATATCTACAAACCAGGAACCACAAATATGGCCTCACTCGCAAAAAGTGTTAAACTAGGAGGCGTGTAGGTCTTTGTTATAACTCTAATATATCTATGTTACCTCTATTAAATACGCTAATAACTAATGTACTTCAACTATGTATTCCGTGGAACATGTGATCGATTTGTATAATTTGGCTGCACTTCATAGGCATTTGGCTTTGATTTCTTATTCTGATCATTCTTCTTTTCCAGCTTCTTGTTATTTGGTTTGTCTGCCTCGTCACCAGATGAATCACTTGACGAGTCGCTATCGGAGTCACATTCATGATTTCCATCTTCATCAGTAGGATGGTAAATACAACATATTTTGGTTTTCTTTCGATTTAAATTTTCATTATCAATTACACTTTCATCCCAGGTGACTCTTGGTCGGTCTTGCTGTCCTGCTTCCAACCTTAGAACGGGAGGAGCTGTCGTAGTTATTGTTTGACTAACTGTTCTATTGTCTGTAGGTACCTGTTGCTGGGACATGATTATTTGTGAATATAAGATTAAAGACAAATGAGGTACGGCGAAATTCTTTTTTTTTTTTGAAATTTCTAGCGAATTGGTTGGTTTATAAATGTATCTCTCTCTATATATTAATGTACCTGTTCACATAGTCACACCATAAAAAAGAAAAGCACAAGGAAAAATAGAAGGTGCATAGTAGTTATTACACAAACCACACTCCTCCCTTTTTTGAATTTGCTGGTAGTGTAAAGTCGAGCAAAGACAAACCATGAGAGAGACAACAAAAGAAAAAAAAAAAAAAAGAAGCAGTACACTATTGAAAATCAACATTATTACAGGTCGTTGTCAAATTCAAATATCCTTGATCAATGCCATGAGTAAACGTGTCAATTTACCATATAGTACCCAGGATTTATTCCCTCAATCAGTAACAACGCCTTCATCCCTGAGGATGGCAGGAGGTACAAGTACAAGAACTGGATCAATTGTATCAAATCAATCTTCCATGTATATGCCACGTCCTACTTTAAATTATGGCTGGTCATCATCTTCATCTTCATTAACATCAGGTTCCAATTTAGCATCTAGATTGAATAATATTAAAACAATGATAAAGAGGTTATTTAAACCAAAAACATTGGATTTTGAGACGGCAATTTGGGAGATTTTCCATCTAATCATAAATCCTCGTAAAATGTACCGATCTCATTATTTTTACAAACAACAGCAACTGCAACAAGATCTGTTTAGCACGAATTCATATTCCAGAGATGATCCAAGCTTTCTAATTCTTTTGACTGGATTTTTATCAATGAGTGCTGTTGCATGGGGGATCGCCTATCTGCCTAGTTTGTTGGATATTTTCAAATTGATTGTCTATATGGTACTTGTTGATTTTTACTTGACTGGTATTGTAATTGCCACTGTTACTTGGATACTTATGAACAAGCTATTTAATGACGGGATTCAATTTAGTAAATATAATGTGAATTATGTTTCCTGGGGATTTTGTTTTGATATACATTGTAATTCATTCTTGATTATATGGTGTTTATTATATGTTGTCCAATTTGTGTTGTTACCAATCATCCGAATCAAAGGTTCAATTATTTCTTTGGTTATTGGGAATCTGTTGTATTTTGGTAGTATTGGATATTATTTTGTTGTTTCCTTTTATGGATTTAATTCATTGCCATTTATCAGTGCAAATTTTGGTTCTACCAACAATAAAAAGAGCCCAGCTAGAACCCTACAATTAGTGGTTATTGCTGGTGTGGTGCCATTATTGGCGGTAGCCTGGTTAATAACCTTAATTTTTAGATTCAATGTTGCCGACAGTATGGTAGACACTTATTTCAACTAATATATATGAATACAAAGTAATGAATAAGCAAGAAAGAAAAAAAAAAATATGATGTTATAGATATCTGTTGCAAATAAAAGAAAATATATAACGAACTAAATAAATTACAACTTCAAACAATATACTCTAAATATAAATCGCAATTGAACTTACTTCTAAAGATTTGCTAATTGATCTAATCTATCTCCGGCTGCTTTAATTCTCATACCAGTTCTATTACTTAATTCGTAATCACCTTCACCAACAATTTCAGCTCTTTTAAGCCAGCTTCTACTTTCTTGTGCAGCCTGGCGAGGATCAATCTTGCTAGATGGACCAGTTCCCAATAACCAAGTAAACATAGTCTTCTCATACAAAGCTGTTGGATAAAGATAAGGACTATAAGTCAATTTGTTAAATCTAAATTGGTGAAGTGAATCATTAATCACATACTTGGAAATGACATGGTTGTTCAATAATTTCAAACCATCTTCGACATGTCCTAATTGTCGCATGGCAATCGACTGCAAAAAATGTCTGATCATTGCTTCATCGTCTGTTTCTTCAATTAAAGCATATGAATTTTCTTTTGTGTTAGCTGAGTTATCAGAGTTTGGAGCACCAGAGTAACCCAACATTTTCAAGGCAACTTCCAAATGTTGACGTGTCATTCTATTGTACCCATTCCAGAAATAAACCAATTCATGAATTAATGAAGTTCCCACCAAGTCAACATTTGGTAAGTTTGGATACTGCTTCTTTGCCGCTTCAAGATGCTTATTCTTACGCAACAAAAATTTATCAAATGGCATTTGTTTGTTGCTACCACCAATACCACCTTTCTTACCAACAGCATTACGGCCAACACCTGGGACGTAACTCAACGAAAGATCAAGGTATTTATCAAAAAGTGCGGAATATTTAGCCATTTCTTTTGCTTTATCATCTACTTGTATGACTCCCATTTTAATCATTCTGTATTTCTCTAAATAACAGGAAGCTGCCATAAACAAATAAACTGCTTTAGACCAAGAATTGATTTCAATCAAATAAATCAAATCTTTAGCAGCTTTATCATATTCGTGTTGGAAAATGTAAATCATCGACCTGTCAAAAATCAACAATGCTTCAGCTTGCTGCATTTGGATCTTGGTAGCTGGATCGTCGGTGAAATCTTGCATGGTTTTAGACGCTTCGGCCAATTTACCTTCAGCAGCCAACATTCTTCCCTCTTGTAAGATCCAAAGAGCGTTATGGGGAAACATTCTTCTTGCTCGTCTTAATAACTGACTGGTATAAAGCTCAGGGCTATCCAAAATCTTATCCAACTCAGAATCAGAAACAGTTGCTTTGTTGTCCAAAGTAATAATACTTTTTGCCAGATTGCTATTTGGTAGTTGAAATCCAGTGTCAACGAATTGTACCGGACCATCATAAAACACCAAAAGGAACAATAAAGCCAACTCACCGTGAATATTTCTACAGGTAATTGCAGTTCTCCACAACAACTTTAACCCAATTTCCCTGTCACCTTTAAAACCAACAATTGATAATACTTTACCAATAGCAGGTGGAATCAACGACAAAACAACTTGCAAGATACCAAAACATAATTGAACACCTGAATGAATGTATTCATCAACAGTAGAAACATGCAAGTGATTATCTGAGGCATTCTGAGAACCACTTGGGGTTGTCTCAATTGAAGAAAGAACAGATTGGGCACTAGAATCAGTTGCTGGTGGCGGGAGAGTATGGTCCTGTGAATCCTCAAAATCCTCCAGAGCATCACAAAAATCGTCGTCCTCTTCATCTTCACGTTCGTCATCGCTTTCATTTTCTTCGTCAACTTCGCGTGGGGTTTCAATGGAATCCTTAGGTATATTGGTGTTGTTGTTCTGTTTGGCCAATGTGAGAGAACTATTCAGATCACCAAACAAATTAACCTTTTCTGGGTCAACATTGTTTCCCAAGCTGGCACCTTCAATTCTCGCTTTTCTCATATTGTAAACTTTTTCCAAATTTTTCATCAACGCTATGTCTTGTGGCAAAGAAGCAGAAGAACTGGACTGGGAACTATAACCCGGTAGATCAACAGTACTGATTGACTGGTTATTTAAGAAAATTGTATTACCTGACTTTGAGGTGCCATTATTTAATGAAGGAACTGCAGCAGCAGCGGCAGCTTCTTTCTTTAATTTTGCCAAATTCTTATTGAAGGTAGGTTCCAGTTCTTTAATTTTCCTGTAGACGGCGTCTAACGTCTGGTAAGCACGACGTAATTTATACAACGCCTTGACACTTTCAACCATACCATTATTTTCTGTCAATAACATTAATAAGGCATTCAACAATGTCGACTCAGCATAGGTGACTTCAAACTCGGTTCCTGGTGGATAGATCAATGACGTGGCCAATCTATATCTCACATTGTATTTTGAATTATTCAAAGATGCATTTTCTGCTTCTGATAATGTTTTATGAGCCTTAGCCATGACTTCTGGTTCAAAACCCAAAGTAGCTTCAATGAATTCCATAACCCCTAATGCCAAAGGGAAAATAGCATGGGGTTGGGTTGAATCTTTATTCTTGTTGGCTTCATCCTGTAATAGATCAGTACCTTGCTTAGTTCTATCGTCCAACAAATAATCCATTGCCTTAAGAGCAACCTCAAAGTCATAAACTTGTGCTAGTATCTTATCGTAACTCCCATCTGCATTTGATCCGTTAGACGATGTGGATTGAGTTGATGTTATAGAAGATATTGATAGAATAGATGCTTTCTTCCTTAACCCTTTAAACATTTTTTTACTAACAACGTGAACTTAATGGCGGGGGCAGAACTATGAATATAGGCAGATTGTTAAGAGATCAAACAAAACAAAGTTTATCAAAGTATTTGAAAAAAAAAAGAATCAACGACCGGAGCAACCTGGATAATTTTTTTTTGTTTCTTGATTTGAGTGTTGAAAGAGTCTGTTTTGTGTATCCTGAGGGATTTAATACGAAGCGAAACGGTAGTAAAAAAACAAAAAACAAACAATCAAAAATAACTTCCCTGGTGAAATATATCAACGTGAGATTGTGACTTGTAGTGATTGATTTTGGTTTGGAAGTTGATTTGGTGGCTTTTGTAGTGGTGTATTCTGAATAGCTATTTCTTTATGATGAAGATGAATATTGTAGGCTGTGAAAAGATCACTGGAAATTTTCAAATAGAACTTTATCTTCTATTTTTTTTTTCTTTCTTTTTAGGTTGTTTAGTCTGATGCAAAAATTTGATACGACACGTGAAGTATCAATGAACAATTCAGTAAAATTTCTTTTCCGTGTTGTCCTTTTTTATTTTTATTTTTCAAAATTTACTGTAAATTTTTACTAAAGCAAAATTTAGAGTTTCTTTTTTTTCTTCTTCTGTTGTTGTTGCTGTCGTTGTCGTTGTCGTTCTCTCGTTCTCTCCCCGCGTCTTCCCCCCTTTTTTGTATTAAAGCAAGGTGGGCGTAGGTGACAGAACAGCGCCTGAGGTGAACTTCCCCCATTACATAGCCCAATTTTTAGGACATTATTGTATGACTGTCACAATGTAGATTTGGTTTTGCATTATTTTATTCTTTGTTTTTGGTTTTGCAGTAAGTTGTCTCAAATACACTGATTACCCCTATTATCGTATGCACGTGAACGTGTGTCCCAAAATGGCAAGACGCCACACACATCATTATCACGAAAGGAAACAGAAGTTGAATAACTTTACAGCTATTAAATTTGGAGTCCCACTGAGATCGCAACTTGTAAGTTGGTATGTTGAAAACCACCAGTAACATGAAATTAATGCAGATTTGAAACAGTCTATTGGCTCATCTTAGAGCATTGTGCACAATGAATTGTGGGTTGGTAAAGGCACGCAAGTCCTACCAATTCTTGTCTATACCAGCTTCAAAAAAAAAAAAAAAAAACTACCAATACTATTGGGACAAATTTATTTCATACTAATAGTTCTAATAAACAACATACTTTTAGAATGGTAAAGATTATTAGTTTCTATCATGAATTTCAAATCTGAATTCAAAGTGGACAAGTAACATCAACATTGCATAATATTATTCAGAAATATTGACAGTCATGTTATAAATTTTTCTGTATAATTAACACCAATAACTTTGCTGCTCGGGTCTGGCACGAGGGTTCAATCAAGCTGAACCAGTCGTATACCAATCCACAGAGGTATTTATTCTTAGGCTTTCGTGAATACTTGTGAAAAAACCCAGTTGCAAGTTTCTACAATTAATTGCACTATTGCTTTTGTTTCAACCCGACGATATTTCATTGCTGCAAAAATGTAGACAAATATAAAAATGGAGATAATATACATAAAAAAAAAAAACTAAACCCTTAGATCTAAAACAATAAAAATAAATAAATAACAAACAAACAAACAAAAACCCAATCCCGTATAATCGATCAATGATAATAAAAATAAAACAGCCTCGAAATAGTAAAAAGAAAATAATAACCTTCATTAACATATGTGTGTGTGTAAGTGTGTGCGATATTTGAAAATAAAGGAATATTAAGAACTTTGATTATTTCTGGCTTATAATATTTTCGCCCGATTCATCTTTGGTTGATGAACCTTCAACGATTTCTTCAACATCTCCAAAATTTTGTTGTTCAAGTTTGGCAAACAATTCTTGTTTTTCAGCTTCTTTCAATTCAAACTTCTTCTTACCCTTGATGTGGTACATTGGATTCAATTGAACCAAAGTTAAATCCTTTGTGAATGGTAAATGACCATGCTTTTCTTCATAACTCATAAGGAGCAAAACAATAATAAGAACAAGCCAATAGACATTGTAGGAGATGACTGAACCATAAGTGGCAGAGTTTTGCCATCCCAACAAAGCATTGAAGATATCCCAACCATTATCGGTTAACGGGTTACAACAGTTGACGTGCCAGACAGACTTGTTGATATCATAGGTACCTGGACCAGAACCATTTTCAGCAGCATCACCACCAGTTTGTTTATTGAACTGATAATTCTCAAAGAACCAAACACCCCTGGAGAATAAACCAGCAGCAATCAAATACAAGATACAAGTAGAAAAGACAAGGAAGATTTGTAAAGAAATACTGGAGCCAAAGAAATACAACAAGACACCAACAGAAACACCAGCAATCAAACCAACAACAACTGGCAATGGAAAGGAAGTTGCAGGAGAATTAATACTAACACCACCAACAAAAACAATGGCTTCAATACCTTCTCTAAGCACAGTAATAAATGGAAGAATAAACAAAGCATACTTCTTTGTGAGATGTCCAAGGTTAAAAATCAGTTTTTTGTTAGGACTTTTAACAAGTGCAGTGGCCAATTTAACCTTCCATTTCTCTTGCATTTTATTGATCCTTAACATGGGAATACCCATAGCTGTGATCAATACTGCAGCAATTGTACAAAAGACACCTTCCCACAAGTCTTCTGACTTGCTCCAAATGTCTTTGCCAAGTCCATAAAAGGTCCCAATAAAAGCACCACCAAGGATGAGACAAATTACGAACCCCAGGGCAGCACCAATCCAGACTTGTTTGTAGAGTAACTTCTTCAATGCTGGGTCATTTTTTCCCAAAGATTGTTTGATAAATGAAAGCAAAACAGAAATAACAATAACTGCTTCAAGTGCTTCTCTGAAAACAACAAAGAAGACTTGGACGTTGAAAACAGCTGTCATCTTTTTGAATAAAATGGGATTGGAAAGGGAAGTTGTTATTAAGATTAAATGTGAAATAAATAAAACCACCAGGTTCAAGGACGCTATTTATAGAGTAAATTTTTCAAATTCCGAAGAGTTCGTTTTAGTAACTGAGAATATTGCTCTTCTTTTGTTCTGCTTTTTTTTTGTATTTAAAAGGTTATACAAGAAATTAAGAACTGCATTACACTATTAATAGTGTATACATAGATGATATCTCTTTATTTTGTTGAACCAATTGTAATCTACCTGATCATATTACCATTTTGGTTCCACTTCAAGAGATGGCTTTTTATATGTTGAAGTAGGGTACCGCTGAATCTAGTGGAACCTTGTTAAAGGTTCAAACGTTAGAAAAATAAAATAATAATAAAAAAAAGAACAGCAGCTTTTACACCTTTTGCATATACTTTCTTTGTTTGTGCTACATTGTTCACCTCTAACCAATCAAAATTAATGTAATTATAATCACTCAAAATAGACAAGAGAGAGAGAGAGAGATCCACTGCATCTAAATAAGAAAAACACCAAAGATTCGTATTAGCCTAATCATTTTATTCTGTGTTCGATTACGAGCACAGTCCAACCTAGATTCAGGGCTTTGGGTTATTTTTATCGGCAGTATGACCTTTATTTTTTTCCCCTTCGGAATACGGTAGGTTATTTTTCTTCAAGATTCAGCCGCACACTTCGGTATGCTGCAAAACTATAACCAAGTAACTAATTCTGAGATATAGCACTTGTAGTTTCTTCATCAACAACAACCAGTAATTCGTTTTGGGTTTCAGAAATGATATCTTCTTGTTGTGCATCACCTCTAGTATCCTTCTCTTTCAGCACACTTTCTTGTTGTTCAATAATCTTAGCAAACACACTTCCTAATTTATCTTTATTCATCCTCACTCTAGAATAAACATCTTCGTGAACCAACAGTAAATTGACCAACGACAACAATTTTAATGTATACACAGACAAATCCTTTTCAAACGACCATATTTTCTCCAATCTAAGATTTTCATCACTGTTTGTAGAACCTCTTGTTGTTTGCAGATCCTCATCATCAAACATGCTTGACTCAGCAATAGTTCTATCGTTCTCAGTATAGTCATCAAAATTAACATCTTCCTCATCAGCTCTGTCGAGATCTACCTGTAACAAACTTGCAAGCTTGACTTCTTTGACTAAGAATAGTTGCAAAATCTGCAGTTGCATATCACGCTTTATAACCAATAATTGCATATTGGTATTGAAATACAGTTGGAAATTATCAAACTCATTATCAGCCTCAAATTTCACATAAAAGACTTTAAATGACAACATAAAGTCAATATATTTCATGATTAGGATCGTTTTTAAGTCAACAAACTCAACATTGGTAGAACATTCATAAACTAACCTCATGGTTTGATTTATCAAATCCACAATCCCATCAAATTCTAAATCAATAGCAGTGTGATGTTGATCATCTTTACTTGTTTCCATTAATCGTTCAAACTTCCATGAAACTATGACTAATACTAAATCGTAGAGACTCGTCAAAGATTTCAAAAACATGCCCATTTGTTGCAAGAAATTGTGTTTCCATTGAGATTTAATCAACGCCAAATCAAATTTTCTCAATACTTTGCTGACCAATGTAGTTATTAACTCCGTAGCCTGAGTCAAATTGGCTATGTTTACAAAGTCACCCAATTCTCTCAACTTTCTTAATGCTGGGGCAATGCTATTGATTAACTTGATAAGACTAATCTGTTCAGTCAACTCATCATTAGTACGGTCCACATCTAAAACATCAGTATTTCCATCGACACTTTGCATAACTTCTTCCACCAATTCATCTAGCATTGTTTGTACTTGAAATTTGACAGCAGATGTTAGTCCAGGTGACCCAAACAATGCCGAAAAGAACGGACCAAATTCTGTTGATATATCAAATTCTTTGAAATATTTGATAATTTGAGATGTCATTTCATCATACTCTTCTAATTTATTTAACTTTTCAAATAATCCATATACGGATTCCTTTTCAACAGTGACAACAGTCAAAAGTTGTAAAAACACTGGGAATAGCTTCGCAGATTTGACACAAACATTCAGAATTGGTGGCAAATATTCAACCAACTTTACCAATTGGGCCGATACCTCATCATCATACTTTTTGGAATAAAGATACTTAACATAACCAAAAATAAACTTGAGAAGGACAACCTTTTCGTCATCTGTTAAATCAATTTGCTGTTTAAACTCATTAATCTCTTCATTATCCGAATGAGATTCATCTTCTCCTTTAAAGAATTTGATCAGAAATACATCCACTAAGAAGTACTTCAATAATAACTCCCAATTTTCTTCATGATGATCACTCAAATATTGGAAAATAATATCAACTGGTTTCTCAGCTAGTGGAAGTAGTAATCGTATCAAGCTTTTTATGCTCAAACAATTCACCAAATCATCATGAAGTTGATCTGGCTTATATGTGTCCAAGAACAATTTATACTGATCATGCAAACTGGAAGAACTCTCCTTATTCAAGATGAAAATAAACTTGGCCACTTCAACATGAACTTTTGCATTGTCTTTAAACGGATAGTTTTCAATAACTAACTTAGTATCATCGTCGTCCAAAAATCCAAGCTTCAATAATTCACAACAAATTCCAAAGCACTGCATTCTCACTTGCGAATCACTATCAATCAGACTCATTTTAATGAGCTGCAACTTATACTTTTCCGAAAATTGACGGAGACCTAAGGGTAAATTATTAACTGAAAAGGAACGGTATATTCTAGCTAAAGCTCGGATATTCTCCACTCTTACCTGTCCAATTGGATCACACAATAACCAACCAAAGTATCGCAAATAAATACCTTGACAAAAAAATTCCGGATATGCCACAATTGATTCTCCTAAATGCTTCAACGTTGTGCATCGTATTTGTGGATCAACGTCTCTATATCTTTTGTCCACCACAATAGTAACAATGTCATTAAAATACTCCAAACAGGTATTCTTTTGAAGTTGACAACTGGCAATTGTACTTGTCAAGGTTTCATATTTCGAGGTGTTTGAATTCTTAAGTTTAATTAATTGACGTTGAGATCTTTCAAGGATTCCTTCTATAGTTTTGATAATTACACATAAATGAGATTGAATAGAGTAAATAATCTCACTGGCAGTGTATCTCAAAGATCTTATTGCACTTGTTGACAATGATGTTGTCCATGTTAAAAAATAAGACATTAACGGTGAAGCCAAAGACTCTTCATCATCTTCATTATCATACACGTATAGCAACCCATTTTCATGAGCAATTTCAATTATAGCCACGAAAAGTTGCAACACATTCTTTTTGAAGACTGGTAATGCTTTAAACGGGAATTTGTGGAATGACTGCTCTCCAAATGCAATGGCAATTTCGGCAACAGTATCTGCACTTGACTCCAAGTTGCTTAAATCATGTGGTTGAAATAAATGCAATGAACCACAACTTCGTAAAATTAAATTAATTAAACTAGTTATGGAGTCGTGCTTGTCCTGTCCAAGATCTTCTTCAAATTCCTCAACCCAATCAAGTGCCACATCCTGAATATTTACCTCCGTATTTGCTAAAGCCTTATATAAATGATTTTCTTCCAATTCATCTTCTAATTGTTTCATGGATTTTTTTGATTTCTTTTGTTTTTTTGATGGCTGTCTCGATTTACGATTCACTTTTCTCTTAACAACTCTTGTTTGCTCCTCATGTTCCAGAGCTTGAACATCATCTTCTGAATCACTTGATTCCTTGTATGACACCAGTGGAGCATTTGCTCTTCTAGACAGTCTTCTGATCATAATTGGATGTTATATTGGTTGTAAAGCACACTGAAAAAAAAGGAAGAAGAAGGAAGAAAAACTCTTGGGCAGCAAATAAACACACACAGACGCGTACTTTCATTCTTTAAATTTTTTAGTCTTTCCAAATCGATTCGTGTGCATTGCTCAAATATTCCGTCGTGCATTGTTTTCAAAAATCCTACCACAGCAGAAAAAATCTTTCTGGTTCAACGAGAATCTTGAACAACAACAACAACAAAAAAAAAGGAATAAGGAAAAACGAAAAAAAAAAATACAATAGAGGAAAAACAACCTTGAATTAGTTGAAGAAAAAAAGATATCACATATCCATATCATTTTTAGCTATGTCAGTTGAACCAGAAACAACAAGTGTCGAAGTTTCCAAAACCGAGGAAGTTTCAGTTGATTCCACCAAGGCATCTGACGTAACCAAAACTGGTGAAGTCATTGATGTTGAAAAACTACAAGCTGAGTTTCAAGAGTCTGCGAAAAAATATTTGGTAGAACAAACAGTTCATGTCATTATTCCATCATTTGCCAAATGGTTTGATTTGAATAAGATCCATCCGATCGAAAAGAAATCATTCCCTGATTTTTTCAAAGAAAATCCGTCTATTTACAGGACACCAGCCAGTTATAAGTACATCAGAGATTTTATCGTAAACACCTTTAGATTAAACCCTAAAGAATATTTAACTGTTACTGCTGTTAGAAGAAATTTATCTGGGGATGTTTCAGTTATAATAAGAATTCATCAATTCTTGGAAAAATGGGGATTGATCAACTATCAAATTGATCCAAAAACAAAATCAACACTCTTGGGACCACAGTATACCGGCCATTTTCAAATCACATTGGATACTCCACAAGGTTTAGTCCCTGCAATTCCAGAGAATGCTACATTTGTGAATAATAAACAAGAATCAGAAACTTTACCAACCGATGAAGAGCCTGAAAAGAAATCTGGTACCAACGATATTGGATTGCCTTTGAATTTGGAAATTAGAAGAAACATCTATGCAACTGCGGAAAAGAAAACAAATTTCAAGACAAATAACATTGTCAATTATTCTTGTAGTATTTGTGGTAAAGACGCTACTGAAGTTAGATATCATAATTTGAAAATAAAGTCTTATACACATAACCCAACATCAAACATAAACAATGCCAGTGTGTTGTGTACCATTTGTTATGATCAAGGTTTATTCCCACTGAATTTCCAATCTTCTGATTTTGTTCAATTGCATAAGGAGCAAGAAGGTGCTGAATGGAATGAACAAGAAATATTATTGTTATTGGAAGGTATTGAAATGTTTGGTTCATATGAACCGGCTACTGTTAATGGTGCATCCAATATCCATGCTAATTCGAACAATCAATGGGACAAAATAAGTGAACACGTTGCTTCTAAGACGAGAGAACAATGTATACTCAAATTTATTCAGTTACCGATTGAAGATAAATTCTTGACAAAATTACTAAAAGAAGAACCAATTGGAAAAGATCAAGGTGTTTCGGAAACCTTAGTGCAAGATATTGTTGCAAAGTTGGTGTCCACACAAAATGGGCAAGAGTTTATACTGGCAAACGCAGAACAAAATTTGAAACAGGCACAATTGGAACAGACTGATTTGATTAACCAAGTAATTGAATTGACTTTAGAAAAATTTAACGCCAAATTGAAAAAAGTAGATGAATTACAAGATAATTTAATCAAACTTGAGAATCAATTAAATTTGGAAAGAAAACAAGTTTTAGTTGAAAGATGGGTACAATTTGAAAAAATTGAACAATTGAAGAAATCCAAGCCAGAATTAGCAGATGTATTGAATGATTTAATAAAACCTGCAAAAATAAGTGAACTTGCCAAAGCAGTTAACCAGAATAATTCATCTGAAAATGGTCAAGATAATATGGATGTTGATGAAAATAACGAAGAAAGTGACCAAGACGAGTCTAAATTGCCAGTTAGCATAAGTCAACCAAAGGCATACCAATTTTGGTCTGGTTAAAAAAGCATTTGTACTATTTAATATTTTTTAATTAACTTTATATATATATATATATATATTGTGAATACACAGTTTTTTGTAGTTAATATAATAATAATACATGTGAATAAATATACATTTTGTTCTCTTTCTTTTACAACACCTATTTCGTTCTGCCTCTTGCTTCTACGTGACTATTTATTTTCAAATCTTTTAATCGTGAATGATAGTCAACCTGATTTGCACTTGGTTCATCGTCCTGTGGCAATACTATTTTAGGTATAATTGGCCTTGAGTTATCTTTAGGATTACTGAAATTTTCTAGACTTGAATTAAGTTTGGATTTGGAATTATGTGGTGTTGGCTCGCCTAATGTTATGTCACTACCACTCGGGCTTGATTGAACAACTTCATCATGCTCAACCAGTAAGGCAACATTAGGTTGAACAAACATTCCATTTCTTGTAGACGGACCACCACCAGCAATTGATCTCATCGACAAGTATGCCCCACTAGGTGAATGTGGTCTTCCTTCAATGGAACCACCGCTTACAGCAAATGTGGATTCCGAAAGTGGAGTTGACGGAGCAGAAAAAGAAGATGGGTTAATTTTAGACGCCAACATGCTCCTTATGTTCATCTGTGATTCTGAATGTCTCACAGGACTCATACTTGTTTCGCGCACAAGAGAAGAACCTCTATCAGCAAGTGATAATCCTCTTCGAATGGATAATCCCCTATCGGATGGACTAAGCAGCACGAGATCACTATTGTTCTTGGTTTGTCCCTTTTTGTAAAATTCAATGAATTTCTTCCGATAAAGATAAGCAGAATCTTGTCTGAATACTCGAATTATACCAAATTGATCGGCGGTAACAATTATATCCCCTGTTTGAACCGAGTTGTCGACTTTGACAGACTTTCCGTTACAGGTAAAACATCTAGAAGGATCAATTCGACACGCGTCACCACGTTTTTTCAAATCATAAATTAAATCATCTGATAATTGTAATAACTGTTTGGTAGACTCCGGCGCAAAAATGGCAACGTTACATTTCGAGTGGTGGGCATGAAAGTATGTATAGCTGTTATTCTCATTGGCAACAAAATCATGCTTATTATCATAATCTTCTTCCAAAAACTTATTGAAAAACTTATTCAAGGCCATGAACTTGGAATACTTCTCATGTTTGTGATGGAAATCTGAAATATGCTGTTTACCATCAATGACAAACTCTTTTAATGATTGTTTAAGCTTGTTATTTATGATACTATTGTTATTTTCCCACACATAACAATAATGATCCTCTGAGCCAGAAATAATATACTTTTGATCCTCTGTACTATCTGCTACTATTGAAGATGAGTTGTTTGTCAAACCACGAAATCTTGTAATCAACTTCTTCTGTGCAACAGTAATCATACGAATTTTAGAATCATTTGTTGTTACAAGCACTGCATATTTTTCAATTGCGTTCTTACCTCTTCCTTCTTCAAATAATGGGTTATTGAATACTTTTATGCCTGTAATCTTATTTCCATTCTTGTTGCTACTATTGAAGGAATGTACAATGGATCTTTCTTTAATTTCCACTTGAAAAACAGAGAACAATCCCTTTGTTTCCAATATAAACAATGCTCCATTAAATCCTCCGACAAAGCAATGCAAACCATCTGGCGCAAACTCCAACGCAGTAATTAACACATCATCTCCAAGATGTTTATTATATGCAACTGAGTTTTCCAAAATTGACCAAAGACGAACCTCATTATCGAGTGATCCACTCAAAAAGAACCGATCGTCATGGGGGTGGAATTTTACAGCAGTCACGAAATCTTCATGTGGAAATACCTGCAAACACAGATCACGATCAACATGCCATAATCTAGCGGTTCTATCCATACTACCTGTTATCAAAAAATTGTTTTTACTCCATGCTAATGATAATATATTGCTCGAATGACCTCTAAACTCACGTATAGGTTGTCTATGGAAAACAGGTGCCGGGTCAAAAACATAATCTCTCTTGTTGCTTCGGGGAGGAGGTCCACTAACTTTCTCAAGTTGGTTAAATTCCATTCTTCCCAAAGGCGAGGAAATCACTTTCCATACTCTGATCACAGCATCTCTACCTGCTGCAGCTAGATATTTTCCATCTTGACTAAACTCCATGACAAAAATCTCTCTTCTAATATCACCTCCTAATTCTTCATCATGCAGTAAATCTTCATCATTATTAATAAAGGACTCGTCTTCAAGACGATCATCTTCTGTATCACTGCCAACATCTTCCACAACATTTAATTCCTGGGCAAGAAATAAGTTATTGATAATTCTTGGACTATGTTTATTTCTTCTTGTAGTTTTAATATATTTCGGTGTAAGAAAAGATTCATAGGTTAAACCAGCATATGGTGGTTCATTCTCTTCGGGAATATCCAAATCCATATCCAAACCTTCCAGAGTGGTTGGAAACGCCACCTTTTCCCCAACACTGTGATTATCAAATGTTGTATAGTTGTATGATTTCACTTTTCGTAAGGTACTTGCACTAGACAAGACATGATTTGTTGAATCAAAAATAGAATCGTCGGTATCATCTTCTCCAATAGAATTAGATTCATCGTAATCGTCGTCGTATAAAGAATCCTCATCATCGTCAACAAAATGGTTGTTTTCCATTGAATTCCGTTTATCTCGTTTGACACTAGATCTCCTACTTGGTGGGTTTGAAGAAGCAAACGATTTCGCATACTCAGTAGGTTGCGGGGATAAATTCTTGGAGTGACCAGATTTCTTAATCAACTTATTGAAAAACCCACCTTTCTTCTGAGCCCGACCATTTGGTGATCTTGATTCATTAGATACTTCAGTCTGAGTTGTTGAAGCCATCTACTGCACAAAAATAATAATAGCAAAAAAAAGGGCTGATAAAGGAAATTAAATAATGTAATTTAAAAGTTCAAAATAAAATGTAGACAGTATTTAATCAACTGATATTCTTCTTGAATAAAAAAAATAAATAAAAAAACCTTAATATAAATAAGATATAATGCAAAAAAAAATATAAATATATGTATAATATAATACTAGTGCCTATTCTGGTTTATCTAGCATACAATGGATAGTTGTTGATATGGGTTTAAAATTTTTGGTTGATCTTTTCCACGGTATCCGAAGGAGTATCAATTATTGCTTGAATGACAAGAATGAATAATTATATCGCAAGGAGCCAAAAAAAAAAACCAAAAAGAATATAATAAAAAAAGGGGCGGGGTGAGTCGTGGTGGGTGAGCGAGCAAGCAAGCAAGCAGAACAGGCAAAGTAAACTGGTGAGACTCTTTTGTGTGTGTAATAGAACAAATCGGAACTTAGAAAAAGAAAAACATCCAATTTAGTAAAACAAAATAAACTATAGAATTCTGTAATAGAATGTATTGTACTGTATTTATAATAAATGTAAGAATTAGATGTTCAATTTCAGAGGAAGAAGAAGTTATTATAAAATGGAAAATAAATATACATTAATAATATGATCATATCAGAAATGAGCAAAAGAACAACATTGGATGATTAGTTTTTTTAATTGCTTTGGAATAATTTGTAATCTTCACATAATTAAGTCACTAATCACAAACTCAGTAATTTCAAATCAAAATGATATTTTCACACATCAACTGGTATGCCATTTGTTGTTGGGTATAAGGATTTTGAGTGTTTTACCCACAAAGAAGTTTAATCTTGAATTTATTCAATACTACTTGAAACGAAACGTGATCCAAGACTATCACCGACATCCTCACAGCAAGAAATCACCGGTTACAAGACATTAACCATCTTTATTGAATTACTACTATACATTTACTTTCTATTTATGTTTGTACAACAATTAGCTGAGACTTGGCACCTCTAGTTCTTCTTCTTCTTAGACCATTCCAAGTGTAAAATCAAAGAATGGTAACCTTTACCATTGAAAGTATCCAATGCTTTTTGGGCAATTTCTTCAGTAGCAAAAGAAACATAAGCAAAACCTCTAGATTCACCAGTTTCTCTGTTTCTAACAATAGTAACTCTTTGTAATGGACCAAATCTAGCAAACAATTCATTTCTAATCATATCTTCATCAACAAATGAATTCAACTGGCTGACCTTCAAAGTAGTAGAATCATCTCTAGCTTCTTTACTTGGAATATTACCACTAGCATCAGGTCTCATATGTCTTGGAACATACTTACCGCTACCAGCAGCAGCACCGGCACCTTCTTGAGAAGGTTCAGGAGTAGAATTAGCGGATCCAATACCAGCTGCAGCACCCAAAGTATCTTTGTATGGACATTTTGAGGTATAATGGTCACCTCCACAAAGTCTACATTTAATGGTTTGAACAGCAACTTTTTGAGCTCTTTCATGAGCTTTATCTTCTTCTTCTTTCTTTTCAATTTGTTTCCAGGAAGTACCTAATTTCAAGTCAACTTTTTCACCTAATTGGGTGGTACTTGTATCTGGGCCTGGTGGAGAATTCTTATCTTTACCATATTTATGCCAGTTCTTACGTTGTGCAATCAAAGGATGTACTCTTTCTTGAACTTTAACTTCTTTTATCTTTTGGGTAATTTTGACTTTTTTACCATCTTGGTTGGTTCTGAAACTAATAACAGTTTTGGTTCCATCTGGGTTCACTATGATTTCTGGTGGAGCGGAAAATTCATCACCTGCATCTGCCCATGAGTCAATTAATCCTGTAGACATTTTGATATAGATATATATATATATGTGTGTGTTGGATTAATATGTGTATAAGTAATCAAGATTTTGTTTATGGTTGATGATGATCTGGTTAAGGGAAAATTTTTCATCTCTAGTGCAAGACAAACCAAAAAAAAAAAAAAAAAAAACTTCAAGAAGTAGTGCACTCAAGGATAATTCTGTGTTATTGAAAGACGAAACCAAGTGCAATTACCAACATGTCTACTATTCAACAGAATTCCGTCAATGATGCTATATTTGCTTATGGTGATCATGATTTACAAAAGTTAAAGGTATTTAATTACTCGGCTGAGAACAATCATACTTTTATTTATATACATGGAGGAGCTTGGAGAGACCCCAGTAATACCTTTGATGAAATGGATCCTGTGGTTAGTCATAATAAAGATGTCAATCATATTGGAATAAACTATAGATTATCACCAGAAATCAAACATCCTTTCCATTTGGTTGATATTTTAAGAGGGTTGAAATTTATTCGGGAAAATTTCCAATCTGAAAATATCACTTTGTTGGGACATTCAGTGGGCGCTACAATGATTCTCCAGTTACTTCATTTCAAAATTATTGTCAATGAAGGGTTGAAATATGTGCCAAATGAATCATATGACACGGATGAAATCCATCAATTATTGGATTATGTGGGCAAAAATATCAAATTTGATCAATTGTTATTCCTTGATGGGATATACAATGTTATTGAATTGTTAAACGAATACCCAGATTATTCTTCATTTGTCAATGAAGCATTTGTTAATGCTGAACATGTTGAAAATTCAACCCAGCTTAGTTCAAGAATTCCAGAGATCGATACACCATTCTCATTAGTGAAACAATCAACTCAGTTTATCATCTACCAGTCATTAGAAGATGAGCTTCTATCCATGAAACAGACTCATTTACTTGTTGATTATCTTGTATCTAAAAACCAAAGGTTTAGTTTACATGTTGACAACTGGGGTAAACACGAAGAAATTTATTCTACAAATAGATCTTTAGTATTTCATGGCAAACTACCAAATTAATTAAAGTCTATAAATATAGGTCTATCTCTAAACATATATACATTTTAAGAATACAACATTTTCGTAACATAAGTCATTAAGATAATAAATAATAGGTCCATAATCATATCGGTCCAATAATAGTACTAATAAAAGGGAAATAAATAAATAGTTCATAAAAAAAAAAGGAAATGAAATTCGATTCATCATCATTAAAAATAAAAATAAATGGTAGGGTGGTTTTACCATAGGAGTTTGTTTCCCCAAAATATAACATATTCCCCCATGCAATTACTCTATCCAAAAACACATGGTTTCCAATCACAGATTTCTTTTACACTAAAATTTTTACATAATAAACAATATAAAGTAACACATCGTTGATAGGATAATTTCAAACAATAGTAATTTAAAAACAAAAAAAAAAAAAACATTAATATTAATACTTTGATAATTCCTTATTCAGATTCCATTTTTTTTTTTCTAATCCAGTTCTGTAAACCAAATAAAAATTTACTCTAAACTAATAATAAACATCATGACAAATAATTTGTTAATTCCTTTTACTTCTTCCAAAATTTAGTCAAATTAGAAACGGGTTGGGGATCTTTCACGTTCATAAGATCCACCTCTATCACCATAGGAACCACGATCAAATCCTCTGTCGCCGTAGCCACCTCTACCACCTCTGAAACCACCTCTTCCACCTCTGAAGCCACCTCTATCTCCAAAACCACGGTCGTAGCCACCTCTTCCTCCTCTGAAGCCACCTCTGCCGCCTCTGAAGCCACCTCTATCACCGTATCCACGATCAAATCCACCTCTTCCACCTCTGAAGCCACGGTCAAAACCGCCTCTTCCACCTCTGAAACCACGGTCGAAACCGCCTCTACCTCTACCTCTGAAACCACCTCTACCTCTTGGTGGTGGTGGAACCCATGGGCTGGTGTCTTCTTCGGCTCCAATAGTGACATCATTGAAAATAGATTTGTCCAACAATGGGATGGCTTTTTCTAAATCTTCAGCACTTTCAAATTGCAAACTACAGGTGGTTTCATTGGTTTCGTAGTTGGTGAAAACCTTGACATAGTTGACAGGAGAATTGGTCTTTTCTCTGACAAAATCTTTAACATCTTGCCAAGCAGTACCTTCTGGTAAGTTGGTGATTGAAAGACGATATTTACCACGAGTATCTTCTTTTCTTTCTCTAGCAAATTCGATTTGTAACTTGACACCATTCAATTCGGTTTCACCCAACAATTCAATAGCTTGTTTAGCATCTTCTTCATTTTCAAAAGTGACAAAAGCATAACCTTCCATTAAACGAACATCAACAACTGGTGCAGCTCTTGAAAAATGATCTTGAACTTGTTCGCTGGTGACTTCATATGCGAGTGGTCTGACAAATAATTGTTTAGAACTTTCAACTGGTCCGTCCATTCTTGATTAATATTGTATTCAAAAAATAAAATAAATAATATGTATACAAAAGTGTAAAGGAATATTAAACAGAAAAGAAAATGTGATGCCCAATAATATAAAAAAAAAATCAATGAAAAAAAAAAGAATGAATGAGCGCTGACGGCGAGAAATTCTCTGCTCTTCTTGTTCTCTTTTCAAATGCGAACAATGGAAGAAATGATGAACAGTTTTATAAAAATAAAAAAGAAAAAAAAAATTGTTCATTTATGGACGAGTATACACGACCTTTGATTTGCGTGTCTTACAAAATACATCAAACATGATAAACGTGTATTTAAGAGTAAGGACTTGTATTGGTAAGATTAGTATATAAAAATAATATGATTCAGTTGACAAAATCTAAACAACTAACGACAAAATAGTTAAAGAATAATAATAATAATAAAAAAAAAAGGAAAATTATATGCTATATATATTACATTGACAATTAAAACAAGGAAGGAAACAATTAAGAAATGAATTCCAACAACAAGAACAAATAATAATTAAATAATTATAATAATAATAAAAATAAAAACAATAAAAACTAATGTGGCGGGGAAAGTAATCCTGAGTCAAGGAATAGATTATCAGTTTGGTATTTGAGATTAGAATTAATGAAAATAATAGTAAGAAAGAAAGAAAAACAAAAAAAAATGAAAGCAACTTTAGGAACAAGAATAATTAATAAATTAAATAGTCTCTTTCACGGGGTGGAATAATTATTAACCCATGGAGCGTTACGTTTAAGAAAAGATCTTCTTCAACATTTTTCTAAAACCACCTTTCTTCTTTTCCTCAGCCTTACCGTTGGACTTGGCAGTTGGGGTAGCCTTGGTTGGGGCAGTAGCAGTCTTCTTTGCTGGAGTTTCAGTCTTTTGAGTAGCAGTGGCGGTATTAAGATTGGCTTCTTTGGTTAATCTTTCCTTTTGAGATTCAGTTGGTTCAATTTCTTCAAGGGTAACGTTACCACCTTCGCGAGCTTCAACAGCAGCTGTAATGTCTTTTTCAGTATCACCTGGAGCAGCAATGACTATGTCCTCGTTATCTTGAGAAACAACAAGTGGTTCTTTGTGAACTGGAGAAGCATCAACTTCTTTAGCTTCATTATCAAGAGCAACTTTTGGATCCAAGGTCTTTGGAACATCTTCAGTTTCAGTGACTGGAACAGAGTTATTGGCAGCAACTTCTTCGGTTTCAACCTTGGTTTCTTCAACAACTGGAGTAGACTCGGCAACTGGAGTAGAGTCAACAACTGGAGTAGAATCAACAACTGGCGCATCATTGACAACTGGTTCATCTACGTCAACCGGGGTGGAATCATTGACAACTGGTGCTTCAACAACAACAGTAGTAGATGGAACTTCATCAATAACAGTGTCTTCGGCAATTGGTGCTTTGACACCATCAACACCATCGACATCGGCAACAACTGGTTCTTCGATTTCCTTGGTAGCAATATCATTGACTGGGTGAGTAGTGGAACCTGGGGTTTCAGAGTGGTTAGCTAAAGCAGCCCCGGCAGCAGCGGCTGAAGCAGCGGCAGTGCCAGCACCAGCAGCAAAACCAGTAGAAGAAATCTTTTCTTTATCTTCATCACCATCAATAATATCCTTAGTAGTTGGTTCTGGAGTCATCTCTTCAGAATCAAATTCACTAGATCCAGCGGCGGCTTCACCGTTGGCAGCTTTGGCTTCAGCAGCCTTCTTCTTCTTCTTAGCCTTGTATTGAGATCTCTTAATCTTCTTCTTTTGTTTCTTTCTTTCCTCTGGAGTTAATTCAGAACCTTCAACTAAAACACCAGTAGTTGGAGCAGGAATAGTGGATTGGCCATCAACGTTATTGTTATTGTTGTTGACATTGGCAGTACCAATTTCGGTGACATTTTCATTCAAAGCCTTAGCATCGGTGTCTTCAATTTTTTCAAAAGCAGATAAAGTTTCTTGATCTTTTGGAACAAAAACACCTGGTTCACCAGCAACTGAAGCATGGTGTGGTTCTTCCTTTGGCATAACGGTAGTTTTCAATTCACCATCTTGTGCTGCTGGAGTAGAAGTGGCGGCAACCAACCCAGATTCTGGGATGAAGGCACCTGGCATGGAGGACAATTCGTGTAAATCTTCTTTAACAATAACGTTGTTTTCATTTCCGGATTCATCCTTAGTGGTTGCCTCTTCAGGGTTGACTTTCCATTCTCCGTCTACAACATATTTGTAAGTAATGTCGTCAGTTTCACCTGGTAAAGGAACGTCTAATGAAAAAGAGCCGTCAGTTTGTTTAACGAGTGGTAAGGATTTTGACCAGTTATCAAAAGTCCCGGTAAGAATTACTTCTTGTGGTCCAGCAGGCCTGTAATAAAAAAAAATACTCTGTTAGTAAAAAAAAATCCAATCTATTTGGTTAGGAATTAATAATCACAAATCTTTTTCTGTTCCCATTCTCATTAGGATCTCATGGAGATATAAAGTTTTGTTTTGGAATAGCCTTCCTCTTGTTCAATCTATAAACCCCCGAGTTGGTTTATTCTTTACAACCATTGAAGTGGACGACATGAACACTCTTTGACTGGATTTTGTTTGGTATTATTTTTTTTTTTTGCTTTTGGTGTCCATTTGTTCGGCGTGGATAGTGGGAATTAACCAATGAATTGAAAATGGGGAGGGGGAAGGAACTATGAAAAAGATGTTGCTTAATGGAAGTGTGGCAATCTATACATACCATTTAAAAGTGTAATGAAGTGACATTGTCTTTATTTGATTGGATTCAATAAGTATATAAAACAAGCCTATATCAATTGATAAATAAACAAATGGAAAAATTAAATAAATAAAAAAAAAAAAAAAAGAAGGGGAAAATTATTAATAAAAAAGAAAATTAGCAAAAATAATTTCTCAGTAGTTTTCCCTCTCTCTTTCTTTCTTGCTTCAAAATGAGAAAGAGGAAGAACAACAACAACAAAAAAAAAATTTACAACAAAGACAAATCTGTATGACAGAATGGTTCTTGTTCTTGTTGTTCTTGTTGTTGACTGTAATTACACAATATGTAAAATAGAGATTTAAAATTCTGGGTTTGGATGGCTTTATTTGTTTTCATTCTTTCTCTTCGTTAGGGTGCACCACATCGTCATTAGCAACAACTAATAAACTTTTACTGTACTCACGAGAGTATAAACCAGATTTGTAATTATTAGCCAGTAATCTCCCACATGGGTGTACCCACAATCTAATCTATGATACATACAACACCAAAGAGAGATAGACAGCCAGAGAGAGAGGGAAAAAAAATGCATGACTAGTCAAATGTGTGGGAAAATAGATCCAAAGAAAAGAGAAGAAAGAGAGAAAAAAAAAATATCGAGGTTCCATTAATGCCATACACCTCGGTTTTTGTGTATTTCCTATCCAGCCATCCCTCTCTTTGACAATCGATAACTGACATTGATTTTGTTAGTACAAATGAAATTCTATAAATTGAAATGTGTGTAATATAGTTAATTATACTTCATACAAAGAAACTAATAAGAAAATCTCAGATCTTATGGTTTATATTGTAACAACGTATGATTGACTACTAATCAAAAATTTTCGCCTATTGAATAAACTTATTAATCCAAACCCAACTCAACCCAACCATAAATATTTTGTGTATCTCACTAATATTTGCTGTGTTGTTGTTAAAAAAAAAAAAATTTTTTTCGCTGTTGGATTGTACAAAAGTATTTCCGCCCACATTTTTAATTTTCGTCATCATGTTTACGTTTTCGGTTTTTGGACTTGCACACAATTGTACACTACTGGTGTTTGTGTTAAATTCTTTGCTTACCACATCCATCATTGATATTAACGTAAATCCGCAACAACATGCAAAGGTGCACGCAACCAGCTCATTAATAATTTTTCATTCTTTGCATTTATGTATATATTGTACTAACATTGAACTGTCTTTCCTATGTTTTTCATCTTTATAAACTCAACAATACTGGCAATAATACAAAGGCGTGAACAAAACTAATGACTACCAATGATAACCACATTCTAAAATAGTACACTTCAAATATTTGTGACCTTGTAAATGCCAATACTGTAATACCAATAATCTTTGTTAATGTAACCCCGCTAATTAAGGATCCTCCCACTTTACACAACGCATTATATGCTTTGGAGTTTCTAAAATTAGCATTGATGCTGGTAATTGAACTTCTTCTCATATTCTCGGGTTCAATATGGATAAGGCTATTGTAAACCTCTTGGTCCAATGTATTATCAAACATTTTAACTTCAGACACACAATAGGCTCTAGTTAAATGTACAGTAAATTCAACAGCAAACCCAACACATATGATCAAATTAACCAAACTCACCGCATTCAATGAGATCGACCACATGGCCATCACTCCTCCAATATTAATCATGATGGTAATAATTGTAAGGGTGAGAATACCTGCTGCTCTAAATGAATTTAACAAAAATGTACCAACAATCAATATGATAATCATGGCAACACTCAACAACAAGATTGTCAACAACACGATATTTTGATATTGTGTGAAAAATATGAAAAATGGGGAAAATACAAACATATCAACTGAAGGTAAAAACTTTTTAATCTCTTGTAAAATATTATGTCCACTTCTATGGGCATTAATAAACTCATGTTGTCCTCTTAATGGAACAAACGATGTTCGGAAATAACTCGATTTGATTTTCTTTGGCGTTCTAGATATAGCTTGACCATGTGACGCTTTACCACCCAATGGACAAGGATCAGAAGGTTCTTCAATCCAATCGTTGAAATAAAACATAAAGTTATCATTCTCAGGGAACCCATTCATGCTAGAATCATACGCAGGTTCATGATCCAAATAACATGCTTGACATTGACGTTGCGGAGCATTTGGCAAACAAAATTCTGGTCTATCATTACCTTCAAATACACTACTCTTTTTGAATCGACAACATTGATCTAAATCTGGATTCAACCAACTAAAGAAATCATCTAACCAGTTAGATGCTGGTTCTGCAAGCATCGACACTTGTGTACGTTTAACTTCTTGTTCTAAAATATTGGCCAATGAGTATTCATCACAAGTTGAAAATCGACCACAAAGCTTTTGTTGGTTCTGTCTTTCAGTAACATCTAAATCTTTCACCACATAAAACACCGGAGGACCAACATTTAAATAATCATAAACTGAATTGAAATAATTCACCAAATAAGAGCTCGAAGGAATTGCAATTCTTTGGTCCAATCCAAGTTTGATCTCAGGAAATAAACTCAAAGAAATACCCACCCACAATACAAACAATGTAATTACCTTAGGTTTTGTGGTTCTCTTCAACAAAAATGGTGCATAATGTTTAGCAATCCAATTGGAAAAATTATACTCAAGATGGGTGTCTCCACTTTCTTCTTCTTCTTCTTCGGTATTGTCCAAACTAATTGGAGCAACAGCAATACAAGGAACACAATCAACTCTATTTTCTTCAAGTCTCTTTTGATCCAAGCTCAACAAACCAATAAAACACGTCATTTGCAACAAAAAATTAATCAAAACTGCACCACCTCCATAAAAGGCAAAATTTCGCACAGCAGGCATCCCTACAGAAGTTGCCAATAAAAACATGGAGACTTGTAATATTGCACTGATAAAACATGATGGACCAATATTCTTCAATGCCTGGGCAATTCGAATAGGAATTTCTTTGTCAGGTTGCACTTCAGAAATGACATGTAATTCATGAACAATCAAGAAAATATTATCTATACCAATGGCCAACACCAAGAATGGGATAACTTCAGCAATAATCAACGTAGATCTCAATCCAATAAACGAAAAGAATCCAACAGATGCCGTGACCGATAACAAAATTATAACAATTCCAGCAAATCCCAACGTGAATCGTGTCTTAACCAATGACAACAAATTAGCATGTGGTAATTTTCCTCCTAACGCTAAGGATGCATAGATGAACATAAGAATATATGAAATAGCAATGGTTCTGACATCTGTGTTTGATGATTGGTTAAGCTCTTCCTTAAGTGAAATCTCTGTACTATAGGCAACATTCAACTTATCTGGGAAATATGATTCCAACTCTGAAGCCCATTCTAAAAACAGGTGTTCATATGAAACTGTTTCGGCTGAATATTTTTTATCCTTGCTATCACTATTAACTAAAACTGTGACTGTAAATGCTTTCGCTTTTGAAATGTCATTATTATCAAATAAAATATTTGGTTTCAACGGTTGTTGGAATGTAGGTAGGCAATTCACCGGTGAGTTGACACAATTTTGCAATTTAGCTCTCCAGTTATTCTCATCAAGTCCTGTAATGTCTCCCTGGAAATACTGTGTAAACGACTGAATAGCACAAGTATTTCCTAACGGCTTGAAACAAATATCCGAAAGTGAAACATTTTTATTCAAATCTTCCAATTGTGATTCTTTTTCAAACCACCATTTGAAAACATCCCAATTCAACACTGGATTATCTGTTTTGGAACTAACAATTACTTGCTCAACTCTGAACCATTCACCAAAATTATTTTCAAAGTATTGTTGATTCTTATACGATTGGTCTTCAGGGCTGACCCACAACTTTACCGGATCTGTTTCCAATTGTAGTTTAAATAATCCGAATGAAAGCAAAATAGCAATGGCTAAACTTCCACCAATAGAAATACCTGGGAAATTTGCACAAAATGAACCGACAAATTCAAATGCATCCTGAATTTGTGTTGATAATCTATGCAGAAATGCTTTGGCACTACGTTTAGTGAAATTTACATAACGCCCAGGATCCATCATTGTATCGATATCATCATCGTCATCATCTTCTGCACCAATGGAGATTCTTCTTCCTCTTGCTCTCTTCAACTTTGCCAAGTACACATGGTACCCACCGAGCATTAAGATAAGACATGACCAGAAAATAATAATTGTAAATGAGAAGCATGGCAACACCCCCACAGTACATTTCTTATTCAAGTCTCTAGCATGAGGCAATTTTGGACAAGACTCTTCACAATCAGTACAAGCACATTTGAATACTTCATCATCACACGACTTGACATCTTCATTTCTTAAAACAAAACCAGCTTGTTCCTGTTCTTTGGACAATTCATATTTGAAATTAATCTGGTAAGGTGACCCTCCTAATAATGGTTTTTCATCACCCAAGAATTTAAGAAACTGCAGGTAATTTTTGGCACCACCACCAATCAAATCCATAGCAAAGCCATTAGTTGCCAGGAATTTGACATTCTTACATGAATCATAAAATTTCTTAGCCATATCAGGGTTGACGTATTGGTTAATTTCAGTAACAATTTCCTTACCTGTATCCTTGGCGATATCGGTTTTCAAAATCTCAACAAACTGGGATTCGTTTGGAGAACAACTAAAACGACAAAAGAAATCATAAAAATTCTTTCTACAAGCAGGACAAGATGATATTAAAGGATCAACTCTTTTCAAGTTCAGCTCTAAACTGTCAATTTGTTCAGGGGAGCAACAAATGTATTCAAATTCTTCTCCGCAAATTGCCTTCAACTTATCCATTGACTCCTTACTTGCTTTCACTGCCGGCTGGAATGTCGAACATGGCAATGGTTTACCAAAAACTGATTTCTTACCACAATTGTCGTATGTGTTACAATAACCTGGCTTGTGTTGCAACGAACTGGTTGCTATCGATATAGTAAGATGTACTGCCAATACCAATAGTTGAAGTATTTTCATTGAATTCTTCTGTATTTACTATAAAGAAAAATGGGCAAATTCTAATACTAAACCTTTGTTATATCTGTTAAAATGAAGTCTTTTAAATTGAAAGTAAAATAGAAGGAAGTTGGTGTAGATAATTGAAACTCCTTTTGGTAAAATGTGACAAAATAAAATTAAAAAAAAAAAGAATCTGGAGGTGAGAAAAAAAAAACTAAGGGGGTGGGAGACAGTGAGAGAGAAATTGTTGAAGATTTACTTTGACCGACTTGCGTGCGACATGGTTGAAAAAAATTATACTGTGATTGAAGATATTAAGTTGAACATGATGGAGGTATGAAGATATTATGGAGATATTGACAATCGTATAGTACGATTAAATCAATAAACAGTCGATGGCTGAGCTGTTACGTCTGGATTTATTTATGTGGTTGGATTAAAGTCTAAATAAGTTCCAAAATACAAGTTCACGAATTTAAGATACTCTTAGTATGCAATTCCTAGAAATGCTGTGTTCAACAAATCAGTATAATCCATACTTCCATAATATATTGAACATTGATTCTCAACAGTTGATATTTACTCGTAGGTTCATTTCCATTAAACGAACAAGACTAGTTGATACGCGTCTATTGAATTCTTTACAACTTTTTTTTTTTTGCTTTTTTTTTCGTTTCTTTTTTTTTTTCACTTCACTACATTGTATAATCACCTACAACAATGTTAATTGGTATTTCGGGTACTTTAAGTGCTGGTAAAACTGAAGTTGCAAGATACTTGACCTTTCAGGGATTCAAACTAATATCATTTAAACACGAAGAAGATGACGAGTCTGATAACTCCACTCCTGATGAAGAAGAAGAAATACCTCATCAACTCAACCAGTTATCAATAGATAATAGTTCAAACATGGAAGTTTTTCGAACATTTGATAATTTAAATGAATTGGATAGTTATGTTACTGTTAATTGGAAAGACCATTTTGTTATTTCACATATTAAAGACATGACCATGTTGAAGACTTTACAAAAGCGACCATTTTTCTTGCATATTTCCATTGATGCGCCATTAGCTTTAAGATACAAAAGATCTAAGGCAAAAAATCACTTAACGTTAGATGAATTTGTGGAAAAGAACGACGAATTGTTGTTTAATGTCGAGAATCCATTGATTGAAATCAATAATCAGGCACAAGTCAAGATTATCAATACATCCAGTTCAATCAAGGATTTGTTCATTAAATTATCGGAATTGAACTTGGTTTCTGCAACTAGATTAAGACCAACTTGGGATTCGTATTTTATGCGTCTAGCTGATTTGGCTGCTTTGAGATCAAATTGTATGAAGAGAAGAGTTGGGTGTGTGATTGTTAGAGAAAATAGGGTTATTGCAACGGGATATAATGGAACCCCGCGTCATTTGACTAACTGTAATGATGGTGGTTGTTCACGTTGTAATAAAGGTCAAGGAAGTGGAGCATCGTTGTCGACGTGTCTTTGTTTGCATGCTGAAGAAAATGCATTATTAGAAGCCGGTAGAGATAGAATTAGAGGTGAAAGTGTTTTATACTGTAATACTTGTCCATGTTTGACATGTTCCATTAAAATTGTCCAAAGTGGTATTAAAGAAGTTGTCTATGCACAAAGCTATTCGATGGATATTCAAAGTCACAAGGTAATGAGTGAGGCAAATATCATACTAAGACAATACCAACCGCCTAAAGATGGAATATTTATATAGAATAATTTTTTATTTTAAGTTTGTTTATATTCATATGGACCAGGTTTTTGTTCCGCATCAAGTTTAATCTCTTCAATCACTTTACCATCAACCAATAAATAAGCTTCAATCTTATCACCAGGGTTGATTGGACCAACTCCCTTCGGGGTACCGGTTAAAATCAAATCACCCTTTTCCAAAGTCATTATTGATGACATATGACTCAAGATTTTATGGATTGGGAACAACATCAAATTGGTTTTGTCCTGTTGTTTAACTTCTCCATTGATTTTCAAAACCAACTCAACATTATAGGGATCAGGGATCTTTTCCTTTGGAATGAAATTGGAAACTGGTAAGAAAGTATCGAAACCTTTACCAATTGACCAAGGTAATCCTTTCTTTTTAGCTTCGTCTTGAACATTTCTAGCAGTCATATCAATTGTCAAAGCATAACCTTCAATGCTTTCCAATGCTTCTTCAGGACTAAAAGTAGCAGGTAAGTTTTTCAAATCCTTGTTTAAAGTGAAGGCCAATTCAACTTCATGATGAACAACAACTCCTTTTGGAACCAAAAATGGACCAGCATTTGGTTTCAACACTGATGACGAAGGTTTCAAAAAAAAGAATGGTTGTTGTGGAGTAGCATTGTTTAATTCTTTAATATGTGCCGCATAGTTACGACCAATACAAAGGATCTTTCTAGCTGTATCAAGGTATTTCAATGACATTATGATCTGGTAAATACTAAATTGGAGAATCCAACAAAAGGAAAAAGAAAAAAAAAATTCACCTCAAATATTAAGAAATTTATAGGGGAAGTTGAAAAAAAAAAAACAGAGAAAATTCGTTCCGAAACTTTATTAGAAAATTGCGGAGCAAATCTTTGGAGTAGATCCCGATCTTTGGGCATTGTAAAGTCGAACAGTTTATGCGATTTGGACGATTGGCTACGATGTAAAACTTCAAGCTAGTCGAGGAAACAAATTAGCAATATACACACCAATCATATGACTAATCAACACACCAGTTCATCTACAAGAACAAAAGAACTTCTATTGTCCATAAAATTGTTGTGGACCAACTCTAAATCACCACCGTAGCATTGAAAAAACCCGGAAGAAGAAGAAGAAGAAGAAGAAAAAAAAAAATCTTTCAATCACATCTTGCAAACACCATTATCACATAAACTATTTATGACTAGAATACTTAGACTACTACGACCATTACGTACTTGTGTGTCATTAGTGAAGTTACCAAATGTGTCGTATCGTTCATATTCGACTGTTCCTTCACCGTATTACCCTACTCGCAAATCATATCAGCCATCGAAAGAACCAATAAATGAGCTCCCAGAAAATAGCTATATACAACCAACACCTGGTCCCGAAGATCATATAATTGTGGCCATGTCATCAGGAGTTGATTCTTCAGTTTGTGCAGCACTTTTTCAAAATTACAAAAATGTTCATGGTATATACATGGCAAATTGGTCTCAAAATGCTACATGTACTGAGAGAGATTGGAGAGATGTGCAAAAAGTATGTCAAGATTTGAATATCGACTGTGAACGAGTTAATTTTGAACATGAATACTGGAATGATGTTTTCTTACCTATGATTGAAAAATACGAAAGGGGACTAACTCCTAATCCCGATATTGGTTGCAACAAGTATGTAAAGTTTGGGAAATTAGCTGAATATTTGGAACAGAAATACCATGGCAAGAAGTGGTGGTTGGTCACTGGTCATTATGCACGAGTCATGAAACATAACGCAACTGGTGAGTATCATTTACTAAGAGGTTTAAGCAGTCGTAAAGATCAAAGTTATTACTTGTCCTCCATTCCAGCCTCAATTCTATCAAAGACAATTTTACCTATTGGTCATTACACCAAACCGGAGATTCGTGAATTGGCCAAAAAATTTAATCTCCATACGGCTTCAAAACCAGATTCCCAAGGTTTGTGTTTTGTTAATCCTAATCAATCTAATTTTAGAGACTTTTTGAACGAATACATCCCAGCAAATCCAGGTGATATCGTTACTGAAGACGGCACGGTGTGGGGAAAACACAAGGGTTTATGGCATGCTACTATAGGACAAAGATCAACGGTTTCAATGCCACAAGGAGATCCAAAATATCAGGGTGTGTGGTTTGTAAGTGAAAAAAATATCGAAAAGAATCAATTAGTAATCGTCAAAGGAACCGATAACCCGAAACTATTTAAACAAGTTGTTGAAATCACGGACTTGGAATGGATTCAACCTAAAGAGAAGGTGTTAGCTATGGATAATGTACAATTTCAGTATCATTCATTAACCACACCAGTTCCAGTCAAAGTGATTAAAAACAAAGGGGACAAGTTAATCATAGAGTTAGAGAAACCAGCAAGAGCTTTAGCTCCTGGTCAAGGAGGGATTTTATATAATGGCAATCAAGTTTTAGGTGGAGGAATGATAAATAAAACCTTGTAAATACTACACTTTTCCACATGTCAATCGAAACATGTTTGTCCAAAAAGAAAAATTCTCTAAATTCAGCCTACATATGAAAAAAAAATATTACGAATATAAAACAATTAAAAAAACGAATAAATTAAATAAACTCAAACCGGACCTAAAATATAAAAAAAAAAAATTCTAAAAAGCTGTTATTGTTGGGTATAACTTTGTGGATTCTTCATTGACTTCAACAGTCTTCTTATCTTGCTCTTCAATTTGTTTTCTCAAGTATGCAAGAACAGACTTGATCATATCTCTTTGTCTAGCAACTTCTTTCAAATTGAAACCATCAATGATAATTTCTTCTTCTTCATCATCATCATCTTGAATATCCAACTTGTCAAACAAATTATCAAGTTCATCTTCTTCTGAAGAAACTTCACTGTCAAATTCTTCTTCAGAAGTGTAATCGTCTTCTTCTTCTTCTTCTTCTTCTTCTTCCTCGTCGTCACTGCTATCTGGTTGGGCGGATTTTTGATAAGTAGAAATACCGTTGAATTCTAACGCACTTGCAGGTTGTTGAGATGAAGCAGCAGTTTGAAGACCGTTGTATGTTAATGGTCTATTGATTTGTGGATATGATGGCAAGTAACTGCTGTGGTTGTTTACCATACCTTCTTTATTAGCTATACTTGTAGTGTAGGAAGTATTGTTAATGGTAGGCAAGGATGGATACAACAGGCTACTTGGTTGTTGAACTGGTTTCTGTTGAATGTATGGAGAAGTAGAAGAAGTAGAAGCATTGTGTTGTTGATGGTATTGACTAGACATGTTTTGATATTGCATGTCAATGGAGTTGGATAATGAGTTGAAGAATTTTTCAGCTTCATAAATATTACCACCATAAGCTTGTTGTGGAGCTTGTTGTGCAACCGGAGCTGCAGTAGTAGTTTGTGCAGAAGCTGGTTGGTGGTGTTGATGATGAAAGTGATCATCCAAGTGGCTCAACTTGTTGAAAACATCAATATTGTACTCACTGCTGGCCTTCATTCTCTTAGTAGCGTATTCAGCAGAACCTGCAGTACCAACAGCAGTATGGATATGTGCTTGCTGTTGTTGTTGTTGTTGTGAAGGAACAGAGGAAACTGGTTGGAAATTGAAATCATTCAAGATACTGTTGACAACATACATATTGTGTTGGGAGTTGCTATCCAATCTTCTCTTTCTGGAAGCTTCATCATAACTCATACCATCAACAGGGTTTCCTGCATAATAATTCAATTGCAAGTCACTAGCAGTAGGAACACCATTGCCTTTCTTGCTAGCCAATCTTTGTCTTTGTTTCTCTTCCTTTTGTTGTTGTTTCAACAATTGTCTTTGTGCCTTCTTCAATTTCTTTGGATGGTCGTCAGCATGAATCTTAGAATGCTTCTTCAAATCTTGTGGTCTTTTGAAGGATTTTGGACACAAGTCACAATGGAATGGCTTCAAAGGAACATGGACTCTCAAGTGCGAAGTAATATGATCCCTCTTGACAGTAGTAGTACCACAATTTTCCCAGAAACAAGTCAAGGACAAGTTATTTGATGATTTTCTACCAACATGGTCATCACACAAATGGTCATACAACAATTCAGGAGTTTCAAAAATAATGCTACAGTTACCCCATAAACACTTGAAAGGTCCTCTCAAATCTTCTTCTCTAATCTTCTTATAAGTCTTCTTTGGTGGTTTGGTTCCATTAATGTATGGCGGAGCTTTGTTTGTATTCAAATTGTTTTGGTTGTTGTTTGTGTTGTAGTAACCTTGGGCAACATGTTCATTGGTGTATTGTTGTTGTGGTTGGGCGTATTCTGGATGTAATTGTTGTTGCTGTTGTTGGTGAGAATACAAGTATGATGGTTGATGTAGGTAGAAAGATGGTTGGTTATTGTATGCTTGATTGAGATTTGGGTGCAATTGAGTTGGTAATTGTTGCAGTGGCACAGTTGCTTGTGGGTATGAGGAAACTGGAACAACACCGGAATTAGCATTAAATTGAGATCCAACTTGTTGCTGAGAAATATTGGTGGCAGCAGGTACAAGTTGAACAGGTTTGTTTTCATTTACTGTGGTTGCAGTAGAAGGTTTTGCCAATGCTTGCTTTGAATCTTGAATTGGTGAATTAGCAGTTGATTGGGAAGTAAATGATGAGTGAGGACTATTTCCTGCAGCTGCGATATGTGGTGAATGAGAAGAAGTGAACGACGAAGGTGAAGTTGCATTATCAAGTTCAATATCTGAAGATGGTGATTTCTTTGAAACTGGTTGCTGTTGTTGTTGTTGTTGTTGATCTTGTGGCTTTTGTTGCTGATTGTCAGCGTTTAAATAACTGACTGGATGGATGTTATAGTTCATAGTTATTGAGTTTAATTATACAAATTCTCTTTCAAGCTTTAAACAAAAAAAAAAAAAAATTAGGGGATGGATAAGATTGTTGCTTTTTTTTTTTCCTTTCTCTAACAGTGCGTCGTGATTTTATATGAATATATATAAAAAAAAAAGGAGATCGTTTTCGCTTGTGTGTGTGTGTGTTGTAAAAAAAAAATTGCTCGATTTTGCAAAGCAATAAAAAATTCAAGAGATAAATAAAAAATTGAAGAAAAAAAAAAAAAAACGACTCAAGGAAATTCAACTTACATTTATATATAAAAATGCACTTGATTTTAACTACTAAATTTTTATTGACAACAATTCACCCACACTTGTTACTCTAAAATTATATCAATAAAATATTGTTTCTTTTTATTTTGTCGTTTTCGTTTCATTCTGCTCAAGTTTGCCAAGAATTTTTTTTTTTTAAAAAAAAACTAGTGATTAAAAGCTAAATGATGACCACAGACACGACCACTAGGCGCACTCATTCAGAAAAAAAAACCAAGAAAAAAAAGTTGCAACCCGATTTTCCTTCCACGTGTACACGACTCGGTCACATGGTCTTTTGCCATAGAGAAATTCATTCCTTAAAATGAAAAAAAAGAGATTATCTATTTTTCTTAGCGCCAAGAATCCGACATAGGATTACGTAAGATGACTGTTTAGGATAAAGCGAAGGAGACAGAAGTCAATGAATCAAATGTTACACTTCATTAGACTAATCAACCCTGCGCCTCTGGTAATAATAATATAAAAAGGGGGGAAGATATTGAGAGACAGAGAGAACAATCGTTATTCTTGTTGTTGTTATCAAACAAGTTTTAGTATATTTTCTTGAGATGAATGAATAAGGTTTTAATGTACCTGTCAAAGAGTATGACGGTATCGTATGTTTTCTTTTGTCTCTATAGTACAGTGTCTTGTAATTGGGTGCACTTATCGCAAGTGTTGAAATACTAGAAGAAAAATCCCACTTTCCTTTGGTTAGATCTTTGATTTGTTGGATCTATCGTGCCTAACGGTGGTGGTGCATTTTTTTTTTTTTTTGTGTGTGTGTGTATGGGTGGACATGGCAGTTTACGTGTTGTGATGTAACTGATAACATGAATTTTATTACACCTCCCCCAAATTTAAAGCGTTGTCCAGATTTTCTGTTTTATTCGATGATCTTCACATGATTACTTTTACTTTGAATATCGAAATGAAACTCTTTGAAATATATTCAAAGATTGAAATAAAGAATCCCCAAGACGTTTTCCTTTTCAATACCTTGAATTAGGGGAAATGACAAGGAGGGGATGGATGGAATGAATACAATCAATGTCTTGGCCCCTTTAGGTTTAAGGTAATTACATGTGGGAAGTTAGGTTATACAAGAGGATTCCTGTATTTTATAAATATGCTACCCTTTTGTCGATCACCATGCGGTTGGTTTATATATGTAATTCCGACATTACCCTGATGGTACGCAGCCACAAAACCCACTGAAAATGAATTGCGAAGGATTATCAATTTTTGTTCACATTTTCATAGAGATCCAACCCGATCGTACTTGATATCATCGTACATCTCTCTAACACGCTCTCTCTCAGTTACAAGAATAGTTATTATTTTCGGTTGCTTGATTTACTTTTATCTTTTTTTTTTTTTGTCTTTATTCTTATGCACACTTTTTCTTAGCTATAATAATTGTTCAAGCATTAACTTTGGAACAATTACGTTCTTGGATCTGATTCATTAAGGCTAAACATTACTAATCTTACAAATGAGATTTACTCCACCATTTCTTATTTGCGGGGTGAGGCAGAGGATTATTTATTCTAGAATTGCGGTTTACAAACTCATGTAGGAGATGGCCACAAATAGACTCTCATATCTCATATCAAAATCCCGTGATATCTGGTTTTTTGTAATAAACATAATCTTGCATTATTTCGCAGAATAATATACGCCCACCTCCTCTGAAATAAGAAAGAAAATAAATACCTGGCGGTTGACCTCTGAGGAGAATTTTACAAAAGCTCAGACATTTATGCTTTGTGACGGCTGTCAAAAATGGTGATTTCTTGAATCTTTTATTGATTTATGTATTTCAATAGAAGGAAAACGTTAATTTTAAATTGAATTATTGAACGTTAATTAGGTTTCTATTAAAGATGTTGAAAAACGTGATATAATTAGCTTCTGAAGGGTTGTTTGATACCCCCCTGTATGAATAGCATTTCTGAGTACAACGCTAAACACATTGTAATAGTAGTTTGTGCGCATTCTATCTGTTGTATTCACATCTAAACCTGATGCTGCAACAACATCTTCAAATAAAACATCATTCTTTGATTTACAGATAGGTTACCATTGAAATGGTTGTGTTGTACTAATCTGGAGAAAAATCGTGTCCTGAGGAACAAAAAAAAAAAAGAAGAGAATTATGTACTCCTTAAGAATTGTAACTTGCTAATTTGTTTGCTGACAAAAAAAAAAGCAGAATAGGATTACTGTGTCATGCAAACAATACTATATATTCCCACAAATGAATAATCAAACATCTAGAACTATAGTTCAGGAGAACAATGTGCTACGTTTACGACCAACCCCTGAACCGACTGCATCGTCATCTTCGTCAAATCAACCATCAGATCTCGGCGAAGAAATAAATAAGCAATCCAAGGAGTCCCAACAATCTAAGAACAAGAAAAAGAAAAAGAGTAAACCTAAAGTTAGATGGAGTGAAGATACTGTTGATAACGAACATATGAATAAGAAAAAGACAAAAATTTGTTGTATATTCCATCCGCAAAGATCATTTGATGACGAAGAAGAAGAAGAACATAATCATGACCATAATTGCTCCAGTTCAGATGATAGTAGCAGTGACTCGAGTGGAGATGAAGGTGAACCAACTAACAATAACGGTAACAACAACAATGCAATACCGAAGCCAAATGCCTATGAATATCAGCCTCATTATGAGAATCGTTCAAAACTTCCTCCGAATACTCAATAGAAGAAAGTACAGGATTACATCTGTTTTTGATATAGAAAATAATAATGTCTTTGTATGATTAAAAAATGAATATATATATATTAGTATAAAAAAAAAAGAAACGTATAAAGTGAGTACCTTTCTCACTATCCAATTGGAATTAAAGTAACTTGAAATTGACGATTAATAATTAAAATAATGCAAACGAATGACTTAAATGATTCTGCGTGGAGAAACTTATTCTGGGTTAGTGACCTTTAACTTTCTGGAATAATCATGGTCATCCCCAAATGATTTGTTGGAAAAGTTGTGATTTAAAAACATTGTATCTGGATCTAGCCTTGAGTCTAGTTCATTGATTGGGAACATAATTCCACCATCACCATCAGTAGATTGAGCACCAGCAGGTCCATTATGACCATTGATTGTGCTATTTCTTCTACTCATTAATTTCTTTCTTGAAGAACTTCTAGTAACTCCATCGTCACTCTTTTTATCACCAGTGAAATAAGCAAACAATGACTTGCCTGAATTATTTCTGTTCAAGGATGAGAATGAAGATTGTTTACTACGAGGTAAGACAACTTTTTCGTGATTAATTGACAACTCATCAGAACTATACTGATTTTCTTCGTCAGTGAAACCATCATGATCATCGTTCTTACCTTTACGTCCTCCACCAAAGCAACAACAGCAGTATAAAACACCGCAAACAATACCAACAACAACAATTCCCACTGCAGAAAATGTACCAGCAACTTTGCTGGTATCATCGAAGAACGAACTCTTGTTCTGATCTTTACCATCTCCCCCATCAGCACTGTTTGAAGACTGTGGATCACCTGACATATTTGCATTTGTTGATGAATCCGTTGGAACTGTGGAAGCGTCTTGTGAACGATGACGAGTGGTTGAATCGGTCTCTGAAGCAGTTGAGTCGTCAACTTGTGTTGGGGTTCTGGTAACAAATACTGTTCTAATCTCTTGTGTTTGAGTACCGTTAATAGTCAAAATTGAATAAATCGTGGAAGGTTCAATCTTAGTTGAGATTAGTGGTGATTCAGAAGACAGTTCTTCCTCTTCTTCTGTCTCTGAAGACGACGATGGGGATTCTGAGGTGGAAGGTGGAGATGGAGTAATAGTTGCTGTATAGTATTCTGTTATTTTGACAATATTATTAGACAGGTGGGTTTGAGTGATCTCGGTGGTTCTTGTCACCAAAGTAGTAGGGGTTGATGTACGAGTTGATGATGAACTGGTGCTAGATGATGATGATGATGATGATGACGTGGTTGAAGTACTACTGGATGATGAAGATGTAGTTGAAGGGTCTGGAGGAGGTGAAGATGTAGTTGAAGGGTCTGGAGGAGGTGAAGATGACGTAGATGATGGAGTTGATGAAGTAGAGGACGTAGTACTTGTGGAAGTAGAACTTGTTGAACTTGATGATGTTGTAGTACTTGTAGAACTTGATGATGTAGAAGAGCTTCTACTAGATGACGATGAAGAAGAAGTGGTACCAGTAGTTCTTGTAGAAGAAGAGGATGGACTGGCACCAACGGTAGCAGAAGGATTGGTGATCACTAAATACCCATAAGATCCATCACCTGCACAATTCTCCTGATCTTTGTACCCTGGACATCCTACTTCACAGTTCGACATGTCAACAGTGTCAGCGGGGACGTTGTTTGTACAATAACAATCATAGCCAGACAATACTGCAACAGCATATCCTCCGTCAGAACAAGTATCTCGACAAAGCCCATTGGACATAAATTGACTTGAGGTTTTGTCACCCCCTAAATTTGTATTAGAACATAGATTCAATGACAAAGCGTTAGCCACCGTGGGTATTAGTAGTATGAGCAACAGATGCAGTAGTAGGCTGTTCATCGATAGGTTATACAATTGGCTGGAAAAGTGGAATACAACAACGAAGAATCCAAAACTGTGAAAAAGTTAAAAATAAAAATTCAAATGAAAAATAGCTTTATTAAAAAAAAAGCAATAATAAGGAACCAACAACTGAGAAACAAAAAGAAAGCAAAATAGAAAAATAAATAATAAAAAAAAAAATGTCTTTCTTTTTTTAGTTATTCCTAATCTGATGTATGTTTCTCTCTGCCTTGGATTCTTGCACTATAAGATATGTAATATATGCTAATTTTATCCCAAAATCTGAAATTCTGTTCCAGTTGAAAAAGTACCCTTCAACACACACCACTGGCTGAAATTCTGAAACGAGACACTGAATCGTAACGAAATAGCAAAAAAAAAAATATAAAATTTTCTTATGCCTCACGAGAACCTCAATGAGTATTGATTATCAAGCCTGATGCACTTAGGGGGTAGATAAAGTAAATGGAGGAGCAGGTTTGTGGAATTGATAATTGTTCTAATTTCTCCCCTTATTGTTGAACTACGGAAATACAATAGGGATGGCTTTGACAAAAATTAATAATAAAACTTTTTTTTCTATCGTTTCTTTTCTCAGTAGGGATATAAACTGGGGGAAAGTTGCGGTTTTTCTTAAAATAGAAGGTGAATTACTTGTTTCTAATGGGAAGTTGTTGATGGTTAGTGTTCTACCAAGGAGTGGTTGTTGTAAGAACAAGTGATAACACCAAGTTCGTTTTGATATAAAGAAAAAGGGTACCAATTAGAACGGAAATCCTTAAGGGGGAATTTGATGAGAAAAAAAAAAATAAAATAGGAAACAAAAAGAAATAAGGAAGAAATAAATAAAGAAGAAAAATGAAAACTAAAATGAGTGTAATTTATCGGTATATATATCAGAAAACACACTAACCTCCCTCATTTCCATAACCTGTATCTTGCATCACTCCCTTAGCTATTAAATTATTAGTTGCTTATATCAATAGCACAAAGAAATCATGATGTTTACCTTTTATGCATCACTGATATTTTGTGTAACTTCTCTGTGCGATTGTGTATCCATCGCTATCTTTTCACGTTCTTTACCCTATCCAAACGAAAAGAAACTAGTGCATCCGGTTCAACCATCCAGTAACGGCCAACCATATTGCTTTGTTTCTGATATTAAGTTAGAAGAGGCGGCTATCGAGAAACTAAGTTGATAGAACAAACAGCCAAATAACCTTTTATTCTTCATCTGATTTCTATTTTTAGTCAGACATATAAAGAGATCATTAAGAAACAGTAAGATACAACTGTATTGTTTAGCGGTACCAGATGATAAATGTATGCCGACATTGCACATACTTCCTTTTGAACCAAGAACTTACAATTCAATTGAGGGACTACTTGGTAACTATTATATAATGTAAACACTATACGACAGATATCATGAAATGTATAAATAGAAAATTGAAGAAAAAAAAAAATCCAACTTTACTCAGCCCTCATCATGTTATTCCCTTGCATCCCGAGAATGCCTCTAGCATATTGTTCATTATGAGAAAACATCAAAGTATACTCACATTTATTGTGGATTTAATTAAACCACATGTTTGAATAAAGGTTTTTGTAGATAGTCACTATAAAGAGAAAGGACTCAAGAGTAATAACCTATCATAACTCATTACACAAGGATAATTATCTTCTATATGCAACACGTGTTATTCATTCCATGATAATAGTATTGTGTGTGTGTGTGTTTTTCAGTTTTCAGATTTGATTATGTAAACTGTTCTTTGCAGTTCATAGAGAATCGTTTTAACGGTGTGAAAAAGTCAATAGGGATGTCTATTTTGAGTGAATCCAGATCTTGTATATTGGATGTTATTATTCAAGATACTAGGAACAGTAAATTAATTACAAAAGGGGTGTTTTTCTATTTTTCCTTGATTCTAATTTTAGTGTGAAACAGCAAACCCGATATGAGTTTGATTTTCCTAAAGGTTTAGTACTAAATTCCCCTGAAATTATTATTATTATTTTTATTCTCCCACTTTACCAAAAATTTTTATGGAGAAGACAAGACTCTAAATAACACTCATAACGTTTCATATTCTATATCCATTTGAACAACTTCCATTTGTTATTCTTACCCCCCTCTTCCCTTGTTTTATATTAGCTCGCGTTGTATCGAATTCAAGGCATCGAGAAATTAATCAATTATTTATTAATTCGCCTTCATTTGAATACCTAATAAGGTAAGAAAATAATGCCATACAATCAGTTCACTACCCATTGTGGGTTTTTGCGTATTTTTCTCTTTTATCCTGTTTGCTTACCTCATTACAAGGCAATCTCTTCAAAGCAACTTGATTTCCTAAAACAATTTGTACTGTTTATCCGACTCTTCCTTGTTGGTTGCTATTGTGTCATTTTGGCTTCTTTCGGTGTTTACAAATCACAAAATAACGCAGTTTCATCCGCCGTTTGCATTTGATAGTAATTTAAACCGAGTATTCGATAGCCATCTACATATAACTTCAGCCGATACTTCCCTTAATCAAGTATGACTACTACTGTATCGAGAACTTGTGATTAGTTTTTACATTATCTCGGGTTATGAAATGGGTGATCGAGCCAAATAAATACTAAAATAAAATACCTTCTGTATACTCAGTCTATTTACAAATACATTATATCAATCCTCTATCTTTCATTCTATTCAACGTGTATCCATCAAATCCCATCTTCACCATCTCAACTCTACTTCTGTTTCTACTGGCTATCCCTTTGGCTTTGATATGGTTCATTATTTTCACTAGCTCTTCTTGTGGAATAAGACTCGTTCCCTCAAGCGGTGGAAATAACTCAGTATTGCTGATCTTGAATTTTTGTTTGAGCGCCTCCCATCGTTGCACTTCTTGATCGCTTAACCATTCCCAAGGTAATGGTAATTTCTCATAACTAAATTTATTAATAAACTCGATTTTTGCCTGTAGCATCGGTAATGCGTCTTGCAGATTGCGTGCAAGGATTTTGTAGTTCTCCGGAATACTGTAATTTCCGTCACCATAGCTATCTACTTCAACAGGGATACCCAACTGATTCGTGGCCTCATAGATTAAACTTCGTACAACAAATACCAATTGCTTTAAGTGTCTGATATCCAGAAATTCCGAAACCAATTGCTGTATCAATATAGCGAATGTAGGGAGAGTTTCTGAAATTTCAAAATCTCTGGCAAAATATTGCTTCAACATGATGATTGATTTTTCACCCTTGAAATTTTCATTTTCTTTTAACCCTTGTAACCAATTCTTAAAATCAAACTCATTCAACCATGGTTGAGCGCTATCCTCTCCGTAGTTAAGTGCCTGGTGGTAGAGAACCTGGCCTCTGACTAATCCATCTTCCTGCCAATTTTTCATCCCTAAATCATTCTCAATGAAATAAATCACATCCTTTGTGTTTTTTGTTGTCTTGGAAAAGTCTTTAAGAATCCTTAGTAATAATGACCTCAGAATAGGTATTCCTTTCTCCTGAAGCGTGTTTAAAAATTGTTCCTTCAAATAAACATTATCGATGATATCGTAAATTCTGGTCCACGTCGACAAATTCACCTGTACACCCAATTGGTGGCCAAATTTTAAATATTTCAACGCTAATCGGTATGAACTTGTATTGGACCTGATACGTGAATGCAATTTCACCACACATAAAAGATTGTTAATTGTGCCAAAATCAGCAACATGACCATCATTGTTCATCACCAATAACAATTCTCGAGCAAACAAACTTTGATTCTTATCATAGCCAAAATATTTGATCAAATGGTTGAAAGTGGCTGTTGACCGAAATGGCTTAAACTTCTCATTCGATAGCTTATGTGTATGAAGCAAAATCTGGGGAATAATTCCCGACTGCAATGACAGCGAATTCTTGTAATGATATTTCGAATGAGTCAACTTGAATATGTACTCTTCAAAGCTCTCTTTAGTTAGAGGACTGGGAAGCGGAGGAATTTCATGGAACGTGTTGTGGGGTATTTTTGGTCTTTCCAAGGACAGCTGAACCTTTTCTTCTTCTTGAAGGATATGCTGAATTTGTTGCACATTACTATACAGTATTCCCTTTAAATGACTCGGTGTTATTGCTAATAGATATTTCATTAATCGTTTAAACTGATATCTGTGTTTTATAAATGTGTCTAGTACATCCTGGGGTTCTGTTGAAGTTTTCTGGAGCCAATTTTGCTTTGCTTCCCTGTTATTGTAATCTACTTTCTCACTAAAAGTTTTTAAATTTGGAATATTTAGTGGTTTTAAAAAATCTTGAAAGACTTTCCGTTGAAAATCGGTATATAATGGCTTTAGTTGGTTCAACCCTTCATTTGATAATTGTGTGTGCGTCTTGGGGATAACTTTGAGGCATGGTTTAGTTGCAGGCAGTTTGATTGGTGACTTAGGATTACTTGACTGAGTCAAACTTTCCACTTGCCGTATTGACCTTCCTATTCTTGATATTGTATCTTTTATAGAGAGCATACTAATATCATAGCCTTTTTGTTCAAAAGTATAACAGTTTTAGATCCACGATCAATTACCGATTTTTTCTTACTGTTATCCTGTCTACTGTTTCTTTTTTTTTTCTTCTTCCATTAACTAAGCGTTGATTTCGATGAGAGAAAAAAAAAAAAAAAAAAGAAAAACAGAAAAATCAAATTGATGAGTAGTTCTGTTTCGCCATCTATACTTCACCAATCATCATGGCCTCCCCACAAAGAGAAGGATTTACTATCCCATCATCTATCTCACACGCAGCTCAAGGTCAAGTTCAAAACAAGTCTCTTGGAGTTAAATATAACTGTGCACAATGTGGTGCTTCATTTGCATTAAGTAAGAGTGATGCCATTAGATGTAAAGAATGTGGTCACAGAGTTATATATAAAGCAAGAACCAGAAGAATGGTACAATTTGAAGCAAGATAAATGGGGAATATTTTGAAAGAAAGATAATAGCATAGATGTATTATTATTATAATTAGTTATTTAATAAATGAAAAGTATTGATTATTCAAGTCGAGCCAATGGGACTATCGATGGTCTACCATGAGCACATTGAAATGGCAATTTACAGTGACGTAGTTTTCCAACAAGTCTTTCCATATCATCATGATTTAATTCATCTCCAAACATAATAGCTGACCTGCAGGCTTTCGAATTTATAAGCTCGATAATGATCCGCGGTAAATGATATGAGCATTCAAACCAATCATGTAGGTTCACATGAGCTCTTTTAACATGTTCGTTCAAATCATAACAATGCTGTAAGAGGGCATCTTTGAGAAATTCGGAATCCTGGGATATCTTGTTTAGAAGTAGCAACGGCAAGTGGGTTACAATCACTTGACCTTTCTGTTCGATCCCATAGCTTATTCCAAAAGTGTTGAAATTTGCAATATACTGTTCAAATAAGGCAATTTCAGAAGATGCCACACTAAATGTTAATGGCGCCTTTAGCCTCAACCCGGGGTTCTTTTGCAACAGTTGAACAAATTCCTGCAAATACTCTTCGACTTTGATTCTCTCATCAGTTGCATGTTGATCAAGTACAACAATCCGCATTAATTCCTCCTTTAATGTTACCAATATGAACTTTTTATCCAACTGTTTGATTATTTTGTAGTTTCCTGGCTGTAAGTGTTCCTTACTAAACTCTAAGCTTTCTTCGAAAGTGTACTCTTGCTCGTGACACAAACAGTTTTTGGAAATCACATTTGGCCGTTTGGCTTCATTCTTGACAGCCAATTTCTTTGGAGCTGTGGGCAACCGGTGGACATTCTGAATACATTTATTGCTTCCTACTAAACCAGCCATTTCCACTTCATTTAAATTACCAAGTTTTGAGTTGGTATCTAATATAAACTTATCAGCTTTTTTCTTTGTTGGGCTAGCAAACGGTGATGGTGTGTGAGCTTTGATTCTGTTTCCTGACTCAAATCCAAGGGTTTCTAAATACTTAGAAATAACCCTTTCCACGATTTGCATTATTATACACCATGTATTTGAATGTATAGTGTCATGAAAAACAGATCGCTTCTCCGCACACCTGACTTTAATCAAAAACGTAGCATATTTGTAAAACGGTTTACCAGTTGTCTTAGTGGAGCAGTTTACATCTTCGGTAAACCCAAAACTCGTGAACAAGCTGTTCACTTTGTTCAAATCGTCCACTGGAATAGGAAATGGTTTACCATTTACAAAAAAATATTGGTGTTTTCTGGAGTTGACTGGTTTTGTTCCAATAATGCCTGACACTTTAATATCTTTGAACCGTGCACATATCGGCTCGAACTTAACCTTGAGTCCAAACAAATGGTGCAACAACTTTGTATAAGAAGATGTACAACATCTATTATCAAATGAGAGAACCTCATCTAACTGGAACTGTGCCTTATTAACCATCATTACTTGTAGTTTAACTTTAGGATTTCGAATAAGTGACTCAAATATTACTTGTTTTACACCATCAATCAATCTAGCCGGTGGGTAGTTTCGTATTTGTTGTTTTCGAACAGGAATATTACTGAAAATATTCGTTGCCGTGACAACTGTTCCTCGTGGACCCAAATCTTCAGCTTGAAAGTATCCTGTAGTTGCGTTTATGTCATATGGTTGAACCACTGCTCTATCTTGTTGGACCGTTAACTTGTATGGACTATTAAATGACTCTACTTTGGAAATAATAGACACTTTCGAAATCGACGACAATGCATTCAATGCTTCACCTTTATATCCAAAAGTTGAAATATGCTTATGACCAGACTTGAACTTGGACGTGTAATTCTCCAACGTAACCCTTTCTAAATCATCAGGCGATATGCCTTTGCCATTATCTTGTATGTAAATACTAAGGGATTCTAAATCAAGACGGATCGAAATGGTGTTTGCCCCAGCATCCAAACTATTCTGTAGCAACTCACCAACAACTTGTTCAAACGAATTTAAAATAACATGCGATCGAATCTGACTAACAACTGATTTGTTTAGTTTCTCTATGGATCCCATATCATGGTAAGGAAAAGAAAAGGTGGGAGTGTACCTTTTGACAATTTTTCTTTTTCTGTATAATCAACTCTGTTTTTTTTTTTTTTTCTTCTTGTTTTTCTTTTGCAAGACCAGTTCTTTTTGTTTCTATTCCCACCTAACAAGATATCCACCATGTCAGACGAAGCTTTAAATGCTGAAACCATCCAACAGACTGTATTACCATTAGAAATAATAGACAAATCCGTCGGACAAAAAGTCCGAGTGTTGATGACTAGTGATAAAGAATTTTATGGTAAATTGATTGGGTTTGATGACTTTGTCAACATGGTTTTGGAAGACGTAACTGAAATAGACAACTCAGGTAGTAAAAGCGAACCAGTAAAGAAAATGTTATTAAATGGTGGTCATATTGCTATGATTGTTCCAGATGCTGTAGATAGTAGTGCCTAGAGGAAGTGAATAAGTACATTTATAATAAATACAATTTGTAACAATAGAATATTACATTGATAATTGATCAGACAATAAAAAGGCGCAAGTAAAAATTTGTAATTGATAATTTTGCCACCAGAGAGTTTTGAAAGGGTATATATAAAGTGGTGGCATTCATATCCAGAGATTAAAGAATATCGACATTCTTTTTTTTTTTTCCCTGTGTTATTCTTTTGGCCACCATTTTTTCTTTTTTTTTTTGATTCCTAATTATTCAACAACATCACAACCAAAATGCAACTTACAATTTCTTTAGACGATAATAATGATATCATTTCAGTGGACGTACCAGAATCACTCACATTAGAGGATTTCAAAGCTTACTTGCAAGCCGAAACAGGAATTGAGCCATCGGACCAAGTGTTGAAGTTCAATGGCAATGAATTGACTGACAACAAACCGTTAAATGAATTACAGATTAATGACAATGATCTTTTACAATTATCAAAGAAACAACTTCCTAGACAACAACAACAGCAGCAGCAACAACATGCTTCTGGCTCTCCACAAACACCATCCAATCCGATCGACGAAAGAATTGAAATGATTAGACAACAAATTTTGGCTGATCCCACTGCTCGAGACCAGGTAAGATTGACGCAACCAAGTCTTTATGACGCGTTGAATGACGGATCTAGATTCAGAAGTTTGATGATGGAACAGGTTTCTGAACAACACAACCAATCTGCAAGTAACCAAGCAGAAATGTTACGTTTACAGCAAGATCCAGATAATCCAGAAAATCAAGCTCGTATATTAGAGTTGATAAGACAAGAAGCAATTGAAGAGAATATGAAGTTGGCATGGGAAATCTCACCAGAAAGTTTCACCAGTGTTAATATGCTTTATATTAAGTTGAAAATCAACGGAGTTGACCGTGTTGCTATGGTTGATTCTGGTGCAGCCATGACTACCATCAGTCCTTCAATTGCTGAAGAAGTTGGTCTTTCTAGATTGATTGATAAAAGATTTCAAGGTCAAGCTGTTGGTGTTGGTACACAAAATATTGGAGGTAAGATCCATAGTGCCCCAATTGAAATCGGGGATTCTAAAATCGAGTTACCATGTTCCTTCTATGTTGTTGACACTTCGGTGGGCATTTTGTTTGGGTTGGACATGTTGAGAAGACACCGTTGTACCATTGATTTAGAACGAGATGTTTTAATTATTGGCAAACACATTGAAGCAAAGTTCCTTTCGGAATCAGAAATCCCTCGAAACTCTTTGGGTGGAAAACATATTTCAAAGAGAAAAGTAAAAAAAAAAGTACGATAAATAGATCATAAAAGTTTCAAGAGCCCCTATTATCCAATCTCAAGTTTTGTACGTTTCATGTAGACTTTATACTACTCTACAAATGCTAATTCAATAACCAAGTTGATTATCATCATGGATGTAAACGAAAGTGTAAAAATCTATAAACCTTGAAGAGCTTCTTCTTCCTCAGCAGTTGGTCTCTTCTTTAATTCCAATGGTTTACCAGTAATTCTAAAGTAGATGTCTTTAACATCATCAGTAGTACTTTCAAAGTGGGATGATGCATCATAAGTCTTGGAAATGTAAATACCATTCTTGGTACCATCATTAATAGGTTCATATAATTCAGCAATACCCATCAAAGTGTCAATTCTTGGACCCAACAACTTGAAAGCAGGTTCCAATTCAACGTGTGGTGCATCAGTTTCAATTATAGTAGAAACAATAGCCATATAATAACCCTTTGGCACTACACAGTGAACGTCGGATAAAACTGCTACATAAATATCATGTTTTCTTCCGACCTGGTTTTGTGGAATAATCAATTGCAAGGAATCCAACTCAACACCAGGAACTGGGTGGTCCAAAATACAAATGGCTCTGATGACTTTGGCACCAGTCTTTTTAACACACTCTGGGAAATATGTAGGGTCTGCAATAACAATTGGAGCTTTTGCTTTACCTTCTTTGGTGATGACACCAGCGAACTTTTTGTTTTCACCTTCTCCTTCATATAAAACTTCGTCAATTGGTGTGTCCAACATATACGTACCACCATAAATGGCAGATAATCTAGCAAAACCTTGTGGCAATTCACCTAAACCATACAATGGGTAAATATATGGGGACTTACCATACTTGGCAACAGATGAAGCATACAACAAAATTCTTTCATAAGTAGGACGAGCAACTTCATTCAAATAGTCATCAGTGGACCACAATGCCATGGCATGACCAATGAAATCTTTAGTACCACTTTCCAAACCAAAGTATGTGTAGATTTCATTCATGGTATTTTTATCCAAGTCAAATCCTTGGTGTGTGGAGGCGTTTTCTTCGTCGTAGTTTTGAATGAATTCCAAAAATCTCTTCATTCTTCTTTTTTCAAAAATTCCCATCAAGGTGGATGCTAAGGCTTCTTTGGCATTGGATGGAACTTTGGCGATTCTACCATTTCTGTAAACATAACTGGCAGCAATTTGTTTGAATTCCATGTAACGGGTGACATCCGTGCTAACCAAAATGTTGGTCAATTCTCCATTTGCCATTAAGAACTTAGGAATAAGATCAACACACCAGTCTCTATCTCTACCTTTCAATTCTGGTTTCTGTGCACTTGGTTTGAATTTGTTGTATAATTGGGAAAGGTTTAATGATGCTGATTCACCACCATAGAAATCTTGTCTATCAATGTGCAATACCTTCTTACCTTCCACAGATAAAACACCAGACAAGATACATTCGGTCAACCCAGTACCTAAAACAATGACATCATAATCTTCATCCATTGTGTATGTTTGTTTCGTGTTAATATATTATAGGAATTTGTTTTCTCTATTTTATTAAAAAAAAAAGTAAAAGAGAAGTAAATTTGAAAATCGTCAACCCAGATTCTATGATTTTGTAGGTGGGCGATTTTTTTTTTCTCTCTCTGTCTTTACTGTTGCTTAAGGGAGAAAGTACAGCGGGTAGGATAGTCAAAGAAAAAAAAAAAAAAAATAGCAACACAAAAGGAAGAACGAGGAGACAGAGAAAGTCGCAGGTCGCATTTTCTTCGTTTTTGGTTACCTGTACTGGTTATACTTGCGTTTATGAGATGCAATATTTTGATGGGTGTTTACAAGAAACAAACGATTTATATTACTCTACACCTACACGACATTATGGAACCCTTCGACACCTCTTGTAAGACCAGCCTTAACAATCTTACTGATTTCTTCTGGATCCTTAGTAATTTGAGTGAATATTTCATACCCGTCTTGGGTAATCAAAGCATCGTCCTCGATTCTGACCCCACCAACATACCAGTACTTATCCAACACATCTTTGTTAATGTATTTGGAACTTTCTGGGTTATTCAACACGTCTTCCAACAAGAATGGGGAAAAGTAACAACCAGGTTCATTGGTGACCACCATTCCAGTTTGCAACTTTCTTCTAATTCTCAAATAACACAACAAAGGATCTGGGTCGGAATAGTTTGCATTACCGGCAACATCGTGAGTATCCATACCAAGGACATGACCCAAACCATGAGGGAAAAATCTGGCACTGGCCTTTGCCTTGAATAATTCATCAACTGAGTATTCTGATTTGAAAATACCCAATTCCAAGAACCCTTCAATCAAAACCTTGTGTGCTGCCAAATGAAGGTCTTCCCAATCAACACCTGGTTTCATTAAGTCATATGCTACTGTTTGCATTTTCAATACCAAGTTGTAAATCTCCAAATGTTCTTTAGACCAATCACCATTAACTGGAAAACATCTTGTGACATCACTGGCATAGCATTCCCATTCAGCACCAGCATCGATTAGTACTGATCTTTTATCTGGTGTGATATCGCCATCGTTCTTCACCCAGTGCAATGTAGAACACGTCTCACCACTGCAACAAATTGGATCATAACTCTGGTTCTTAGCACCCTGTCTCAAGGCATGATACATAAACTCGGCATGGATGTGTGTTTCCTTGGTTTCAATAGGGAGGGCAGACATAACTGCATAGTGACAATTGTCTGTGATCTTTGCTGCGTGTTTCATCAATTCAATTTCATAATCGTCCTTGATAAGTCTTGATTCATCAAGTGCAAAGAAGAAATCCTTATCTCCTTCAACCAAATAAGTTTTAAATTTATCATTGAAACTATTAATATCAGTGGTGTATGCCTTTCCAACTTGTTTCAAATCATTCTCAATGTCAGCAGCGTATCTGACTTCATCAACGTCGTATTTTTCCAAGGCATCTTTCTTGGATAATGGTAATCCAGACCACATGATATCTTCCTTATCCACATCTGGTAAATAAAGAACCAACTTGTTTTTGTCAGTATCGTACAAGACATGAGAGCCAGGAATATTGCAACCACTCAAGTAGTAGAAATATCTATTTTGTCTAAACGGTTGGGTCTGATCACAGTACTTGTAAAGCACCAAGTCTTCTCCACTAATGAAAAACACAGAACCTTTTGATTTGGTCAAGTTTCTCTTCTCCAAATGAGATAAAACATTCTGTGCGTGTTTCTTTGCAGGATATTTTCTTCCCACAAGTGATTTAGGACCGTCAGTCATTTTGCAATAGTTGGAAAAATAACGAAGGGAGTAAAACAAAAAAAAATAAAAAAAAAAATTGGAGAGTTAATGAAGTTTAAATAGTTGATAAGGTTCCACAAAAAATGAGAGGGAAAACATAGAAAAGAAAAAAAAAAAGTACTAATAAAAAAATTCTTGTGAGGCATTCTGAACCAATCCATAATGTGGAATGGCATTAAAATACAACGACCATAGCCTAACACAAAACGGTATTTAAATTATTTTTTACTGTCCTTTCTGGCGAGCGAGAAAAAAAAAAAATAATCAATACGTCACACGTGCCACAACACACGTGATTTATAAAAAGCTCTAGATTTGTCTCGCTTTTTTTTCAGCACAACATTTTTCTTTTTTTTTTTTTCCTAATCTTTGCCACCTCTTGAACTATCAACAACAAATACAAAATACCATGGAAAGATTACAAAGATTATTAGGACAAGGAGGAGGATTAGGTGGAGCAGCACCTCCACAGAGTGATGGACCAGCAATTGATAATTCCGAAACTGTTTACATATCGTCTTTGGCATTGCTTAAGATGTTGAAACATGGACGAGCAGGTGTGCCGATGGAAGTTATGGGATTGATGTTGGGAGAATTCGTGGACGATTTCACTATCCATGTGCATGATGTGTTTGCCATGCCTCAATCTGGTACTGGTGTTTCTGTGGAAGCTGTGGACGATGTTTTCCAAACTAAAATGATGGATATGCTCAGACAAACCGGTAGAGATCAAATGGTTGTTGGATGGTACCATTCACATCCAGGTTTTGGATGTTGGTTATCTTCTGTTGATGTCAATACCCAACAATCGTTTGAACAGTTGAATAAACGTGCTGTCGCTGTTGTTATAGATCCAATCCAGTCGGTGAAAGGGAAAGTTGTAATTGATGCTTTTAGAACCATTGATGCCACCACTTTGATGATGGGCCAAGAACCACGTCAAACCACATCCAATGTTGGTCATTTAAATAAGCCATCCATTCAGGCATTGATTCACGGGTTGAACCGTCACTACTACTCATTGAACATTGATTACCACAAAACCGCATACGAAACAAACATGTTGTTGAATTTACATAAAAAGAACTGGCAATCAGGATTGAAGTTGGTTGATTATAATCATAAAGAAGTTGAGAATTTGGACAATACCGAAAAGATGGTTAACATTGCCAAGTTATACAACCAAAGAGTTCAAGAAGAAAAGGAATTAACAGAGGAACAATTGAAAACAAGATATGTTGGTAAACAAGATCCTAAGAAACACTTATCTGACACTGCTGAAAAATTGATAGATGATAATATCAGTACTTTGCTTACAGGAAATATTGATGCTGTAGCCATTCAATAGGGGAGGAAGTAGTTTAATGAAAAATAGAGTGCGGAAAAGAAAAAATGTATACAAAGATTCTCTTTTTTTTTTTTAATGGTGAATTGTAACAAATATGTCAAACCCATTCTCTAAACGAAGAAAAATCACTCATGATAATGATACAATCCATCGAGAATTATTAGATTTTGATTTTGAAAAAGTTTGCCTGGTGACATTGGATTCGACAAATGTATATTGCTGTTTGGTTTGTGGAAAGTATTTTCAAGGACGGTCGAAATCATCGCCGGCTTATAATCATGCCATTACCATGAATCACCATAAATTCCTTAATTTAACATCTGAAAAGTTTTATAATTTACCCGAGGATATCGAAATTCCCAAATCACACGAGCTTCAAGATATATTAGAGTACTTAAACCCGAGGTATACCCAAAGAGATATTGATCTATTGCCAAGGATATCGTTTGATTTGAATAGTGAAAAGTACCGTGTTGGGTATGTTGGTTTAAACAACATTAAACATAACGACTATGCTAATGTTGTTGTGCAAGCATTGGCACATATAAAACCTATTCGAGATTACTATTTACAATTACCAAATGGTAATTCATTGAATGCAAAGTTTGGCGAGTTGGTTAGAAAAATCTGGTCCCCTCATTTATTCAAGAGCCATATTTCACCACAAGGGTTTATTACCACAATATCTGAAGAATCTAAAAGAAAATTCACGACAGAGAAAGGAACACCTAAAGCGTTTTTGCTTTGGATCTTAAATAAGCTTGACGGTCCATTTCAGTGTTTGCGAGGGAAAATTGAAATTACTTCTACGCCCATTGTACCTCACGAAGGTAACGATAAAGTTGAGTTTGTGACTTTGGAGTCAAAGAGGAAAACCACGGAATCAAATTTCTGGATTCTTTCGGTCGATGTTCCCCTGAGCCTGTTCAATTCACACGGAGACAAGATTGAAGAGCTACACTTGGAAGATTTGCTCTTGAAATACGATGGGGAGACAACAACACAAGGTCCGAAAGATATTCGAACTTATAAAGTAACCAAATTACCACAGTATTTAATCATTCTGTACGAGAGATCAAAGGAAAGCAAAGCGGTGGTGAAATTTCCTGAGGTGTTGGAGTTTTATGGAAAAAAGTACGAATTGGTATCATCGATACGGAAGAAAGAAACATGGTCAATAACTTTGCATGCGCAACAAGAGTGGATACTTATACACAATTTAGAAGTTAAAACAGTGAGTTCGGAGTTGCTTTTCTTAGATGAGAATTATATACAAGTATGGAATCTAGTTCAATAATTGATAACACGATTTGACAAATGGCTTCTGGGAGACTATTTGACCCAACTCTGTAGATTTTAGTAATTGGTCAATAATGATAAAATAACCTGCCAATTTGAATTGAATAATTTCATTGGGGTGTTGTTCCGTATATTCAATGATCAAATCCAAGTCGCCGTCGAACTCTTTTAATTTTTGATGGTAAAAGTTTGTCAAGTATTGCCCAGATAAGTTAGGGTGACGACGTGTGAAATTATTCCATGACGGCACTTCGGCCATGAAATCCATCAACTCGGCTTGACTCATAATAGAACTCTGCAATCCGAATATTTGTGCTATGACATCAAATGGTAGTTTTTCTGTCATTATACATAATATCCATAAATCATAAAACAGTGTATCAATTAAATCATTAACCAACTTGGTTTCTTCGTCTTTTAAGTTATTTGATGATATGCTATGGGCTATTTCATCCAAACTTCTAATGACCCTGGTATCATTAGATTCAATTAACATCGGAAGTACTTTATTAGGAGATCCATAAAATGACATCTTCATTAGGCCACTACTGGAAGCAGTAGTAATTTCTTGACTAGGCAACTTCAAGTTATTTTTAAATGCTAAGATCAATGCTGTCGCAAGGGAAATTGGGTCTGTGGGGATAATACGCCCTTCGCATTCAAACACATTGAACACTCCTAATGTCAACTGTGCAGAACTTTCACCTTCAAAATAATGAATTCCATCTCCTTGAATTGGTAGGGCATTGTCTTTATAAGTCTTCAATGGAACTGAATCAAATAGTGATTTAACAACCCTTGGTATAGCCATTTTTTTAATCTTGCTTGAAGTTGTCATTGAGAAGAATTTTTTTTTCCTTCGTTCAATTTTTTTTTCTTTTATTTATTATTGTACAATATTTTAAATTAATCATTTATTGTTTCTAATACATCATATATATATATACATATACACAAACAACAAACCTAAAAGCCATCCAATAATTTCTTGATAATATACAATTACATCACTATCCTCTTTCCCAATTGTAGACCCAGACGAACGAGTGGATATAATCTCCATTCTAAAGGTCATCAGTTGCAACTAAATCAATAGCCATATCATACCAAGTAGTTCCAGCATATTTACATTCACTTTCACCCAAATTGTTGAACCCTATTTTTTCATAAAATGGAATCAAGTCTTTCTTGTTGATTATTACAATTTGATCTCCCAAATCTTGATTAGATAACTTTTGAATGTAGTCGTGCAACAACAATGCACCCAAATTCTTACCTCTCCATTCTGGATCAATAACAACCGAATGGATACCAATGTTTCTGGAGTTGTCAAAATGACCAGATCCTTTAACATCTTTGGATGGCAATTGCATGGATGCATCGGTGATTCTATCAGAAGCAATCTTTGTTGCAATAACGTGTCCAATCAATGTTTCTTTAACCACAGATGATTTGATTGGTAATTCATCATCATCTTCACTGTCGTCTTTGTCCCCATTTTTAGAGTGTTCCTTTTCAAGTCTGTCTGCTACATCAGGTAAGTTGATGGCGTTGTATTTGTACTCATATTCTCTGACAAACAAACCTGAACACAATTCTGGGGCGACTGTCAATCTGTACTTGAACTTTTCAGGAGTACACCTTTCATCTGTAGAAAATCCCTTATTCTCTAATTCAACACATTGGTCAAGGTCTTCAATAGTCAACGGCCTGATCGATAAGTTTGGAGGGAAGTCAGACATAATTTTGGTGAACAAAAAAGAAAAAGAAAAAAAAAAAAACGAGGTTCAATTGTTCCTTTTTTTTTTTCTTCTTCACTTTATAATTTCGGTCATTTATTTTATTCCGTGTACTTTTTACCAAAAAGAATAGAATTCTTTTTGCGAGTTTTGTGATCACACGATTTTATATTCATTTATTCTAATACAGTTACATCAACATCGGTCTCTTCGTTTGAAATCAATTGACCACTGATTTCCCAAAGATGGACAATGTTGTCATCAGCTACAGAACCAATAGTCCAATCTTTGTATGGACACCAACTTAAGTCACTGACACCAGCAGTATGACCAGCATGCATCATAAACAATTCAGGACAGCCGTCCTCAGCATCTTCTTGTTGTTGCTCTTCTCCAACCTTGAATAAATCCCAAATGATAACTCTTCTATCTTGTGATCCCGAGGCAAGTATTCCATCGTTGTGGGGAGAAAATTCCATACATGTTATGCCCTCTGAATGGCCCATCATTGTATGTAACAATCCAGAAGTGGGTCCGAGTTTTCTCATATCCAACAAATTGATATTTGAATTTGTGTTACCAATAGCAATAAGATTATGGGCAAAAGGGGAGAATGCTAATGAATTGATACCCCCAGACGATTCAGCATGGTAAGTTGCAATTTCCTTCTTTTCTCTAATATCGAATAAATAAAGGTGTTTGTCCTCTGACACAGAAGCAAACAAATTTCCATCAAATTGGTGCCACTTGACATCATTGACTATGTCTTTCTGAACATCACTTTTAAACAAAGTAGCATTGTCTTTATTGGTATCGGAGACACAAACCCAATGATCATCAGCACCAGTGAGCAAAAGTCCTTGTTGTTTTGGGTTCCACGAAATACCATACCCATTTTCTGTATGTGGAGCAAAATGGGAATATTTCTCTTCTGTTTTCACATTGTACAAATCCACTTGTCCTAACCCATTAATAGTGGCAACAATATTTGGATCCTGAGGCATATATCTTGCACGACATATTTCTGCCTCATTCTCAAGTTTCTCGATAATTTTAATCTTAGAATTGGCTTTGACTTTACCATCAGCCAGTAACTCAGTTGATGCTACTTTTAAATAGTTTGTATCCTGGCCAGAAGTATGAGTACCTAATAGAAGACTAGCGTCAATAAGTCCGTTGCATACAGTGTGGTTAGGAAGCCATTGGATTGTAAGTGATGGCCATGTCAATGCTGTCTCACTGACAAACTCATACATATATCTGCAATTCTTTCTCCATAATTGATATTCTTCCTTGATGGAAAGTGGTTCTGTTGATTCCTGTTCAGCCATTGTGATGATTCCACGTTGAAGAAAGAAAGTAAATAAAAAGTCTTGAAACGACGAAAAAAAAAAAAAAAAAATTCTAAATTTATTTTATTACTGTAACTTTTTTTTTTCTTTGCCCGCGACAAACATACAGAGACTACGCGTCTATACATTCTATAGAAAGATTGTCGTAGTTGATTTCATAGCAATCAATTACCTTCAATGCATCACTTATATGGTTGAAATATGGATGTGTCACACCTTCAACTAATGAATAACATCCAAGAATAGCTTCCATTTCGGGTGTGGCTACAGAAGCATTATTTTGCTCAGCAAGTTCTTGCATCTCAAAATACTTTAAAGCTGTTAGATTGTCCACCAACAAATCCACAATACCCGCATCTTCAAATCGTTTCCTTAATTTGGAATCCTGGTTTAATCTAACAAAAAGTGTTCTGATACCTCTAGAACTATATGATTTGATTAAATCTTTTAAGATCTTGACTGCGGTGGAGTCAATAGATGACATTCCTTTGAGATCAAAAATCACATAATTAGTCATGGAGCTATCCCTACTTCTCTTCAGAGCAGGGTGTGCCTTTGTAGAACCATACAACTCAACTCGCTTCAATCTTGCTGTCAAGTCACTGCAATTGGTAAATGTAAGTGGTTCAGGGATTTTTACGATTAAACACCCTTCAACTTCCTCGAGAACAGACGTATTTAACAGCATCAATTGGGCGTCATCAAACAAGTTAAGATGGGACCCAATTTTCTCTTGGCTCTGGTACGTTGGAATATCCGCATCAACAAACCTGTTAGTATTCGGGTACCTGCCTAAAATTTGGATTCGTGATAAGGTGGAGTTTTTAATCACTCGAATAAGCAGATATACAATCCCAACGGCTATACCACCCTCCATCGAAAAAAACAATGTGGTGAAAACAGTTACACCAAAAGTAATCAACTCGTTGAACCCTCTAGTTCTCCAGTGGAAATATAACTCATATGGAGCTTCTTCAATTAACAGGATCCCAATAGCCGCAGCAACCACACTCAACATACACTGGGGAACAAAATACAAATACTTCAACAAAAACTGGACTGTCAATAGGGTGCAAACTCCCATAATGGCCCCCAGCATGGTGGTTTTAGCAGAAATAGCGTTTACCTTTGATCTACCGTAGCCTCCAAATGCAGGCAATGCCCCAAAAATGGACCCAATGATGTTAATACTACCCAATGCAACAAGTTCACGATTTGACGATATAGGAAGGTCATAACTCGAACCCAAAGACTTTGATGCCGTGGTAGATTCAAAAAATCCCAACATGGCGCACATCAAACCTGACGTACAAAGCTTCTTGACTAAATGCCACAGACTGAATGATATCGGATTATACAACTTGAACTCGCCGTTGTTTTTGACTTTTCCAATAACAGATATGCCTTGCAAATCCCATCTGTAGTACTGGCAAAGTATGGTTGATCCGGCAACTACAAGTAAAATTTCAGGAATGAGAACAGCATACCTATTAAAGAAACCCTTTCTCCTAGCGGAATATTTTTTGAATAATCGAACTGCCATGATAATTGCAAATCCAGTGAGACCTATTTTTGTGCTCAACGAGTTGTATTCACCAATATAATGTGCAAGAAATCTTACTTTGTCGAATGGAGAGTGAATATCCATTTCATTGGGATCATCAGAGATCCTCTTCATCAACGCTTCTAGACCTAAAATAATTATCAGTGATGTTATAATCATCACAATACCAACACCAGCAATAAATCCTTTCAACAAAGACGCGCTCAACACGTTATCTAAAAACCCAAATCTCGCCAACCCGAATCCCAACAACGTGGCACCACTAACAAACGTTATGGCTACAACATATTCTAGCGGGTCTAATTCCTTTTTGTGGTCATGATGGAGCAATGGCTCAATAGCTTGACCTACAATCAAAGAAATGGGTGCTTCTGGTCCCACAATCATCTGTGGCACACTTCCAAACACAAGATAGATCAATGGGGAAATCCCTAATGAGTATAAACCTGAAGTTACAGGGACATGAGCTAAACTTGTGGCATACGATAAAGAAAGTGGGAGTTGGAAAAACACTAATGTCAACCCTCCGATCAAATCACCAATGAAAAATTTCAAATTGTATTGATCGATCCATGATAAGCAGGGAATATAATAAGGTAGAATGTCAGACCATTCTAAGTTTGCTAGAGTTTGCGTTAAAGTAGGTACATATTCTGATTGAGTAGGTTTTTGGTATATGATGGACTCTATATCTGTAGGTTGGGAATCTAATAAATAATTAAAATGATTGTTATCTTTGAGTAAGGACAGTCGTTCGTTGTGAACTCTTTTCTGTGATATATGACGAACACTGGGAGATGGACTTGTGATTCGTGATCTCTCAGAAGAATCATTAACTGACCTCGGTGTTCTCTTCATTTTTGAGTATTGTTAGTGAATAGGTAATATCTGACTGATAGAGAAAATGTGACAATGATTTATATGATTTCTTTTTTTTTTCCTGGAAGTGGAGAGCCACATGGATGATTTTTTGTTTTTGCTCTTAAAGTTGGCATAATCAAGAAATGATCAATAAAGAGAATATAATAAAGTCGACTTTTTTTTTTGAAACAATATAAGAACAACCAATGACATGATATATAAAAGCAATTTAGGTTGTATCACTGATGAATTAAATTGTCAAAGAAAAATAGAACACACATTCAGTTTTTGCAAAAGAGTTCCGGACCGGCAGTTGGTAGTGCGGAATGACGAATCAGATACAATTTTTCGCTTTTCCATTTTTGATTCTTGGTAATTTTTTTTTTCTTTTTTTCGGGTCGTTTTCATTAATTCTTTGATTACATTCACCACTAGGACTATACAACCAATGGCATCATATATTGCAAAGAGATTATTCTCCTCCAGTAGAATCAGATTAGATACCCTTGCGTTAATAGAAGGTGCTAATAATGGAGTGAACCCATCTTCATTATCCACTATCACTGCTGCAACTCAAATTGGTGAGCCAGTCACTGCTATTGTATTTGGCAGCAACGGCGATGTTATTGCTGATGCTGTTTCCAAGACTGAAGGTGTATCCAAGGTTTTGGTTGCCAAAGATGCCAAATTTGATCATTACTTAGCAGAAGAAATTTCCCCATTGCTCAAAGAGATAATTCAAGATGGTAAATTTACACATTTTTTGACTGCTGGTTCTTCAGTTGGTAAATCAGTTCTTCCAAGATTGGGTGGATTGTTAGATGTGCAACCAATTTCTGAAATCACCAAAGTCATTGACTCAGCCACTTTTGTTCGTCCAATCTATGCTGGTAATGCATTGGCTACTGTTAAGTCCAAGGATAGTATCATTCTTGCATCTGTAAGAGCTTCAGCTTTCCCACCAGCAGAAGTTGGTGGTTCTAGTGCTCCAATTGAACAAGTATCCAAATCTGTTGAATCCGGTAACCGTACTGAGTTTGTATCGGAACAACTTGTCAAATCTGAAAGACCAGAATTGGGTCTGGCTACAAGAGTAGTTGCTGGTGGTCGTGGTTTAAAGAATAAAGAAACATTTGACCAATTGATTGATCCATTAGCTTCCAAGTTGAATGCTGCTATTGGTGCTTCTAGAGCTGCTGTTGACTCGGGTTTCTGTGACAACTCTTTACAAGTGGGACAAACTGGTAAAATTGTTGCCCCAGATTTATATATTGCTGTTGGTATTTCTGGTGCCATTCAACATTTGGCCGGTATGAAAGATTCCAAGACCATTGTGGCTATTAACAAAGACGGAGATGCTCCTATATTTAATGTGGCTGATATCGGATTAGTTGGTGATTTGAACGAAGTCATACCCGAATTAACCCAAAAATTATAAATAAAAGGGGAGTGGGTGCATGTGGAATTTACACTATAATAGCACAAGCCTAACACGAGAAACCAAACAGAAAAAAAAAAAAATAAAATACAAGACGAAAAATAACTATCATTGATGATTTGTTCTCTTTTTCTTTTACTCTTTTTTTTTTTTCCTCTTGAAAGTACTCCACTTTTTTTTGAATCAATCATGAGTTCGGAATTATCTGAAGGGGAATTATCTCATACTTCTTCTTCATCTTCATTTGTGCCAGTGGATCAACGTCAATTACAAGATGCTATCCAGATTATAAACGAGGAAAAGCGATTCAACCAGAGTGTTCTTGAATATATCAATAAAACCGCACCTGCGGATGTAGGAAACAACTACCACATCATTTCAGTTTTTGGATCCCAATCAACTGGTAAGTCTACCTTGTTGAATAAATTGTTCAATACAAATTTTGACGTTATGGATGAACTGAATCGACAACAAACAACAAAAGGTATTTGGTTAGCATTTTCGCCCGTTGTGTCTACCACATCAGGTCACACCAGTAGCAAATCCAACATCCTTGTTATGGATGTAGAAGGTACTGATGGTAGAGAAAGAGGTGAAGACCAGGATTTTGAACGTAAAGCTGCGTTGTTTGCCTTGTCTACATCTGAAATTTTGATTATCAATATTTGGGAAACCCAAGTTGGTTTATACCAGGGGGCAAACATGGGATTGTTGAAGACGGTTTTTGAAGTCAACTTGTCATTGTTTGGTAAGAGTAAATTGGAAAAGCATGATGATCACAAGGTTTTGTTATTGATTGTTATCAGGGATTATGTTGGTGTGACCCCAGTTGAAAGTTTGGCTAAAACATTTACTCAAGATTTGATAAACATGTGGGCCAGCCTTGCCAAGCCTGCAGAATTGGAACACTTGCAGTTTGCTGATTTCTTTGATGTTGATTTCCATGCACTCAATCATAAAGTTCTTCAACCAAAAGAGTTTTCTGAAGGTATTAATAAACTTGGTGACCGATTGGTTGTTGGTGATGAATTGTTCAAACCAGAGTACCACCATCAAGTTCCAATTGATGGATGGGTCATGTATGCTGGCAACTGTTGGGAACAAATAGAAACCAACAAGGATTTGGACTTGCCAACACAACAGATTCTTGTTGCCCAGTTTAAGTGTGACGAAATTGTCGAAAATGTCTTTCAAGAGTTTTTAAAGAAGTTTGAACAATTGTTTGGGGAACCACAAGCTGAGCCTGATTATGAACAAATAGGTGCATTATTCAGCGACTTGCGTAATGACACCCTTGAAGATTATGATATTTCTGCTTCGAAATACAACAAGTCGGTTTACGAACAAAAGAGAGTCAAATTGATTTCTTTGGTTAACGAGAAGTTTAAGGAAGTGTTTGATTTCTATGCCAAAGAGTTGAGCTCTACTATGTTGAAGAAATTCCACAGTGATGTGGTTGCTTTAAAGGGTAAGAATTTTGCTGCGAGTGTTAAAGAATTGTCTACCGGGTTAATTGCGCTGATTGTTACTACTCTCGGTTTGATTTCATTACAAGGTGATCTCTCTTCGAATGAAGTCACCACTGCCTTGAGTAAAGATATTGCTGATATTGTGTCTAAACAACAGGTTATTGAATTGAATTCCATTGTCAACAGGGCCGTCAAAAAGTTGACGAATAGCTTGTCTAAATCTATTCAATTCGAGTTGGGGGATCCGAACGAAAATACTTGGGACACTGTACTTCAACAGTTTAACCTGTTGTCTCAAGAGGTGTTGACCAAATATGATGGTGATTTTGGTTTGGGAACTACTGATGAGCAAAACAAGCAAGCACTCGATAGGTTTCAGTTTAAATCATGGACTCTGTTCTATGAGTCTATGCATAAATTGATTTCCAAGGAAAAGTTATTGGTATTGTTACAGGATAGATTTGATGATGTTTTTAGATATGACGAGAATGGATTGCCAAAATTGTACTTGAATGAAGCCGATTTAGAAAAGACCTTCACTGAATCCAAACAACACGCATTGAAGGTGTTGCCAATTTTAACCATTGCCAAGTTGAGTGACGGGTCTGAGATTGTTCCGGAAATTGATATTTTTGACCACAAGTTGAGAGAAAAATATTTGGGTGTTGCTGATGAAGACAGCGATGATGAAGATGACGATGAACACTGTTTTGCGGAGATTGTTACTGAACAAGAGAAACTGGAGGTTTTGGCGAAATTTAAAAAAGAGGTCGATGCCAAGTATATTGAAACCAAGCGATCTATTGTGCAACACATCACCCAGATCCCTTATTATATCTACTTGGTTATAGTTTTCCTTGGGTGGAACGAGTTTATGGCAATAATCAGAAACCCATTATTGTTTTCATTGGCATTGTTGCTTGGTGCCAGTGTCTATATCTTGTACAAGTTAAATTTGTTGAAACCAGCAATAGTTGTTGCCCAACGAACTTTTGACGAAACTGTTGCAATGGGGAAGGAAAAATTAAGAGAAATCTTAATTGATGATCATGAAACCCAAGGACGTAATTTGGGTAAGATTGCCGGAAAAAACCCACTGGCGCCCGCAGAAGAATATCTGGATAACATTGAATTGGACGATATGTAACATACATGTAGCTATGCACAAAAATTAAAAAAAAATATATATAACACATAATGAAAACCCTCATTGTAGCACTGTAGTAATGTTTCGGAAAAAAAAAAATTCTGGAGAACAAAAAGAAAAATTTCTGATGTAACGTAAATACAGAAAAAAAAATTGTTCCACGCAACAAAGTAACCAACGGTCAATCACAAATCAACATATGAAAGAAAAGGAGATAAATTAAAGAGGGATTACTTTTTAGATATATAAATATATATCTATATAAAAATACTTTTATTGTTTTCCCGTTATCTTTTTGTTTTTGTTTCTTTCTGACTTATTCCTTTCCTCAAGCAAATGATTAAAACTACTATTGAAACTGCTACTCCAGCAGATACCCCTAAATTCTCTGCCTTGATGGAAGTTAATGATGTCTCTTCCCAGTCCAGTGACGCGTCGATGGAACCAAGTGTATTGTCGAGTGTGACCCAAATGTTTACTGAAGCTTTGACAGAAGACAACTTGAATGTATACTCCGAACAAGTGTGTGAAGATTTCAAGGCGGCGTTAGTGGACAATTCTGAGATCACCATGTTGCCTAATTATATTATTTCTCCAAATGGAGAAGAATGTGGTCAGTATTTGGTTATTGATTTGGGTGGATCCACTTTGAGAGTGGCTGTTGTTGATATTGATGAACCTACTGGTATCAAGTCAAGAGAAGAAAGAGTTTCTGTGGTTATGGAAAAGAAATGGATTATTGCCAACGATTTCAAGAAGATTGACTATGGGTTCTTCAAGTTTATTGGATCAAAGATCAGCGAGGTGTTGTTATCCCAGAAAGTTCTTGATACTAAAGCTGTGATCAATACCGGTATTACCTGGTCGTTCCCATTGGAAACCACTAGTTACAACAGTGGTAAAATCCGCCATGTTTCCAAGGGGTACACTATTGGTGAAGATATTTATGACCAGGATTTAAAGATGGTATTGGAAAAGGTTATGAAGGAAGAACATGGAATGATCATGGATGTGCGTTCGATTTTGAATGATTCATTAGCTGTTTATTCTGCAGGTTGTTTTATTGACGATCACATGAAGTTGGCTATGGTTTTGGGAACCGGTCTTAATTTGTGCTGTTCCTTGAATAGTTCAGATGATCTTCACCCAGATAAATTTTTAGGAAACTCCACATTGTTCAATTGTGAGGCTTCGTTATTTGGACAAAACTTGTGTGCCACATTTGCCACCAAGTATGATGGTATTGTTGATGCTAGATTCAAACAAGATAACCTTCATTTCAAAACATTTATGGAAGCGGATCCAATTACAAAGACGCTTTTCCAGCCACACGAGTTGATGACCAGTGGCAGATACTTGCCTGAGTTGACAAGATTGGTGTTGGTTGATTTGATTGAGGCTGGCGAAATTTTCCAAAATGTTTCTGGTTTGGAAAAGATTTTAACTGAAGATTATGATGGTTTCAGTGGAGAGGTGATGTGTTTTATTCACGAGACTGACGATTATGACAAGATTAACGAAAAATTATGCGATACATACAGCTGGACATCTGTGTCGATAAATGACATTATTACTTTGAAACAAGTTATTGATTGTATTATTAAAAGGGCTGCATTTATTGTTGCCAATACCATTATTGCATTCTTCAAGTTGTTGGCACAATACAGTGACGATAAATTACAAGGAGACGTTACAATTGGTTATGTTGGGTCTGTTTTGAACTACTTTAATGATTACAGAAGTTTGATTATAAATCACGTTAACAATAATGACGTGTCTAAAAAGTTGGGGGTGAAGATTGATTTAAAGTTGATTGACAATAGTTCAATCATTGGTGCTGCTATTGGCGCTGCTTATTATAGTAAGTAGATTATAGTAGAATATAGACTTGTTTCCTGTACAATTAATTGTAGAGAAGTAGTGGTGGAAGGAGTAACGTGACCCGTGATGTGTGTAATACACACAATGTGAGTAACACCAGTATAACAATCCTCTCTCATAGTCTACTTTGTCTTGTTTTTTTTTTTCTTTTAAAACACTTCTATATTACCTATACATCTATAATTTAGATTTCAAGCCAGCAGCGGCGTTGTCACAAACAATCAACACGTTGGAGTGATCTTGTAAATAACTAGATGGGAATTTTGGATCATTAGCCTTACCATTGATGGTTTTATCCAAGGCAAATTCTTTGTTGCTTCCCAAAACAATAATGGCAACTTCGTCAGAATTATCCAACACGGTAGAAATACCAACACTCAAAGCATGTCTTGGAACTTTAGATTCATCATTATCAAAGAATCTACTGTTGGCTTTAATAGTACTTGAAACCAAGTCAACTTTTCTAGTTTTGGAATCTCTAGTAGAACCAGCCTCATTGAAAGCCAAGTGACCTTCTGGACCCAAGCCACCCAAAAATAAATTGATTCTACCATATTTCTTAATCTTAGCTTCATATTCAGCACATTCTTTTTCAATGTCAGTGGCCAATCCATTCAAGATGTTGATGTTTTCACGAGGAATATCAACGTGGTTAAAGAACTTGTCATACATAAAGTAGTGGTATGATTGTAAATCAGATGGAGCCAACCCCAAGTATTCATCCATGTTGAAAGTAACAACGTTTTTGAAACTAACTCTACCTTCTTTGTTGGCTTTGATCAATCTAGCATAAATCCCTTCTGGAGAAGAACCGGTTGGTAAACCAAGAACAAATGGACTGGATGTTGAAGTATTGATCTTGTGGATAATGTAGTTGGCTAAATATTCAGAAGCATCTTCTGGGCTGGAAAAAGTAGCTTGTCTCATGGTTAATTGAATTTGATGGTACAAGATCTATTTTTTTCATCATCATTACAATTCGGAAAAATAGTGTGGTTTTTATAGATTGGCTGTATAGCTAAAGTGTCATGGTTGCGATAAAGAGAAAGTAAAACTAGAAAAAAAAAAAATGCAACAATGAAAGTTACAACAACGTTACAATTTTTTCAGGGTGGGAGAATGTAACACCCGCACAGATTAACTAACCGTTTCTTTTTTTTTCTTTTTCATCTATCAGATGACCTAATGATCCATGTGGTCGGCACACTTGGAAGATAGCATCAATGATATATAAACTCCACCATGTGTCCTTATAATTCCCCGTTTGTGGAGTTTAAAATTTTTTCTTTTTTAGACAACCACTAAACAACAATGTCTTATACTAGATTCACTAATTGCCATTTAATTGATAATGGCCAGTTATACGAATACACAGATTTATACATAAATAATAAAACAAAGAAAATATCCCATCCACCATCGAACCCTGATTTGGTTAAGGAAATCATTGATTTGAAAGGTCAGATCTTAGCTCCAGGTTTTATTGATATCCAAAATAATGGGATCTATGGGTTGAATTTCTCCAATCTTAATAGTGAATCTACTGAAGAGGATATCACTGAGTTTAGGAGATTCTACAAAGATGCCATGACAAAATACTTGTCCACTGGTGTCACTGCTACTTGTCCTACTGTGACTTCGAATTTCCCAGAGGTTTACGAAAAAGTGTTGCCATTTTATAAGAGATCTAGATTGGATGGCCAGACTGATTCTTTGGGTGCACATTTGGAAGGTCCATTTATCAATTTGAAAAAGAAAGGGTGTCATCCAGTAGAAACTTTTGTCGATGCTAAAGATGGAGAAGAAAAATTGTTACATGTATATGGGGGTGCTGATAACTTGATGGAGAATGTTTGTATTGTCACTGCTGCTCCAGAGATTGAAGGTGTTTTGGATTTAATTCCAAGTATCACTGATAAGAACTGTGTATTTTCCATTGGTCATACCATGGCTGAATATGAAACAGGTGTTCAAGCTATTGAAAAGGGTGCCACTATGATTACTCACTTGTACAATGCCATGCCACAGCCACACCATCGTGATGCCGGTGTTGTTGGGTTGATCAATTCTCCAGCTGTTGGTGAAGCCAAGACTCCATACTTTGGTTTAATTTGTGATGGTGTACATGTTGATCCATCGATGGCTAACTTTGCCTACAGATCCAACCCTAATAAATGTGTCTTGGTTACCGATGCCATGCATTTGATTGGATTACCAGATGGTCATTACAAATGGGATTCGCAAGTTATTGTTAAAACCGGAGACCGATTATATTTGGAGAATACTGATACTTTAGCTGGTGCTGCCACTACATTACCACAATGTGTGCGTAACTTGATTCAATGGTCGCATATCTCATTACCACAAGCTATTAAAACCGTCACCAATAATGCTGCCATGTCCATTGGTGTTCAAAGCGAACGTGGATTCTTGAATATTGGCTGTGATGCTGATTTTGTCGTATTGGACAAACAAGGCTATGTGCAAAAAGTCTACAAGCTTGGTAAAGAGTATAAATCATCTGATGTTGTTGTAGAGAAATCTAACGAAAAATTAAATGCAATGTTATAGATGTGTATTAGATATATAGTAATTATTGAGGTCTTTTGGATTCCATGTTTGGAGAGTAGGCATATTTAGAGAATGATCTGATTCTTGCACCGTAAATGAAGAACAAATATGGGATGGCACAGCATGCTAATGAGATAAATGCCATCAAAGATGTAGCCCATTCGTAACCTAATCTGTGGTACATTTGAATAGTGAATAATGGAACACAAGCACCCCAAATGGATCTGACAAATGTTTTTGCTGCCAAAGCAGAAGCAGCGTAATGTTGGTAGGAGTCGACAATGTAGTTATTGGCTGGGTTGTACAATAAAAGGAAACCGAAACCAACCCCGAAACCAGAGAAACATGGACCGGCCCATGAGATGTGTGCGTAGGAGGACCAGGCAAAGGCAAAAAGACCAGCAGGGACAAACCAGCATCCAATCATCATTGGGATTAATCTTAATTCTGCAGGTGGAAGTTCACCTCTGTCTCTGTATTTCTGAGCTCTCTTGTTGTAATCTGTGTTGAACAATGGAGCGGCTAATGATGAACAAATGACACCAACACCAATTGGAATAAACATAACCCCAGTCATGGAAGCAGACCAACCTTTACCTTCTTGGTATACTATTGGGTAGGCAAAGAAGAACATGTAAAGCAAACCGTACAAAACAGACATGTACAAAGTAATCAAAAACACAATTAATTCACTTAACAAAAGGAATGGTCTCAAGAGAGAAGTTTTGGCAACTTCACTGAATTTTCTAACTTGCAATTCGTTGAAGGATCTGTATCTTGGATCACCGGTGATTTTTCTCAACTTCTTGGCTCTCTTTTTCAATAAAATACCGTGGTGGGTTTCTGGGACAACAGCAACAAAGATAACATAGAAAACACCAGCAATGATTAAGAAAGTCCAGTAGATCCATCTCCAGGTTGGAGCATGATCAGCAAGCAAACCACCAAAGATAGGACCACACACTGGACCTAAGAATGGAGCAGCGGAAAACACAGCCATGGCGGTACCTCTTTCTGGCCCTTCCCAAAGATCAGCCAACGAACCACCAATCAAAGTCATTGGTGCACTGAATGCAATACCATCAATCAAACGACAAATAATCATGGTACCGATGTTCTTGGCAGCACCACAAGGAATGATAAAAATGACAGCAACAAATAATGTGATAACGTAGATTGGTTTTCTACCAACTTCTTCAGACATAGGAGCAAACACCAAAGGACCAACACCAAAACCAATGACAAACATGGTAACAGAAGCCAAGATCATAACTTCCATGGAAACACCAAAGTATTCAGCAGGGGCATCCATATCACCAGTAACAATGGCCGAACCCAAGGCAACAACAAAACAGATAAGACCCAACAACACAGTACATATCCATTTGAATGATTTACTGAAATTTTTGGGGTTTTGTTTATCGCCATCAACCCAATCCACCAATCTTAATTGTGTTTCTTCATCAATAGGGTATTGCCATTGATCATCTGCATTATAATCGGTGTGTGGATCAGCATGGGTTTCAACTTTTTTCACATCATAAGCTTGTTCCAATGGACCTAATTGCCCAGCACCTTCACCTAATTCGGAAATGATTCTTTCCACACCTTTGTTGTTCGTGACAAGTTTTTCAAGTTCTCTTTGCTCGGATTCATGTGTGTGTATACGAGATATTATATTTGTAATAGGATTATTGTGTTGTTGTGGGATGGCATCACCAAAATCAACAACTTTTTCGGAATCCACACTAATGTTATCTAAGGTAGTATTATCAGACATGTTTGTTGGGTATAGACGACTGAAATTTTTTTTTTTTTTTTTCAAAGGGGAATTAGACATGGGTATTTATAGTTTATCTCTATATGCAAGGTCGGCCCAAACTAATGGGTATAGATTCATTGATGTATGCATTTTCCAATAAAAACGGCTAGATTTTTTTTTTTTGTGGATAATTTTTCAACGTTCGCACTTGAGGATTTGTTTTGTGTTCCACGGCTAAGGATACAAAATCTCGTATAAACAGATCAGTAAAAAGGTATTAACGTTTAATAAATATATTTTTTTTCTATACAATTCTATTTCTCAATGACCAATGTCTTCGATATCAGCTGGTTTATCGCCCATTTCTGGTTTATATGCATATCTAGAGAATTTTCTAATTCTTGCCCCGTAAATGTAAAACAAGTATGGGATGGCACAGCAAGCTAAGGAGATGAAGGCCATTAAGGAACTGGCCCATTCGTAACCTAATCTGTGATACATTTGAATGGTGAACAATGGAACACAGGCACCCCAAATGGATCTGACAAATGTTTTTGCTGCCAAAGCAGAAGCAGCGTAATGTTGGTAGGAGTCGACAATGTAGTTATTGGCTGGGTTGTACAAACAGCAAAATCCAAATCCGGCAGCTAAGCCAGAGAAACATGGACCGGCCCATGAGACACTTGGGTATGAAGACCAGGCAAAGGCGAAAAGACCAGCAGGGACAAACCAACAGGAAACCATCATTGGGATCAATCTCAATTCTGCAGGTGGAAGTTCACCTCTGTCTCTGTATTTTTGAGCTCTTCTGTTGTAATCCTTGTTGAAGTATGGAGCAGCAATAGTGGCAATGATGACACCAACACCAATTGGAATAAACATAACACCGGTTAAGGAGGCAGACCAACCTTTACCTTCTTGATAGATGACTGGGTAGGCAAAGAAAAACATATAAAGCAAACCGTAACAAATGGCCATGTAAATGGTGACCAAAGCAACAATCAATTCACTTAACAAAAGGAATGGTCTCAAGAGAGAAGTTTTGGCAACTTCGCTGAATTTTCTAACTTGTAATTCGTTGAAGGATCTGTATCTGGAGTCACCGGTGTCCTTTCTCAACTTCTTGGCTCTCTTTTTCAACAATGTACCATGGTGAGTTTCTGGGACAATGAGAATAAAAACGGCATAGCAAACACCAGCGACAATTAAAAATGTCCAATAGACCCATCTCCAGGTTGGAGCATGATCAGCAAGCAAACCACCAAAGATAGGACCACACACTGGACCTAAAAGGGAGCAGCAGAGAAATGACATGGCAGTACTCTTTCTGGACTTTCC